ACACCGAACGCCGAACGCCGAATTTACTATTATTGCGCGCGTTCGTTTTGCGTTCGGCAATGTTCCTAGCTACGTCAGCCAGAGGGCACTGGAGCAAACCAGAAAAGTTAATGGGAATGCTTGATAGGTTAGGTCGTCTCACCGAATCGGTAATGGCCGAACACGTTCACGCGTTTCTGCATTTTAGAACCAGTAGGTTCTTAACCTGCGATCCCGCGGACCATTTATTTATTCGTGGATAAAAATATATCAGCTTCAGCTTCGAGGTTACGATAGCTACTGAGGCTGAAATAAATCTTTTCGATTCAATGTCCCGAACTCGCCACTGTACGTACCTTGTACGGCTGAAATTACAAGCTTTATACGAGTGAAAGAGAATAGCAGTGTAGTAATAAACGATCTCGTAGAGGTTATATGTAGTAATTAGGGAAAACGAAGACGGATTCGTGCAGGAGCAGCATATAAGCAATTAAAGACGTACCTTGCAATACCTACTGTGAGTATCAATCTCTGTCATCGAAGAGGTCGTGGCGCAGATGGTGTAAGCCGGTATTTTCCAAAGCGGAGGGGGACGCGACAGAAAATGTTGAATACAGAAATACGTGGATAATTTAAACGTTTCATTTTATAATAATATTTAAGAGAACGTTTGCTATAAAAGTTACTGTTTGTTTCTGAAATAACTTGTAGCTGTTTCCATATTTCTGCCGCTGCTGGGGGGGAATTCGTCGCGCGTCGCTGCTTTATTTCATACTTCCTTTTAAATTTCTCCTGTTCCATTATACCGTTTGCTACGAAGTTAATTACGTCTCTGGAAATATTCTGTGACTTGAACCGAGTAGTTTTTTTCCGAAAGTAGCTAATAAAAATAAATGTACTATCGCGGCAAGAGAGCATTAATTCTGTATTCGTCGTGTTCCGTGCTTTTATGTTTCCAGCGTCTGTATAAACGGCCACTGCAATTGCAAATGGAGGCAATTAAAAAACAAACAAACAAAGAGTGTTTGGTTAAACGGGACTCTCGGGTTGAAGCACACAAACTGCTCGCTTATGCAATCTCCCTCACGATCGCTTTGATGATACCGATGTTGATCCTAGTAGTGCGTATATATTGCAAGGTATGTAACTTTAATTGCTTATATCTTTAAAATTACCAAGTTATTACACCTATTATTTGATATGTTGCAACAGGTACCCACAATCTATCATCACGCAAAAGTAGGTTAAACGTCTTAGGTAGACGGATCGAGTGCTTTTTCACGTCGAGGAACATCTGCTATCCGACTCGAGATTTTATTTATTTATTTATGCAACGAGCGAGCATTTCTGCTAAAAGGATAAACAATTACGGCTGAGAATACAAGGTGCATTAACACATGTTGTAAAGTTCCGGTTCTTGACTCCTATTCCGTGATCTTCTGAACTCGGTTAACAATGTTGCAGGAAGAGTTCTCTTGGGCGTTAATTCCCACTGTAATTAGACGGTATAAAAACATAATGAGAATCCTTGGATATTCTTAGAGTTAGTAAAAGTCCGAACGACTGCTGTTTTTTAAATATTATTTTATTTTTTTTACAGTCAGTCCGTTAAACGCACCCGAGGTTAGGGTCAGCGAGGGTGAGACGCGTCGCGCGGTGGTCGACGAGGTGTCGCGGAGCTCTCGCGCGGTGGAGCATCCCAGAGACGAGCGGACGGGTTGCACCGTACATTGCCAAGTCGATCGTGAAGCGTGATATTGCTCCGCGCCGAGAATCGCGTCGTGTTCCACTCCCCGGGGAAACTGTTGTCCCCGGCGACGCCTCCGGGACGCGCAACGGTGACAATATTCGGCGCCTGGACGGACGATCGGCGGAGCGGTCCGTACGATCCGGGGGTTCGAACTCCGCGCGTGTTCGAGGCGGATCCGGTCGCCGCGGGCACCGATCGCGACCGACCACCACCGCCCGGACAATATTTTCCCAGGATCTCGCACTCCGTGCGAAGTATAGCGAAGCGGCGGGAACACGCTCCACTGGGCCAGACCAGACACACCTGGGGTCGCCGGAAAAACTCCCGGCGCGTAAAACCTGACCGTAACACCGTGGCGGATCTATCCGAGAGACAACGATTCGTCTAACCCAGACCGTGGCGGATCTAGCCGCCAGACAACGATTCCTCTATCCCACTACCCAGCCAGACACTGGCTCGTACCGTGGCGGATCTGGCCGACAGACAACGGGCTCGTTTCTTGTCCCTCGAACGGAAATCCCGCGGCAATTTTCTAGGCAAATGTAAACTAGAAGACATCTTTGCATGCGATAGTCAAGAATTGGGTCATTCGAATACCCTTGTGGTAGGAAAATCGAAAAAGGCTCTGCTTTAGTCGGTCGAGAGCTTGCGAGAGAGTCGAGAGCGTAGCCCTCTGGTGGCGAGTACGATAACAGGTGACGCCACACCTTCCTCGACGATAATTTTAGACCCCTGTTTGTTACAATTTTCTAGCTCGAGCTGGAAAAACGGTTTGACCGACAATATGGGATCGACAGCCGCGAAACGGGGGTAACCGGCAGGATGTTTGTCCGCGAGCGCAACGCGAAACTGGTCGGTGCAAGTTTTTCTGCGTGGATACGAATCGACGGCGATAGGTCGCGACTCGGCCGAGAGACGACGAAGTTCGGGCGAACGTTGCCAATGGCCTTGCCCTCGAGCGCGAGCAAGGCCAAAGTTCACGAGCGGTCTCTCCTCTTTGCGCGGTGGTCCGCGACGGTCTGCAACAGCTCTTAACCGCGTTGCGCCGTCCCCGTTCCTCTTTTCCTCGAAAAGACTCGCCAAGCCGGAACGTCCTCCAGGTACCATCGAAAACACTAGACCAAAACTCAACCATCAATTACTTATTTTTAATATGTAATTTCAATTTTTAGAACAATCTATGGATGAATTAGCGTCGGCTCGTTGCGGACAATCTCGCGGTTGCGAAAATTTTCCATGACCCAACGCAACGTGTGTCCAATGGAATCTATGCAACCGCTTCTTGAATATTCATTCGAAGTTCGCCGGAGAGCGTGTGGGCGGTCCACCGTAAACTTTACTTTCGAACTCTTCGTTCGACCCGGGCAAACTTCGAACCGATTCGTCCACGAGTTCGAACGCGGGAGTAGGTCGGTGAAGGAGGAAGAGGTGGGGGAGGAGGAGGACGGAGAATCGTAATAGCGGCGAAGGTTCTAGGACAATTCGACAGATGCACGGCTGGGTGATTTCGACTCGCGGTTACCGAGGTTGCACCGGAGATCCGCTTCGGTGGGCCCGGTCGATTCGATTCTCTTGGAGCGATTCTCTTTCGATAGCCGGGCGAACGCGCGCGTCGCTTTGCTACGCACGCACATGCACCGATTATTTTCTAGTTTTGCCTCTTCCGGCGCTTTGCCGTGCCGACATTGCCCTGGGATTGCTCGTCTGGCCCGTTCGGCTCCGGGACTTTTCCTCCCTTCGACCGTCTGGCCGGTGCTGGTGCCCCGTCCTGCCACCCGATCGCCTCTTCCTCTCGGAGAATCTCGGAGATCCGATCTGTCTGCCGTCCTAACCGGCGATCGTGATCGCCAGGCTTGTAATTACATCGTAATTTATGCGTGTTACGGTGTACGGTCAGCTCGGTCTGTAGCCCTTCGACCGTCCTTCCTCCTGCCTCGCCATTCTCCTCCACCGACGCCGCTCTCTCCCTTCCATCCCCCCCTCCATCGCCATTCTCCCACACACACTTCTGCCGCGACCCAACGTCTCCCTCTATCCTTCCAACCTCGACGTCCAACGTTCTACGCCGCGGATCGTGTCGCGAAGGATAGAGAAACGCTCCTCCGATCGCGATCCCCTCGGATTTTTCGGATCATCGAAACCCATCTCGATCGATCTCTCCCATCCGTGATTTAAAAAACAAGAACGAAAGTTATCTTTCTAATCGGATGTTAACGAGCACGGTGTAAACTAAACTTTTTGTTAAACAATTTGTTCCAACTAGATTAGAAAGTACGGGGCATCGCGCGATTGAAAACAAGAGAAGTTTAAACGGTTCAAACGGAGCACCGTCTTTTAAGGGGTAACGCATATAATTGAATGGAACTAAATTAGACTACACGCGTATCTCGCAGTTACGACGGATTAAGTTCTCGGGCAGCTGTCGTGCAAAGAGAACCGTACTTTCTCGTTCGAAAGTCGCACGAAATCAAGAACATTTGACCCCCCCAAAGATGCAATTAAATACCGATACGTAAATACGTTTACGAGACGTGTTCGATTTCGCGATTGCAATTTTGATTTCCCGTCGAAACGAGTCACGATTATCCGTCGCTCGTACGAAATTCGTCTCGAGATAAAGCGTTTTATCCGTCACCGTTCAGGGGCGAGCTCCTCCTCCGTTCGTCGACCGACGGATTTCTACGGCGCAGTTCGACTTTCGTAGGAACGAGTTTTCCAGACGACGCGTCCGCTCGCGCGCGCGCGCGCGCGCTGCCCGGCTGATAAGATAAAAACGAAACCCGCGAAGGCTCGTCGCTGATTCACCGATCGCCGTTCGCGGTCGCAACTGCGTAATACCGGGTGGCTTCGAGACGGAAAGGGATCAATCTTATCGCCGAGAAGATCGATATCGGTCGATACACCGGCGACCTTGCCGCAACACCGTCTGCGAAATAAAAAATCAACCTTTCCCGTGATCGACCGTCCTTTGTGGGAATCCGATTATGACGTTTTACCTGAAAGAAACTAATCGCTGGAATTCGATTATCGTCGGTTATCTGACCAGCCGGCGAGTACAGATTTCACGGAGTAGACGCGGAAGGACAAACACGTTTAATAACAATGATTTTGTTGACGAGATTGAGACCCCGTTAGATACCGAGGACGATAACTAGGATTATGTTTCGTTTATTTAAACGTACGTTAACGCGATACACGGTGAGCAAACTACGCGATTCGCGGCTCTTGTTTAAAAGCAACCGACTCCGTTCGTTGCTAATTGTTGTTCGAATGAAATTTTGCCCGCGTCGTGGTCGCTGGTCGTAGGGATTTCGATGACCGGCTGCATCGGGGCTGGTTCGTCCCGTCGGGCCTGCTCGGGTTTCCTCGTGCGCGATCGTGCCCGAACGATCCTGCTCGGACGAATCGACGCGGGCCACCGTGCGAGTAACTCGAAACCACGGACGAGTTCTTCTTCTCTATTTTTTCTCGCCCGTAGCTCCTCCGCTCTTTCCTTTCCCTTTCTGTGCCCCCCTGGCCCCCGCGACGGGGAAAACGCGGCGGGTTCTCCGCTTTCTTTCCCTGCAACGTGGTGCAACGTCGCCGAAGATATCACCGTCGTCGTTATCGTTCCTCATCGTCGATGTCGCAACGTCGGAGACACATCGACGCGTCAACAATGTTCGTAATCGCGACGTATGTATCGTACAGTAGGTCAAACAACGATTCTAGTCTAATCAAAATACAAAAACATTAGTACCCCTGCAATCATAAAATTTGGGTTCCATAAAAATTTCAGGTAGTTTACGACTACCCGAGGGTCATAACCTAACGTACCTTCGTACTCGGAAATATTCGGGATCGGTCGTTAATTGTCGGGAAACGTAGATGTCTCCTTGTTCGCCTCGTAGTGTTTATTTGCCCATCCTACTGATTGTATCGCTGTGTAATCTTTAACGAGCCAGGAGGTGAAAGGTATATTTCGATATATTTCCCTCGACACCCAAGCTTTCGTTTCTCCTGACATATTTTAACTGTTTGATTTTGTCGAAACAGATGGAGATCGGTCAACGAAGTTACGAACACCGTCCAGTCGAAGACGAAATATTTTTACAAGCTTCCCAGAGACTAACGTATCTATGTTTCGTTCGTAAGTAAATGGTCAAACATAAAATCTCTGTCCCGACGTTGTAGAAACATGCGAATCCTAACCTCCTAACCTCTCCTGTTCGAGGTTTCGGGTCGAAGGAATTCGAACGGCAGGATCGGTCGAAAATCGTGCGACGCGCTAGCCGTTTTTCCGATGAAACGATCGTTCGTACGCGCGATCGAACGGGGGAAACGCAGCTGGCGATGCAGTCATGGTACACGCGGCATTGCGAGTACTAATGCTCCGAGGTCACCAGGAAGCCGCTATCTAAGGCACACGCGGTTGCGAGAGTCCGATATCGTTTGCGCTCTTTCTTTGTAGCGAACAGCTGGTCGGGCTGAGTCAGTGGTACGGCCTTGATTGCGCCGTAGCGGAAGATCGGTCTTGCTTTCGTTGCGACGCGGACGCGCGAGTCGCTCTATCGAGCCTCGCATGCCGCACGTGTACCGCTAGCTCGCGAGCGAGCGCGCGCGTGCACGCCAAAACGGACAACCCGGAACACCGTTTTAAGGCCGATTCGCAACCGCGTCAATACCACGCTGATACGACCGCTTGCATGTAAAACAAATATCGCCTTAACCGACAAACGGAGAGTTCCGAACGCCTCGAGCCTCGAAGCCTTACGATTCCATCCCATCAAAACTATTCTAATTTTTAGGTTGTAATTCGAGAGAACATCGAGGTCATCCTTGGTCGTTGGAATCTGCCGTGGCAATCAAAGCGTTAGCGCACGCATGATCGCCGCTAACTCATTAGTAACCCGAGACACCCTCGGGTCGCGTGTTGGAGACGTCGAAGCTCGCTCGAGGTGAGCAATTCCAGAAACTTGGTAGGATTTGCTGTTCTCCCGTCTAACGGTGAATTTATTCATTATTTATTCTTTACATCACCAGTTGTTTGCTACGCTTGCAAAGTATGTGTTTCTCTCCTAGTTGGGCGATCCGGTGTCAGGAGAAAAATAAATAAACGTATTGGAAATGGGTGAAGAAGCAGTACTCTTTTATACTTTAAAAGTGAAACTTTATGGAAGGACGTCTTGACTCTTGGCGTCCATTCAAAGGAAGAAAGAAAAATGTTTATTTCCCTGGTCCTCGACGACAAAACAGTCTCAGGCCTCTAGGTCTTCGTATGCAGACAATGGTTAGATTCAGTTTTCTAAATGATTATTTATTAATGATCCAACAAAACGTGTAATCGGATGCTTCGAATTTAGCGTTTCGTATGACTGGGTGCAATTAGGACGGAGGCTTTGAAACGCTTCGGTTTCGAGCGACGAATCGATAATTCGAGCGGCGCGTTCGAGCGCACGCGATAATCTTCTTGGAAGGTCTTATCTGCGGTTCGCGTGGATCGCGTTACGAACGTTCCGATAAGTAGCGAGAGACGCGAGAAACGATCGCGAGAGCCGTGCATGTGTTTTTCGCGCTATCGGCCATCCTGGTAGACGAGCACGGTTCGCTGGTAAAACCGCAACGCAATTAGCTCGATCGAACAACAGCGAGGGGGAGGAAGGGGAGGACCTCGTCGCGCAAAATGTTCGCGTCAGCGCGACCAATGGCCGTCGAAACGCGCGGTGGTCTCGATGACGCGTCGCGCGCGCGCTCCGGTCCGACAAGCGTGACCGAGCGCGGTGTTATCGGCCGTCCGTTATCATCGGGCGATAATTAAAATAGCATCTGACGGGGTCGCGGTGAGACGGCGGCCCCCACGACGGAATAAGGACGCGCGGAGGAACGAAGACGGAGCAACCACGGTCGCGCGACGAGGGAAAAAATATCGCCGAGGAAGCTGCGCGTTGCACGATTCTTTTTAAACGATTCGCTGGTAACTATCGTCGTATAATTTTCTAGTTTCGTTCGTCGTTGTAACCTGTTCCTGTAACCCGTAGAGAATAATATGTGTAATTAGGAGCGTAATGAAGGAATGTCGATGGACGAGGCGTGTCGGGCGGGTAAGAATTTCGGCCAACGGCGGATTTCGGCGGATATCCGGGAACTCGCGTGCAGAGGAAAGCAACAGCTGCGTCGGCCGATGACCTCGCGGCGGACGGAGGAAAAAAATCCCGATACTCTCTCGAGAGAGGGACCGGTCGGAAGTGCTACCTTTCGAGTTACGAGCAGAGTCGCGATAACGATGCTCGTCGAACGCGCGAGAGTGCACGCAACCCGGGCGTCCGTTGGCGTTTCGTGAACCCCGTAGATCGGGCACACGCGTGTCCGTGTATCGCGAAGAAAAATACCGCGACGTGGCAAACAGCGCTAGCGCGTGGCGAGGCAAAAGACCTAAAAACCCAGATAAAGCGTACAACGTCCGAAGAAGACAATAACGATCGGTATGATTCACGGTAGCCGATAAAGCTGGATGGATACACCGTGACTGCGCCTCGTACTTTGCCCTTGCCGCTTCTAGCTAACGTCACCAACGCGGAACGATCGCTTACGTCGTATCGTTCACCGAACGCGAACGCGAGCGCGTTTATTGCGCTCGCTTTCCTTCCTTCTTTCCTTCGTCCGTGTTTCGTTTGATGTTCTTATCGCTAACGCATACACGTATTGTCCTCCTAAATAGAATATCGCTGCGCGACAAGTTTCCACTGTACGAAATGGCTTTGAAACCGACACGGACGGTACGGAATCGAGGAAGGGGAGGAAAGATGCAGAATCGCGAGAACTCTTCTTCCGTGCGTGGTCGTATCGGTGTTGTGGTCGTTGCGTAACGACCGCGGGGATCGATAAGACGGGAACGAAAGGTTGACGCGCAGCTGTTCGTTGTGCCGATCTTCCGTTATCGCTCCTCTTATCCCATCCGTGCACCCTCTCGATAGATTCCACGATCGTTCCTCCGAGAACTACGGAACTACCGCATCAGTTTTCAGAACAGCACGTATGTTTGTTAATAGGGACACCGTGTATATCAGACTCTGCCTCGGACGCGACGCTAATAATCGTTTGAACAGTCTCCAATGACTCGATACTTTATTAGTGCTTAATTAGTTTTAACAGATTGTTCGAACGATTAATAGGCGGGATCTGCTACGTAAGCCCGACGAGTACGTACAACGCATCCGGGACGGAACGCAATAATATTGCTCTTTGTACCAGATTATTAGCGCATTATCGAATCGCGAACCGATTATGAAAACGTGCAAGCTTCTTAGCTATCTTTATTTCGTCGAGAAAAAATAATAATAGAATAAAGAACCTGGACGTTGTAGGAAATCGCAATGTTTACTCGTGGCTCTAACGTCGCCGATAAGGAGGGCGGAAGTGCCTTCCAAAACATCCGTTCGTTCGAAGAGCAATTTTACTACGATCTGTCCTTCCGTCATATCTCTGTCCTTATTCGCTAAGATTGTTACGTCGAATCTCCAGCTAGCGATTTAGATTTAAATTTAATACGAACACGTTTTGTTAAATTAAAGCAGACGCTACCGTGCTGCAGGTGCTCGTTGTCTATCGTTCGCATAAAAATTACATAAAATTTCACCCGTCTCTGTTTCGAGGTCCCTGGGACCTAACCCGACGCGTATAAGGCTTTCGACTCGCGTCGACGCGACGCGGTCGTGAATCACGCGTCGTGAGTCACTAGCCGCGTCGACGAAGGTGCAAAGTATCGCGCGGGATACGCTAAAGCGCGACTCAAACAAAACGAATTCGAATCGCTAAGCATATTTTTCATTATTCCGAGATCCCTGATACGCTCGAGCACGGCGCGTGTCGCTGTAACAAAAAATTCTAGGTCGGATACAATTTTTCCCTACTCTTCGAGAAGATCCTTTGTCTCTGCTTCTTGACTTACGAGGTCGACTCGTAGACTCGTTAAATAGTATAAGTAGATACGAGAACGTTATCGACAAAAGCTGCAGAAAGCCTGATGATTAAATTCTCGGCGGGTCGGTGTTGTATCAATTAGTACCGAATAGGTTAATTCGATCGCGCGGCAGACTCGCTTTCGATTCGTACCGCGGCGTCTCGAACTCCTCCGTGCACCTATGGCCTTTGCTTCTGCCCCCTCTCCTCCTCCTCCTCCCGCAGTCGGTTTTCACGACCCGTGCCAGTCACGGTTCGTTCCAGTCAGTTTCTCGCTGGCCAACATCGAAAATACGCCGAGCACCGGCTGCCGATCGCCGGTCGATGATCTTCGCCGAGCGAAAGGTATATCGGCTGCCGTCTGCCGTCTGCCGCTTGCCGGCTGCTCGCGTCGCGGATCCCGTTCTCGCACCCACACCCGCGTCCTACCCCTATCGACTTTCTCGCTCCGCAATTTTTTCGCGATCAGTCTGCGCCCAGACACCGCTGAAACTCTTATCTGGTTCGAAATTTCCAAACATCAATTTTCCCTCGAAATATGGCGGCCATCGTGTTTTGCTTCTCATATTCCGAAAGAGGAGGCACGGGAAACAACGTCCGATCGTTTCCTTTCCCGAGCGTGGCGACCGCGACCGCGACCGCGAACGAATTGTTTCCGCCTCCGCGTCATAATCGATCGTGACAAAACCGTGATTGCTCGATCGACAGTGGCTCGGGTTCCGTACCGTTCGCGCGTTTCTCGTTTTCGACGCGCCGTGCCCCGAAATTCGCGAGAGTCACGACCACACGCGTCGGGTCGAACGCGTCCACGAGACCGAGCCGCTCTGCCTTTGAACGGAAACGCGTCGAAGGTCCCCGAGGAGGGAAGTCGAGGCCATACCACCCGGCTAGCTTCAAGGTTTTTTCGCTCTCTCCCTCTCCTGTTCCTCCCGCTCCACCTCCGCCCGTCCCCTCCTCGCGCCAGTGGTTTCCCTTTTGCATGCGAAAGCACGTAAGACCAGCAATACCCGAGAGAGATCCTCTTCTCGTTCCTCTTCCCCGTCGTTCCCGTGGCCGGTCGATTCCTATCGGTTCCAGGTGGAAAAAGGTTTCGTCGATGGGAAATCAAGGTCGCGGGACCACTGGAAACTTTTATCGTTCTTATTGGGAGGCCCTATATAACACTATTAGTAACAGAGGCAAACATTCTGACAGTCGATAACAACGTAAAACCAGTCGCATTGAACGTGCTGCGTAGCCTTATCGTTAAGAAATACTAGTAAACACCGTGATACGGAATATTGCAAATGTTGTTTTCATTCTTGACCTTGCGGGACTTTGAAGGTTAATGTATTGCACATAGTTGAATTCGCCACGTTTACGATATTCTCCAACCCTCTGAACAGTCACGAAAAATGAAAATTAACGTCACGACTCGAGAATCAATTATTCTAGTTTCAAGTCCTGACACCCATGTGTGCTGTAGAAATATCTGAATATCTATGATCGTTAACTTTCCGTCGATGTTATCGTCCGGTGGTTGGTTTCGTCGTGGAATCGTTATCGGTACGACGCAGGCCTCGCAGAAAGTTGCATAAAAGAAGCATAGGGGGCGGGTGGGGAGCGAGGGAAGCGAAGCTGCGTATGGACGCGACATCGCAATTTATTCCTCACGGACAGCGAGCGGCCAGTTACTATAAATCTACGCTATCCGTGTGTTTACATTACTTTCTTGTTGCGCGATTAGTAATCGCGCAATAAGAGCATGTCGAACAAATCGGCTTTACGAAAGAGAGCCGCGCGGGTTCGCGATACCGAGCACGATCGGGCCGCTACGACGTTATACGTCGATGCAATTCCTATCGAGAGGATAAAAACCCGAGCGTTTTCCTCTCTCGCCGCCGTTGCTCTCTCACTCCCGCCTCGCCTCGATTTTCACCCCTCCTCGACAGGGTGGTCGGTTTTTCTCGCCTAAAAAGCATCCTTCGCGAATTTATTTCGGTCCAAGGCCTCCGTCGACATATTCGAGAATCTTTGTATCGTACCACGAGCATTCTTTTTACGTAGACGATACTCTCGATCCACCATAGCAGAAAACAAATCAGCGCCACCGTGGTAGAACGGTTAATCTCCGTTCGATACCTAACCTAACCTCGTTAAAAGTGGGTAAGGGCCCGGCGTAGACGGTCAGACGTCCAACGTTTTGTTCGCAGAGTTGGTAGTAAGTGGGTCGCGCGTGCAAACTCCGGGACTCGAGCCGAGTCGCTCATGCAGCACGCCGCGCGAGTTAATGTCGCAAGCTCTGACTAACGGACGCAATTTTTCCTCGCGAAACTAGTCGCTCTATCGGGACACGGTTATCGAGGCGATACGTTGCAACATTGCGCACACCCACGCTTCGCATCGATACGATACGATACCGAGTCTCGACGTTGCAGCGGAGTAAGAATCGTGAGGGAACGCTGACAATCGTGAAAAGTTGTAGCCGGGGAACGACGAAGCGTCGAAACGAACAGGGAACAGCTCGTCGTACGGATCGAATTTTTGCTCGGGTGCTCTTCTCTTACATTCCCATCTTGGTTGGACAAAATTATTGTTAAGAAAACAGACGTAGATTGCTAGCGTAGATAATGTACGAGTTAACGGGTGATCGTAGTTACTGCGGAGTAGTTTGTCTCGGGTCGGAAAGCAGAAACGTCGGCCGGATTCCGTGGAAAAATATATTTTCGTATTCCGCGACGAGAGTCTCGGTTCTTCCGAATTCTTCGCGGCAGTCGGCAGAGCTTTTCTCTCGCGAACGATCTCGCGATGAACCCCGCGCTTGCACGCGCGAGCGCGTCAACGATAATAACGCGCAGTAACGCTATTAATAGTCCGTCGGTGGATGAACAGTGGCACGGCTGCGGGCAAACTGCACTCGCTCTACGCCACCAGTTCGAATCGGCTTTTTTTTTCTTTCGGTCGACTTCAGTCGCGTTTCGAGCGCATCGATCCGTTTCGCGCCGAGTACGCGTCTCCTATTCAAAGTTCACGGTCGATCGAGGGTCCTCGGGTCGAAAACAAACGATTTGCTTCGCCAGAGAATTCCCATCGACCGGAAAACGCGTTTCGACGCTGGATCCTTTTCTCGGCCGCGCGCGCGTTCGATTCGAGGTTAGGTTCGAGAGCAGCTTTTGGATGCACCGCGACGTATTCGACGTTATTCTCGCAAGATTATCTCTAACAGCAACCGACATATTTTTTAAGCTTTGTTCTGACCCACATGCTGCATCATCGGCTAAACAAATATGATTTTGCATGACTCATAGGCCGAGTCATCGGCCTCGAATGTGTTAACTGCACAGCTGAGCCTCGTTTTTTACACCGCTATTGGTACAACGATTAACTTGGGATAAAAGTTTTCAAAAAAAAAGTAAAGAAAAGATTAAATTATTTTGCGTTTCAATAATTAATGGGATTTTGATAATAAGACTGTATCGAGCATCGAACGTATTAAATTAGATCTTACGTTAAGCGATATTCCTTTAATTTTTTCCTTATTAGAGAAGATAGACGAGAAGATTATTTAACTTTATTACGCAGAATTCGGTTCTCTCGATGACTCGTTAAAAATATTTTTTTTCAATGTTTACAATTAACCAATATCAGAGCGTATTGTCTAACATTATCACCTGAAATATCTCACTTGTTTTTTGATAATACCGAAAAACGTTTCAGATAAGAGTCGAATGGTTTCGAGGAGGACATAATTTGATACGATTAGCTTTTTCGTAAGAGTACTTGTAAAAGATGTACGAAGGTCAAATTTGTTTTCTCAAATGGAATCGTACATTTTGTTTGTCCGTAGACGATATCCGCTTTAAAAACGAATTCAATTACTTGTTATATGAAGTCCATCTTCAAGGCCACCGGTGGTCGTACAAACAAAATTTTCCACGATTTGCTTTTGATTGAAACTAACGACTTAGCTCGTTACAAGCGACGAACAGAAACAAGGACACGTTGGCAAAGAAGCGAAACGTTCCCAACGGTCGAAGATTAAACGGGATAGAGGAAAAGATCCAATTACTGTCACCTAAACGATCGTTTGTTCTATTTATTTACCAGAAACATAATTTTAGGAGTCATTACTGTAAATTTAGCATGCATATCTCAGTATGGAACGTACCAGCTAACGTATCGTGTTTGGTTAGGTATGCCCTTACAACGAGAGTCAAAAATGAATACGCGATATTCACTTTTTCCAAAATAATCGAAATTTATACTCGTCGGTAAATAATGTTACATTTAAATAATAATCATGGCACATTTTGGTATTGCTTTGCTAATTGTAAACGCGAAATATAATTTTTAACGACATCGTGTATACTTTTGACTTTTGAGGTATTCCGTCCGCCGTGCGTCTTGGGCGCCATTCTCTAATGAGTCACTCTGGGTTACTTTAGTTCGTCTTGGTTAACGAGGTTACGGTTAAGGTTAGGAGACGTTTAGAATCATCGCTGAATAAGGATAGAAAGTTCCTCCGACGAAGGGACAACGAAGCTACACGATCGAGCAATGTAATCGATGGAAACGGTGCGTACGATACAGAATACTCCCCCACGAATCCACCGACTTTGAATACCGTCGAAACTTTTCTATCGAGTCGCTCGTTCCGCGAATACTCTTCACGCCCGGTGCATGTATTTTTCTTCCTGTGCGGTATAATGAAGTCATTATTATTATTACTATCGTCATTAGCATAGTTTTGCACCTGTCTATCGCGATCTTTCTCGTTCTTTACTCGTGCCGGTTGTATGTCGGTTCCCGTTGGAAACGTTCCCCGTTTCGAGAGGGTAAAGCGTCGGTACGCTCCAGAGAAATGCACGCGAAGCGTGGCAGCGTGCGCTCGCGCGCCACCGACCGAGCCGAGTTTCGTCGTAAAATAATCGCTCAAGGTCCGCGGTGGCGTTGCACCCGGCCGACAGCAGGGCTGCCAACAACCGCGCACTGTTTACATCGCGCGAGTGTGTCCACGTTCCCCCCTCCCCCCACGCCACCCCCGCCCCCCCGCCTTCCACAACCTCTAACCAACTCAATACCGCCTCCCGTCCTCGTCTTCTCGGTTAGCGGCAACCGTTCGTTCTTTTCTCTTTTTTTTTTTCCTTTCCACAACGATCCGCAGCTAACGACGGTCCGTTCGAAGCTCGTCTTCGAAATGGTCTCCAAGTTTTTAACGCTACGAAGTGTCTTCGAAAGCGTTCGCTCGCGAGAGAAAGAGTCGAGACTCGAGGGTCACGAGATTCTGGCTGCGTCGCGTGCCAAATCACCGTTAAACTGGTTGCGCGCTTCATGGAGCAATTTTTTTCCACGGGTATTTTTACTGGTTCGTCCTTCGTCCCGCATCGAGGATCCACTTCCCTCCCTCACTCCCCCCCCTCCCCCACACAGCCCGCGCCGAGTCTCGTTCGAAGTCATCGCTTCGTCTCCGTCCGAACGCGATCGCGTGACGCAGCGGTGAACGGACCGAGTTTACCTCCGTGGATCCAAAACCGTTTCGGAAATCTCGAATTCGTGGAGCTAAATTTTCCGAACCTGTATCCCCCGTCTCGTGCCTGTTATTTTTAAGCGTTGTTTGTTTCTCGAAAACCGTACCACCTGACAGTGGCACCTCCTCGATAAGTGGCGTTAATGCGTCGCGAATACGTATAAAAATAAATTCGGAATACGACGAGCCCGAACTATCCCGCCTTTGAACAAAATAACCGAACATAGATTTTCCTTGTTGTCGTCCGCGGACAATAACAGCGTTCGCGAATAATTTATTTTTACGGTATTTCTTAATGCCTGATAGATATTATATCTAGAAGCGATAGAGCGATGAGTTCCGTTTGGAATTGTTGTGTCCACGTTCGCAGACATTATCACGAAATTGGTCTTATCTGCGTCGGTTTTTTCTCAAAAACATCCAAGATTAAATTTCTTTTTTCACGATAGATCCGTGTACGTTGTCTCCGGTATTGCACCTTGCACACCTTTCGTCGAATAAAGATTTCGCGGCGCGTATCGACGGACACACGAAACCGTCGTACGTCCTTCGTTCTTTTTCGTTTGGCTAGCGGCGTCCGTGACGCGAACGTTGCGCTGGTCAGTCTCGATGCGAGGCGGTCCGCGATCGTTAGAACCGCGGCCACCGCGTGGATATTCGAAAAGGATCGATGTCGCGTGGAAACGGCGAAACGGCGGCGGACGGATGGCTCGCGGAGCGCGATCGTTCGAGCGCGGAGGTTGCAGCGCGCGGGTAGGGGATGCTGGTGGCTGCATACCACGAGGTAGCGTATAGCTATCGAGGTCAATGGTTAGTCCAAGGTCCTGAGTTCGAATCTCGCGGCTGGGTTCAACGCGACTCGGCATTTCCTCTCGCGAACAACGATCCCCGTTCGTGGAACGCTCGAGGCCGAGAGACTCGCGGGACTCGGCGAACGAGAACCGCGGTCTTTTCGTTTTTTCGCTGGCCGGTTTGGCGGTCGGGACGACGTCAGCCGTTTTGTTCGCGACTCGGGACGCGAGAACCGCGGGGACGAACGAACCGATATTATTATGTTCCGAAGAGAAAAAACTATGCGGGGTACCGCGAAGGGCGACGGAGTGCACGGCACCGCCCACAAGTCCAGGTTACAATGTAAACACAGTCCTCCGCTGGCTCCACCTATGGTCTCCGCGCGCTTAACTTGCACGAGGTTTTTGAAAATGGTACCAACGCGTTCTCCAGGTTCTTCCGGTTAAAACGAATCCAAACACGACGTGTATCAAACTACTTTACGAATCGGTTATGTATTGGTACTATATATGTCGAGTTGGTTAAAGTTGATCGGATTCATACGGTGTTTGGGCTCGTTTTAATCGGGGGGATCCCAGAAACGCGTTGGTGTAGTTTTCGAAAAGGTATGATGCAAAATACGAGAAGTAAAAGTTTCGGCTCGGATCGACCACACAGAACGCCTCTGGAGGGAAAAACGGAGGGAGCAAAGGTCGACGACGGATGACGCGTGAAAAGCACATTCGGTCGACGAATCGCGCGTTTCGACGCGTGCAAACATCATAATCTCGCGATAAGGCCGGGACTGATTTATTTGCCGATAAAAGATTATTGGAAACACGTGTATTACAGGCTGCTGCCAAAACCGGTCGCCGGAGAGAGAGAACGATCTTGCTCGACCGGCACCGCGCGACGAACGCTATGAATCACGCGGACGATTTTAAGTCGGACGTCGTAAACCCAACTCGTTCCTTCGTACTGGGTTCCCATCTTTCCACGCTCGTTTCTTTGTTTCCGCCTGACGCTAAACTTCGCGACCTAACGCGGATCAAACCCGTAGATCGTAACCCATACCTGACGATCCGAGTCTTCCTCGTCGTTCTCCTCGAGCAGATCTTCCAGGAATTCCCATGGTTTCTTTTTCCAGAAACACGGGCCACGTAGATGTCTCACGATAGATTTAAAAACGTAAACACGATGCACTTGGCCATCTGGGAGAAGCGGGAATCGCCTGTATTCGTACGCAACAGGAACCAAACCCATATGTATGTAAAATCTATTATTATATGGATATCGGGAGGATAGAATACGATGAAATGAATAGAAGTGGTCTGGTCGTTTTTAAATATTTTTTAATAAGTTCGATAAAAAAATTATATAAATTGAATACTTGATAACAAGGTAATAAGTATTATAAACAAAGGGCTAGATACAAATGTACAGTCGTTACGTGTATAAAGTTAGTTGTTGGCGCAAGTAAATTCTCCACTATCGTGTATAATGAAAACTTAAACCTACGAGATATAACTCGGACACGTAATCGTTCGCTGCCGAGCAGTAAACTTTGAACGCTTATCTTTCGTTTAGATTGGATGCGCGCGTACGCGCGTGGGGGGGGATGCGTATTCTTTCGCTCGAAACGCTAAGAAAATAATGCGTATCGTGGTCGTAATGCGTGTCAAGCGAGAATCAACGAACGAAATCGAATCGCGTCGAATCGAAAAAACACGCAACCGCGTACGCAAACCTCGCCCCTCTCGTTGGTATCCGTCGTCCAGAGTCGGGGGAATTTTATTCGCGAGCAAAGAATAAGAAAAAAAAAAAACAAAAAATTTTGTTAGATTCGTTCGACGAATAAACATCCACCCCGACCGTGAATTCCATCGATTACGAACGGAACGCACACACGTCCGACTAAATGCATCGTGTAACTACATTCGTGGAAAAATATTGCCCAACGATCGTTTGGCATTTTCTACAAGACTCTTTCGCGTTACAATGTAATATACGTACACATACACATCAACCGTCGATCACCGTTTGAAAAAATAGTGTTATTATATTTCGGATTGAGATCGGTATTTAGCATTATAATCTTTGCGTCCCTTCTTTTCACGCGCGTATCTCGATTGAACCGCTTAGCCGTTTATACTTTTCGGTCGTTGGCATTTACAGATTACACGTATACCGCGTAGTATTGCACTTTGGTGTGTTTCGTTTATTTCTACCTATCGAAAGATTACGAATGCACGATTATCTCTGGCTCGTGACTTTTCGGCTCCTCGACCCGCAAAACACTCTAATAATCTCTCTCTCTCTCTCTTTTACGCCCCGTTGAAAAGCCACGCGGCACCAGAGGCACATTCGGATACTTGAGCAGCAGGAATTTAGTCGGAAACTCGTTGGCGAATGGGTCTCCTTTCCGGTCGCGGTCCCTAAATGCTGATCCGATTGGAATTCGGGGCAATATTCGCAGGAGTCTCTCGTTGCTCGAACGATTAAAGCGCGACGCATTTTATTTTTCCCCATATGCTCTCCTCTCTACGCGAAAACCTCTCTCTCTCTCTCTCTTCATCTTCCATTTACGGGTTTTGTTTCGACGTGAGCTCGACTCTTCCGAATAATCCCGGAAATCGATCCATCGTCGGGCATCCTTCGATCAAAAAATATTCACAGCCTATAAGTCGTAAGGAGGAGGGGGGAGGGGGTGGGGGAGAAGGGGGTTTCCTACTTTGGTTCTACGTGTTTGTTCGTCACGACGAGACACGGATTTACCTCGTCTCGTCGAAAGTATTGTCGCGTTCGTGCTGCCGTTACTCGAGATATACAATTCTCGGTTGTCAATTTTTTTTTTTACTCGCGGTCGAGCTCGTAAATTCGCCCGTCCTTTACTTCCGGTTCCTCGTTCGCCGATTCGAGCAACTACCCAAGAACTGTTCCGTTACTGTTCGAAAGCTTTTTGGCCGTCGACACGGTGAGCAAAACCATGGGCGATCATCGTGGGACGAGGCTGAGCTTGAACCCCGTCCGTTTGGCAGTTGAACGCGTTTTTGGGCTAACGATAAGTAGGAGAACGGTCGGAACGAAAGAACGACAGCGACTCGAAGAGTTTAATTGGCAGTGTGCGCGACGCACCGTATGGCTTCTCGAACCAGGGACAGGGACGAAATTTTCATCGAAACAAAAAACTTTAGTCCGTCCTTGGTTCTTTTCTTTTTTACCGTGTCGACGAAAGCACTCTAGGGAGGGGGAAGAAAAAGGGGGAGGGCGGGTGGAACGTCGCGAAAAAGATTTTGTAGCTTGGCGAAGAAACGAAATTGACACCGCGTCGTCGCACAGGCAAACGTTATACGTTACGAATAAGCGCTAGTTTAAAGGTAAAGGGAATATGAGATCAAACGTTTGATATATTCGAAGACGTTCGTTCCAGCGTTCGTCGTGCGAAAGAGAAAGAGATCGTGGCGATCCAGCGGAACGAGCACGAAAACGGAAACGCGTCGTCGCTTGCATCGATAACTCGTTGTTGTTCTCCATGGATCGACACGCGATCGAGGGACCGAAATAAGCATAGTTTTTTCGGTCTCGATCCGCGCGTTTATCGTTCCCTTTCCGTTTTCTGCTCGGTTCGTCGGTTACGCTTTTACCTTCGTCCATCACCGACACGGCATTTCCCCGCTTACGAGCAACGAACAAGCAACACGGTTGAATTTTTCGAATAATCTTTACCATCGCTACGGTTATTGCGTAGAAATCCCCTTGATAACAAGTTCGATAAAAAAAGCATTGTTTTTGTCACTTTCGATAAACTATGTGCATTAAATTTATCTGCGTCGACCGACACACCGATCGTTATTTCGTACGCGATAATGCGAAACGTAATCGCAAATAAATAAAGATAGCGTCCCCGACAAAAGTTCAAATGTGAAATCGGTATATAGATTCTGGCGATTGAGTCGTCAAAATGTTATAAACAATTCTGTTTGATTTCGAGTTACGCTGCACAGTGGGATTAAAAATATTGAAACGGTGGCCAAAAGTCGCGTGTGCAAGTCAACGTTGTAACAAAAAAATTTCGCAAAAATGAAAGTTATTCGCAAGGACTGTATACAAATATACGTTTCTTTTGTATACAAATTACCGTTTACTCGTTCTCTTATAATTCACTGCCTATGGAGGCGACAGTGATGACTCATTGTATTCCAAACGCAGCGTACTTTATAGTCCACGCGCGCCATTTTACGGATTTTCAAATATCGAACAACAACGATAGGATTTATACCGCGTATTTCGATCAACTGCGAAAACGAATATGAAAAAAATAATACCTTCCAGTCGGCGATTACGAAATTCGAAACGACTGATCCAACATGGCAGATCGGAAAATAAAAATATTAATATCGTACTAAAGGTTCTTCCCCTATTAATAATAATAACAAAACTTAAAATATTACCATGTTGATATCGAATTTCGTAATCATCGACCTCGAGCAACCCGAGAGAAATTTATTACGAATCATGCATTTTCTTACTCTTGGCCACTCTCTCATGTAACTGGGCCCACTGTGCATAGCCTGGCACCCGTGGTCGAACAGTTGGACAATGGCGTTTCGTTCCTTAACAATTTAAATATAAAGTAAACTATCAGTTTTATCAAAAAAAGTAAAAAGATATTTGCCCCCCCTTCCCAACGAAATGCTCTACTTCTCATATCACAATGTAGGCAACAAAAATAATACTCGGAATTTTCGATCGTGTCAAAAAAATATGTCCGTAAACCGGGGCGATTCACTTTGTCCGAGAAATCGACATTCGCGTATCTATCATCGTGTTCCCGTTCTATTTTTAATTACAAATTGCAATTGGTAACATTCTCGCGACGACGGATACGACGATAAATAGAAAAATGTAAATTTCACCAAACCGAACGAAACGGGGGGGAAAAAATATAGTTCGATGCATACGAAAAAAAGAAGTACCATCCCCCGGATGTAACACCGTTTCCGTTGCAAGCGAGCGGGGAACACCGTATTTCGTCGCGAGCAAAGATGCCAAAAGATTCAACGAGGTCCCGATAGTCTTCGTCGCTACGCGGAGGGTTTTTTTTTTTTTTTGTTTAAATGTATTATATATATATACTATATAAATGTGTGTATGTATGTATATGTATATATTACTACACATGCATCTACCGATATACACATCGAAGAACGAATCGTCGAGTCCCCCGAATTCCGCCGCTACACCGCCACTGAGGGGGCCCTCCCCCTGTTTACCTCTCGATCGCAACGATCCTCGTGGGTTAACATTTGCCGCTGAGTAAAAAAAGTATCCTAATCCTAATATGCTACAATAGATGTACAAAAAGGCTCGTATCGATGCGCGAGTCGACGACAGTGGGTTTTACGAAGACTCACGGGGGGGCCTGGGGGGGTTAACGAGCAACAAGAAGAGTTTCCATCTCAGAATTGATTCGCGCGACGCGACCAAAGCAAAGAAATAGACTCTCGATCTGAAATTGGTAAATAGAAATCAACTTTCCTACGAAGCGTTTAAAAAATAATGAACCCCCAACGGAGGATCGCGTAAATCTTGAAATAATTATTAGTTTAAACTTGCAGACGGCCTCGATAATCGCTTTGGTCGCCTCGCGAATTGACTCCGCCGAGGAGAAACACGCGTGTCTATGTGGCTCGTTCTCTTTAAAAGCTGACCCAGTCGTTCCCGACCCCGATGGTGGACAGCATGTCCGTGACATCGGGCGTGCAGGAGAACTCAAAGTGCGATCCGCTGCTGGAGCTGGCGGTCTCGAAGGTGTCCAGGTCGGTGGTGATCGTTTCCATGTCCAGATCGATCTTGAAATCGGACGGTTGTATTTGCAAGAGGTCCGTGAGGGAGTAGAGGTCCGCGAGGCTGGGGTTGTTCGCGGATTCCTCGAGCTTGACGATCGCGGCGGCGGCGGCCGCGATGGAGGCGGCGTCGTTGCTGGACACGACGTTGGACAGAGCGTCGGTCCTCGTCGTCGGCGTGTTCGTCGATACCAGGGCCGAGGACGCGATCGAGGAGACGGTGGGGATCGTGGTGGTGGCTGTCGAGAGGGACGCGGAGCTCGATGATGCACGGTCCGAGTCGTTGAGCGCCGCCGGCGACATCGCTTCCGACTCCGCGTCCATTTCGGTGTCCACGTCGGCCGGCTCCTCCTTCACCATGAAACTCGATCGTCGTTCGAGGTGACACGACGTCCGAGCGCGGAAACTCCTCTCCGAAATCAGACCCATGTCTTCGACGGACGCGGGAAAGGTAACGGTAGCGTTAGTGGCGAGGCTCGAGCCAACGGGACCGACCGAGGACAAGAGCCGGTCCTTTGGTTCGAAGGTCGTCTCGTAGTCCATCTCCAAGTTGGCTTCTCGCTTGATCTTGCCGCTGCTCATTGTTACGGACGATGAGGTGGAGGAGGAGGTGGAGGAGGAGGTGGAAGAGGAGGTGGAAGAGGAGGAGGAGGAGGAGGAAGTGGTGGCGGTGGCTGCCGCGGGCAACCTCACGGACGAGCCGCATTCGAGGAAATTGTCCTCGTAAAAACTGGCGGATTCCGGGGAATCCGGCGTAACGCAGGAAGGACTGCTGGGTATCTTGGCGGTGACGATCGGCGGGGCGGGAGTGTAATCGAGCGGTGGTCGCTTGTCGAGCGCCAGTCTGACCTTGAGTCGCGAGACTGGCTTGCTACTGCTTGACTGAGGCTGCAATCGCTTCACCGTTCCGCCGACCACGCCGATGCTCGTTTGCATATTGTTGTTCGTGTCGTTTCGCGACTGACCCTTCGCCGATCCTGGACCGACGGTTCCCACCGACGTCGACGATTTCCTCGGCTTCTTGCCGCCGTCTTTCGCCTTCGGACTCGCGGACGCGGTCGGCTTCGAGGTCTTTTTCCTCGGCCGGTACTTGTAATCGGGATACTCCATCATGTGCAATTGCCTGAGTCTCTCTGCCTCCTCGATGAACGGTCTCCTCTCCGCCTCGTCCAGCGTCTTCCACCGTCTACCCAGACGCTTGCTGATCTCCGCGTTGTGCATGTCCGGCTGGATCTCGCATATTTTTCTACGCTCGATCTGCGACCACACCATAAACGCGTTCATTGGCCTCTTTATGTGGTTCGGGTTGTTCTTCTTCGTCTGAAACAGAACAAACCAAACCATCGAATCATCGTTGTTCAATCATTTTTTTCGGCCAGTACGACAACAGGGCACGGGTTACCTTTCCACGATTCACGAAAAACTTTAATAGGAGATTCCAGAGGGCAAAATAAGACGAAAATCAAGAATACCAATTTGTCGATCGAGGCTTCGTTAAAAAGTTATCAACGTTTAAATTTTCGCCTGTAGAACGGCAATCTGTGCGCGCACACTATCGAAACTTTAAACGTAAATAACTTTCTAACGAAGCCTCGATCAACAAATCGGTATTCTTGATTTTCGTCTTATGTTGCCCTCTACAATCTCCTCATAAGATATTTGAAAATCAACAAATTGGTACTCTTGAAATTTTGTCCAGACGTGGCCCGACCACCCTGTATAAAGAGACGCGTCCTCGCCCTTGCGCGATAAGAAATAACACGAGAGAGTTTCGATGATCGAGCACGAAAGAAGAGGGAGGGAGAGAGAGAGAGAGAGAACGCGTGCACGCGCATAAAGTTATTGCGCCGAGAGCGATTGCAATTTGCGTTGCTTATTAGACGGCGGTATGCGTCGAGATGCAGATAGCACGCACCGAACGCTCGCGCGCTCTACCCATTATACTTTTAGATATCGTCGATTACTCGACACGCACTCGAGTGGAAATCGAAAGGCTGGATGTAGGTTACGAAGGTGCGACGACGGCGACGACCATCTGGAACGCGTGGCGAGACGCTCGATCGACGTCGAGAACGAATCGCCCCTGGAAACCCGTCGAGCTCGTTCGTCTTCCCAACGGCGATCCGACCAGCTAGTTTTCGTTCCCAACGATCTATTCGACCTTGATAGCCGTTGAACGTTCTCGCGGGACGCTATCGATCATCGTTTCCGTTCGATAAACTCGAAAAGCAAAATTCAATTTTCCAACTTTGATATTTAGACAGAATTATTCCCATCAAAATGTAAACAGTATTGTAGGAATTATTTGTACCAAATCCCTCGTGGATGGGTATCGAGGCACGAATTAATTATTTAGAAATAATTAGCCAAATAATTCTCTCTCTCTCTCACTACTCGCTGGGCGACTTTTTTGCAACTTCTCATTTATTTTCTTTCGCTCGTCCATTCCCACGTTATATCGTTATCTAAGCAAATAGGCGTATTTTAGTAATTTGTACGTTAGTATCATCATTCTGACCGTCACCGATCGACGGATATTTCTTTCTCGATTCGCAGCTGCGACTTCCTACCAGCTTCGACGCAACCCTCGTATCCGCTTCCACCGTCCCTCGTCTTTATTCCGACGCAGCCTTTGACCCCCTCGTTTTTCTCCGGTCGTTTGAATAACCGCCGTATTTTTTTTTTTAAACACCTAATATCGGTTTTTATTTACGGTCGCGGATCGCGTGCGAACGAAAGTCTGAGAAAATAAACCGAACAAGAGGAAAGGTGGTAGGAGAGAAAACGCGGCTCGACGCGGCAACGGTTCTCCCTCTCTTTGGCGAAGTTTCCACGGCCAAACGATCAGCTGACGATGTGTGCTCGTCAACCGTTCCTGTCGCGAATCCAGCAATACGTCGCGTTCCGACCGTGGAATGCGCAACTCCGTCGTCAAGGACAGCAATACCGGACAACGAGAACAATGCGATTCATACTGATGCAGAATCGCGCGTAAACCGTAAACCGTAAACGTCTTTCCCCGTTTTGGTCGTTCGAGATCGGAGACATTTCATTCGAATAACAGTCGAAAGCAACGTAAATGGAGACACCCGTAAAAACGAACGTGCGACGATTTTATTCCAATGTTTATTCGATCGAACAGTTATGGAAACAACTTTTTCCTCGTCCAGTACGAGATATAATATCGTTACGAGTTTCAGACAACCGGTGACGGAATAAAAACTTGTTTATCTCTTTTTCGTCTCTCGAGGCTTTTATCTGGGCGAAGATTTTGCCCGTCTCCGTTCGAAACGTAACGAGCGTCGTACTTTATAATACATTTTGCGCTCTGTACCAACGCTTCCTGTTTAAAGTTTGTATCCGGTCGGTATGTTGGGTTGCAAATGATAGTTTTTGTTGTTGGGATAACGAACGTCTGTCCGGGGGTTACCAACGCTGAAAGATTTATGCGTTTAAACGGCTCTCTAATTACCAATTCGTCAGAGACAGGAACATTTATATTTTTAATCGTTTATAACCATAGCGGTGCAACGTATTCCTTGCGTCGACCAGGAATAATTATGTGTTTAGTTTTTCGAGATAGATCGATTAGATCGCGAGAGATAATGGCGATCGAAGAGTCGCAAAGTCTGCTTAATTGCTTTTACAATATCTTAATATCTTTACGATAAGAATAATCGAAGCTACAATTTTTGTATGAAGAAAAGTATTTTTCTTCGAAACATCGACAGACTTATTATCGTTTAACCGTCATTTTAAATCACCGGAAGGGTCAATATATTTAAATACATTTAATATCGTTTCATGGCTGTTTATTCACATTTGAAAAATTACATCGAATGAACCAGACATCTTTCAACGTGGTAATCGATAGCTATCGTTTGTTTTGATGATCGCTAATTGGACGCGAACTTTGCACAGAGTGATTTTCACCCGCGTTCGGTGTCATCCCTCGAGTGTAACAGGCACGAAACGAAGCACCGCGTCGATTCACCGACTAGAAAGCGCGCATTGCTCGGAAAACGACTGAAATCGAACGGCGTTCGTTGCGAAAAAACGCGTTTCGTTCGACCTTCGTGCAGCGAGAGCAACTTACCGTTACGATTCCAACGGTCTGACACCTCGCGAGAACCGAACGATCGCTAAAAATTAGACGATGCTCGTTCGAAACGTTCCTCGCGAAATCAAAGACAAAGTTCGATCCGGTTCAAAGAGACACCAACGATCGGAGAGAAGATAATAATTCGATGGTTCGACATCTTTTCAACGAACCTCTTCTTGCTTAAAGATTTTATATACGAGTATTTTCGTTTTCCGTTTTTTTTTCACTTTTAAAATTTATTTCCGTTGCGAACATTTACAGGTACTCGAGAGAACCATAAACCGACGGTCGTAGCGTTTATCGTAGAATGAACTATGCTCGTTTATGGCACAATTAGCTATATTGTTTTTATTCCCTCGGGGAACGATACTTATATAGTTTAAGGAAACTCGGTTTACGACAGTTTCGTTTCGTGGCGATAAAATGCCTTCTCGAGTCGGTCAACGAGATTGCGCGGAAACACGGTGCGCGTCGGACGAGCGGTTCGACGGTCTCGAGACGATTAAAAAGAGAAGACCGTGGTTTTTCGTGAAGCAAATATTATCGAGAACCACGGGGAAAAGTTTCGATCGCCGGGGGGGAGGAAAAAAGGTGACGTCGACCGGCGGAAGAACGCGGGAGAAAAAAAGGCTCGAGAAGAACGTAAACGAAAGTCGAAACAGCCAAGAATAACGGACCAAGGGCAAAAATAATCTCTTCTTCCGTTCGACGGCGTTTCATCGTTACGAAAATAAACAGGTCGGCGAAGGCATGGCTTCGTAAAGCGTCTATCGGGGATGCGCGAGCGCGAGCTGCGTTTCTCACAGTCGAGGACACGCACCTTTCGCGAACGACGCGTATTTTCGTATATGGCGAACAGAGGAAAAATACTAAAACGTGTTAACGATGTTTGCGTTTCGCGCGATTTCTGCAGCCACGCGCGCAACTGTGTCCACGGAACTGTTTTCCGTCTGGGCGATGCATCGTAGGTGTCGCGTCGTTGTTCGACCACGTCGACGGCGGTGGCGTTGTCGTCTCGAAGAAACGAGACGGGACGAAGTTCTGGTACACTCGAGGGGACCGTTCTCAATCGTGTTTACCATAAACAGAGACAGGAAAGAATTTTAAATTTCGAACGTGTAAAAAAGAGAGACGAAGACGCCAAAAAATATTCGTGCGTTCAAGTCACCATCGTCGCACTTTTCATACGCGGAACGACCAGCGTAGCGTACTCGTGTTCGTGTTCGCAGAGTAGGCCTTTCTAGTCGAAGGTCGAAGGAAAGGGACGAAATATCGTTAAAATAATCGAGCGCGCCGTTCGACGCGAAAAATACAATTTACCTGGGTGGCATCCGAGTACGGGGTAGCTGAATTTTTATCCACGAGCAACGATCCAAACATAGGTATTCCCGAACTCGAGGGACTGTCCTGCTGCTGCGGCACCATTTTTGGGCCCAGGTTTGCGGGAAATTCCTCGCCACCTCACTTTTAACGATCGTACAACACTGACACTTTTTGACGAATCCCGCGGACTTTCGGGGGGAATCGATTCTTCTCGCGTGCCTCGATCCTCGACGATCGAGATCGCGTTCTCGCGAAGCAATATCCTCCACGAATCCGGTATTACTCGACGAGATTGTATTTTCCAATCGTTTCTCGCTTCTTCTTCTTCTCTCCACTATCCCCCTTTTTTTTTTGCCTGTCGGGTGCTATTTGTTTCCGTTAGCGTCCTCAATGTTCCCGCGCCCCGTCGATAGAGCGGGGGGAAAAAAGAACCGAAGGAAGCGTAAAAGGATGGCAGTGGCAGTAGATCATCGACCGCGATAACAACAACGGTACGGCATTGACAGTCGCGACGTACGCGAGCACGCGATCGAGCACGCTCTTCGTAGAGTCGCGCAATCCACGGCGAAACGCGGCCACGCTCAGTTTGTTCTTTATCTTTTCTTTTCTTTTCTTTTCTTTCTCGATCGAAGCAACGACGAAGGAACGCGGCGTGCGTCTCGAAACGAGATTGCCTTCTGTGCTTCCGACAGAGAGAACGCGGGCGCGCGCGCACGCACTTTTACTTCACGCAGCGAACACGACGTCGCGCGGTAGGCGTGCGGAAAAACTAAATCGCTAGAAGCGTACGGCGGGCCTGACCTCGTCTATGCGTGTGTGTATTTTTTTATCGCGTGCACACGAGACTCTCAAGATCCGACACGATCTGATCGTCGACAACGGGATGACATTATCGGTCGACGACGTAACGACGCACGCCCGACGAGCGCTCATTCGCAACTAACTCGCCCTCTCGCTAGACCGCTACCTCTATACTGCCGCTCAGCTGAGACACCACGCATCCCCACTATCTCGCGTAAACACGCTGACCCGCTAGCCAATCGCGCCGCGGCTACTCTTTCGTCCCTCTTTAACCCTGAAAGCTTCGACGTTGTTGCTCTCTTTTCTCTTCCTCCTTCGGTCGCCCCTCTTACACGCTCCGGGTAAGTACGCTCGTTTATGCCTATGTTTATTTTATATTATATACTTACAAGGAGAGTGCAAGACCTTCGGGTCACCGATTTAACCGTAACTTCGTGCGTTGCTACATCTCGACACCCCCGCTTGCAAAAATGCAACATCCTAGGCGCGGAAACTCGACATTTTTTCGGTGTTATTCCCGATCAAAGCTTTCAAAGCCCATCTCAGGTTCTTAAAACGAACCATGGACGAGGATTGCCTTTAAACCTAACCTCGTTACTTTTTTCACGCTGCTACTTTGGCTACTATAGCCTTAAAATCGCATCACTGATCAGACGCTGGCGGTATCAAACTGGAATGTTTTCTCCCGAGGCTGCTGCAGTCGTTCAAGGTCACATTTAGCTTGCCCCCTCCTCGTCCCCTCTGTTCCCCCCGGTCGACCATACGCTCCCTTTCCGCTCCGCTATCACCGTTAAATTGCAACGTAGACGACATTGGGATCCGTAGCCCCGTATCTCGATCCAACGATGGATTTTATCGTTTCCGCGATCGTCTGCACGATAATCCCAATCGCAATCTGTTGCCCGCGGCGTTATCGAAACGGCTTGTTTTTCGATGAATAATTTCGCAGACGATCGACGCCGATCGATCGATCTTCGTCGCGGAAAACTCGCATACGATTAAGATTTCCGGTCCCGGTATCGCGAACTGTCTGGTCAAACTTTGTCGCGCGGGAAAACAATGGAAATTGACTTTGCTACACTTCCTCGACGAAAGCTCCCGGGCGCGTTGCTCGTGGCCGCGCGGCGACATCGCGAACCGTCGCGATCGCCACGGTCAGCGAAATCGGTTTACCTATCCTCCGTTTCTCAAGGACTGCCGCGCGATGGAGCAAAATGGAATCGAGCCAGAGACGACGGTGTAAACGTTGCACGCGATCGGTGGGAGCGGCTGTCGCCACTTAACCGGATGCTACCTGCAACACGAGAATACTAAACGCTCGTCGTCGATGTATTTACAAGAAGAGTATTTCCGACGACGCAATCGTTACACGCCCCGGGACGTAACCCGACGGCTGGACGAGTCCTGGCTAGAGAAACGTTCGCGATTACGATTTTCGAACGCTTCGATCCCGATATACAAGGCGGGGTGACAATTTCTGTAAAGGACAAAGCCTTTTTTGTCGTTCGTCGTTGGCAAAAGATAAAGGCTCGACGATAAGGTCGCGTGTAAATATCAGTCGGTGTCGAATTTCGTCTCCGTTGTATCGAGCCGCTTAAGAATCATTACCGTGGCGTACGATAGGGGGTGGAATCGTGGCAACCGACCGGATCGGACGATAAAGTTTACATCGCGTATCGGCGATTCGATTCGCGGGGCCCTGTCCTCGGTGCTGCGAACAACGCGGACGTTCCTAGAGGGAGGGGGGGGGTTTAAAAATTGGTCGCCCACTCGTTGCAACTAGCGATAGGTTGCGAAACGACCGGTTGGCGCGCGTGCGCGCTCCGGGTCTACGACTATCGCGGAACACCGCTGCGGAACACCCGCGCTGCATTTCACCCGTCTGAGTCAGCGTATCGCGCGAGTCGCACGAATCGTTGCGCAATTCCCGTGCGCTCTCCGGAACGAACAGGGGGCCGTGCAGACGCGTACCGAGCCTCGACTCTCCCAGTCTCGAGACTCTCTCCTCCGGCGAAACTCTCACCGAGGCTCTCCCGACGCCTTCGAACCCTTCGGAATCGGCTGTTTCTGCCCACAAACTTGCCACCTTTTCGTCAAAAAAACACATACGTACCACCTTTCGACGTGCCCGCGCTGGCGCCGCTCCTTTTCACTCTACTTACCACCGTACCACGTACAGGGTGGCGTGGAAACAGAATCTCGAACTATTGGAAAAAGTAGGGCTATGAGACGTGTAAACGACAATAATTACTGGTAGAATGTACTTTTTATTAACCCCTCAACGCTCATATTTTTCGGGTTAATTAAGAATAATCAGTTTCCTTTATTGGATTTGTTTCTAAAAATGTGGTTTTTGTTAATTACAATGTTGTATCCAACGTATAATTTGAAGGAAAACAAATATTATCATCCCTTAAACCATTAGATTAAACAAATATTGTTTTTCAAAGCAGTCAGACTCGGGCATGAACGTTAAGGGGTTAAATGATACGTAAAAGGTTCTGATCTCTGAGAGATCCGTTACAAGACTGTGACTTCACCCGCGGTAGAAAGGCGAGAGTGAAGTGCAGTTCGCCCTAGCGACGAACTCTTATCTTTCTATAATAAACACCATGAGTTCGTAGAACCCATGGCCAAAACTTCAGACATATACAATCGTTACTCGGAGATGATTTTTGTAGCAACGTGAGACGGTTAGGAAATCCAACACGAACGATTCTCGACGATCGAAACGTTCAGGTTTGCTTGGAGATCCAGGTCTTGGGACTCTTTTTTAACACCCTGTATGCACACTAACCGATGGTAACCGAACCGCAGCGGACACGCTTCCCGTTCGAGTTGGCCAGAGGGAACTCTCTCTCGTAATGCAAATTTCGTAACGACGCACACTAATTTTACGAATTCACACGTGGACAAAATGGAAGTGTCGATGTTCCGGATCATTCGTATCCTTGAACTACGTAGGCATTGTGTACGTCTGGCTTCGATAAACTCGATAAGATTATGGTAGCAATGGATCGATACTCAGGTTACGATATTGTTGTGATCGAAGTTATAGTAATTTCGCTGGAATGTCGACTGGAACGATCGATTTTTATCTACATGGTGTTTGGTAGCATGCGGCTACTTAATTCACCGATGTGCAGGGAGCGTAAGAACAAGGGAAGAGGTTCGGATAAAAACGTGGCCTATTTAACATTATCTTCGAGTCGCGACCATTTTCGTGGTTCACACAAATGTCTACACCCTTATAGGCAGCGTGCTCGAAATGGCCACCTTCCAGCCGTGTTTGCCTTTCAAAACTTCCAGATGTTTGTTGGATCCGTTGGCAACTTTGTTGCGAGGTTAGCGAAGTATTTCGACACTGTTGGCGAGGAAATGATCGAAACAAAAATTCAGTGGTAATATTTCACCTTTCACAGAAAACGCTAAGGGTATTAATTATTAATTATTCGTTCCTTGGAATCGATTCCTTTCTGTTGCGCGTCGAGCAGCTTTGCTGATACGGTGCAGCAAGGAAATCCGCGGAGAATTTGCTCTCTATACCCGCGATAAAAGTTATCTTCCCAACGAATTAGCTCCGCTAACGTTGCGATTCGGTTTCTGTCTTGGAAATATTGTTTGTATCGCGTTTGATAGGCCGCCCGACATCTCTTATCGAGGCAAGTCGATACATCCACGCAAGGTTTCGTCGCTCTCTCGGACCTTCTTTTTGCGTTGCGTTTCGCTTCTCGGTTATATTTACGCGATAAAAATACGCTATTGCAGATACCGTGGCAATTTTAATTCGCACAACGAAGGAACGATACGGGCGAAGTCACAGAACTCATAAATATCATTTCATTATTTATTTATTCCAACAGGCCACATTTATGCAACGTTCGATACATTAGGTATTTAACGTTAAGTAGATAATACACATACATAGTGCGGATATATAGGATCGAATCTTGCGTTTTAAATTTAAATCCAGCGCACTGTAACGAATAGAAATAATTTTGGGCCAGCCAGGATCGATGAGAAATGGCTGGCGTTGGGTCCGGTCGCGGTTTTGCGCCGCGAGGATCGGTAAGGACGTTCGAAAAATCTGCCGGGACGATGTTCGCCGTTCCGTGAGAACCTTACGAAAAACGATCCGACCTCGAAGGTTTCCAAGAGCCCCGCGCTCGTACATTCTCCTCTGGCTGTGTTGGCGCGCGCGCGAAGTATGGCCTCCCGAACACAGGCCCACCGGTATTGGCCGGTATCGGTTAGGCTCCTAGCGACGAAAGCCGCCTTCGTACGGGCCACGCAACGCGAGACGTTGCTCGGAGGAAGGATGTGGTCGAACCGAGAAACAGAAGCAGGTGTTTTCTTCCGTTCTCCGATCCGTTTTGCTCAACCGTCGACACGCGAGAATCCCCAGGCGGATATTCCATGAACAAACTCTCGATACATCGACGTTAACTTCCATTCTTCGAGATGTTCTCGAGCAATAGTTGCTGGAGACTCGCTGTGGTTCAGATGGAAAGATGGAAAGAAAGTCGAGTGCTTGCGAGAGAAACAGTCCCTCTAGCGGCGAGCACGGGAACCGATCGTGGACCCCGAAAGCACTAAAATTCTCTTCCAACCAGCGTGTATTCGCTTTGGTTCTTTACTTACCTAGCTACTTTACCTACCCACCTACCTACTACCCACTTAGCTACCAGCCTACCGTTCCGACTACCTGCCCGTCTGCCCACAGCCGTCTTCGCTATCCATCCATCGTGGCCTTCTCGTTTCGTTTCGCGCCGGAGATCGAATATCTATTTATTAACACTTTGGCTGCCACATCACATATATGGGCGACAACACTTTCCCACTATGGAACTAAAACAATTCATTCTGAAATTGAAATTTGAAATGTTAAATAAACTTGTATAGGAGGAAGTTCAACGTGGTTACGAAAATATAAATACGGAAGACAAATTTTAAGTTATGCAGTTTACAATTATTTCAAATCGAAGTTTCGATCTTGTAGAAAATTGTACGGTTTTGGTGTGGCAGTCGACGTGTTAAAGACCCCCAGTTACCCTCCTACGAAACAATCGAGCCAGCAATCCGCTAAAAAAGAAAGCATAAGTTATGCAGTTTACAATTATTTAAAATCGAAGTTTCGATCTCGTAGAAAATTGTACGGTTTTGGTGTGGCAGTCAACGTGTTAAAGACCCCCAGTTTTACCCTCCTACGAAACAATCGCGACAGCAATCCGCTAAAAAAGAAAGCGTAAGGCTTGTTTCAATATGATACGGAATAAATGGACTGGACTTCCGACTCGAGACGAATAAATAAAAGATCGTTATCGTGTTCGTGAATCCCGGGCGGCGCAATTTTCGTGCAAAGTCTGTGTGGACGGCGAAGAAATAACCGGATACGTAAAATCATTGTCCCTCGGCTCCTCCACCGTGACGGAACACGCGTCTCGCCGTGGCGATTGCAAATTGTCCCGGAATCCATCTCTCGCGATGCCCGTGCCGCGAATCGAGAGTCGAACGCGTCAGGATCGGTAACCTTTTTCGCGCCGTGGAAACGGAAAGAGGGCTGGGAAGCTCGCACCTTTCGATCGCGCACCACCTCCAGCGCGAAACGTTCAACTGGTGCACGCGCGCGTGCGCGTACACACCGACGACAGGTGAAGTACACAGCTGCTGGACAGCTGGACCGATATCCGTTTCCAGGTACATTCCATCGGCCGGTTAAACGATAAGTGTGCGATCGCGGGCATACGTAATGCCCGTTCGGTATCGACACGCGTGAAAAATCGATTCGAATTTCCCTGGATTCATCGAGGAAAACAGCCCCCGATGCAAAATGTCTCTAATTTTTTACTTTGCGGTTCAGTCAATTTCCCATTACTTTGATGTTATTCGCGAAGGGTACTACGTGTATAACGTGGTTTTCGAAGGTCGAAACACCTGTTCGCGATCGCGGGCATACGTAATGCTTGTTCGGTATCGAAACACGTAACAAATCGATTCGATTTTCCCTGGATTCATCGAAGAAAACAGCCCCCGATGCAAAATGTCTCTAATTTTTGACTTTGCGGTCCACTCGATTTCCGATTACTTTGGTATCGTTCGCGAAGGGTACTACGCGTTCGACGTGGTTTTCGAAGGTCGAAACACCTGTTCGCGTTCGCACCTTTCTCGTATCCAGGACGATCATTCACGAGAATATCGAAGACAAGAGGGATTTCCTCGCGACGAGGCACAGGAAGCCGGATGGAAAGTACATTTTATTGGTTTGTCCGAAAGATCGGACAGGTGCAGAACGACGGGCACACCTGCGGGAATAACCGTACATCGGTTCTACTGTTACGCGTTGCCTCGCCTTGAGCCGTCTTTGAGACGCTACAAACCGAACAAAACCTTCGAAATACGCGGCTATGTACCTGAGAGCCCCCGGGGTCTTCCAACGAAGCATCGTCGACGAGTGATTGTCGTTCGTCCGTGAGTTTCGCGCGGATTTCCCTAATTGTCCGAGCGTTTCGACCCGCGATCTTCCAGACAGTTTCCGTTCGATCGTTGATCTTGAACCTTCGCTCGCCCGTATCGCGGGAGGCTCGCGACGCAACCAGGCTCGATGAATCGATGTACCGTCGATACGTACGCGAGTGCGGGCTCTGGCTGCGGGTACCACGATACAGATGAAATCCTTCCTTTTTTTTTTCGCGTTAAACGGCGTACTCGTCGACAAGGATTCGCCAAACAAAAAGGTATCTCCTTTCTCGGAGGCTCCTTTTCAGTGGACACTTTTCTAAACGTGGAATTTTCCAACGCGTCGACTACCCATGGCGATCACTGGCGAGCAACGCTCGAAAACTTACAACGTGTTTTAAAATCGTTTATGACGAAAGAACTTTGCAAATGACACCGATGAATATTTTTATTTATCGCATTGTTATTTGAATAAACGTCAAGGACATCTCTGACTATGGTGAACTGACGTGGCAGTCGACGTGTTAACAATACGTAACAACAAGATAATATAAAAAATACAGGGACTTCGAGAGTGAAAGATCGTAACTTGCATCGACCGGAAAATTTTTCGGCAAAAAAGAAAAATTTTCAAGTCGTTCTGGAAAAATTATTTTTGGTTGTGGCGATCAATTGCAATCATTTTTGGTGAATAGACGTACCCCCGAAATCTTACCCACTTTCTAGAAAAAAATTCGAGAAGGTGTGAAATTTTTCGATGGAAAAAAAAATTTCAAATCGTTCTGGAAAAATTATTTTCGGTTGCAGGGGTCAATTACAATCATTTTTGGTGAATACATATACCCCCGAAATTCTACGCATTTTCGAGAAAAAAATTCTTTTCCGAAAATATAATGTGAGGTTAGAAATGTTTCCCCGAAATTAACAAATCACAACTTCTGGACGGATCCGGAGTATTTTAATGTTTTAATTTCGAGTTTCGGGGGTTCTTTGCACCATCTCGTGTCGGTTCTGTACGGTCTATTCATTTCTCTGCAATCGATACGCGTGTGCGTTTCCTCGAAGAAGTGCATTGTTTACTTTCTGTTGGTAATTTCGTCGGATTAAAAATATCTTTCCTCGACCATTCGTAGATCTTCGACCACAGACCAGATATACGAGTAGACCTTTTTACGCAATGTATTTTTTCGGCCCATTTGTATGGGGCTCTAGAGCCCCGTTACCATTGCCATGTCACTTGCAACGTTACCAACAGATTCAGAAATAAACACCAGAGGAAACGAGACAGAAAATGAAATTACAGAAATTTTAGTATGTTTTAACGGCCCAGAATTGAGCATCAATCGATTAATTTCATTGGAGTAACCAATCGACTAAAATTATTTAAAGATTTCAAGATTATTAACACTTTACCGACCGGTAGCGGTTGATTAATCGGCTATCGGTCGGTAAACGTCGACCGATAAAACAGTTGATTAATAGGCTATCGGTCGGTAATGTGTTAACACACAGACGAGGTGACTGCCTTATCTACCTGACACGAAAATGAATTTTCGCAACGTTACCGACAGATTCAGAAATAGTCGACTCACATCTATTTACGCACACACTATAGCTGCCTGCCTATCGATACTAATTAATTGAATAGTTTCTCAACTGTCCGGCCATCCATGAGAAGAGACCGCTAAAATCAGCTCCGAATTTTCAGGTCGGTATGTCAGTCAGATTCGGCCGCGAAAGTCCATAAGGTGAAAAGTCTACTCGTATATATCGTCTATACTTCGACGAACGAGTTTCATGATTTTCTGATCAGAGTTCCATAGATAAAATTTCTAATGCAGCTTCCCAACAGTCGATACAGTAGTTCCCTGCTCTACCGACGGAGCAGAAAGGCGCGCCATTCGACGCGCCGCGCAACGAGACTTCTTCGAACGGTGTCCTCCCTTTTTTTTTAAACAACTTTCGTCGCCATTCACGTTCTATTCGCACATTAGAACGCGTAACGAGGTTACGAAGCCATTATAAAAAAGCCGCGAAACACGCGACGCGTAAAATCCGTGCTCGACCCGAGAATTTACACGCTGCAGCGTCCGCTCGATTGATCTCGTTACCGTACGCGCGAAACTTTATCAAGAGGGTGCATTGTTTAGTCGGTGTCCGTCGAACATTAATTCTCGCCTACGTGGCGAGTAACGGATAACGGATAATCGAGTTCCCTCGACGCGGAACAAACCGAGTTTGAATTCCGTTAAAACGTCGCTACTTCCCGAGGCGGAAGGGTCGTAATTTAAAAAAGGTGCCGTGCATGCTCGTTCACAGATTGCACCTACTGCTCCCGTCGTCCAGCCTCAGGCCAGATCATTGTATAGTTCTTACGTTAGTTACGAGCCACGAGATACGCTCACCTACTCGATTTCCCTTCCTTTCGAACGCGTACGATCGCGTACGCTCGATCGAGTACAAAAACGATAAATTCTAATTACAAGACGAGAATGTGACGCGGGCTGCACCGCACCGCGTTACCTCGAAAACACCAAAGCGGAACTCGAGCATACACACGACGTTCGCTTCCTTATGGTAATCCCCTTCTTTAGGGGGTGATTCCGCGGTCGACAGCAGGATGGAATTACGACAGAGGCTTCCGTGTTATTAACTCGTGTTGAAACAACCTGTTAAAGAGAGAATAAAAATATACATACGTACACTAAAAAATAAAATCAAAATTAAGGGTGGATACCGTAACGATCCTCCTCGAACTTTGAACCTTGGACGTCTGGATTTTCTCTGACCACGAATCCATACGCTCGCGTAACTGTAATGCGGGGGAGCGTTTACGCGATTCTCAACTTTGCCATCGATTAACTTCCCCGACGGTGTATCCTTGGAAATCGTGGTATCAACTCACGTCCCTCGACGAAGGGGGTGCCTTCTCCGGGAATTTAACTACGATATGCAGAAGGTACTTCGCCGTTAACCGATTTCGTAAGGAAACGATTTCGACGGTTCGCGCGTGTAACTGTTCTCGCATGGGAACGCGGAACTTTGGTACATCGGGATGGTTCCTTGCTTCCCGAGAACCGGAGCTTTTCATGATTTCGCTAAACTCCATTCACGATGGAAAACGTTCAAAAATAAAATTATTTGCAACACGAGCACCGATTCAATTATACTTATTTGTACCAATTTGTACCGACAACTGTCTTATTTTCAGGTCGTCGTCCATTGGCGTTCGTTGACTCGCTCGAGAGAAAGGAACTCCGGAAAATTGAAACGGAAGAGTGCACAATGGTATACGAGGTTTTCATAATTGTTTTACGTTTAAAAATAATTCCCCCATTAAGTAGCGAACAAAAGAAGATTACAATGTACCGTTCCCTATCGATTTCTAGGGTGGCGAAAACGTCGTTGTCTAAATAAATCAACGACTGCATCGTACGTTACAGATTGATTTCTAGTTTACGACTCGACAAATATCCCATAAAACCGACGGTGGTATTTCGTTTTACCGCCTAACAATTGATATCGCTTTCGACCCGGTCGAAAAGCGAGCCATAAGCGAGCCTCTTATGAGAGGACAATGACGTAGGAGAAATTAAAGAGAAAACGAGGATCGTCCACGTTCGCTGCGTTAAAATCTAGACGGACCTAAAAAAAACTAGTCGAAACGTTTACGTTTCGTATTTCTGGTGCTCGTTACGTCTATTTTTATTTCCACGATTTTCTTTCACGCGTACGAATCATGAGCTCTTTCCAAGCGACGAAATCGTGTTCCTTCTCTTAAATTTTCTGTCGTCTCGGCTCCTTTCTTTTTTCTCCAACTTTCTTTCCAACGTGCCGGGGAGCGAACAAATTGATAACCGATAAATCGACGGATCTCGCGAGGTTAAAAACGACACAACCGCGACCATCGCCGTTTAAGTCAATTTCCAAAGTCGGAAACGATTAAAAGATTCGTTCGCGGAACGAACAGGATTCTTTCTTACTTTCCCCGATCCGTCTCTGCTGCTCTGTCTAACGAAAAATCTACAGTCTTTCGCTCCCCTCGGATTAACGTCGTTAGATTTGCGACTTTAGAAGATGGTTTGCCGATAGGAAAGGAAAATCTCGAACGTTGAAGAAAATAGGGGAATCCTAAAAATAGAAATCGTTCCTTAAATGAAATTCGGTGAAAGACCAACCTTTGCGGATATCGAGTTGATATTGACACGGACGGTGGAAAGCTATTTACTTTATATGCGTGTAAAGTTTCAAGTCAAACGGTCCATTTGTTCGCAGGATATTACGTCAACGAGGTTGAAAAATGCTCTTTCGAGAAAAACAGTGTCTTCGATGTTTGACGTAATGCTGGGTATTTCAAGACACGAGGCGCAAAGAAGACGATTCTGCTTGCAATAAATATATAAATCGATGATGGCCGGTACAATTTTTCCGTACGAAAGTTAACGCGTCCGTCCATTACTCGCCGTTTCTACTTGCGCTGGGTCTTACTTGTTAGAAAGGAAGAGCTGTATTTTTAGACTCCCTGGTATCCCACGCAACAACTAAAATTCATTACATTTATAATCACAGCCCACGCTGAAAGTAAAAAAAAAAACAAATCCAAAAGTTTTGTCTAAATCGGTCTAGAAATTGTCAAGTTTATCGTATGGAAATATACGTACAGATAGACAACATTCGAACGAACAAATTTACATAATAGCATAGGTTATCTGTTGTAACTTGTCGTGCCTAGTTAGGAGATAATAAGATCGATGATAAATAGATAGCAACGTATCACCACGAGTGTGTTTGTACGTACCAAAGCAAAGTAGAGACAATAAGATTGGACGCGGGTATAAAATTCCGAGTGGAGGCAGCTCCTGTAAGCAAGTTGCGTTTTTAAGAATCGACGCGGAGGGAAAATGCAGGAGATCGATGCATTTCAATTTCCAGAACCAGACAGGCCCATTAACGGAGTCGTAGATTCCCGTCGACGGTCTCACATTGATCTTGTATCGAGGCAGCTCGAGTTTACCCGGCCGTTTATAACGCGTTATGCTGAAGACGGCTATTTGTTTCGTGGGTGTACCCCCCCGGTTCAGTCGCATTATTAAAATGGGCTATTAGGTGATTTGCATGCCGACAGTGGTAGACGGCGCCCTAAGAAAGGAACGTCATGGGCGCCAGAATAAACGATGATAACACGGTTCCCCGGTTCTTCGGGCCAAAATGGGCAAAATGATGGAAAAAGAAACGACCTTTCCGCGTTTCGTACTTTCGCCTTCGACGCGTCACGAAGGAACTATGGAACAAAGAGCTTCGAGATCCGCCATTTTCATCTTCAACGACTTCGATATACAGGGTGTCCGGCCACCCCTGGGAAAAATTTTAATGGGGAATTCTGGAGGCCAAAATAAGACGAAAATCATGAATACCAATTTGTTGATGGAGGCTTCGTTGAAAAGTTATTAATGTTTAAAGTTCCGAACGTACTGAATTTTTTTCTCGAAAATGCGCAGGATTCTGGGGGTATGTCTGTTCACTAAAAATGATTGCAATTGACTCCCGCAACCGAAAATAATTTTTTTAGAACGATTGGAATTTTTTTTTTCCATCGAAAAATTTCACACCTTCTCGAATTTTTTTCTAGAAAGTGGGTAAGATTTCGGGGGTATGTCTGTTCACCAAAAATGATTGTAATTGACCCTCACAACCGAAAATAATTTTTCCAGAACGATTTGAAATTTTTTTTTCCATCAAAAAATTTCACACCTTCTCGAATTTTTTTCTCGAAAGGGAGTAGGATTTCGGGGATAATTGTAATGACCAAAAATGATTGTAATTGACCCTCACAACCGAAAATAATTTTTTTAGAACGATTCGAAGTTTCTTTTATTCGTCGAAAAATTTCACACCTTCTCGAATTTTTTTCTAGAAAGTGGGTAAGATTTCGGGGGTATGTCTATTCACCAAAAATGATTGTAATTGACCCTCGCAACCGAAAATAATTTTTCCAGAACGATTTGAAATTTTTTTTTCCATCAAAAAATTTCACACCTTCTCCAATTTTTTTCTCGAAAGTGAATAAGATTTCGGGGGTATGTGTATTCACCAAAAATGATTGTAATTGACCCCTGCAACCAATAATAATTTTTCCAGAACGATTCGAAATTCTTTTTATTTGTCGAAAAATTTCACACCTTCTCGAATTTTTTTCTCGAAAGGGAGTAGGATTTCGGGGATAATTGTAATGACCAAAAATGATTGTAATTGACCCCTGTAACCGAAAGTAATTTTTCCAGAACGATTTGAAATTTTTTAATTTAATTATTAATAACTTCTTAATGAAGCCTCAGTCAAGAAATTGATATTCTTGATTTTCGTCTTATTTTGGCCTCTAGAATCCCCAATTAAAATTTTTCCCAGGGGTGGCCGAACACCCTGTACGTAGCTTTGCTGTTTTTGTAGCTATTTTGTTTTTGGCTGTTCCGATCGGGGGTCAGGAATAGGAATATTTGCCGCAACGATATATGTATTTATATTGCAGAAGGGCTCGAACCCTAACCGACGGTGATCGAAAAATAATAGCGCGTTTGACGTTTTTCTCCACTCGACGATGTTTATCAAATTGGCTGAGAAAAGTGGCGAGGGCCAAACGGATCAGCCATTTTTGTCGGCCTCCTCTGTTGACATTGAATTCTCACTCGGCGGATCCACCTTCGTTCCTTCGAAGCTTCGAATATGATAAATTTGAGATGCATCGATTATGGAAGACTTTTCCAGTTCTTTCCTCGTCAGCAAACGCCGACTCGATTTTGTCGAAACTATAACCAGAGTACTCGGGCGTTCGGGAGTGGCTCCGGGAAAAGAACTGGTCGTTTCCTCCCCGCGAGTAACGCAAACAGGAGCAACGGTTGTAAGCTTAATGGACACGGCTTTGTTCAATCGCATCTGGACGCGTCTAAGAAATTATATCGACGAATCAAACGTGACTAACGACCAACGAGTTTGTATGTTCTCTCGACATTGCGTCTTCGTTTTCTCTCAGTCAACAGCGCGCGCTACGCGTTAATAAAAATCTGTTTAGAAACCAAACCGGATTAAATTCGATATAGCAAGGTACCCAGCGACACTCTCGAAACAATGTCGGTGGATCCATCGATTGTGTTTGCGAAGTTACCGATTCTGGGCGATCGGTTCTGCCTTTGCTCAGAAAGCGACGAGAGACTCTGTACGAAAACTGCATACGTAATCACTGCGTACTGTATCCGATATTGCTACGTGTACATGTAATTTTCAATTTACTCCGCGCAAGCTGCTGGTTATTTATACGACGAGCGATAAAAAACGTGATTAACGCGTAGCAAAGTGTCGAACAACTTTCGTCGGATTTTACGTCCGAGTTTGATTCGTTTGTTTCGAAGTAGAATTTAATAAAATATGCGTATGACTGGAAAATGCCTTTCAGCGAGACACACTCGACTGTTACAACTTTTTCAGCCTTGAGCCACATTTTAAACTCGTACGTTTGTATTTGTCTTGGCGGATTCGAGCGAAGGGTTGCAAATTGGTTTCTTTTTACCCGCGAAATACCAATCGAGAACCGTTCGATGGGCTTTTTTCCGGCATAATTTTCGTACGGCTCTTCGAGCTCGACGGAGACACGAACGCAAACGGAAACTGACTGTACACGCTTTCAGAAAGTTGCCGTTTACCGTGGAATCGCGTATTGTACTCACACATCCATTCGACGCGTATGAAAGGCGCCCAGTTATGTCTCTAGACTCTGTCTGTAAATTTTGCTCGATAGAATACCGTTCACTGTGTTACTAAACTGATACGGTATTGGGCATATTGTTACATGTTGCACCGCATCGACGGTTCTCTTGTTTTTAGCGCGAATGATCGGTTCGCATTTATACAATTTTCGAGATACGCGTGTCGCGCAGTTATCGCGGAACAACAATGGAATCCGATCCGTTCGAATGGTTGCCGACCTTCGATTCGACTTACTTATTACAGAACGTGATAATCGCCGGGTAGTTTTCGTCGTGGCGAAAGGGTTAAAAACACCTGTGGATCGGTGAACTAGATCGGGGGAGCGGAATAAACGCATCGTCGGTCCCGTGGACCGTTTCGATCACCGCTCGAGGGTTGAAATCGACTCGAAGATAGAAGAAAGATGGCTCGCCGTCGCGATTCGGTCGCGGAGTTCGCGTCACGCTCGTTGGTGGTTACCGGGAGGATACAGAGGGACACGGTGGTAGGAAGCTCGGATGGGGTAGAACACGGGTACGTTCGATTGGACGAGAATGTTTAGATACACGGGGGTGGGGATAGGGATGAAGCGAGTGCCGCAAAGGCGCGGGCTTATATAAACCGACGATCAAGGATTCAGATTCGCAGAACTCCACTCTCCGTCGTCGAGAAAACTAGCCTGTCCGAAGGAAGTCTTCCTTGTCCGTTACGTTATCAATCATCGTCCACACAGAGACGATTCGCGAGTCGAGGTAAGTCGCAACGTTATTCAAAAACTCCACATCCCCCTTTCGCGACATCCTCGTTTCGAAGTTGTCAACTTCTCGTTTGGATAGCGAAACGCGGCTCAAAGTTGAAAGACAGGAGATAGAGACGGGAACATTGGGTGGATAACTCGTGGTTGACTATGTTTGACACGTAATACTTATTGCACAAAAATTCTTAGTCTTAAATGAGATTTGCTCGATGATGATCTTCGTCTCGCGTCGAGTCCAGTTCGATAAATAATTATTATAGGAAGATATGAAACGTCTCCGCGGAGAGTTAAGGGCAGAGACTCGTATAAAATGGTAGAGCAAGAAGTGATATTTGACAATTTTTTTTTTTATATTCAAGATACAAATATTTATTTTTCGTCACGTTTTATCGACTTTGGATGAAACGATAAATGTTATTCCTCGTGTCTCTACCCTTAACCCTTTGCACTCCGAATTATATTTGAATCTTGTTACCAGCAGCTTCCAACGCTTTTAAGTGTTTTATTTGAAATTTACGTCAGCTAAAAAGTAGGGCAAAAAACAAATTCCATTAAATATCTGTTTTATTTACATTATTGTTGCATTTTTTCATTTTCAAGTGCATGATATCTCCATGGTTTGGACTTGAAAAAATGTCGAGTCATACTCAACATAGGTGTGCAAAGGGTTAAGGGTTCGCGAAAACGCGGCGAATTCGAAGCGCAACCTCAGCCCAGAGTCGAGCAAGTTCTATTCGCGTGCACCGAATACAGATTTTAGATCGATTCTTATCAGGTTTCTATTCATTTATAAAATCTATCAACGGACGCTTCGCAAACTATAATTAAAGTTGCCTAACCTGTGAATATTATTTATCAACAATGTAGATTGAATCGGAATAAATATCGAAAAAAAGTACAGAATTTTTGTGTAACTGTTTGAAAATTGTTTGAACCGCGTCCGGTCGGGTTTAAATAAACGCGAAATTAAACGTCTGGCGTAAAAGGGTCCTGCCGATTCCGGGACGCGAGCAATTCGCGGCACGTCCGTTCCATCTGTCTAGCAACGGCAACAATTAACCGCCTGGACGCGACATTCTCGCTTCGACGAGAACGAAACTGCACCGCCGGGCGTCGAAATAATACGTGTATGTATTTTCCGTGCGAGATGTTTGCTCGGCAAACTCGTTCGTTCTGTTCCCGACGCGACGTTCGACGATAGTTTGCCACGCAAACTTGTCCTGGCGAAACGAGCAGAGACATATCCTCGGACCAAAGGATTCTCACTTTCACAGCCTATCGATCCTCGTTTCTTTCTATCCGCGCGAACACGCGAGTCAATTTATCCGGTTCTGTTCGATCGGCCTCGAAACACCGGAAAAGGACTCTTCGCTCCCTTTCCGCGGAACGCATTCACCATTCTAGAAGCCGCCTCGGAAGAGCGGAAAAGCTGTCCGGGCCACGGTCGACCGATCAAATTATCGCTCGTTTTCTCATTTTTTTTATAACAACGATTCTTTGTCCAACCAGTCGATTACTTAACAAACAAGAACAATAAGGATATTTTCTCGTTCCACGGAACTAAATAGATAAGAGTAATTTTGGTAGGTGCAAAGGTACGTGTAATCGATCGAGAACGTGGGTGAATTATCGTAACTTCGTTAACGCGGGCACGACAAACGTACGGGCGCGAACAGTGGAGAACAATAATGTCGGGATTTGAAAGCATCGTCTGTCCGTACCTTTTAGCCGTTATTGCTTTATTCCGTGCAGCCCAGAGACCGCTTTTAATTCGATTCTCGAAGATATTGCGCGGGCACGGTTAAACGTAAAACAGAACCAGAAACGAAAGAAGCGCTCGGCCGTGGTATCGGCAAATGAAAAGATTTCCCGAACCGTTTAAAGCAGAACGTAATTGCAGCTTGTACGTCGGTTAATTCGGTTAAACCCGAGTTTGTCGAAACTCGCGGACCCACGTCGATATCGATCTACGAACGGAACAAGTCGCCAGGCGTTGATTTTTCTCGTCGACTCGATTTGCTTTTACTCGTTCTCCGTTGGCCTACGCGTACAGTCGTACAAATCCACGATTGAAACAAAATCGCGCTAAAACGCCGCGACAAAGTAAAACACGCTGACAGACGCGTTGTATCTTCGCGATCGACGAAACACGATCGAATCGCGAAGCCGAGACGCGTGAACTCGATTATTGGCGAGCGTTATACCTTCCGATATCTCGAACCTCGAACGACACCGAATCGATCGATTGGACGAACAACGTTATCGTTTTACGACGTCGACGCGTAAAATCCGTGATTGATAGCAATCTCTGGTGGACTTTACTTACTTTGCTTTTTATGTAGCAAAAGTTTTTCTTTTCGAACTGTATAGTGGACCTCGGAGTGTTTAATTCACTAGGGATTTTACGCGTTCACGAGTGTTTACGATTAGAATCCATTAAGGAACGAATCACTCGTCCCGAACGTCGTCATCCGACCAATAATCGTCGAAATCACTCCTATAAATATTTCTAGTCGTTCAGGGGGGGCCCACGTAAATTCATCCAACACGACCTGATCGAAATTAACCAGCATATATGAATTGGCAGAGTAAAAGCAATAGACAAACACTGTGAAAGGGAGTTGGACGTTTAGTAACGCCGGCAAGATGGCGGAGAAATGTTTAGATAGAGTCTGGTTGTTGAAAGTTTGCGGTTACGCGAGGATAATTCGAAGAGGAGTGAATTTAACGGGTAAATAGGAGATTTTGAGGCAAGGATCTCGTAAACGAGACAGCGGGGACGAATACCCTTTCTCTGCTGAATACTCCAGCGAACCGGAACGTTGAAACAGAGGAGTAATGTAGTCGAATTTACGAGAACAGCAAGAATAACGTTGAGTAGAGTAACGCTGAGCAGTGAAGTACACTCGAGAAGAAAGACAAAATCGTGAAACGATCGTAGGGTAAATAATAACGTTTTGCAATTTTTCTTTCGCGTCCGCCATCTTTCGTCCATCTTGTTTCGAGGCGAGGAGACATTTTAACGGGGAATATCGTTTCTGGAGTCCGGAGGCAGGCTGGAATCGGCGCAGATGTTTTCTCGCGATCGCGGCCAATCGAGGGAATTCCGTTCGCGACAACCGTAGGTGGAAAACGGAAGTCGGGAAGCGGAAAATGGAAAACGGAACACGGCGAACGGAAGCTGATGGAAAGCGGAGAAACGGAAGAGCAGGAATAGCGGCGGCGGCCAAGGTTCCCAGTTGTCGAGAATGAGGATTTTGTCCGATCGAGCGTGCTTCTTATTCTTCCTCGGCCGTAGCTGGACACGGTGATTTAAATTTGCATTCGGTATTCCACGGAATCATCAAACATCTGGTGACGTTACTCGATCGATCACGGTACTTCTTACGAGAAAAAAGGAACCGATCGTATAAAACTGTCGTCGTTTTTATCGTACGATCGGTCGAGCAAATAAGATAGCTGGGAATAGGTTTGTAACGGGGGTGGAGGAACGCCTTGATAAACGTACGGAAAGCATTTCCCTCGCGAGACGCGCGATCCATTAGTAAAACGGCCCCGTCGTGAGTTGTGCCAAAGGTCAGAAAATTTGTCCAAGAAGAAGAGTCGCGTAATGAATATTTTAGTCATCGAGGGTCAACGAGCAGGACCAAGGGTGTCTAGCGAGTGGATATATGTATAATAAACTTTCGTCGATACGACGCTCCTTTTTTGCGACTTGGCTAATCTCGTCTGGCCATTGCTCGTTATTTCCACTTGCGTTGATCTTAACATCGATCGTGGTTTAATATTATCTCTTTTCTGTTGATCCTCCGAGCGATTAGAATCAGTGGAACGAAATACAATACTCGACGCAAGTAGAAACGACGAGCGATAGCCAGACGCTTCGCCACTCCTTATACATTGTATCTTTAATTTTTGAAGAAACGATCGAAACGGATAATTGGTCGCTCTGAGACAAAGGTGGGACGAGGAACATCGAAAATTGAAACGCACTGTAGGTGTCAGAGCGTAGATCATTGAACGCGACGGTCGCGAATGAATTCGTATCCGCGAATCGTCCGTGAATATTGCCCTTAACGAAGACAAGCACGTGAGAAAGTATCGTCAACGTCAATTATCGAAAGCGACGAATCCAATTATCCCGCGTTACGGCGAATCGGCACGCTCAAAGCGACTCGTGATTGCCTTCCAATAATATACTAATTGAACGAGCATCGATACCGGGAGGAATCGCTGGAAAGCGTCGCTGTAATCCGAAGAACGCGTGACGAACTTTGAACCGCGGGATCGATCTATCCAGGAAATGAAACTTTTTCCAACGACCGGGGAACGAAGAAAAGGTGCATTGTTCCGAAGAAAAACTACGGGGAACAAAAGGGGAATAAAAAACTTGTACTACGCGTCGATTTTTTACCATTAAAGGTCCATTCATATCCACGAGACTCTAACGCGGAGGCACCGTAGACAGTGTTTTATCATTACGTTATCTTCCATTGTCGACGCGTTCTCCGTTCTCCATTCGTAGATTTAAATCTCGCGAGTGCATTGGAACGGGATAATAGAAAAATTGAAAGATCGATAATTATCTATGCAGCTACGTTAAAAACGATCGTGTGGGATCGTGACATGATCTGTAAAATGGTTAAGCGCAAGTTTCCTCGTGAATACTTTAACGAAAAGAAAATGGACGCGTAGAACCACGCGATGCGCAAGAAACTCCCACGAAACTTGGTCGTTTCGTGTTCCCTCTTTTCTTCGAGCCGCGGTTTGAATAGTTTGTTAGTGTCTTTGGTCGAACACGGCAACCTTCTTGGGAAATCCGAAACAAGAGGATCCACACAATCGTTCTCGTCTGTTTCCCTTCCTTCCTCCCTTCTCACCGCGTCCCTCGACCTGGCCATCTTCCTCCCGGTGCTCGAAACGGGACCACGTTTCCCGCGATGCAGCTCTTGGAAGATTTTCTATACGAACCAACGCATAGACAGCTGTATACCATTTAATTCGATCGTTTTCCGCTATATTTGATAAGAAAGGGTTGAAATATGGACGTTGACCCAACTCGTATCCGAATGTCTATACAGTTCCCGTACGTTTCGTTCTGTTACAGATCAGAAAAAGATGCTCTCAAGGATGCAGCAAGGGATCGTATCGTACTGTATGTTTCTGGTGGTCGTCGGTCTTTTCGTATCGTCGACGCCCTCGACGGACGCCGCGCCGTAAGTCTCGATCCTCCGGTCTTATTTATTAATTCGCAGAGGTTTGCTCGAACGCGGTCCCGTTTCGTCCAAGCTCGCAATTTGATATCAAAACTCGTAATAAATATTATATATATCGAACGATAAAGAGGGCGAGACGAAACGAGACGCGTACGAGTGAACTGGACGCGAAGACACATCTGGCGGCGTCGGAAAGTTTAACCCAGTTCCATTTGACGAGCCATCGTTTAATGAGAACGGTTCCGCGTATCTGAAAGTAAAGAGTGGTATTGTTACGACTCGCCGTTACTAGACTCGCGCATACGGACGAAGGCGTTATACATGGATCCGTTCGATCGACTCGTAAACGTCGAGAAGACGTTCGTTCGAATCGCGAATAATTCGCGTTGCTCGAGAAAAAGTAACGTAGCTTAAAGTGTACTTTCGGAGAAAGGATGAGAAGCATGAGAATTTTGGTACAGTCAACAGAGCTACTGGAGCCAGCTCGAGGAAGAGGACCCGGAAGCGCTAATGGAGATAATCGCTCGACTCGGTCACACGATGATGCGCAACTCGGAAGTCGAGAAGTAAGCAACGACACCATATTTACCGTCAAAAAGATTTTATTATACAATAGTGATCGATAATTGAAATTATCATGCTCGCGTGCAAAATGCCTCGAGGATTGAAAAGGTTCCAAGAATAACTGTTACGCAAAGGCTTTAATGTTAAAATTGTCACGGGTGGTTTTACATCGATTCCAGTTTGTTGCCTTGTTTGCTCGTTTCGAGATCAGTGCTAAAAGATACGAGAAACAGAATGGATATCGCAATGGAATCGAACCTTCTTTTTCCAGCAACAAACGAGGCTTGGATCTGGGCTTGAGCCGCGGATTCAGCGGATCGCAAGCGGCGAAACATTTGATGGGATTGGCGGCAGCTAATTACGCCGGTGGACCAGGACGACGACGCCGTTCCGAACAACCGTAGAGTTAAAGGCATTCCCATTAGCTAGATCGCACGCATCTCCCGACCTCGAGCTCGATCTTCGTCAATGTCCATTCGCGTTCGTTCGTACCTTTGTTCGCGACACGCTAATTGGTTCTTTTCTGCCCGCGCGAATTACACTCGCATACTTTCCACGTTCTCGCGCCCATTCCGCTCCTATATCTCGTGTCCGGGGCAAACTCCGCATGCGAATAAAGCGTCCATTTTCGGGCCAGCCTGCGCGCCTGCCAAACAAACGTTCCTGTTACGTCTTCGACTACCGATTAGTATACCGTAACCATGAGCTCGTTACCGTTCTCGTCGAAATCCCCTTCGACCATTACTTTTGCACCCCTTTTGCTGAATTTCAACGCCACCCCCCGCGTTCTCCGCGTGTGCGTGCGTGCGCATGCAAGAATGAGGCGCAGGGCTTGGATGGGATCAAACAACGTTGGCGCGATATGATAATTGTAGATTCGATTGCGTTTTAGGTGTACGTTATCTCTTTGAAAGTCGACGCGTTTTACCATTTTCTTGATCGATCGTTGCAACTTGATTTTTTTTCTACTGCGAAGAGGATTATTATAGGAATGTTTCGTTGTGCGAATAGAACAGTTCGTCCGTGGCCATCGCCGCGCCGAGTACTAATCGTTTGTTCTCGATTATTCTTTCGTACCGAGTCGTCCTCGAACGCATACACGCGTGTCGACACCTGCATAACCTGGTACACGTATATTCGGAATTAGCGAGAATACGAGCAACGAACGTCCACGTTTTCATCTCGAACGAACGAACAAACAAACGAGCACGGTACTAACGATGGTTACGGTTAATTGAAAGGCACAAGTTACGCTACACGCGGTCTATGCATTACAATACAACTCTGTCTACAGTACCTTCAACTGATTGCGAATAAACGATACCTATTTCAATTTACTGGCACATTCGTGTCTTTTATTTACTCTCGCTTCCGAAATACTTGCGCAAATCTTTTTAGACACCCTTTAACTATCGATTATAATATCGAGCCAGAATTTTTCTCGTAAATGGTAAGTGTGTTGGGGGGAAAAAAATGAACGGTGTTGCCTTCGTTATAAATTACAATAAAGTACCTATCGTAATACACATACGTGTAACGTACGTAACGGTCACTTGTGCGAGTTCTTCGTTACCGATAGCGAGGCGTGGAATCGAATTCGAATTCGGTAAGAAATTAATCGAGCAAAGCTTGAACAAACCGTGGCAAAAAAGAAGCTCGTCTCTATAAAATTCTGCTGCAAAAAATTCGCATCTTTTAACGTCTCGACATATTTTAAATTAGTTGTTGAATCAGACGCCGTTCGTGCACAGAGGACGCTACGTTCAGTCCTTAAATTATGAGTCGGTAACGCAGTTCTGCTGGGGGACACGTGATCCCATAAGACACCAAGTCTAACCTATATCTCGTCAGTGGTGAAATCGAATATAATGCAACATGAAACGCGAGAGGAAAGCAAAGATCGTACGTGTATTACGCGTTGTTGACGTGCGATTTAAAAGCAATAGCGTAGCTAAAGGGGAGCGATGAGGACGTCCCGCCATGGACGACATCTGTTCGAGGGCGGCGTCTTAAATTAATCAATCTTCTTTGTTCTCATAGAAAACGTTTTCTTTGCTGATCAAAGCGATGCAAGAAATAACACAGTTCGATAGTTTCGTGAACTTGTTGAGAAATATTTCTTTCGTATCTCGATCGAGTATTAACGTGAATCAGATCACGATCACGGTACGATCGAAAAGTTCTTCGTTGAGAAAGGCTTCGAAGGATCTTTTGAACTCTGCAAAAAAGATGCCTTCTAGAGCTCTAGCTGCAAGAGAAATGTTTCTAACCTAAAACTGATACTTGTCTAAGGTCCTACTACGGTTACTTTGCGATATAGAGAAATCTAACCTAACGGTGTATTATATTTTTGGGTGAATGGGGGGAAATGAAATTCAAATACGACACTCCGGGCGGCATAAACTCTGGTTCCGCCACTGTTTAGAAACGACGTTCAGTCGCGAATCGTAATCGGGCAATGAAAGTGGGATAGGTTTATCTCTCGATAAAAGAATACCGTACATATATACGCGTGTAAAAATGGATGGAGAAACGTCGGAACGTCGACTAAGCAAACGCGATCGTCGCTGCAATCGTTACGGAATGAAAATGGGTGTTCGTGTGACGGTGTTGATGCTCGGCATCGGTATCGGTTCCGTGTTGTTTGCTTATGCAGCGTTTGCATCTCCGAACGACACTACCAACGACAAGCCATCTGTACAACAAGTGATATTCGTAAGTATCGGTCTCGAGATGGAACGCGATCGTTGCAATTTCTTCTATCGATTAATTCCGACCGATCTGGCTCGGCAGATTTTTCGCCACGGTGATCGGACTCCCACGCAATCGTATCCAAACGATCCGTACCGTAACTACAAATGGGAAAACGGCTGGGGAGCGCTGACGAAGGTTAACAAAATCACAATGAATTTGTTCTTGTCGAATGTAGCCGCCTAGTTCGGCGACGAAACGCAATAACGCGTATAAGTATCACGGCATCAGTTTCGTGGAAAAAGTTGATATTCCCAACGATAAACGTAGAATCGGTTACGTAGGATGGCATGCTTCGAATGTACAACGTCGGCCGATGGATCCGCGACGTATACGGCTCGTTAATTGGCGTCAGATACGAGAGCAGCTTATTACTGACGCAAAGCAGCTACGCGGATAGATGCATTATGTCCGCGCAGACTTTGCTCGCTGGTTTGTACACACCGACCCCGGAGGAAATCTTCGTTCCGGGATTAAATTGGAGACCCGTGCCGGTCCATTCCATTCCCAGAAACATGGATAAGGTGCGTACTCTTTGGCTACCCGATAAAACTCGGTGAAATTCGTCCAGTCGTTGCGTGAGAATAAAAGAAACGAGGAATTCTAGATGATCGCGGTCAAGGCCCCCTGTCCACGGCTGGAGGAAGCTCTGAAAGAGGCGTACGCGAACGAGTCTATGCGCCCGGGAACCCCGTCGGCCGATTATTATCGACAACTTTCCGAGCATACCGGGGAAAATGTCGCCACGATCACCGACGTCGAGGCCCTTTACAATACGTTAGAAATCGAGGAAAATAATGGCTTGAAATTGCCCGAGTGGTCGACGACATTCTACAACGAAGAGATGCGCGATATCGCGGCTCGCAGTTTGGCCATATTTACCAGCGATACATTGCAGCAACGACTTCGCGGAGGTAGGGCCAATTTATGCATTCTTTTCCAACGATCGATCGATCGATACACGCGAGTATACAATAGGTAATCATAGAAAGCTAAATAATTAATTATTAGGGATTAAAGAGCAAAGAATCGATTCTCGATTTGTATAACCCCATATTTTAGGTAGTGAAATTAAAATGGTTCTTCCATCTTTTTCATTGGCTTCCCTTTCAGGTCCGTTGCTCAAAGAAATCATAGAACGCATGCAAGCCGCGAAAAGTGGCACAGATACAAGGCGAGCATATCTTTATTCCGCACATGACATAACTCTCGTTAACGTGCTGAGAACCATGGGATTCACGAGCGAATACGTTAAGCCTGATTACGGCGCGACACTCGTGTTCCAACTGCACGCTATACCCGGCACTGCGGAGGACGCGGAAGTAAAGGTATCATTTCCATGTACCGTTTTACTCTTTCGATTAACTTTCGCGCGCACGCTGCGATCAACGATCGTTTATTCTGGTTTTCTTTACAGCTAATGTACATAAACAATACAGACACTATTAAGCCGTATCCCATGAAAATACCAAACTGCGGCACGCCTTGTCTACTCGGAAACTTGACCTATCTATGGAGAAACGTGATTCCCGATAACTGGGACGACGAGTGCATACTGTGATACATATTTCCCTTTCGATGCAATCCGTCCTGCTCTTCTTTTATACAGATACTTACAACCCGGTTTGCTCGAGAAACGAACGAAACGCGAAAGCTCGTGCACCTAGACTTTTAAGGAGAAAAAAGAACGCGGTGCACGCATTCGGTCTCGGAAATGAACTAGATGGCCTTGCCGTTTGCGCACAGCACAGTACACCGCACCGTACCGTATCATACGAATCAATTCTAATTCGAGCGAAGCTGGTTAAGATTACTAAATTGGCACAAAATCGTTTAACCAGGATGTGTCCGCGTTGCTTACGCAACAAATGACACTGGATGTTTTGCATGTCTCGTTACGCAATACGAGAACGATTATTACGAACAGTCTTTTCCGTTGAATTCAAATACTCGAACGGAAGATACGTGAGCATCGATTAAACGTCATCGAACTGGCAGCGTATCGACCGAGATATCGTACCGTCGATCACCATCGAACGATTCAAATTTTTTATAACACCGATCAAATCGATGAACGCTACGACAACGCGTAAACGTATACGTATATTATAATATCAACAAGCATCTGTATGCACGCACGTATGCGTTGTGACTACCGTGATTGATCATCGATCAGCAAATAATAATTATAAAACTGTCCTTCGTGATTTTCAATGTTCTACGAGAATCCTGTTACTTTCTTACTTTGCTTTATATCTTATGTCTTTTATGTCCTTCTGGATAAGTAGGTAGGTAAGTAAATAGATACGACCCACTTAATCTACCAATAACGCGTTACACTGCGCTCAATTAAAGATAAAGCTGAACGTGCACGTGTTTCACAACATAAACGATCTACGTATCTGCCACATGCTGTGACAGCCATTTACTTACATACGTACAAGTCGTATTTTAATTTCTAAATCGTGTACATTGCTCTAGGAAACTTGTAAAAATATTTAAACTACATTACGTGTTCTCCAATTGCTCGATCGCCCGAGCAATGTTTGTTTTTAGTTATTCGATACTTCTGCTATTTATTTGTATCAGCATAAGTTCGATTTTAATAAAACCCTCAGAAAACAGACGAAATTATTCAATTCGACAATTCCGATGACCAACTTACGAAAAAGAGAACAAAAGTCCAATTCATTTTATTTATAAATTTCACGATAATACGATTATTATCGTATCGAACGATTTCGAGCAACGTGGAAGCGATGATTCATGGTTCAAATTAGTTCCAATCTATTTGTACCAAATTAAATAGAATTAGTCAGTATTTGACAGCCGTGGCGTATATTTGAAAAACAGGGAAGTGCAAAGGTGAAAGTACGAGAATGCACGATAGAAAAGTAGAATGATTTCAGTGGGCCTACGAGTTAGTAAGATGGGTGGATTATTCCAAGCGAGAAGGAAGAGGATGTGGCTAAGGTGTCGGTGGGTCAAGAGGAAGAGGAGGAGAGTCGGGATGCGCAGTCGTATCAGTGCAGAGGCTTATCCACGACGTGGTCTGTCGAGCGGTCGAGTCGCGATCATTTGATCTCGCGATCGACGCGACCGAACAGTACGAAGAATCGATCGACATCGGTAGCTGATTTTTCACAGAATAAGTCTCGTTTACCGATTCCAACGGTACACGAGCAACGCAAGTTAATTCGTTGGGCGTTCTACCGATTTTCGCAGTGTCCAGTGGTGTTGAACAGTGTTATCGACTGACGTTCCCAGCAACAGTTGCACGCGCTGTCAATCCTGCCGTATGATAGTGTTCGATCGCGCCCACCGTTCTATTTGTGTTCTACCAAAATTGAGGAAAGAGGTTACTTTCCATATATTTTTATCATTCATATTTCCAAGCACTTTACCGTCGTATAATTTTTAGATATATTTTTCCTTCGATCGATTCCCCGATCAAATTTGAAATTTACAATGTTTCTTTCTCGCGAATATCGCCAATTATTTAAACGAGAAACGTCTCGATCGCGAGCCTGTTGGTACACGTCGTACGTCAACGTCATCGTAACCTTTCTTAATTACGTGTTACGGCTGGAACCGAAATCAAACTCGAGAGACGTATTAGTCTGTTCGTTTCGCGAAATAGTCACACCGTGATGTTCGGAAAACAACTTGTGTACTGATCGGTGCTTATGATTTGTTCACAGGACCGTACATTTAACTATAGCACGAAATGTTTAGTTGGTTAAGCCGGGAAGACAGCAGCAGGCAAGAACTCTTCGAAAATGTTACGGAAGGGCTTAAAAAGATATATAAATCGAAATTGCTGCCCCTGGAGCAGCAATATCAATTCCATGATTTTCATTCCCCTCAACTCAACGACCCAGACTTCGATGCCAAACCTATGATCCTTCTGGTGGGTCAATATTCTACTGGCAAAACTACCTTCATCAAGTATTTGCTCGAACGAGACTTTCCTGGAATAAGAATCGGCCCTGAACCAACAACAGATCGCTTCATTGCAGTTATGTACGACGAGAAAGAGGGCGTGATCCCTGGGAACGCTTTAGTCGTCGATCCTAATAAACAATTTCGTCCGCTTTCCAAGTTTGGTAATGCATTTCTTAATAGATTTCAATGTTCTATGGTAGCATCACCTGTTTTGAAAGGAATATCCATAGTCGATACACCTGGTATATTATCCGGTGAAAAACAAAGGGTAAGTATATTCAAAAGTAACAAAATTCTACTCAGTAGTTAACTATGTTTAATTATATACTGTTTTCTTTCACACCAGGTTGACAGAGGCTACGACTTTACCGGAGTACTAGAATGGTTCGCAGAAAGAGTTGACAGAATCATACTGTTGTTTGATGCGCACAAGCTTGATATTTCCGACGAATTTAGAAGATCCATCGAAGCGTTACGTGGCCACGACGATAAAATTAGAATAGTTTTAAACAAAGCAGACATGATCGATCATCAACAACTTATGAGGGTGTATGGAGCGTTGATGTGGTCTTTAGGAAAGGTTCTTCAAACTCCTGAAGTAGCTAGAGTATACATTGGATCATTCTGGGATCAGCCCTTAAGATACGATGTAAATAAGAGGCGAGTCGTCTTTCACGCAATATTATCTTGTAGCGATTATTTTATATGTCTCGCGTAAAATGCAATCCTATTTATAGTACGGGGCATCTGAGTCTCGTTTGCGTGCACACAAATGTTTACAGACTCGTAATTCCTATTAAATTATTTTGTTTAGATTATTCGAAGACGAGGAGCAAGATTTGTTCAAGGACATGCAATCGTTGCCGAGAAACGCAGCACTTAGAAAACTTAACGATTTGATTAAACGCGCGCGATTAGCAAAGGTAAAGCAAATACAAGAATCAACTTATCGGTTATCGATATTGATCGTACAATCGTTACTCGTTAATTTATAGGTACATGCATATATTATCAGCGCTCTGAAAAAAGATATGCCTAATATGTTTGGCAAAGATACAAGAAAAAAGGAGCTTATAAAGAAATTGGGTCAGATTTATGATCAAATACAAAGAGAACAACAGATTTCGCCCGGCGATTTTCCAGATTTGAAAAAAATGCAAGAGAGCTTGGCGCATCATGATTTTAATAAATTCTGCGCCCTGAAGCCCAAATTGTTAGAAGTAGTGGATAAAATGCTCGCCGAAGATATCGCGAAACTCATGGCCATGATACCGCACGAAGAAGTCTGTACAATGTCGGATTCGCTCGTCAAAGGTATGTTTTTCTATTATTATTATTCTGTTATATAATGCTCAAGTAAAATATGAAAGATTGTATACAATATCAAAGAACCAGTGTGCGGATATAATTACTCCAGTTTTATTTATTATTACTCACTCGTCGAACTTCCATGACTGAACGTAATCGTTGATTAGCGTTTCGTGGAAACCGTTTCATTCGCTACAGTAATCGCAATTACGTATATTGGAACTTTAAATAACCATGACTCTATATCTCTTCCCGTTAATACTTATACAAAATCTTTCTTGTACCGTTTTGAAAAGAAACTGAAATTTTTATAAATAACGTGAATTATCGTTCATAAAGTTTGACGAAATAATTCTTTCTTTGGCAGGTGGTGCGTTTGAAGGCGTGAAAGATCAAGTAAGCCCATTTGGATATAAGCGAGGAGAAGGTATCGATGCTGGAGCAGGCGAACCAGAATGGATTGTTAATAAAGAGAGGGACAAATATGACAGTATCTTCGGAACGCTCGACCCGTGCGATGGAAAAATTACAGGAGCAGGTAATATTTCTTTCTGTCGTGTTTCTGTTTATACGAAGTTTAAACGTGTTAAATATATTTTAAAATTTGAGTCGCATTAACGATATCCTTCTGACTTATTTCCAGCTGCAAAATCAGAAATGGTGAAATCCAAATTACCGAACAGTGTGCTTGGGAAAATTTGGAAATTATCCGACATCGACCACGATGGACTTTTGGATTCCGACGAATTTGCCTTAGCGATGCATTTAATTAATGTAAAACTAGGAGGTTACGACCTTCCCGCGGAATTACCGGATCACTTGATACCGCCATCGAAGCGAAACGAATAATTTGCCGATTTTTATTTCTATATTATTCATTTGTTATAAGTGTCAACTCGCCGATACGTTTGGTATATATTTATTGCACGCATTATGTGACTGTACTTATTAATTCGATAACAAGACAGTCCGAACACATCGACAAACGTTGTCACTTTTCAAACGTTCGACATAATACATGATATTCTCGGATATTACGTCACCAAATTACTTTGCGTTGCTTTTAGACCTCTCTTCGTCTAGTAATACCAAAAACAACGAGAAGAAAAAGAAATAGCGTTTGGTCTTTGATTTATTCTTTACGTGGCTTTTCAAACGTTTTCAAGGTATTATATCGCATAGCCTTTCGAAATAGATTTCTCGTATCAAAAAAAAAAATACATTTGGATTTTTCTTTCAAACGGTATCAAACTATATCATTCTATATCTCTTATGCTGGGTAATCCACTCGAGAATTTTATTCTCGCAAGTCGCTATCGAGAGGCAACTCTTTCACACAGGCACACGATTATAGTCGGTGCTTGCGTAAACGGCTCTTGTGCGCCGATGTGAAAAAACCCTTAAGTCCAGCGTTACGTTCCGCTAATGGATACGTAACATTATTCTTATCACAATAGCCAATACCGAATAAGCATTCAACCGATAACAGAAAGATACATCTCGAATGCTATACGAATCATATTTAGGATATGTTACGTACACAGACTGGTGTGTTCGAACGAAAATTTTTTGAACCAACTTGTACAAAAAAAGAAAACTCCGTTTCTCATTAATTCGTAGCTACAGCTAAAGAAAGAAAATTATAGCGATAAATATGTGGGATGGTATACATAAGTATAATGTACTCGGTTGATTTGATTGTGATTGTTGTTAATTGTTATTATTTTCATTATTAGTAATGTTATTATTAATGCTATCTTCGGGCTATGATCGACGTTTTAATCTTAAAATAATACGTGCAAAATTTAATGTAACGTTAAAGAAAAGTTTCCGCTAGGTGACACACTTTGAAATTGCGAACAGAGTATGACCCAATTGCATATTAATCGAATACAACAATTACTTCTCCGCGTCGATTGTCTTCGTTATTAATGCCTGTGTTGATAATAGCAATCTCCATGAGAGAAAAGAAAAAATGATATCGCACCATAATGACAAAACGGCAATAAACATTTTCTTAAATTTTAAATGCACCCATTAGCCAGGAATTGTTTTGCACGATTTGTTTTCCTTCGCAAAGTCAAACGTTTCGACGTAACAATTTAATGAAAAAAAGATTGGGGAAAAAGAATACTTGCAAGAAATTATATTCAAGTAATTTTACACTCTGATCAAGACATTGCATTCTATTAGCACTGCCTTTGCATAATGCGTTTTATGTGATATTTAACAGGGGAAATATATTCCTATTCGCCGTCGTTCTTGTATTTCATGACGAGATATTGTACCGATTGGAAGTGTAAATTATTTCCCGATTCTAATTAATATGTGGTCATAATTTTCGATACGTATGGTGGACTTAGATGAATCGTACCGCTCGAGGGGAATAGAAAATGCAGGAGACCCCGATTGCTATGCGTCACGCGTGCGGTATCTAAGCGTCTAGTTGTATTTAAAAATACACGCTCGAGTCATGGATGACTAATAAATTGCGAAATATATCGAATTAGAATAGCCTTCCCCCTCGAGCGGAATAATTCCTTGTGAGTCAATCCTGTCCACGAAGGATGCCCGTTACGTACCATTGTTTTTTAAGTTGGACACGTATTATGATTCGCAGCATCGACTACCATTGTAATATACCGTGATAACAAAGTGGAGATTAAAAATTAAAGCTGCTTTGTCGGGGCAAATCCTGGACAGGACTGGTCTAAGTGCCACGACACCGTGCAAACTTATTCTCAGACTGTTATACACTAAAAAAAAAAATATTTACTATACCGTGGTTCGTTTTTAAAACGATTGCACATCTTAGCGATATCATTGTTTTTATATAATATATATGAAATCAACAACATCGCGTTTTGTGTGTTCTTTACGCATCGCGCGTCACTCGTGTGTGTATTCGCACAAGGAAGACAAGGGTATTTGCTTCGAGATATCACAAAAAGGACAAACGTGAACGATTTGTTTAATACTAGTGAGAATAAATTGAAGGGAGCCCTTCGTTCTGAATCGTTTCCTTATCGTACAGTCGTTGAAAGAATAGCAAGTCAGGACAAGCGAAAATCAATATTCTATGTTACTTTCTCATACTACTAATGGTTATGAAAAAAAAGTGTTTTTAATTTCAAAATAGAATTTATTTCGGCTAAAATATTGGGATACAGAAAACGTGTGCCTAAATGCAGACGCAAATACTCAAGTTCTCTTGATTTTTAATACGTCTAAGAGAAAGAGCAGAATAATATGTACAAATATCTATTTTAAAAAAGAGAGAAATATTTTTAAACGCATCGAGTATTATTTTCTTGTAGTGTGATCCGATGTAAACAGTAACGTTACATTACATTCACACTTGCGATATGTTCATGTACATGCGCACATAGTAAAGTTTTCTGAGACATCAATAGAAAATGTTTAGTATAATACCGCATAATCGATCGGAAGTCGTCGGAACACGCCTAACGTTTCCCATGCGCCCGTATAGTACGATCGGTATCACTGATCAGACTGTATATGTTACAAATATGAACACTATTAGGTATTATAATTCGTCGTGATCGACACGCGCGGTAAAATCTAAAATACTACGTTTTATACTCTCGGCCGTGGTTCCGTTGATTTGAAAACCATCCGCAATCTTCTTCCCATTGTGTCGAACGCTATACGCGATTATTGTTGGATATTGTTGAATACCAGCCTTGGCACACTCTGCAACTCGATCATTGCAATTGTAACGGCCAAATTTGATCCTAGTTTTCCCCAGTAACTGAAAGTAACGTACAAAATTGATAAAAAGGGACCTAATAATACAATTTACGATACACCCAATGTTATACATACCTGAGCGACGATAGCAAATTGAGGCTCAAGTTTTTGACACTCTTTATACCATGGAACGTAAAAATAAACGATCCATACGTTACGATCGGTCAATACCTCCTTCTGCAAACTCGACGAATCCAACTCTTGCACTTTTCGTGGAAAATATCCTGCGATCCATCTCAATAACGAAGTTGAATCCCGTTGCCCGTTGTGAGAACTAAAACGAGAAATATAGATTTAGTTTATCAAGTTCGAAATAAATTATTAAAAAGAGATAATACGCTTACTTGAACGTGGTTAAGTCTTGATTTTCTCTAGAATATATTCGTATTGTGGGATAACTACGTATTTCTTGAGTTTGACAGAGATGGTATTCCGCTTCGCAATCGACGCTGGCCACTTTTATAAACGATAGCGTAGATAAAGCGCGCGCAACTACGATCCATTCGGGCGCAAGTCGCTGACAGGGGGCGCACCACGGCGCAAAATAATCGATCACAAACATGAATTTACCCTTCCTCTGACGAAGTTTGTTCTCAAAGTTTCTCGACGTGAGTCGCACAACTGTATCGAACAGAAAATTAAAAAGAAATGTTATCGCTTTTTATAAGCGAAACGGCTATTTAAGATCGCGTTATGAAGTAATTTATTCGCACCCGTGGGATTACGCGCTTCGTTTATAAACAGAACGACGTTGGCGGCTGTTTTCTGCATCGAAAATTTATCGATCTTTGTATTGTTCACGAGCATCGCGGTCGGGAACGAACGAATGTTGTATCGAAGGCACGTCGTTGAATGTACGGTACAGTCGACATTTCCAAAGCGGACCACAGATTTGTCAAACTCTGTCGATGCTTTACGGACTTCTCTTAAAAAGTGTATGCAAGAAGGACACCGTGGCGCGTACCAATCGAGAAACCATACTTCGTTACCTGCAAACAAGCAGTAACGTGATAAATTGTAAATACAGTACGCGCGTGAAGAACCACATTCCACCGTGACTTATACCTTCAATACGGTCATTTTACGTACCATTGTTTCCTTCTAATATAGACGTCACTTCTTCCGCAGTCAACGCCCACACATTTATTGCCTTCGTGCTGCTGTACAAAAATTTAACGATATTGTAAAACGTGTCCTTTCCGTGGTACAACTCGAACGCTCCGCTTGATTTAAGAACACCCCACATCGGATAACGATTCACGCCTAATTCGTTGCAAACGTGCGAGTACTTTCCGCAATTTATTTTGCCTGCGTGTGAAATTCATAAACATCGAATCAATCGGAATTTAAAACGTCTCGACAAAAGTAAACATCCGGTCATGATATTAGAATTGGACGTTACCCAATTTAACAACATCGCTAATACTAGGAAGTCTTTTGAACGTTGGGTCTATTTTGAATATGTGTCCGATATAAAAATACACGAGCCAACCAGAATTAGATATTTCCTCTTCCATCAAACGTCTTTTAATATTCTGCAAAAATTGATCGTAATCGACGAATAATAATAAAAAATATGAAACAACAAAAGGAATGGAATTTTTTTCAATTTTGGGACCCGTTTCAATCTGAAGATTTTTTTTTGACTAAAATCATGTTTGCTTTCTCGCTTGCTTCCTAGTGTTAAAAACTTAGAAATATGAAAGTAGACGGTTCAATCTTTAAAATAATGTCTAATATTTATGAGCGGCAGTTTATGTAATTTACCTGAAATTCGTCAGCGCTGAGATCGCGGGGTTCCGGGAAACGCTCCATTACTTTCTCTATCAATGCTTCTGCTTCTTCTACATCGTCGAACGAAGTAACGTGCCAGGAATTATTCGCATACGAAGACTCTGATAAATAAACTGCATTGGTGTCGCGGTTAACAAATTTCCCACGCGCTTCCTCGTGATCACAAAAGAATATCTTTACGTCGACTATATTGCCCTAAAGCAAATCATTAATTCACATGATTTATCCGAATGTAACGGATAGCAGAATAACAAGTAAAAACCAATATTAATTACAAGTATCGCTGCGACTTTTAAACGCTCGGTCGGCGTAAAACAATCACGCTGTCCGCCACAAACGAATATTAAGACAGGTTTCTTCGATCCCTCGCTGCCGCGAGAAATAAAATTCTCCAAAGGTTTGTCTATTTCGTGAATATTAGTCTCTAAATTGCTCAAAATAAAGTCCATAATAGCCGTATAAGTTAGTTCTCCGTTATATTGCGATCCGTCCTTTGAATTCTACAAGGGAATTTATTGCATTTTTATTGCATTTATGTCGTCAACTCTACTTGTCGTTAAGAACAACATTCACCGAAGATACTCGAATACCTTTGGATAATGCATTAAAATGTGGTGAGATTTTAGTCCGATACGAACGCAAAGTTGCCATTCGACTTTACAATTTACGACTCCGATTCTTACAACTCTGTCCAGATCCGCTGCGATTCTTTTCCAAATTGAGGAAAGTCTATGACACCGATTACACATCGGATAGTAAAAATTTACCATCCATACTTTATCCGCGTGAAGCACATTGTCAGCTGTAAGACGTACATTACGTTCAGTGAAATGAAATTAAACAAACTATAACCTTAAAAAGCGAACTTACAATAATCATCTTCATCCAGAGTAATAACCACATTATCGTCGTCGTATAGTTCAAAATTATATTCGTAATAATTCCAGGAATGATAAGTTCCTTGTTTATTTCCAAAATTAATACCCTCCTCTCCAAAGTTGTCATATTTCTGTCTTAAAACTGGATCTTTTAACGTTTCGTAGGCCCTTGTCAATTGAATGAACTTTGCATGAGCCTCCGGGGTATCCTGTAAAATGTAAATTTTATTTTCTACATACATTTTACACCGTTTTAAACAATAATGAAAGAGTTTAGCTTCCACGTACATTATTTTTGTCAGGATGTTCGATCACCACTAATTTTTTGAAGGCTCTTCTGATTTCTTTCTGATCGGCTGTTTTACTTACACCAAGAATTTCATAATAATCGCTTCCCATGCTCAACCACAAATCAGCAATAACAAGGAACACGTTTATGATATAACTGTTATACCTGAAAAATAATTAAATTAACAAGTACTTTATTTATTTAATAAAATGAGAAGTATCGTAGATAAATCAATAAAATATTAATTGAAGATAATCTAATTCTTTAGTATTAATTTTCTAAATGCCTGTGTCAACAGGCATGCTTACATTTTTCTGATTCTTTCATTCCACCCACGCTGTCGCTAATTGTATATTTATGGATACTGTTTACCGGAGAACGTTCATTTTTATCAGTCTAAGAGGAAGTCACCAGTTCCAGCACCAAATAAACCTCCTTATCACAGCCGATTCTACAGTTCATCCAACGAGGCGATGGATTCTAAATTAAAGTTCAACATCTATGTTTTTAAATCATAATCTCGCATAAACAACCACGTGATAGGACCGACGAGATCGAGACTCAACTTCAACTATAAGGATAATGAGAAAAAGGGGTGGGGGTTGGTCTTAATCGAAAGATTACAATTCGAGGATTACAGTGATATTGGTCCGACGATCCGTAACCTCATAGTTTCCGAAATATTAGCAAAAATATATTGGTACTTACTTACATTACATTCTGGCAATACGTACGTACTCTCGCTCGTCGCACAATGCTTGTCTGTATTGCATGGCATGCGGCATAAGTAGTGATCGGTTTCTATGGAATGTCATCAGACGACAAACCGGTGCTCAATAGAGATTCCAGACTGAGCACCGTCAAAGTTTCGGACAGTCGACAAAGGCAAACTGACGCATGCCCTCTCTCTCGATTCTCCGAAGCTGCCCGAAGTAATTTCGGACAGCCTCGTGGGAGTCGAGAGAGGAAGGCTCACATTTGCTTTCTCGCTCTTGGACAACTGAAATTCGACACTCGGAAATACACGTTTTAAGACCCCCCGATCGTATTTGAATTATTGAAAAAACATAAATTCTTTTTTATTATTCCTATGTATGAGCGTACATATGTATATCATTTCAGATATCACATCTGCTACATTTGGTAACGTATAACCATTACTGCCGGCTACTGCCAGCCTCTCACAGCCTCTGCTGGCTTCTGCTGGCCCCTGCCTGCCTCCGCTCGCCTCTGCTGACCGCTGCTGACCACTCCTAATACTTCTGACAAGGTATAACGATTACTACGTGTTCCTGCTTGCTTCTACTGGTCTCTACATGCCTCTACATGCATCTAGATGCCTCTACATCCCTCTGCTGGCCTCTGCCTGCCTCCGCTCGCCTCTGCTGACCGCTGCTGACCACTCCTAATACTTCTGACAAGGTATAACGATTACTACGTGTTCCTGCTTGCTTCTACTGGTCTCTACATGCCTCTACATGCATCTAGATGCCTCTACATCCCTCTGCTGGCCTCTGCCTGCCTCCGCTCGCCCCTGCTGACCGCTGCTGACCACTTCTGATACTTCTGACAAGGTATAACAATTACTACGTGTTCCTGCTTGCTTCTACTGGTCTCTACATGCCTCTACATCCATCTAGATGCCTCTACATCCCTCTGCTGGCCTCTGCTGACCGCTGCTGACCACTCCTGATACTTCCGACAACGTGTAACGATTACTACGTGTTCCTGCTTGCTTCTACTGGTCTCTACATGCCTCTACATGCATCTAGATGCCTCTACATCCCTCTGCTGGCCTCTGCTGACCGCTGCTGACCACACCTAGTACTTCCGACAACGTACAACGATTACTACTTGTTACTGCTTGTCCCTGCTGGTCTCTGCATGCCTCTACATCCCTCTGCTGGCCCCTACTGACCCCTGCTGACCACTGCTGACCACCCCTGATGCTTCCGACAACGTACAACGATTACTACTTGTTACTGCTTGTCCCTGCTGGTCTCTGCATGCCTCTACATCCCTCTGCTGGCCCCTACTGACCCCCACTGTCCCCTACTGACCACTGCTGACCTTTGTTTATAACTTCTACCATGATATATGTATTAAAACTTTGTATAATGTAAATCTATGGCAATAAATGTTATAATTTCAAAGAATTCTATGTCTTCTCGTCATTTTTACCTTCCTTTACCTCTCCAAAGCTTTCCCATAGTTATAAGATACGTGCCACCTTTTCCCATATCATGTCCTCTTGATAACAAAGTCGAAAACGAAAAATCAACTTTCAAATTATTGTTCTCTTCAAAATTTTCTAAGTCCTGAAACAATTGGAAAGTCCTGAAACAGCTTGAAATTCCTGAAACAGCTGGAAAGCCCTGAAACAACGAAAAAGCCCTGAAACAACGAAAAATTCCTGGCAGCTGGAAAGTCCTGAAACCGCTGGAAAGTCCTGAAACAATGAAAAAGCCCTGAAACAACGAAAAATTCCTGGCAGCTAGAAAGTCCTGAAACAGCTGGAAAGTCCTGAAACAACTTGGAAGTCCTGAATTTTTAGCAAAGTTCTGAGTTTCAGGACTTTCCAGCTGTTTCAGGACTTTCCAGCCGTTTCAAGACTTTCCAGCTGTTTCAGGACATTCCAATTGTTTCAGGGAATCTTATAACTAAGGTAATGATTTGGAAAAGGAAAAGAAAGGTAAAAAATGATGAGAACACATAGAATTCTTCGTAAATATATCATTTATTGCCATAGATTTACATTATACAAGGTTTAATACATATACATCATATCAGAAGTTGTCAACAAAGGTCAGCAGTGGTCAGCAGGGGCCAGTAGATGTATGTGGAGGCATGTAGAGGCATGTAGAGGCATGTAGAGACCAGTGGGAGCAAGCAGTAACACATAGTAATCGTTATACGTTGCGGGAAGTATCAGGAGTGGTCAGCAGCGGTCAGCAGGGGCCAGCAGAGGCCAGCAGAGGGATGTAGAGGCCAGCAGAGGGATGTAGAGACATGTAGACAGCAGCAGGAGCAAGCAGGAACACGTAGTAATCGTTATACCTTGTCAGAAGTAACAGGAGTGGTCAGCAGCGGTCAGCAGAGGCGAGCGGAGGCAGGCAGGGGCCCGCAGAGGCCAGCAGAGGGATGTAGAGGCATCTAGATGCATGTAGAGACCAGCAGGAGCAAGCAGTAACACATAGTAATCGTTATACGTTGTCGGAAGTATCAGGAGTGGTCAGCAGCGGTCAGCAGTGGCCAGCAGAGGCCAACAGAGGGATGTAGAGGCATCTAGATGCATGTAGAGACATGTAGACAGCAGCAGGAGCAAGCAGGAACACGTAGTAATCGTTATACCTTGTCAGAAGTAACAGGAGTGGTCAGCAGCGGTCAGCAGAGGCGAGCGGAGGCAGGCAGGGGCAGGCAGGGGCCCGCAGAGGCCAGCAGAGGGATGTAGAGGCATCTAGATGCATGTAGAGACCAGCAGGAGCAAGCAGTAACACATAGTAATCGTTATACCTTGTCAGAAGTAACAGGAGTGGTCAGCAGCGGTCAGCAGAGGCGAGCGGAGGCAGGCAAGGGCCCGCAGAGGCCAGCAGAGGGATGTAGAGGCATCTAGATGCATGTAGAGACCAGCAGGAGCAAGCAGTAACACATAGTAATCGTTATACCTTGTCAGAAGTATCAGGAGTGGTCAGCAGCGGTCAGCAGAGGCGAGCGGAGGCAGGCAGGGGCCCGCAGAGGCCAGCAGAGGCCAGCAGAGGGATGTAGAGGCATCTAGATGCATGTAGAGGCATGTAGAGACCAGCAGGAGCAAGCAGTAACACATAGTAATCGTTAGACGTTGTCGGAAGTACCAGGAGTGGTCAGCAGCGGTCAGCAGGGGCCAGCAGAGGCCAGCAGAGACCAGCAGAGGGATGTAGAGGCATCTAGATGCATGTAGAGGCATGTAGAGACCAGCAGGAGCAAGCAGGAACACGTAGTAATCGTTATACCTTGTCAGAAGTATCAGGACTGGTCAGCAGGGGTCAGCAGAGGCGAGCGGAGGCAGGCAGAGGCCAGCAGAGGGATGTAGAGGCATGTAGAGACCACCAGGAGCAAGCAGGAACACATAGTAATCGTTATACCTTCTCAGAAGTATCAGGAGTGGTCAGCAGCGGTCAGCAGAGGTGAGCGGAGACAGGCAGAGGCCAGCAGGGGCCAGCAGAGGCCAGCAGAGGCCAGCAGAGGCCAGCAGAGGCCAGCAGAGGCCAGCAGAGGGATGTAGAGGCATCTAGATGCATATATAAGCATGTAGAGACCAGCAGGAGCAAGCAGTAACACATAGTAATCGTTATACCTTGTCAGAAGTATCAGGAGTGGTCAGCAGCGGTCAGCAGAGGCGAGCGGAGGCAGGCAAGGGCCCGCAGAGGCCAGCAGAGGGATGTAGAGGCATCTAGATGCATGTAGAGACCAGCAGGAGCAAGCAGTAACACATAGTAATCGTTATACCTTGTCAGAAGTATCAGGAGTGGTCAGCAGCGGTCAGCAGAGGCGAGCGGAGGCAGGCAGGGGCCCGCAGAGGCCAGCCGAGGGATGTAGAGGCATCTAGATGCATTTAGAGGCATGTAGAGACCACCAGGAGCTAGCAGGAACACGTAGTAATCGTTATACCTTGTCAGAAGTATCAGGTGTGGTCAGCAGCGGTCGGCAGAGTCGAGCGGAGACAGGCAGAGGCCAGCAGAGGCCAGCAGAGGGATGTAGAGGCATCTAGATGCATGTAGAGGCATGTAGAGACCAGCAGGAGCAAACAGGAACACGTAGTAATCGTTATACCTTGTCAGAAGTATCAGGTGTGGTCAGCAGCGGTCGGCAGAGTCGAGCGGAGACAGGCAGAGGCCAGCAGAGGCCAGCAGAGGGATATAGAGGCATCTAGATGCATGTAGAGGCATGTAGAGACCAGCAGGAGCAAACAGGAACACGTAGTAATCGTTATACCTTGTCAGAAGTATCAGGAATGGTCAGCAGGGGTCAGCAGAGGCCGGCGGCAGCAGGCAGAATACAGTAGTAATCGTTATACGTTGTCAGAAATGTAAGTGGTGGTCAGCAGGGGTCAACAGAGGCCAGCAGAGGCATGTAGAGACCAGCAGGAACAAGCAATAGCAAGTTGTAATCGTTACAGGTTGTCAGAAGTATGAGGAATGGTCAGCAGCGTTCAGCAGCGGCCGGCGGAGGACTGTAGGAAAATTCAAAAGTACATGTAGTCGTACCTTATACATCGTACTTTTTAGCTTATACTTCAGGTAAAAAGGGGTGTAGTAAAGTAAAAAATACCTGGGCAGTCGAGACTTGGAGTCGTATGCCATTGACGTGAGGTCAGATGTCAGTTGTTCAAGAGCGCGAAGGCAAATGTGGGCCTTCCTCTCTCGAGTCCCATGAGACGGTCCGAAATTACTTCGGGCAGCTTCCGAGAATCGAGAAAAAGAGCATGTGTCAGAGTGCCTTTGTCGACTTTCCGAAACTCCCCGAGCTCACGTACGTATGATTTGGCATGTGTGAGTAGTGCACTCGGTGCTGAATCTGGCATCGCTAGCCTAAAGGAAGTGCACTAGTACGATACTAGTTGGATCACTCCACTTACGCAGCCTATGCACGCAACCACTTGCAAGTGTTTTCGCTTGGAACGGTTGCTACATGTAAGTACTCCTTTACGTATTTAAGAACGCATTACGGTCTACATCAGGAACCTCATGAAAACTTCACCAAGGTTTCTCCTAGTGGTGGAAAAATTAAACGGGCTGTTGCATGCTGTGCAGTCAGCAGTACACGAAAAGTATAACTTAGTTTACTTACCTCTTGGGTTTATTCTAACTTCTCTTTGTTTTCATATTGAAGAAAAAGCGGCTGGAAAGGAACGTTGATTCCAAAGTTATGTGTTTAGTCTTTAGACTCTAAAGGAAGATAGTGAAGAAATAATTTTGAAACGAATTCGAAGATGGATTTCTTAGAATATCCCGATGTAATTGCAGAAGTCAAAGGAGCTATGGTAAATATCTTATTTATAAAATTTTATAATTAATACATGTACTTTTATATCACATATTATTTTCATTTATATGTAGACTCCTGGACGATTGAAATTAACCGATCAACATCTAATTTTTAAAAATCAGAAGACAGGCAAAGTAGAACAAATTTCAGCGTCTGATATGGAAATGGTAAATTATCAGAAATTCATAGGTACCTGGGGTTTACGGATATTTCTTAAGAATGGAACTTTACATAGGTTTCGTGGCTTCAAGGATACAGTAAGGATTTTTATAATAATGTTTTTTTAAGCTGCGTAAACTACATTAAGCGTTTGAACTATTTAAAATATGTTGAAATCAGTTACAAGATATTTAATAATTTAAATTATTATTGAATCTAAACTTTGTTGCAGGACCAGGAAAAGATTGCAAAATTCTTTGCACAAAATTACAAGAAAGATATGTTAGAAAAAGAACTCAGTTTAAAAGGTTGGAATTGGGGCACAGCTAGGTTCAATGGTTCTGTTTTAAGTTTTGACGTTGGTCATCATACAGCTTTTGAAATTCCACTTTATGATGTTTCTCAATGTAATACTGGAAAGAACGAAGTTACGCTGGAATTTCATCAGGTAAAATTCCGTATTCGACGATTTAATTTCTGTACTAATCATATAATTATCGCTTCTATTAGAACCCGACGATACTTGTGTGCGATACAAGTATGACTGGATACCAGATATGACAACAGGAACATTCGAATGACGATTTTCGTAGTCTATACAGAGATCAAAGTTTCCGACATGTATCTCATATGCATATCGCATACAAATATCATCGTGCGTGAGGGCTCTTAACATGAAAGTTTCAATAATAACTTTTTACCAGAATGACGATGCTCCCGTAAGTTTAATGGAAATGAGATTCCATATTCCAATTAGCGACAGCGTAGATCAGGATCCAGTAGAAGCGTTTCATCAACAAGTCATGGACAAAGCTTCTGTTATTAGCGTCAGCGGAGATGCTATTGCTATATTTCGAGAAATTCAATGTCTTACACCTCGGTACATATTTATATTTAATCTGTAAATGGTTGTCAACTGTTAAAATTAATTTTAATTTTCTTTATTTTAGTGGCCGTTACGATATCAAAATATTTCAGTCATTCTTTCAATTGCACGGTAAAACTTTCGATTACAAAATTCCAATGTCAACAGTTTTGAGGCTTTTCCTTCTACCGCACAAGGATAGCAGGCAGATGTATTTTGTGGTAAATTATTGCGTGAAATACACTCATTTTTTCAGGATGATTATTAACTTTTACATTATTGTTTTATATTTTCCCAGGTCAGTTTAGATCCGCCTATCAAACAGGGTCAAACTCGTTATCACTACTTGGTGTTATTGTTCAGTCAAGAAGAAGAAACATCTATTGAATTACCTTTCTCCGAGTATGTTGAATACAGAGCTAATAGAAATTTCAGGTTTGACAAAGTTCAAACATAAAATTGTAATTTATATGTTTGATTATTTTATACAGGAAAGAATTGAAAGAAAAGTATGAAGATAAATTGCCGAAAGAGTTGTCGGGACCAACTTACGAGGTGTTGGGGAAGGTAATGAAAGTAATAATTAATAGGAAAATTACTGGACCGGGAAATTTCATGAGGTAAATTTATTTGTAAAATATATAAGATGTTCGAAACATTGAGGGATAATTCTATTTACTAAACTAAAACGAGATTCTAAATGATAAAATTACATTTAAAGTTTTCTCTGGAAAATCTGAAAGGTAACTTCTCCTTAATCATCATCTCTAATCATTCCCTTAATGTTTTCAGACATCTCTCGCTAAACATCCTGTAGGTATATCAAGGATGTTTTAATTTTATTATATTTTAAATTTTTAGTCACTCTGGAGCACTTGCAATCAGTTGTTCCTTCAAAGCAGCTGCAGGTCACTTATATCCTCTAGAAAGAGGTTTCATTTATGTTCACAAACCTCCGATTCACATACGTTTTGAAGAAATAGCATCTGTAAATTTTGCACGCGGTGGAGGCTCGACCAGATCGTTTGATTTTGAAATTGAATTGACCAGTGGTGTGGTTCACACATTCAGTAGTATTGAAAAAGAAGAGTACGGAAAACTTTTCGATTTTATTACGTCGAAGAAACTCCGTGTTAAAAATAGAGGCAAGAGCGTGAGTATAGTGAATGATCTCTTTACAAAATATTTTATTTCATAACTGTTACAAAATCATCTTTAAAAACGATTGTCTTTTTTATATTTCTGATAGGATAAATTGAGTTACGATAATGACTTTGGAAACAGTGACCAAGAAGACGAACCGGATGCTTACTTGGCAAGAGTTAAAGCCGAAGCACAAGAACGGGCTGCGGAAGATAACCAGGATTCCGAAGAGGAATCTACCGATGAAGATTTCAATCCTAATCAAGTATGATTATATTATAATTAGAATGTTAATGAACTTTGCTTAGCTTCCTATGTGTTTAAGAAATACATATTTCTATTTAGGATGAGAGTGACGTGGCAGAGGAATATGACAGTAATCCCAATACTTCGGAAAGTGAAAATGATTCTGATGCTTCTGGAAAGAGTCAAAAGAAAGAGAAGAAAGAGAAGAAGAAATCGAAATCTGCAAAAACGGTGGTAAGTATCGTATAATTTGTAAAAATGAATCGTAATCAAATTTTTAATACGAAAGATCGTTTAAAAAAGTAACAAATTTCCATAGTCAGAGAAGCCTAGAAAATCCAGAAAGCAAAAGAAAGAAAAGGACGAGAATAAACCCAAGAGACCGCCAACTGCTTTCATGATTTGGTTGAATAGTACTCGAGAGAAAATTAAAGCAGATAATCCTGGAATTGCGGTTACAGAGATTGCCAAGAAAGGAGGAGAAATGTGGAGAGAGCTAAAGGATAAATCTGTAAGCGTATAAATAAGTCGCTTATTCTTTGTTTATTATTGCTGTATTTGTTCGTTATACGTGAAATTTTTACTATCATTTAATTGTATTTATAATTATCATTTAGGAATGGGAGGAAAAAGCAGCAAAGGCAAAAAAAGAGTATGCAATTTCGATAAAAGAGTACAAAGCCAGTGGTGGAGGTAGCCAAACCAACGATAAGAAAGAAAAAGTTGATAAGAAAAAGAAAGAGATAAAGAAAGAATCTCCTAGTAAACTTCTACCAAAAAGCAGTTTCAAAAGTAAAGAGTATATTAGCGAAGATGAAAGTAGTAGCGATGAAAATAGCAAGGTACGAAAGTAAATAATTCAAAGATGAATTTAATGAGTAACAATACTTAACGTTAAAAATTTAGATAAACGAAAAATTATTATTTTAACTTGAATCAAACGTATTACATATGCACTTAGTTTTATTTATTCAATATTTATACAGAAATCAGGGAAAAAACGCTCTGATGATGACAGCGAAGAAGAAAAGGAGGAGAAGAAGAAAGGGGACAAACGTAGCGCGGTAATAACATTATTATCTTGCTTTTTCAAACGAGTTAACTTTAATTACATTGCAACTCAAAGTAATATATTTTATGCGCGTCTTATTTAATGAAAAGTATATTTTTTATCCATAAATTGATTCATAATGACATAAAGCTGGTTAGTGATTGGTTCATGTTTATGATAGTAAATAATTCAGAGATGAATTTAAAGTATAGCAATTATTTGTAATAGTGCATATATAGTACAAACTAATGTGAAACAATGCTCTTAAGATACGAAATTAGTTTTATTTATTAAATATCTACAGAAATTAGAAAAACGACGTTCTGATGAAGATAGTGAAGAAGATAAGGAAAAGAAAAAAGGAGATAAACGTAGTGCGGTAATAATATTATCATATTTTCTGAAACCAGTTAACTTTACTTACATTTCAACTCTATGTAATATAGTTTATGCACGTCTAGTTAATGAAAAGTACTTTATTAATTAAAAAATTGGTTAATAATTGTATGAAGTTTGTTAGTAATTGATTTAATTGTTTTTTTAGGATGATAATGATGACAAAGTAACAAAGAAAACAAAAAAAACCGAGTCTGATGAGGGCAGTGAAGAAGAACCTATTGAAAGCACTCCACCATCTAGTGATGTAGAATCTAAGGATAGTGACTAACTACAAATAAACACTGAAACTTCTGAATATAAGAAATAATTTCTGAAAGCATTAAAGTATATTTGAAACTTCAAACTGTTCAAGAAAGCTACTAGACTGTATTCTATTAAATATGTAACATTTGTTCGATTTGTATTTATTTAAAGATGTTTTTTAATAAATATTTTCGAGAAAAATGTTTGAAACAAAACTTTCATATTTGAATGTTCCTTAACGTCGTAAAGTGACAAAATCCTCAGAAAAATTGTCAATTTTCAAACGATCATAACTTTTACAATAGTATAACTTATCTCATTGAGATTTTTTCTAGAAGTTGAGCTCATGAATACCTAGAAAAAAGTATTAGACAACATTTCATTTTGATTTAGATTGTATGTTACATATGACAGTATGTTACGTATATAAGATTCGACATTGAAAAATTTTTTTCAAATCGTTCCGGAAAAATTATTTTCGGTTGCGGGGATCAATTACAATTATCTTTCTTCAATAGACATACCCTCGAAATCCTACCCATTTTCGAGAAAAAAATTCGAATAGGTAGACAAATTTTTCGGCGAAATTAAAATATTTCAAATCATTTTGGAAAAATTATTTTTGGTTGCAGGGGCCAATTACAATCATTTTTGGTCAATAGACATACTTCCGAAATCCTACGCATTGTCGAGAAAAAAATTCTTTTCCGAAAATATAATGTGAGGTTAGAAATGTTGCCCTGAAATTTCATGCGTACATTTTGGAGGATGCCTACATTATTATTTTTATGCAATGTTACAAATGTCAACACAATTAAACTGTTTAGTTTAAAGATTAGTGAGAAAAATATTCTTGTTGTAATCGATTATTTGAGGTTGGGTCGGTGAATATTTCCTCATGCGTATATTTGATTTTATAGCAAAGAATGTTTATTTAATATCAATTCAATAAATTCAATTTGTATTTGTATATTTTTCGCCTATATAGGTAAATATACCATGTTCAGTTTTATTGCATAAGTTGTTCCCACAAATGAGATTTTCTTGGTCTTTAAAAAGACCGGTTTTGTCCCTTGGCCGCTGCTCGTGAAACATCTTCTTGGCCGCCAACTTCGATTTTGATCGAATGTAAATCTTCAATTAAATTCTTCATCTCGATACGGTCCGTCTTGCTTGGGGGTTGAATACGAAGAATATTCGAAAAGTTGTTCCTTAACGTCGTAAAGTGACAAATTGCTCAGAAAAATTGTCAATTTTCAAACGATCATAACTTTTACAATAGTAAAACTTATATCATTGAAATTTTTTCTAGAAGTTGAGCTCATGAATACCTAGAAAAAAGTATTAGACAACATTTCATTTTGATTTCGATTAAAACTGAAATTTATATTGTTTTAAATTCGCAGCCATTAGCTCGGTGTTACCCATAATGAAGAAGTTCTTCTTGAAAGGTAACACCGATTACCAGGTCTCACCACGAGGAGGTTGCTGCGATTGGAGACCCAAAGTGAGATCGATGGAACAAAGTTCGATCGACCTTCCTTTTTACACACTTAGAAACTAGATTACGCAAAAAAAAAGATGCCAAGTAATTACTTTTCTAAAACAAAGGAGGAAGGTAAATTGCGGGAGACGCGACACGACGAAACGCGACACAATACTGCGCAGTGCAGTAGGAACATGAGGTGCGACACGTACCGAATAGCGGGTCAAAAGGGGCAGCTCGTTACCTCTTAGCAAGTCCAATTGAAGGGGAGGAGAATCGACGCACCAGACACGGGTTCCCCATTTCTCCAACGCGTCCTGCTGGGAGCCCGTAGGACCCAACCCGGGACGTCTTACACAGGAGAGAGATCCTGAGTCGGGGCTACCGCAGACAGGAACAGGTCCCCTCTACGGCCGATGACTCTTTCCCTAGAATTGTCTCACCAGAGGACGGCAACCGACCCTTCGAACCATCTAAACGGCCGATCACTTGCTTTTTACATCAAAGCAGCGGTGACCGGAGCTAGAAACGGGGAAACGAGACTGGAAAATAAGCTATTAATTAATTCATTACTTGGCAATCTACGCAGTAAATAAAATAATATACAATGTAAATTGAAAATTAACGTCGTAGGTGGAATTGAGAATTAATGTGAATTAATGAAATATAGGAAACATCGGAAAAAACAAGGAAAAGAAGGAAAAAGAAAAATTCGACGTTAATTTTTACATTCGCGCTGCGCCTTAAAATTAATCGCTTACGTGTAAATCCCGATGAATCCGACGTCATCTATTGATCTCCTCCTCCTCCTAGAAATTGATCTGGTAAAAAACTGAAATAAAAATTAGTAGTTATGTGTACATGTAGACAAATAATAAAACCTAAATAACAAATTAGTTTGAAATAAGGAATTGGAACAATCCAACGAAGTAAATTAACGAAACGAATCATTCGAAAAAAAAGAAACCAACGATGTGTACTTTGAATTATAGATTAATTTTGAAAATTAAAAAACCAACGAAGCGCAAGACGAATAACAAAATAAATCGTAAAAGAACAAACCAACGATGAAAGCGAGACGAAGATAGAATAGAATAAATTGAAAAATATCAACCCAACGATGTAATGAATATAGATAAAACTAGATGAACGAAGAACCCAAATATGAAAATACCTATATACATAAAAATGCAGAAAAACACAATATTTTCATTAGTTATATTAATATTAATTGTATCTATACCAAAACCAAAGGGTGATCCTTCCTTCCTGGTCAGCATCGCAGAAGATATCTGAAACAGAAAACAAAAACGCGTGACAGTACCCCCGGCGGCTCCAGGAGTACTGAAAAGAGTTGCCCAGCTGTGTCCACTTTTATGCAGTCAAGCCAAAGAATCAACGAGCCAATCAGCAGCCAGTCCGCTGGGGGCGACCATCGTCCGTCCTCCTTGAAACGTTATAAGAGCCCCCTGAGGCCCTCGCGCGGGAGTTATCTCCCAACCACCAAGCAAGACAGACCGCATCGAGATGAAGAATTTAATTGAAGATTTACATTCGATCAAAATCGAAGATGGCGGCCAAGAAGATGTTTCAAGAGCAGCGGCCAAGGGACAAAACCGGTCTTTTTAAAGACCAAGAAAATCTCATTTGTGGGAACAACTTATGCAATGAACTGAACAACTTTTATATTTAACAACTCAGAGACACTTTACATCTCTGTTTTGTAACAACTTTTATATTTAACAATTCAGAGACACTTTACATCTCTGTTTTGTAAAAACTTTTATATTTAACAACTCAGAGACTCTTTACATCTCTGTTTTGTAACAACTTTTATATTTAACAACTCAGAGACTCTTTACATCTCTGTTTTGTAACAACTTTTATATTTAACAATTCAGAGACACTTTACATCTCTGTTTTGTAACAACTTTTATATTTAACAACTCAGAGACACTTTACATTTCTGTTTTGTAACGACTTTTATATTTAACAATTCACAGACACTTTACATCTCTGTTTTGTAACAACTTTTATATTTAACAACTCAGAGACACTTTACATCTCTGTTATGGAACAAGTTATGCAATAAAACTGAACATGGTATATTTGCCTATATGTATAGGAAGGAAATTCGTCGTTAGTATTGTCGCCCGTCAATGCACTTAATTATGCAAGATCAGTATACTATCTAATTTTATTTTTTATTATACCGGTTTGTAATATCGTAAAGATCAATGCAAAAACATTATGCACAGCTCTTGTATTTCTTTGATTTATCCAAGTAGTCAAAGTATAATATTTAACAAACTTTTGATTCAAATAAAACAACGAAAGACACAAAATTTGTGTAAGTATCTGTTACATGCAACCTATGTATAAATGCATAATAACTAATATTGATATACGCATAACGAACTTAGTTTGTGATATGAAACATTAAGAAAAGTGTAAATTAATAAATAGGTTTCAAAATGGGTATTCCAGGTTTAACAATTTTCATAAACAATCGTTCAGATCGTTATTTGGAATATTTCGAGCCACGTGATACGTATTTAGTTATTTAGCTGTCAAATATATAATTCGTACAAGTGCAACTGTGTGTTTGGCGGTGATTACGATAAGATAAATACGCTCAACGAGTATCGGATTTTTTTGACGTTTTGTTAAAGTGCAATGTAGTACCATTAGTTTTGATCGATGGCGGTTGCAAGGATAAGAAACTGCAAACAGTTATATCTAGAACTAAAGAAAAGATTCGTACAGCATCATCTTTTTCTCCGATCTGTCAACAGAAAATGAAATTTTTTCCTTTACATATTTAGGAAGTTTTCAAAGATGTTACGAGAAAGAAGAATATTCGTCATGTGCAATGCTTATTCGAAACTGATAATGCTATAGCTACTGTAGCAAGGATATTGAATTGTCCTGTATCGAGTTATGATTCAGATTTTTATGTGTTTAGGACATTGTACATACCATTTGATACATTGGACAATTACCATTAGCTGCAATATTACTAGGCAATGATTATGTAAAACGTGGTACATTTAGAAACATCTTTCATTATTTAAAGTTACGACGAATAACAAGAAAAAGGTAAAGTAATCGACAGTATTGTATAGAAGCAACTTTACAATGGTTGAGCGGATTTTACATCTTGGACAAAGCAGTCATTGGAATACTATGTAGATCACCTAGAACCGTAAGACAAAAAATGGCTATACAAATGCATCTACAGAAATACTTGCTTACTTCCATTGGGGTTTTCACAGGAATATGCAGCTCGTGCCACAACACATTCCATAAACAGAATTTTTAAATTTGATGCAGATGTTAATAGTCTAATGTACATGGAAGAAACTGATAAAAATGGAGACTGAATCATCCGAAGAGGAAGAAGAAGAGGAAGAAAACGAAGTTGAAATATTAGACATGCTTAAAGGGGTCAGAATCTGCTACCACTAATGCACTAGCTAATGTACCTAATTTGTTTGTAGATGAATTTCTTATGGGCAATATCCTGCATATTTTATGGACTTGTTGGTTCGACGTTTATATATTTGTCCTGTACAAATACAGGATTATTCCTATCCATTGAGCAATGTAATAAGTTTAAAAATTATTAGAGTTATATATGCATTTCTGCAATCAGGAATGAATAGAAGGAGAGGTTTTATGAAATACATGATGAGAGACTGTAATAAAAAGCTTAAATGTTACGAACCAGAAGGCACTGACACTAAATTTTCTTCCCCATTACTGTCCTTATCTAATCTTAGAGAAGTACCATTAACGAGTCCAGGATTAAAAAATAATGTACGAACATGCGTCATTGATTTTTCATTACCATTTGAATTTAAATTCATGTTATCTAGACACAAATATATAAGCAAAGCTCATAATGAATGAAAAATTGACACGTAAATACACGTTTCAAGACCCTCTGATCATGTTTGACTTAAAACAATACTTTGGAAATAAATCGTTTGAATATAGTTTATCGAGTAAGACCTTCGAAATTATTTTCAAACGATTTATTTTCTAATTGTTCTACTATTTCAAATAATAATTTTTTGATCTTATACCAAAGAACGTTTACTTAATATCAATTCAATAAATTCAATTTGTATTTGTATATTTTTCGCCTATACAGGCAAATATACCATGTTCAGTTTTATTACATAAGTTGTTCCAAAACAGAGATGTAAAAAGTCTCCGAGTTGTTAAATATAAAAGTTGTTCAGTTTAGCGGTTCCCACAAATGAGATTTTCTTGGTCTTTAAAAAGACCGATTTGTCCTTTGGCCGCTGCTCGTGAACCATCTTCTTTGGCCATCTTCGATTTTGATTGAATGGAAATCTTCAATTAAATTCTTCATCTCGATACGGTCCGTCTTGCTTGGTGGTTGGGAGATAACTCGCCGATGAACGCCTCAGGGGGCTCTTATATCCTAGGAGCACGGACCCTCACGAGTGACCGAGCGACATCTGTGCAATTTCGATACACGAATTTTTCACAAATTGTCCCTCAACATAAAATTAAAGAATCATTATTTCGATAATGAAATATTTATAGGTATATATAAAGCATTTCTACATATTCTCCATCGAAACACGCGTTGTTTGCAACTTGAAACATTAAGATCCTTCAATCCGTTCAAAAGTTATAAATGTTTTAAACATACGCATGAAATTTCAAGCGAACATTTCTGCATCTTTAAAATATTATAACTTTTGAACGAATTGAAGGATATGATGAGAATATGTAGAAATTGAATATTGAACAACTCAGAGACTGAACATCTCTGTTATGGAACAACTTTTATATTTAACAATTCACAGACACTTTACATCTCTGTTTTGTAACCACTTTTATATTTAACAATTCACAGACACTTTACATCTCTGTTTTGTAACAACTTTTATATTTAACAACTCAGAGACACTTTACATCTCTGTTTTGTAACCACTTTTATATTTAACAATTCACAGACACTTTACATCTCTGTTATGGCACAAGTTATGCAATAAAACTGAACATGGTATACATATTTGCCTATATGTATAGGAAGGAAATTCGTCGTTAGTTTGTCGCCAGACAATGCACTTAATTATGCAAGATCAGTATACTATCTAATTTTATTTTTTATTATACCGGTTTGTAATATCGTAAAGATCAATGCAAAAACATTATGCACGGCTCTTGTATTTCTTTGATTTATCCAAGTAGTCAAACGATAATATTTAACAAACTTTTGATTCAAATAAAACAACGAAAGACACAAAATTTGTGTAAGTACCTGTTACATGCAACCTATGTATAAATGCATAATAACTAATATTGATATGCGCATAACGAATTTAGTTTGTGCTATGAAACATTAAGAAAAGTGTAAATTAATAAATAGGTTTCAAAATGGGTATTCCAGGTTTAATAACTTTCATAAACAATCGTTCAGATCGTTATTTGGAATATTTCGAGCTACGTGATACGTATTTAGTTATTTAGCTGTCAAATATATATTTCGTACAAGTGCAATTGTGTTTTTGCCGGTGATTACGATAAATACGCTCAACGAGTATCGGATTTTTTTTACGATTTGATAAAGTGCAATGTAGTACCATTAGTTTTGATTAAATAAAATTAGATAGTATACTGATCTTGCATAATTAAGTGCATTGTCTGGCGACAATACTAACGACGAATTTCCTTCCTATACATATAGGCAAATATGTATACCATGTTCAGTTTTATTGCATAACTTGTGCCATAACAGAGATGTAAAGTGTCTGTGAATTGTTAAATATAAAAGTGGTTACAAAACAGAGATGTAAAGTGTCTCTGAGTTGTTAAATATAAAAGTGGTTACAAAACAGAGATGTAAAGTGTCTCTGAGTTGTTAAATATAAAAGTGGTTACAAAACAGAGATGTAAAGTGTCTCTGAGTTGTTAAATATAAAAGTTGTTACAAAACAGAGATGTAAAGTGCCTGTGAATTGTTAAATATAAAAGTTGTTCCATAACAGAGATGTTCAGTCTCTGAGTTGTTCAATATTCAATTTCTACATATTCTCATCATATCCTTCAATCCGTTCAAAAGTTATAATATTTTAAAGATGCAGAAATGTTCGCTTGAAATTTCATGCGTATGTTTAAAACATTTATAACTTTTGAACGGATTGAAGGATCTTAATGTTTCAAGTTGCAAACAACGCGTGTTTCGATGGAGAATATGTAGAAATGCTTTATATATACCTATAAATATTTCATTATCGAAATAATGATTCTTTAATTTTATGTTGAGGGACAATTTGTGAAAAATTCGTGTATCGAAATTGCACAGATGTCGCTCGGTCACTCGTGAGGGTCCGTGCTCCTAGGATATAAGAGCCCCCTGAGGCGTTCATCGGCGAGTTATCTCCCAACCACCAAGCAAGATGGACCGTATCGAGATGAAGAATTTAATTGAAGATTTCCATTCAATCAAAATCGAAGATGGCCAAAGAAGATGGTTCACGAGCAGCGGCCAAAGGACAAACCGGTCTTTTTAAAGACCAAGAAAATCTCATTTGTGGGAACCACTAAACTGAACAACTTTTCTATTTAACAACTCGGAGACTTTTTACATCTCTGTTTTGGAACAACTTTTCTATTTAACAACTCAGAGACTTTTTACATCTCTGTTTTGGAACAACTTATGTAATAAAACTGAACATGGTATATTTTTGCCTATATAGGCGAAAAATATACAAATACAAATTGAATTTATTGAATTGATATTACGTAAACGTTCTTTGCTATAAGATCAAAAAATTATTATTTGAAATAGTAGAACAATTAGAAAATAAATCGTTTGAAAATAATTTCGAAAGTCTTACTTGATAAACTATATTCAAACGATTTAATTTCAAAGTATTGTTTTATGTCAAACATGATCAGGGGGTCTTGAAACGTGTATTTACTTGTCAATTTTTCATTCATTATGAGCTTTGCTTATATATTTGTGTCTAGATAACTTGAATTTAAATTCAAATGGTAATGAAAAATCAATGACGCATGTTCGTACATTATTTTTTAATCCTGGACTCGTTAATGGTACTTCTCTAAGATTAGATAAGGACAGTAATGGGGAAGAAAATTTAGTATCAGTGCCTTCTGGTTCGTAACATTTAAGCTTTTTATTACAGTCTCTCATCATGTATTTCATAAAACCTCTCCTTCTATTCATTCCTGATTGCAGAAATGCATATATAACTCTAATAATTTTTAAACTTATTACATTGCTCAATGGATAGGAATAATTCTCTATTTGTACAGGACAAATATATAAACGTCGAGCCAACAAGTCCATAAAATATGCAGGATAATTGCCCATAAGAAATTCATCTACAAACAAATTAGGTACATTAGCTAGTGCATTAGTGGTAGCAGATTCTGACCCCTTTAAGCATGTCTAATATTTCAACTTCGTTTTCTTCCTCTTCTTCTTCCTCTTCGGATGATTCAGTCTCCATTTTTATCAGTTTCTTCCATGTACATTAGACTATTAACATCTGCATCAAATTTAAAAATTCTGTTTATGGAATGTGTTGTGGCACGAGCTGCATATTCCTGTGAAAACCCCAATGGAAGTAAGCAAGTATTTCTGTAGATGCATTTGTATAGCCATTTTTTGTCTTACGGTTCTAGGTGATCTACATAGTATTCCAATGACTGCTTTGTCCAAGATGTAAAATCCGCTCAACCATTGTAAAGTTGCTTCTATACAATACTGTCGATTACTTTACCTTTTTCTTGTTATTCGTCGTAACTTTAAATAATGAAAGATGTTTCTAAATGTACCACGTTTTACATAATCATTGCCTAGTAATATTGCAGCTAATGGTAATTGTCCAATGTATCAAATGGTATGTACAATGTCCTAAACACATAAAAATCTGAATCATAACTCGATACAGGACAATTCAATATCCTTGCTACAGTAGCTATAGCATTATCAGTTTCGAATAAGCATTGCACATGACGAATATTCTTCTTTCTCGTAACATCTTTGAAAACTTCCTAAATATGTAAAGGAAAAAATTTCATTTTCTGTTGACAGATCGGAGAAAAAGATGATGCTGTACGAATCTTTTCTTTAGTTCTAGATATAACTGTTTGCAGTTTCTTATCCTTGCAACCGCCATCGATCAAAACTAATGGTACTACATTGCACTTTAACAAAACGTCAAAAAAATCCGATACTCGTTGAGCGTATTTATCTTATCGTAATCACCGCCAAACACACAGTTGCACTTGTACGAATTATATATTTGACAGCTAAATAACTAAATACGTATCACGTGGCTCGAAATATTCCAAATAACGATCTGAACGATTGTTTATGAAAATTGTTAAACCTGGAATACCCATTTGAAACCTATTTATTAATTTACACTTTTCTTAATGTTTCATATCACAAACTAAGTTCGTTATGCGTATATCAATATTAGTTATTATGCATTTATACATAGGTTGCATGTAACAGATACTTACACAAATTTTGTGTCTTTCGTTGTTTTATTTGAATCAAAAGTTTGTTAAATATTATACTTTGACTACTTGGATAAATCAAAGAAATACAAGAGCTGTGCATAATGTTTTTGCATTGATCTTTACGATATTACAAACCGGTATAATAAAAAATAAAATTAGATAGTATACTGATCTTGCATAATTAAGTGCATTGACGGGCGACAATACTAACGACGAATTTCCTTCCTATACATATAGGCAAATATACCATGTTCAGTTTTATTGCATAACTTGTTCCATAACAGAGATGTAAAGTGTCTCTGAGTTGTTAAATATAAAAGTTGTTACAAAACAGAGATGTAAAGTGTCTCTGAGTTGTTAAATATAAAAGTTGTTACAAAACAGAGATGTAAAGTGTCTCTGAGTTGTTAAATATAAAAGTTGTTACAAAACAGAGATGTAAAGTGTCTCTGAGTTGTTAAATATAAAAGTTGTTACAAAACAGAGATGTAAAGTGTCTCTGAATTGTTAAATATAAAAGTTGTTACAAAACAGAGATGTAAAGTGTCTCTGAGTTGTTAAATATAAAAGTTGTTCAGTTCATTGCATAAGTTGTTCCCACAAATGAGATTTTCTTGGTCTTTAAAAAGACCGGTTTTGTCCCTTGGCCGCTGCTCTTGAAACATCTTCTTGGCCGCCATCTTCGATTTTGATCGAATGTAAATCTTCAATTAAATTCTTCATCTCGATGCGGTCTGTCTTGCTTGGTGGTTGGGAGATAACTCCCGCGCGAGGGCCTCAGGGGGCTCTTATAACGTTTCAAGGAGGACGGACGATGGTCGCCCCCAGCGGACTGGCTGCTGATTGGCTCGTTGATTCTTTGGCTTGACTGCATAAAAGTGGACACAGCTGGGCAACTCTTTTCAGTACTCCTGGAGCCGCCGGGGGTACTGTCACGCGTTTTTGTTTTCTGTTTCAGATATCTTCTGCGATGCTGACCAGGAAGGAAGGATCACCCTTTGGTTTTGGTATAGATACAATTAATATTAATATAACTAATGAAAATATTGTGTTTTTCTGCATTTTTATGTATATAGGTATTTTCATATTTGGGTTCTTCGTTCATCTAGTTTTATCTATATTCATTACATCGTTGGGTTGATATTTTTCAATTTATTCTATTCTATCTTCGTCTCGCTTTCATCGTTGGTTTGTTCTTTTACGATTTATTTTGTTATTCGTCTTGCGCTTCGTTGGTTTTTTTAATTTTCAAAATTAATCTATAATTCAAAGTACACATCGTTGGTTTCTTTTTTTTCGAATGATTCGTTTCGTTAATTTACTTCGTTGGATTGTTCCAATTCCTTATTTCAAACTAATTTGTTATTTAGGTTTTATTATTTGTCTACATGTACACATAACTACTAATTTTTATTTCAGTTTTTTACCAGATCAATTTCTAGGAGGAGGAGGAGATCAATAGATGACGTCGGATTCATCGGGATTTACACGTAAGCGATTAATTTTAAGGCGCAGCGCGAATGTAAAAATTAACGTCGAATTTTTCTTTTTCCTTCTTTTCCTTGTTTTTCCGATGTTTCCTATATTTCATTAATTCACATTAATTCTCAATTCCACCTACGACGTTAATTTTCAATTTACATTGTATATTATTTTATTTACTGCGTAGATTGCCAAGTAATGAATTAATTAATAGCTTATTTTCCAGTCTCGTTTCCCCGTTTCTAGCTCCGGTCACCGCTGCTTTGATGTAAAAAGCAAGTGATCGGCCGTTTAGATGGTTCGAAGGGTCGGTTGCCGTCCTCTGGTGAGACAATTCTAGGGAAAGAGTCATCGGCCGTAGAGGGGACCTGTTCCTGTCTGCGGTAGCCCCGACTCAGGATCTCTCTCCTGTGTAAGACGTCCCGGGTTGGGTCCTACGGGCTCCCAGCAGGACGCGTTGGAGAAATGGGGAACCCGTGTCTGGTGCGTCGATTCTCCTCCCCTTCAATTGGACTTGCTAAGAGGTAACGAGCTGCCCCTTTTGACCCGCTATTCGGTACGTGTCGCACCTCATGTTCCTACTGCACTGCGCAGTATTGTGTCGCGTTTCGTCGTGTCGCGTCTCCCGCAATTTACCTTCCTCCTTTGTTTTAGAAAAGTAATTACTTGGCATCTTTTTTTTTGCGTAATCTAGTTTCTAAGTGTGTAAAAAGGAAGGTCGATCGAACTTTGTTCCATCGATCTCACTTTGGGTCTCCAATCGCAGCAACCTCCTCGTGGTGAGACCTGGTAATCGGTGTTACCTTTCAAGAAGAACTTCTTCATTATGGGTAACACCGAGCTAATGGCTGCGAATTTAAAACAATATAAATTTCAGTTTTAATCGAAATCAAAATGAAATGTTGTCTAATACTTTTTTCTAGGTATTCATGAGCTCAACTTCTAGAAAAAATTTCAATGATATAAGTTTTACTATTGTAAAAGTTATGATCGTTTGAAAATTGACAATTTTTCTGAGCAATTTGTCACTTTACGACGTTAAGGAACAACTTTTCGAATATTCTTAGAATTTCTACATATTCTTCACCAAAATACGCGTTGTTTGCAATTTGAAACATTAAAATCCTCCAGTCCGTTCAGAAGTTATAATGTTTTAAAGATACAGAAATGTTCGCTTGAAATTTCATGCGTGTGTCGGCTTTCCCCTCCACTCCGTCGGACGCTGAGGAAGTTCATCTCGATTTTCATCTCGATCGAATAAAAATACCTAACTGCATTTTTCTTATTTATTATTTGTTCCATTATTGTTGTGAACTACTTAAGGCAATAAAATTATGTCTTTTTTTTTCTTGTTTTCTTTTATAAACATTCTTATTCACATGGAAGTTTACAGCTTTCTGCATAAAAATGAAAATTATACAGAAATTGTATACAGAATCGATTCAGTGTACTTGTATGGAAAATTTGAGACAACAAATTTTTTTTTAAGTGTCCAAAGACAGTTGAACATTTGGAGCGATTCAAGATGTTTCTTCATTTGCATATTATCTGCAGTACGCATCTGATTCACCTACCTACTCCATAAATGTTTAAACATCTTCTCTCCTTACTTTCCAAGTCACGATTGTCAATCTATTAATTGTGACTTATCAACAAATAGTTATTGTATTTACAAAAAATATGTTTACAGAATAAGATATTTGTGGCCTTCACAGCCCAAGTTTTGACAATCGATACTGGTTGAGGCTTATACCCATATGCTTTAACCAGTATCAATTACGTTTCCAAAATTTATAAATCACGTAACATCTATATTTATAGAATCAATAACAACATGAATATTCGTGACACGTTATAAACGACAAATAATATATCAAAGAACGTATAAGAAATTAATTAACGAGACGCAGTAACGAATTTAATCTTTCGCGTCATAATAGCACGTCACAATATAATTTTCTTAAACCGAATGTTGGATCCGTGAACCATTAAAATATACTCCGAACATCGATATTAATATTCAGTTCTTGAACTTATGTACTTCAATATTAAAAACTAGATATAGTTACGGTTGTTTTGAGACCGAAGAAATATACTGTAATCTATAGTTTAGATAAAATGTGCCAATCACACTTTTTTTATCGAAAGTATTTCGGCACAAGTACAATAAAATTAAAACTTGTGTTCGTTTCCCTTTTGATTTCTCGCTTGAAACACTGATTGGCATAACAATGTTATGAGTTCTTGAATTTTCGTTAAACTTTGAAAAATCGTACCACCCGCACTATGTATTGTTTACATATTGGACATTCGGACATTTGTTTGCCACAATTCAGACAGCATGCTATATGGCCGCATTCCAAAATCACACATTCGACCGGTTCATCCCAACAGATTTTGCAAAGATTTTCATCCAATATTTCCTTGGCTGTCAATAAAATATACAGTTACAATTTCTTCCTACTTAAATATCGAAATAAATAAATGTATTTTGTGTAAAACAGATCATACCTGTTTTCGACTGTTTATGTTCTTGCCATAATCTGGACGCTCTGTCCAACAGTTCGCGTCTTTCTACGCAACCTTTATAGTCTACACGATTTATACTTAACAAATTTTTTAATTGCTTTACAGATAAATATTCCAATTCCGATAAATTATTTATATCGGATAGCTTTACATGGTCTGACCACTGTATGGAAAAAAGAAAGCTGATATAGATACTTTTGTTTCATGAAATTATAATACCTCGTAGACAAATAGCCCGCATTCTAATTAGTTATTTTTTTACCATAGGAATATTTGTAAATGTATCAGAATGGTGCTGTGTGCTGGAAATTTCTGAAATTTCAACTTCTTCTGAGATAACAGGCTCTGGTTCCTCGTTTGGACTAGAAGTACTTTCAGAAATATCTATAATTTCATCTTGATCGATCCTCATACTACTAGTTTCTTGCCCTTGATCATAAGGTTCATGTTCTTGAGCATAAGGTTCAGGTTCCTGAACGCTAGGCTCATGTTCCTGAGCACAAGGTTCATGTTCATGCTCTCGAGTACAAGGTTCATAGGTGTGTTCGTCTTCTATGTCTACTAGTTGGCTCGAAGCAGAGCTACTACTGAAACTAAATCATTATAGAATGCTTTTACAGTTTCTATTTAAAATATACGTGTAAGGATTTTTTAACTGTAATTGTAACAACACGCTATATTAAACCACTGGCACAGAATTTACAATATTAACATTTCTAACCAGCTAAAACTTTACAACGTAACGTGCACCGTCCGTGTATATTTTCTTAATTCTCAAGAGTATCGAGATTAATCGAGAAAAAGTTTGCAAGTTTCTATTTGTAATATCTCTGCTTACATTTGCTACATAATAAAATACAACGTACATGTTCTGTGCCCTTGTGTTCTCTGGGATTTCTATATTTTTATAATCGCTATTACCATTAGCAAATATCATCACTAGTTCTATTAAATCTTCTTTTTCTGGAAGCAAAAGAGTTAAAAATATTTTCGAGGTCCTGCATTAATTAAACAATAATCTTTAACCCTTTTGAAGCGGGAATAGTAACGACGGATGGTTACAGGTCGCCAGTAGTATCAAAAGGGTTAAAAATTCTTTGTAGAACAAAACGATTACATTTTTACAGAGTACACAGATTATATTATAATGTTAGAACTCCAAAAACATGCTTAATATCGTATACATACCGATGCACCCTTTGATGGATACCTTGTTCCCCAACAGATATCTCAGCAAATCTTTAGAGCGCATTTGCATAATTTGGTTTCGCATCAAAGGTCTTTGCGATAATATACCACAACTGGTGCAGTTTAAGGTCTTATGCAGTCGTTTGATCACACATGCGGAACAAAAATACCTCGAACAATCTGTACATTGTTTCTGGATGGACAACACAATAGAAATAGAATAATTTTTGGCGACAAAGATACGTATTCTATCATGGTTCTCACCTTTCGTGTGAAAAAATTGAATTTTACGTTACATGCTTCGCAAGCCATGCCGTTTTGTACGAATAATGCGATAACGCAAACGGTCTTCGTTAAACAAAAGTTCAAAGGTTAGGTTTACACTGAATCATGAAAATACACACCGTACACGTTATAAATATTAATACAATGGTATATTATAAAAAGGAAAAGGCTGAGAAATATTAATTAGAATTGACGTATTTCGCTCTATTTAAATTATCTCACTACCCACCTAATACAATGACATTATAAACCAAAATGGAGATGAATACCCTCCCTAAAATTTTATCAGAGATGGCGCAACTATATGATTCACGACGAATTTAATCGCAAATTACTACACCGTAAAAATTAATCTCAATGTTAACGTAAGTTGTATGTACTTTATTTTTGCAATAATAGTCAACGGTTTTGTTCAATTAAAATATTATTCCTATTTGTATCCTACATATACGTATTATGAGTCTGATATAAGGGTAAATCATTAAAGTCGTACATGATTCGAGATTCTTTATCAACTATAGTTGTTACTTGTTACAAGATCGACTTAGCAACGTAATCTAAATTATATTTATACAAAACACCGTTGTTTACGTGTCGGAAGTGCGATACGCACACGCTTCAAGTTGAGCTAATAAATCGTAATTAGCGTAATCGTATTCACTGAAATGCACATCGGTGAATCGCATTATTAACTAAATAATCTGAACGGCTAAAGGATATTTATTGTTATCGTGTATAAGACGACGTCGAAGAATAATAAATTGCTAGAATTAATATGGCGATAAAAAGTCGGGCGCATATTTGCGCGCAACGTAGGCCAGAACAGGCCGTTAAAGCGTAAAACGCGTATTTGGTTTCCTATCAAGTCGAATGCGCAGTTTCTTTCCACTTTGTTTTTAAATTCAAAGGATAACGGGTAAACATTAACAATTGAATATGTTTCGAAGCCGCGCAAATAAATTTTGAAAGGAATCGGAAGCGCGAGCTGGCCGGTTAAAATATTTTCTTTTCGACTTGCGAATGGTTGGCATAGTTTCGAGCAAATGGTACAATTAGACCTACATCGAAGGGTGCATCGTGCGTTTCGTATTTTGAGAAAATTCAGTTTCGTCCCGTGTTCGTTCGGTAGATTCGGCCGAAAAAGAACGCTGAACTGTCTCGACTGTTTCGCCAGCCACGGTATTCTCGTGAAAAGAGTCCTTCCTGTAAAAAATGATACCACCAGTGTATAGAACTCGATACGTATTCGTTTATGCTTACGTGTATCTGTTCTCGGATGAACGAAACAATGATTTTGGACAATCTTTGAAGTATGGCCAACATTCTCCATGAAACTTTCCTCTGTTCTCAGCTTCGACGTAGTCCTTTAGGAGGTTCGAAAACGGTGATTTACTAGCGCTGAAAAAAAAATTTTTTTCTTTGTCTACATCCGTCTTTTTTTTAATAGCACACATCTACCGTAAGCTTACGTGAAAAAAAGCTTGAGCATTTCTCCGATCAGACCGAAATTGCTCAAAGGGTGTCCTTGAACTTCGCAGATCGCTCTTAATAGACACGCCTTTCCGTTCAAACCGAAATTGGCAAGCATATCCTCGGCGGTGCCGTACAAAAGCGCCCTTTCGCCACCGTAAAACGCGTTCTTCGGCGCATCCTCGATCGCTTCTCTCTTGCTAAGTCCGCGCTTCACGAAGGACGCGATAAACTCTGCCGTGGTCGAGCCTTGGTCCCTCGCGGTAGCATCAAATGCCGATGGCAAAACGCCGTAAGGGTTTTCATTGTCGGTGAGACCAAGCTTGTCGAAGTCAACTGCAACAAGAGGATGGGGATTAAATTAAAATTGAAAAAAAGAATTCGATATCGTTTACTCACTGGTAAAGGGGAGGCTGATGGTCATGTTGCTGAGAAAACCATGAGGTGGGTATCTAACGAACGGTAACGCCAACGTCGGTGTTATCGTCATTATCGTGCCTGGCGGCAGAGCTATCCGGCCGTCGTTGGTTATCCAAAAGAGCCTCTTCTGTCTATGATGAGAGTATCGCGGATACGAGTTTCCGTCGCCGCCGCTCTCGACATCCGACGACTTGAGGAACAGAATCAGTCCAAGCAATGCCACCATGCTCCTCCTCTTCTCCATGGTTTTTTTCTCCTCCGTCGATACGGAGAAGTTTTAAGGGCAAAATCGGCGCTCACCTGGAAGAAACGACTATAAGCTTCTGCCTCGCGCGCATTTATCTTTTCGCCGGGATAGAGAACGGTTAACTCGAAGATGCAAGGTATAACGAAGGCGTGCGTTTCATCGGTAGCTAGAATATGCAGGACAAAACGAAAGCGGGTTAAACATAGTACCATGGAAAGGATCGCGAATTAAGGAAATTTCCGTTAGGTGTGTACGTAGCCAGCGCTACGGGCATACAGTATGCGTGGTACGTATCGTTAGGGTTTCTTAACGCGACGGAGAGGATCGCCTCCCATTTCAAGGTCCCCGGTATATCAAACCACGAATACGAAGTATTTGAATTCAAAATCAGCGTGGTTCTGCTTTGCACGCATCTCGACTGACAATCCGTATTCGTAACAATACCATGAGTATCGTATTTGCGTCGCTTTTGTCGCGTTAAATTCTTTACGATTAGAGCACACTCGATCGTCGACAGGCAAAAACACGAGGAGAACGAAAAGGTAGGTCAACCGAGCGGCGTAACGTGGAATACAAATTCTGACCACCATATGTATCCACATGTAGTCCTGCCGACATTCCTTGATCACCGTCGACGCGTGCATTGAAATCAAAATCGAATCAGAGACCCACTTGAACGATCGAATCCGGTGCTCGATTTCCGTACATTTTTTTTTTTCTTTTCGTCCGAACCGTTAAGCCCGGGCGTGGAACCGGGTCGTGGCTAAAATCGTCCATCGTTAAGCTATCCTTGTTTTTTGGCTTCGATTATCGTCCATGCGTGTCCGAGAAGGATTTTTTAACTCTCCGATCCATCTTTTCGTAAGCTTCTCGGCGATTTCCTCATTTTTCTCGCGTTTCTTCGAACCGCTACGCCCTTCCGTTGTCTCCCGCTCCTTTCCACTCTCTGTTTCTCTCGCGAACACGTGCGTACATTTCACCCTCTTTTAAGTTTTCTTTCGTTAAAACGAAATTATATCGATTATCGTTCGAGAAAATAAAAATTCCTCGACCAATCGGGGAAACATCCCCTCTTCGTACCATACCGTGTTTAACGCTCGGGAACGTATGAAGGACTTAGATAAGAGTTGCACACTTACGATGTTAGTCTCACGTAGAGTTTAGTCCGTTCGAGTCTCGTTAACAATTCAGAGAAACAGTTATTTTATGAATTATTTCTTTTTTTCCGTTTTTCATTTACAACGTACGTAACACGTTTTGCTTGCTAAAAGGTCTTGACTGGTCGATGGATGAAACGAAATAAGTTTGTTTATAACGATGTGCGATTAAACTTAAAAAAAAAAACGACGTGGTCGGGGCTGTCGGCCCGAATACCGGCGGGAGTCGAACAAGCTCAGGGTCCAGGACTCGACTTCAAAAACCAGTCGCGAGTCTAACTTGTTTTTACATCTGTGTACGAGGAAACATTTAACTCGTATATAATCTTCGTTTCGAAAAGGCTGGTAATATTAATAATCGTACGTTGTGAGAAAGAAGTCGACACAAGTAAGCACTTTAAACTTACAACGTGTTGAAATATTGTTTACAATCGGAAGAACCCTACTACTTGTAAATAACGCTACTTTGATTAGGAATGCTGTAAAGTAATACACCATATTATCGAATCTTTTTATAGGCCAAAATCCCGGATAAAATCGGCAAGGCAGAGCCAATAATTAGGTAGTACGTTAGAAAGGTAAACATGGTTACGAGTGTAGTCTTCGTAGAAAATTCTGGAAAGTGTATAGAAACATTGAAAGCTGATCGTTGCACATGCAAGTACCTTAAATTTGTCGTGGATGCGGTATTTGTTTCGCGAAGACTATACCGCCAGAGAACGGTCGTTGTACGATAACTGGGCTAATTTTGATGCACGCTGATTAACAGGGCTACGGCATAATTGCACACACTACGGTTTCTTTGCCGTTGCTAGAACGAAAATCCAACAGCTCCACGTCCCACCTTCTTCCTCGGATCCTTTAACAATAAGTTTACGAACGATTATTGTACAATATCTATTTACGGTAAATAAATAAAAGCATACGAACGCGTACTCCGATGGGTGTGCGTCCGTTTCTTCGCGTAAACGTAATTCGTGGTTTGGCACACGTGCATGCGCGTACAGCGCGCACAAACCGTCACAATTTTACCGTCACCGTCGGCTTGTCGAGCCAATGGTTGGCTCCTTGCCTTCAACAATCGCAGAAGGACTGACTCTCGGTCTCGAACTGACCGAATAGTCCGCTCGACGACGACGTACCGCGTTTTACGAGCCACACGTTATCCGCCGTTACGTTACGTTACTTCCCACTCGCGCGTATTCCTTTCTTACTCTTGACTTTCATTCCCGCCATTTTAATATGCAACACGACCCCTTCGTCTCTTTACCCTCCGCTTCCTTTTTCCGTCACTTATCGAGTTCCGCTCCCTTGTTACAGTTCTCTATACCGATATATCGCAGATCAAAAACTAATATAATTAATTATTAAACGGAGACGAAACCTGAATGGACGATGAGTAGGAACTCACGTACACGCGACAGCGGCTGTCAACAGCTAGTAAAGTCATGTAGACCTGGGCTATTTTAGCGAACAGCACCGTACAAAGCAAAAGGACGAGGCTAATTCGAGCTAACCGGAAAGAACGGATGATCCCATGCCAAAGAATATTGCATACGTTAATAATAAAATTCACAACGTACTTTATTGTAAATCTGCGAATCGAACAATACAGTATTACTAATTCTAAATTACTCGGAGAACCCACGTGGGCGAGTGACCGTGCGTAATCCTGACTCAAGTCTATCGAACCAAGGAATCCATGGATAAACGGTGGTTAATCGAAACAGTCTGGATTCTATTAAGTTCGCGTAAACAGCAATCTCTCGTTTTCACAGTGAACAGAAACGAGAGGAATCGCTAGAAACGCGCTGCAAATAAAGTAGTGTCCAAGGGGCAAATGAGGACGTTGTGACGTTCATACGCGCGCGGGATACATACAATAAGGCCGCGTACGAAAGAGAAAAAAAAAAAAATGAGACAAAACAATGCGCACTTTTATCGCCAAAAATAATAACGTTACCATGAAACAGAATTACTCCCTAGTTAATACCCGGTGACATTAATGTTACGCTCTACATAGCGTCCTTTTTATGGCACCCGATATTCGCATGTGCGGTTCAACTTAAAAAATACTAAATTTTAATCAAACGTTGTATCACTCGTTTTCGAGTCCAAAGAATAATCGCAACTACAATTTCCTCACGGTGTGTTCGGCTTTAAATGAAAAACCCGTACATATATGTACACAAATGTATATAAACACATATGTATATTTGTGTACACATATGTATTTGTATTTGTACGTATACAGGATGTTAAAAAGAAGCTGTAACAAATTTAATATATATATGTATAGTAGTCGCTAAAATGAGTCAAGAATGTCCTAAGGAAATACAATAGTATTTTCTATAATAATAATTCTATTTTCACCCCAAAATGCTATAAGCAAAACAAGCACCTTGCACTACCGGCACATAAAAATCAGTAATTAGTTTGGCAAACTTTGTTTACGAAACTATCTTATCCTACGTTGAACATTCTTTAAGTTTTAATAAATTAATTGAATGCTTACGGCGTCAAATTCTTGAATTCTTCTTTTTATCACCCTGTGCATTAACATATATTTTTTTTGTTTTTACTTCCTTCTCCGTAAAAGCACGACCAGTGGAAAACAAAAATCGATACCAGAATGTCGTTTGATTTGATTAAAAAATTTTCACGGAATTTCGAACATGACCAGAAATATATAATGCCTTTCGATATTTGATGAACGATAGAAAGATGAAACGAGACGTGTCTGCTCGTGCTTTTTCTTTTCGTTTCCACCCTCTTTCACTCTTATAAACACACACACGCACGCACACACACACACACGCGCGCACGCACACGCTCCTCCCTCTTCTACTCTCGTAATAAATGCTGATTTGGAGGAATCGTTGTCTAATTCTTTCACAGAGGAGTTATTTTCCATTCTTAATCGGCGCTTTTACTCTCAATTTGCTCCGACGCAGTTAACGATACTCTTTCATCGAAACCTCTTCCAAACTTTCAAACAATACGACGCAGCATTAAATCAGCATTGTACGCATAATTTCACCCGATACAACTTTTACATTGCTTCTAAGATAGAAAAGAAAAAAAAAAACAAAGTTTACCAAAAACAAAGATGCGAAAGATATGTTTTTCCTCTTTAACTTTATTTTTTTTCGTTACCTTCCCTAAAGTTTTTTTTTTCCCCCTGAAGTAGTAAATACGTTAGAAATAATTCGACGAATTCGGCGAACGTTTTCGACGTTTAATTTCCGTTAAATTATTATTATCGGCACGCGTTAGAACGCCCGAACAAGGCACACTTATTGCTTTTTATAACATTGCGCCTCGGTAGCGATTAGCGGCTTTCGTATATGCGCTCGTCCATTTTCCGTTACCGTTCGTCTCTCCGATAGTGTAAAACATGTAAAAGATTTAGGAACTCTGAAGATTCGATGTTTCGATACGAATAATCTTGGTTCGCGGATGTGATTTCGGATTTTTTTTTTTTTCTTTCTTTTCCTCCATCATTGCGCCTGAAGGCAAGAGAACGCGAAATGGATCCGAAAATATTAGTGCGCTTTGGCTACGCTATACTCGTTCACGGAACAGAAGATTTGAACGTACTGAGAAAGATGGGATTCGCATAACAACGACGACTCGATCCTAACACGCTTTACTACGTATTCCTTTTGTTCAATCCTCGTCTTTTCGTTATCGCCGTTTTCGTCTTCGTCATCATCCTCGTTGTTAATCCACGTAGTTCTTCGCGCGATCGAGAAAGATCACTTTAGTGTGGTTTTCTTTATTTTTATCCGTCGGAGAGAGATCTATTCTTAACCTAATGCAAATTACGTCCCTAACAGTTTTTAACGAGACGGTCTGGCGGACCGCGAGGATTATCGCGATTTAAAAATAAATTTGAATCGTATTTTGTACATCGAAGAACTTTGTTTCGTTTGAACACGGTTTGAAATCCTAGCACGCGGTATCGATGCGTAAATGCGCACAGATTTACATTCAACGAACGTGTTTTGGTAGCACACGTGTACGTTCGCAGCAGCATCGATCCACGCTAGCATCTACATTCACACTTTCACCACGCGATATACACAACAAGGAACGTGGCAATACCACGCTCGATAGGCACGATTTTTCCAACACCTTCTCTGCTTCCTTCTTTTTCTCACTCTTCGTCCTTTCCCCCAACCTCCTCTTCAACATCTTTAATGAATGTTCGTTTTGTTTGCAAACGCTCGGGCACACAACAAACACATTTACTAACTATATTTCTCGGCAAAAGGACTCGTCTATTCGAATTTATTTAAAGAACTTAATTATCGATAGAGCTAACAGTTAAGTCTTTGGCGTTTGTACCAATGATTTTTTTTTTTTTTATTCGCGATCCGTGTTTTACGACGCTGATCCCCGATTAACGAATCTTTCACAATTCGAACTTTGTATATAACATATGTTCAACCGTCGATTAGGATGCATAATATAAATCTATGTATACGTACTTATTATCTATACACGTATCTTTTTGATAGGCACGCACGCGGTAATATTTCTCGCTCGGTTCCATATTCTTGATGCAACGGCTTACGTGTCTCATGATTTATCGTTTGTTAACGTAGATAACGATTGCTTCCTGTATTTTTTTTTTCTTTTTCGGAAGGAATAACGATCAATGCGCGATTAATGAACTGGTTTAACTGACTGGTAGCGTCGGGTTCGGCAGTACTGTACATTCGTTTCAGGGAGGAAAGAGAGAGAGAGATGCATCGATCGTACGCGAACGCGTCGAAAGGATGAACGAATCTCTACTCGAGCAGTCTTATTCGTCTAACGTAAATGCGAAGATAAACGCAATTAATGCCGTAATTGCTATCGATGCAGTGCATAATGCTGTAATAGTAACAACCGGGGATAAACTAAAAGCGACACGGCGTAACGTATTCGTCGCTTTAGGTACCGTGCGGTCTCAAAATATATGTAGAAGGAAGGCACTCGCAATTGTTAACATTATGCGCTCTAACCGCTAATCTTAGCGACATGGAAGAACAAAATAATAATAGTGATAGTAATAATAATAATTAATAATAATAAAAAAAAAAAACAAACACAGAACGCAACAAAATGCTTTCAATGTTCTTTGGCTAGTTCCTGCCTGACAAAAATATTTATCGTGGAAATGTACACGGAAACTGATTCGAAGTACACACGTTCGTTGCGAATGTTTGTGAATAGCGGGGGGGGGGGAAATATGGCAACATATAAAACTTTTTGAAAGACGTGAGCGATATTTGTAAATTCGCAAGTTCTTTCCGTTTCGTTCCACCTATCGTTCTCCCTTTCTTCCTTCGAATATTAACAAGAGACACGTATCCGCGGTTTAGTAACAAGTTACGAAGATGACGATTTTACCAATATTCCGAACTTACGGTAACACGGTGCGTAGAATTCGACGAATATTTGAAAATTGACATCCGATTTCAACATCTCTCCCCGTTACACTTGGTTTTTTCACTCGTAGTAGAAAATTTTGGCACTTGTTTGGCCGTCGATCTCGTACGGTATCGACAGAAAACACACATAAAAATCAAAAACGAGACAAGACGTCTTGTTGTTGGTCCGGTGGCGCCGTTCTACGCGAAGAATTCGTGCACGAGTAGCGAGTACTCCTCGATATATTTTATTTCATCGAAACCTGTAGCACTTCAGTCTCTTGAATGAATTCCCGGGAACGGTTCTATTCCCTTAAAACTTGTTCTCCGTTTGTAAGAACTTGTGCCATGAAAAACACGATTTAAATACTGAATGTTCAAACTATCTTTGAAAATGTTGAATTACGCACGCGTGCGTACGAAGAAAAAAGTCCACAACATTTCGAGAACATTGTCATATATATATATATATGTTGAGAAAACGTTTGGTTATTTTTAGCCAGTTATCTTTAGTTCTTCGCGTCTCGAGGGGTTCTTTATTTTTTTTTTTTTTTAAATTCTTCTCTTTTGTCAAACCGCGATTCCTGAGTTTTTTTGTCTCGAAAAGCTGAAACAACGATCGCGCGGTGAGAAACGATCGGCTTCGAATTGCGTATGCTTTCCGTTTTGATTCGCGCATTTCGAAATTGCGAGAAAGAGGAACAACGGAGGGAATATTAATATCGTATGAGACTCGAGAATCGTCGCGCCGACAATGCCAAAGCGAAAAAGGATTGTTCTTGTGTGTTTTCCACGGGATAATGGAATTGGAAGCTAAAGAAGGTTGGTGTAAACGAACAACAACACTGCTGCTCTTGTTAAACCGGTACGGCCCCCTCGCGTTCCTTTTCCTGTTGTCGCACGGCAACAGCTGCTTCGACCAGTAAGTAAAGACACTTGAACTTGTCTTTATCCTCTTCGGGTGGCGTCGGCGGCGGCGTCTCATCTGTATGCGGACTATGAGCGTTACGCGTACTGTACACTTCTGTTTCGTGTTGTACGTCGGGGGTTTGTATAAGATGCTGTCTAGGTGCGCTCCAGTACGCGGCTTCGTTTCCCATCGAAGACTCGTCTTCGTCCCTAGAAAAGAAAAGGGACAAAAATTAATTCGATAAGATTTCGATTACCCGTTCCCGCATTATCATCGTGCAAAGACGTAATGCGGAAACGGTGGTCGTGGTAGAGCCGTCGCTAGGCATACCCTCGCCGCGCAGGATGGGCAATCGTTTCTTCGTAAGCACCAAGTTGACCGACGTTTTGCTCAATCTTTGTCTCCGAGTAAGGATAAACTATCACGCTTGGCCACTGAGTCGTCGGACGTTCCTCCTCGCTGTGGGAACTGCTTTCGTAATCGTTTGGACTATCCTCCTCGCTTCTAAAAAAAAGAAACGACAAATAACCAGATACACGACGATAGTTTTTGCATATTTAATCAGAAATAGCAACGAACCGATACATTAATCCAGCAGGATCTTCGTAGTCGTGATCCCTGCTGCGTTTCGGGGCGCTCATACCAGCCAACGAGTCCCAATTCTGATTGGTTCTTGAGCCAAGACTGGACGATTGTTGGTGACTTCCGGCGGGCATCTTCTTACCGCGACGAGATATCGTGTATTGCAGAGGATCGTGGCCCTCCCTTCGAATCATTTCCGGCAAGATTCGTCGTCTGGCGTTTATGAACCAATTGCAAACCTACAACAGGCGCAACCGAAGGTTAGGTACAAATTCTACACGGCAATTAAACGTGTAAAATTAAAATATTAGCGAGGCATCACTAACCTGGAGCACCGTGAGATTTGCTTCCTGACTGAGCGTCAGCTTCTCGCTGTCGCTCGGATAGGCATTGTATCTGTGCTCGTAAAGCCATCGCTTTAGAATTTTCACCGAGTGCTTCGGTAAGTTTCCTCGACGTTTTCTCACGGAATGCTGGCCAGAGTGATGGAGTATTCCAGAGTGGACTTTACCACGTAACGCGTTCGAGTCGTGTTCCGTATCGGAACCGCTTTGGTCGTCGTCCGTGCTGCTCGACGAAGGAAAACGTTCCCTTGCTGGAACAAAAAAACACGAATCGGTTAATCGAGCTTGTAATTTCAGTTCTACCAACTGTCCCGTACTTCTTACGGGTGTAAGAATCCTCCCTCATGTTCCATTAGGTTCTATCGCGACTCAGCGAACACGATTATTTCGCCTTACGAATCAATTATTCGAATCTCACGGTCGAGCGAGGAAATGAAAACAACCTATACGTACTTGAACGTTGACCATTCATTTCTTTTTCTCGTCCTCATTTTCGTCATTCATAACCGATAACGAACGCATCGACGAAACAAGAGTCTCCTACCTGTGTATAAACATTTACCTCCAAAGGAACAAAATAACGTGTGCAAAGAATACAAAATATTATAAATATTAAGGTTCATTTGTCCTAAGCGTTTTAAAGTGATCAGCCAGTGACCACCACGACAGAAAACGTGTGTTCAGTATAATATTTCGTACGTCTGGCCGGCACAACGATATCAAATTTCGTTGAAAGATAATTTTTACAATAATTAACATGTGTTTTATGTACTTGTCAAGAGTATTGTATGATAAAATACGATGAAAACGAATACTCGTTATCGTTCTCTTATCGATAGAGTTGCTCGATCGAAAAATCCTATAATACTTTCTATCCAAGATACTGTTCGACATATTTTTACAAAATCCATAGTCGAAACAATATGTACCTTCGAAGGATTCGCAAGATTCAGTTTTTTTTAGGCATCTGGTTAACATAAAAATGATAGGCGACGGATTGTTGCTACGATCTTTTTCGGGTGTACAAAATAACGATCGAACAGCGACTTTTCTGCTTATTCGTGAAATTATATCTCCGTAGACTAAATCCGCGGGTCCTAGTTCGTTCTGGCGACTAATCTTAGCACTTGAGTTTGTAGTTACGTAAGGTCCAGTAACCCGACAGCACAAAATTAGGATCCAAGCTCCTCGCGGCTAGACGAAAACTATGTGTCACGATGGCGGTGGGCTGCGACGACGAGGGTGGTAGGAACATCGTACAGTAACAAAACTGTACGTAGGCATTATCGACTCGATAGTACGGACACCGGTTAGCTAGCCAAAAGAAAGAGACACGCAGCTACCTTAGTTTGGTCGGTACACGGAACGGCTTCCTCCATTGAGCTAAATATACAACGAGTTGCCAGCGAGTTCACGAATGCACCGTGTGCACTAATAGCGTTCCCTATCCGACAACCAGTCCTCACCTTCTCAGCATCTTAGAAAGCAGAAAAAAAAAACAATCCTGTACGACCACGGATGCAATGCTCGAAAAAAAAAAAGAAGAAAAAAAAAAATGTACATTTGTGTAATCGGACTCTTCACATTCCTCTGCGCCTATCGTCGTAACTCGTCGATCGATTAATCATTGACGCAATTATCGATACAGCTTCGATCTCCATAATGCGAAAATATAGCTTCGACTCGCGAATAACGCGAAAATCATCGAAACGCACGGTATGCAGAGAATTTTGAAATCTTATCGCGCAGCAATTACAGAAGAAAAATAATGAAATCGGCATTAGACGAAGGTGACATAACGTTACATCGTAATCGCACGTTCGGGTGCCACGATTTCGAAAGACTGCGAGAAATGACGTAATACGAAGATCGTAATTGTAATATAATAATTCTACATTCTCAGACTCGTGGTCTGGCTTCTCGAAGGTATTTTTTTTTGTTTTTTTATTTTTTTTTTTTTTTTTTTTCAAAAAACTTATTACTGAAACAGCATCGACGTTATTCCGTGAGCGATTGATCTCACCTAGTAGGATACCTGTCTCTAAAGGTGCACCGACGCAACGACAGTCGGTGACCCGTAACACGATTGGATGTTTTCCAAAAGATCATCGTAGCGCAACGGTACGTTAATTAGCAGTGCCCTCGCCATGTTCGAAAATACTACTATGTATAATACTATCGGGGCTTTTGACTCGATATTATTCACCATTCAACCTCAACCCCTGGCACCGATATTCCACCCCTTCCGATTAATACGTGGTCTTAAAATTTTAATCGTGCACGATAACCTATCCGTCCATTGGAAATCGATGAATCGTCGAATCGAACGGAAAAACTTGACGAAATCGTGTCGATTTTGCTTTTTGAATTTTTCCTAGCCAACGCGCGTACTGTTGAAGAGAAGTTTGAAACCGAAAGATGCCTGTCGGTTAACCTTCGTGACATCTACTCGCGTGCGCATGTCCTGTATATTTTGCATTGAATACACCGATTACGTGCGTTAAACGCAAATACATATGCAACATCCGTATGCCGAGCGTGAATTTTTTAAGTATTATTTATTCCAGTTTACTCGAATTAATAGGAAAAATTTTTAAAGTTACCAACATTTTAACGAGACCGTCGAACGTCGCTACTCCATCTTGTCATCACAGTTTCTGCGTATTCGAGTTTCTTTTCTCTGCGCTGTTTAACTCATTTATATCACAGGTGTATATACATATATATGTATACGCATTATAGCGCTGGCAAGAAAAAAATCTTTTCGAAATATTTGTATTTAAATATATCGAACGAACGAATCGAAAACCAATCGTTGGTTTTAGAGTTGATTGCGCCCCCCTCCGCAAACGAAATTGATAACACTTCGATGATCGAGCGACAAGAAATAATTTTCTTTAAGTTCGGAGAGCACGTGGTAAGTCGATCCCCGACGATTCGGGTTTCCAGTCGAATCATGCCACGGGGTTTACAGCCATGCTTACAAGGAGTCTCTTGACTGTATTGGCACACATGTAGCGGCGCGCGCGTACACGCACACATGCCTGCGCAATAGACTCTCTCTTTCGTTCTTCCTCGTGTTTTCTTGGCTCGTCGCGTTTAGAAAAATCAAGCTCGTAACGCGAGAGGCATACGCCCGAGGCGCGTGTGCGCACCACGTGGTAATTTATCCTTCATCATTTTTCCTCGATTTTAACCGATTCGATGACCTTTTCCTACTTTTTTTTTTTCTTTTCCGTTTTAGAAATCCTCCCCTTTAAACCCGCGTCCTCATACCACGTAACACAAAACTCGTTCCAAGAGGTTGATGTAACCTTCGTCGGATACTTACTTCTGTCGATAAAGAAACATTGGCAAATCGCATTAATGCCCGAGAGAATATATTCGCGAAAACTGTTCGCGATGACAAAAAATAACGATCAGAAGCGACGAAACGCATAATAAGTAAGCAAAGAAAGAGAGACACGTTTGCGTTGCCTCTTATGCTTCGCGAGAGAGAGAAAGAGAGAGAGAGAGAGAGAGACGTTAGGTGGGGGGGAGATGGGCGCCAGTTGCGCAACAGGCACGACTTTCCGTGCCAAGTCTACGCTGACGGTGGACGATTGATCTCAAAATCGATTATTCATTTTTAGCCTTAATGAAAAAGATACTGTTGCATAATTTTCTGTCTAATTTACCATTCAAACGACAACGCGTAAAAACGTTTCGTATATTTTTTCAGATTTTGTGAAATATTGCTCGATAAACGTCACTTTTTTGCCGAGGACATTTTTCATTCGTCGCGTCTACTTTGAAATCGCTATCGTCGGTCTTACCTGTCGCAAACATATTTGTATGCTGAGACGCAGACGAATTGTCGTTAGACGGAGGTATCGTCAACGACGACAATGGCGATACCGTGCGACGACGATCTAAATTTCGCGAACGACGTCGACGATGCTGTTGCTGCCCCTGTTGCAGTTGCTGTTGCTGCTCTGTCTGGCTGTTATTGTTATGCTGCCGATGATGTTTGTGACGATGATGATAGTGATGATGATGATGGTGATGATGATGATGATCGTTGTTCCGATGACGACGACGACGACAATGATATTCTTGCTGCTTCTGTGGATGTCGATGATGTTGACGTTGATCGTGATAATAATGGCTATGATACTGATGATGATATTGCTGTTGTGTACCTGTCAATTTTTCGGTACTGGCTTTTTGTTCCAAATGCATAGCCGCTGGCGGTAGCATGTCATAGAGTTGTATTGGCGAAGAAAGATGCGAGGAGGTTCAACCGTTGCGCGTGTAGTCTCAACCGAGCATCAAAGTCGACGGTCCGGATAACGGATTTCGTTACTTCAAGAAGTTTGGTTGGTATCCAAATTGTTTCCAGTCCTTGTACGTCGCATTTCGACCGATTCGTGACATCGTGTTCACCGTTTCACGACGATAATACGAGATGCCGTTTGCTTCGTATCATTCGGTTCCCTCGTACTCTTCTTTTTTTTCCTTTCTTTATTTATTTTCGTTTCGTAATCGACGGAAATTTAAACGATACGGGAGGACAGATTTTCACTCCGTTTCTTCGATACCATAGCAACGTACGACGTTTTAATAATCGCACGTCCCGCGACCTTACGCGCTACTATTTTCTCTTCTTTTATTGGACAACACCGTGTGGACGTTGACGATCGTAACGAAAACAACATCGATGACGACGAGGTGTCCCGACGCCGTTCCCAGCGCGGTTGCATTTGACGGACTCGCGAGGTAACTTTACGTCCCTCTGCTGCTCTTTGACACTCTCGCCCCTCCTTCCCCCCACCCTGCATACAGTCTTGTTTAAAATTCTAAATACGAACCAACTTTATTATTATTACCCTTTGTTGTACGTTCGAATTTCATCCCCGTTTTACGATTCGGACATTACTCGGTTCGCGATATTTTCTGCGCACGAACTATCCCGGTCGAGCAATAAAGACTCTCTTTCGTTTTATTTTCTTTTCCCCCCCCTTTTCTTTTTCTCACACTTGTATCACTTCTAGCTGTTTCATGATTACCAAAGAGCGACAGGATCAGAGGCAACCGAATAGAATCTCTTGTCATTCGCGTTCAATTTCGAGAACCGACCGAACCCCGTCACACGACGTTCAGAACGCGACTGGGCCAACCATGTTCGGAAGCCGGCTTGACAGAGGCCTGACAAGAAGACGAAGAGACAAACACGAGAACGAGTGCATGTGTTCACGCAGAGGGACGAGGAGAAAGAGAATGAGAGAGAGGGAGAGATATATTTGCGCGCGTGTGTACCCACTTCCCGCTTCTCGGCTAGCCATTGGACTCTCTCCGTCGTAGGCCCTTCCCTTCGCGTCTTTCCCGCCATGCAGACTTCATGATCATACGACGAGACCCGTTGGCCCGTTGTCCTAGTAACGATAGTGTATGCTATCCCCACCACTCTAAAATCTGCTCGTTGGCGGGAAACGCGTTCCGCGGCAGCTGTCTATCCGATCTTTGAGCTCCAAATACATAACACTTCGAGATTTCGAACCTTCAGAATCCAAATCGTGTCTCACAATTTTCTAGAATTTAAAGTAGTCAAAAATTACTCTTTTTCTTAGACATTACAAAACGTCCACTTTCAGGTTGTCGTTTAAAAAAGCTAGTGTCAATATTTCGATTAAACTTTCGTTTTCATAATTCGTAACCAGAATCGATCGCTTAAAAAGTTATTGTATCGCCTTTCTTCTTGAACTTTATCGAGAGGAACGATACTTGGTTGTAAATTATCGCGATAATGCATAGAACGATTCCTATGGCGTATGCTCGTATACGTGAACAAAAAAAGAGGAGAACATTGTAGACGTTTATCGTACGCGTCGGTAAAAAAAATGATACTCGTTCAACACCACCCGAAGACGAGGTGGAGATACGAGAAGCGATAAATGCGAGATAAGGTTAGGAGATAAAGCATGATCTATGATCAGAAAAAGCGTGACCATTTCCAAGGAGCGAGTAGTCGAGACATGGAATGTGCCACTTATAACATCTCGGGGGGGAAATTCAAAGTTGCTTTGCGATTCTTCGAGTTTGGTCTATCAGTGCGGAAATTGACTAATAATTTCCCCGTTTGTATATTGCACGAATCCCAGCCACACGATTACGTAGAATTTGATCAAACGTTTGTGAATATAACGATTTTTTTAAGGTCTCTTGCACAACCATCCAACCTTCCAATTGTTTACTTTTTACCTGTTATTCCGCCCACCGGCGACAGGAATACTCGGGCTTCGTTCCTTTAAGAAGAAATATTCAACTGTACAATCTTCCGTATGTTTATTTTTTTCTCCGACTCGGGAGTTTTGGATAAGGTAAAAGTATATTTTTATCTTATCGACACAACCTACATTTTATGTTCGTTTCGATCAACGATACTCCTAACGCGATAAGACGCTTACCATATTTCTTTCGATTTTTCTTCGTATTTTGCTCGGTCGGTAATAAATGTTCCCCCCATCCGTGACCAGAACTCTGACACTCTACGGTACAAACGCAATTATACAATTATAATTAAAACTTGTTCTATATTCTCCTCTCAGGTGAGTATCATAAAATCAACAATTTTTTAAATATCGAAACAAAGTATCGAAGGCGTTAACCGCGCGACTGCGCAAAAAGGGAGAACGAATTATCATTCGATCGAAAACAAACCTGAAGGCGACAATGTATACAGGGTGTTCGGCCACCCCTGGAAAAAATTGTAATGAGGGATTCTAGAGGCCAAAATAAGATGAAAATCAAGAATACCAATTTGTTGATAGAGGCTTCGTTAAAAAGTTATTAACAATTAAATTCAAAAATTTCAAATTGTTCTAAAAAAATTATTTTCGGTTGCGGGGGTCAATTACAATCATTTTTGGTGAATAGACATACCCCCGAAATCCTACCCACTTTCTAGGAAAAAATTCGAGAAGGTGTGAAATTTTTCGATGGAAAAAAAAATTTCAAATCGTTTTGGAAAAATTATTTTCGGTTACGGTGGTCAATTACAATCATTTTTGGTGAATAGACATACCCCCGAAATCCTACCCACTTTCTAGGAAAAAATTCGAGAAGATGTGAAATTTTTCGACGGAACAAAAAATTTCAAATCGTTTTGGAAAAATTATTTTCGGCTGTGGGGGTCAATTACAATCATTTTTGGTGAATAGATACACCTCCGAAATCCTGTGCATTTTCGAGAAAAAAATTCAGTACTGGCCGGAACTTTAAACGTTAATAACTTTTTAACAAAGCCTCCATCAACAAATTGGTATTCTTGATTTTCGTCTTATTTTGGCCTCTAGAATCCCCCATTAAAATTTTTCCCAGGGGTGACCGAACACCCTGTATATACCTAAATAGTATTTTCTTACAAATTGATCGCGGACGAATGTATAGTAGTCCACGTATACTCATTTCTCCGCCCGATCGGATCCGTCCAATGACTTTTGTTCGACCGCAACTCATAGAAGTCGTTTAGTGAACCGTCTCTAAATGCTTTGCGAGTATTCGTTAGATTCCTTAAACGGTTTAAGCGAATGCTGGATCGTGTGTGTGCAGCCAGTGAACGAATTTGTACCTCTTGTTAGCCATCCACCGCTAACGCAAACCAAGTCGAACCGTCGCCATTTTTTCTATTTTTTTTAAAAAAACCACGATCGTTCGGGGAAACTTAATCATTAATCTCGTCGAACAAACGCGAAAGAAAAAAAAGTAATTTGAACCGTGCTTGAATATTTTCAATTACAGAAGATCTTTGGTTATTATCGAGCTCGATAAGCCTACCAGAGAGATTATCGCCAACCGGCCTACAATCTTTTTTAAACCATCTTCGAATCGTTCTTCCGTTTACGATGCTATCGTAAATGTTTGTTAATTTTGTGGGGAAACGGGGTTCGAACGCATTTGATGCGACTCGTTGTATGAAATATTTCGTGAGCCAACGATCTGGAAATTGAAGAACCGACGAATCGGTTCGGTGAGGCCGCCAGGTCGCCACCTAGAGACCGGCCGGCCGGCCGGCATTCGTCGTCGACGGAATCTTTCGCAGGGGTGTTTCGAGAGCGAAAGACAGCCGTGCTTCGACTCGTCGACACGCAAAGAAACATCGAATTAAGAGGGGAGGAACATTCCTCGTAGGTCAGCGCATAGAACGATTTTAGCTACGGTCTTTGGGCTGCTCGTGCCTCGCGTCGCTTCGCGGCCAACTCGTGTCAAGAATCGTTTAATTTCGGCGAATGTCCATAGGCATTATCCATCGTGGATTTTCATTCCGACGGATTTTGTGCCCGAGGAACCGCGACTCCCCGACGAAACAGCGAAACGTAAAATTTTGTTCGATCCGCAACATCGTACATCCGGTTCCCGCGACGGACAATTTTTACATTTTCCAAGATCGTGTTAACGTTTTACCGGCGTCGCTGGAAATTTGTCTCGCGATGTATTCCACCTACGATAGCCTCTACGATCTCGCGACGTTCAACACCGATAACCTCGAACACTGAATAAATAACCCAAAGAAAGAAAGGGCTAAAGATAACGATGCTACCCAGATAATAGTCGCATCGCTAACGAACTCGTAGCCGAACCAGTTACACGCAATTAGATCGGAGCTGTACACGGAAGTTATGGAAAAGCATCGTAGACGGTGAACGTGTATCGCGATAATGCAACGTACGAAACACTCGAGTTCTGCTGATAAAAATCAATATTTACAGATTATTATTAATTTAATTCACCGACCAGTTATTCTTTTTCTTCGCTGCTAATTAATTGGTATGTCTCGATACATTCGAATCGGAATTAAATTATAATTATTAAGTATTAAATCATGCGCACGTACGCACGCGCATCGTGATTTCAAAATAAAAGACTTTCCTCTCTGCGATCTTTCTCGGCTTTCCGAGCGCGCCAGGCGGTATTTTAGTAGGTCGCGCAGTAGGTCAGATTTATATATAATATTATATATATTTCCGTTGTTAATAAAATTGGAAAACGATAAAATTGATTAGCAATCCGTACGGTTGTAAATCTAGACGGGTGAAATTCAATTCTGACCTACTGTGGATCGGTTCGTCGTGTCGGTCGGTAAAGAGGTGTATCGAAAACTCTCGCAAGCTATCGGGAACAACCGAGCAGCGACGGGGGCACAAGCAACTATGCTATCGGTTACGTAACGAGACGAAGATACGAAGACATAACGCTACGATCATTTTACGGAATACGTTTCGCTTAATGTCTTCACGCATTCTTTCCATCGTTCTATTTTGCACGCTTCCCTGTACACTCTTCGCGACGCTCTTTCGAGTTTGCTGACTATTTATCCTCGTAAATATAATAAACGGAAACAACGCGAATTAATAAACGATGTCGATTTAAAAGGCTAAGAACGACGACAATCGTGGTAAGCCTTCGTTCGTATCGCTCGTCTTTTTTTCCCAACCTAATCGTTTTAATCACCCTTGGTCGTTCCTTTTTCCCCCCCCACTGAATCGATCGCGAAGCATGATGCTAAGAAAATAGAAACAATGCAACTAACTTGTCGTTAGACGTGCATCAACGAATGCTACTATGTCGAACAAGGCCGATGCGTTTGATTTAAAAAATTACAGGCTCGACGTACACGAAGCAAGTAACAAATGTTTAAATAAATTTATTAATTTATAAATTTATTAATAAATTTATTTAAGTAAATTTCAACGATCGTTTCAAGAACTACGAGACGAGCAACTAATAAAATTAAATCGAGCGGACAACTCCGACCTATTTTGAACCAGCAGTCGATGGCATTTTCCAAGTATCGGATATATGTATATGTGCAAGCGCTGGCCAGTCGTAACTTTTTAATCGAGTCAATGAATTAATCTCTATACCGAGAGACAAGTGTTCCAATAATAATCAATATTGCATACTTATATTACTTGTCCCGTTACTAGTAGCACTATTATTACTATTATTAGGCGTGTTACACAATACTCTCGTGTCTTCTTAAACGAGTTTCACTGGCCATTGACCAAAGCTAGATAACGTCGTGTATCGCGACCCATTTACCGAGTTGCTAATCTTGGCCTCTAATCCGAACTTGATTTTCCCCTGTTTATACCAACTGAACATTTTCTCATTCATTCGATGTTCATGGACACCGAAACGTCGTTAAAACGTAACAGTAGATATAGTACAACGTGTATGTACCTTAGACGATTTCGTAAATTATCTTCAATGTCACTTTTTCGCGACTGGTAAGAATTTGTGACGTAACCCAACGGGTGCTTACAAGTAACGCGGTATCGTCTATTTTTTCCTAAACGAGAATGTTTATTCGCGACGTCTACCATGATTTGAAAAGAGAGAAATTAAAACAAAATAAATGATTTCAAACGAAGAACGAAGCACGCATTTGGATGTTTCCGTTAAACTTGCTCCATACCTTTATCTGATCTGTTACGCAAGAGTAACGCCAATAGCATGCTAGTATATTCGGCTTTTATTCGTATCTACGAATGCTTTCGCCGGAAGTACGACGGAAACCATTCATACACGCGAATTAAAAATTTTACGGCTACTTTAAAAATTCTTAGACATCAATCCCGTGCAACGCCGTGCTCCCTACCTTTTAGAAAAGACGTTTAAACACGTCGACTGTCATGCCAATTTTTCATATCTGGATATGTCCTTGACAATTTTCTGTTCGAATCGTAGTGTGGAAAAGTTAGAAACAATCGATAATATAATGTACCTGTTATTTAACGGGTATTAGAATTTCTCTATTGCAAGCAATTATGCAACACGTAAATTTAAAGCGCCGGTCACCGGTGACCACCGTAGCAACCAATGTCTCAATAACGTCAAAAACGTTAAAAACGTCAAAAAAAAGATCGAACGCGTGTCAACGATGTAAAAGAAAAATGAATATTCTTCTTTGCTACGAAACTATTGCACAGCAGTTTAAATTTTATTAATATGAAAATATTAACACTATTCGGATGAATAATTACTTCTGTTCGAACTAAAAATATTAACGGCAATGGTGGAAACAGAATAAGGCTTGAGAGTTTGCATCGTGTGCTTGATTTTGTTGCGTAATTGGTTGACAAGTTGAAAATTCCACCATGCATCGAATATTTCGCGAGAATAGAAAGAAATAGGATTAAGAACGTAGACGTACTATTTTGCAGATAGCCAACAGTAGTGGCGGGCGAGAAGCTTGGAAACGCGCGTAAACGTATATGCATGTATGATAGGTACGCGTGGACGCAAAGTGAACGAGCCAGGCAGGCAGGCAAGCAAGCATGGAAGGCACGACGGAAAAAGCAGAATGACAGTTGGTAATTATAACGAAGAGCGGATTCCGTGGAGCAAGGCTGGTGAGCCCCGTGGAAGTAACGAAGTCCGCGCCATGGCGCGCCACCACGTGCCTGACTAGCTAGCTGGTTCGCTGACTGCGTGTTGGCTAGGTAGCCACGCGCTGCAGCATCATAGACGATGGCGTCCCACGATATAATTTTCAACGTACTAAAAATAGTAAAATTTTACCCAAAAAAAAAATTGATACCTTTAAACAAAACCGTGGGATACGCGTCGCGGAACTACAACACAAGCACACCCGATTATTCGATCGATTTACACTCACCGATACGATGGTCCATAGCGAAGAAATCGAAGTAAATGTAACGCACACGCGGTGTAGTAATTGGTCCTCGTGGCCAAAAATTGTTTACTCGATGATTCCGATGAACTGTCAAACAGAAAAGAAGGCAGTCGATAAGACGATAGAAATGCACTGTCGGATTATGATCGTAAGTCACCTCGCACGTGTCGTAACCACGCAAACCGAACAAACTAAAAAGAAACAAAACAACCGAAAAAAAGAGCACGAAAGCCGAGCAAACAATACGCGGGGACGCTTGCACGAGCGCCGATGGAATCGCACGTACGCGAAATCTGCAACGTTCGCGCAAAACAAACTTTAACCACCTCGGTTTTCGTTGGTTACGAATTTCGATGTACGAACGGTAGCGATCGAAGAGTAGCACTGAAAAATACACACCGTGTCCACACCGTCGAACAGTTATCACACGGCGGAGTCTTCGCGGCTTCTTTCCTTCTCGCGTTTTCTTCTCAGACTAACTGATACGTCGTTCGACAACTCACCGGCGTATCTCTGTGTAATTTTTCTGCGTTTTGTTCCTTCACGGTGGCTTTTTCTATCCGATTCAATTTCCGTAACGTCTAATTTCGCGATTACCGTGACAGATAAACACTACGAATGCGGCGGGTCCTCGTGTCGTATGCGCCAGCGTCAGTAAGATTGACAGTCGGCGCTGATGACAGACAGGTGCGCCCGCCTTCCGGCCTAACAAGTCGGCAACCTACCGTCGTACTTGCGTATCTTTCTCTGTTCCCTCGCATACCCGCCTGCCCGCCAAACCGCTTCACATGTTACACCATTCATTCTCCCATTTAACATATTCCTGCCATCTAGCGACAGTATGCTCGAAATACACACGCGTCTAACTTGCATTAACACTAGATCTGCGCAACCTGTAAATATGCCGGATTTCACATTTCACACCTACGGTTACAGAAAACATAAATATCATTTTTTAGCCATTTGATCGATCTAATAACGCAAATACATATTCGAATTTTAAAGTAATACGTTTCGATGAACCGGCTAATACAACGGTTTCAATAGAAATACGTATGTTGGCAACGTTCATAAATTTAGTGTTAAATACTCTTTATACATTTTCCATTCGTTTCGAATTAGCATATTTCATTATTTTACAATTTTTCTTTCAATATTTAATGCTCTTTGTACATATGTAAACAAGGTACTGGAGGAAGAAACATGGAAATGACAAAAATGAGTACGTATAATATGCTTCATTTTCCTTTCCAGTCATACATTAGATTCTTTTTTACAATTTACTATGACACCTTGCATTATGCTTTCGTTGCAGAAATACATAATATATTAATGAAGTCTCCTATAAATTGTTTCAAAGAACGTATTACAAAGATACATCTTTGATATTCACAACAAATCAGAACGAGGATAGGGTAGATAACCTCGTTTTCCTTCGTTTATCTGGTGGTTACGTTCTTTAATCATCATATTCATTCGCATTCCTTGCTTTGTCTTGTAGAGACATTCCGCTAAATCTTCCAAGTGAAACAAACATTTTTTCCGTCCGTTGTAATATCCATAAGCGTCGACACAATCGGCATAACTATATTCAAAGTTTTTACAGTCGGGATTTCTTTGTAAGCTTACAAAGGCAAGGTCCACTGCACCAAAACTACGACATCTGAACATAGGCTCCATCAAGTCCACCATGGTGTATCTAAAAAACGAAGATTATAATTTTTACCATTTATAAGAAAATAACAGATCGAGGAAGTTGAATGTTATATGAATTTCATATATAGAATACAACATATTTTCACAATGTACTATTCTTCTTTAACCAAATTTTTACGTAACACAATTTATTGCTTTGTACAGAATGAAAATATTCTTTAAAAAGATTAAGCATCGGATGAACACACTATACTTAGTTAAAAATTTGATCTTACGGTATTGATTACTTTAATTCTGCGATAAAACGTTTTACTGTACACGTTAATGAACGTTCCACTCGATAGTACCAATGTCTATAACTGACGCAATGTCTATTACTGACGCCACCTGTCAGCAATTAAATTACTCTTGTTTCAAAACGAATCCATACCAACCGAAAAGACCGACTGCTTTATCCACAGGCGAGTGTAGAAACTTGCTATACCGACCAGAAAATTTTTGCGGCGAAATTGAAAAATTTCGAATCGTTTTTATTGAATTCATTTTTATTGAATAGACGTACCCCCGAAATCCTACGCATTTTCGAGAAAAAAATTCTTTTCCGAAAATATAATGCGAGGTTAGAAATATTACCCAAAATCTCATGCGTATGTTTAAAACATAACTTCTAAATGGATTGAAAGATTTTAATGTTTCAAAATGCAACAATGCGTATTAATGGGGCTTATAAAAAATACATTGAATGTAAGATCTACTCGTATACCTCGTCTGTGGTCATTGGATAGAATAGACTTATCATAGATTAGGTATGGTCATAGACGAAGTATAGAATAGACGTTGCTTGCATTTATTCATCAATAACATGATTCTCTCTAAAGTAATAATATATTATTTTAGTAATAATTTATTACTTTTGAGTAATAATATACTATTACTTTACATTTTATTATTTATAATAGAAAGTCTGTTATTTCTTTTCGTAGATGCGTAATTTGTAATTTTTCTTGAATTTTACGATGCAAGAAAGTAGGTAACGAACCGAATTTTTTATTTGAATTTAAAAAGATTAATCTGCAGCCGTAACAGAGATATTTTTCAATTATATCTGGTTGTAAAGGCTGCGCGTGAAGCGGTGTACAAGTAGTATTATCGCATCGACAGAGTTTCTTTTCCGAGTCATTTACTTCTTCCGTTCTTCCGGAATTTAAAGTCGTATTTGATGCAGAATCCGTTGAAACTAATTCAGAAAATATCCTTGCTTGTATGACAGAGAATTGCTCGTCACGCACGTAACACGAGTCCAGAGTCAATTCGCAAAGTAGACAGGTATCGTTAATATCAGCATTAGCAACAATGTCCCTATTAAGATTCATATTATGAAATTCCTCTACTTTTGTGCCCAATTTTTCACTCGTACGATATATCGTGGATACGGTACTGTGAAACTTAGAATCTAACTGGCAAATGAAATCTTTTGTAATGCTCCTTATGGAATTAGGGAAAGATTGATTATAATTTGTGGAACTAAAAATTGGAGTTAGCTCGCAGCACTCCAAGTAGCCAGTTACATCGTCTCTTGTGAAATCTCTAAGCGGTTTAAGTAAAGTTACATCTGTACATCTTGTATCGGAGAAACCAACATTTACAGATAATTGACAGCCTCTTCCCGTCGACACATCTGTAAGCACTTGTACTGCAAGATCAAGAGACGTATCAGCAACAAAAGCTTTATTACAATTAAGCTCGCGAGCCACGGACACAATCAATTTGCGCTTCAGTTGTCGCAATAATTCATCTTTCGCTGTATTGCTTTCCAAATTATTGAAAATCTTTTGCATTATCGCATCATTGCTCGTCGCAGTTGTTTCCATTACATTTATCGACCGTATCTCTTCGCAATGAACATTGGTTGTACATTCTGTTAAAGGTACAACATATGTTGGTAATTGCAAACTTTCCGCTTCTTCAGCCAATGCGTTCCAAATAAATTTTCGTTCTTCGAGCGTGCGTCCCATCACCATACCATCTGTTCGCAAAAACAAAAACGTACGGTAACGTGCCAGATTTACAGATGCTTTCTATTAGAAGATTAACTGTCCTCTTACCATCTATGTATAGTATTTTACATAGACACTTAAGTCTTTTGTTAACTGATTCGTTTGCATTTGCCTTGATAAGATGTACAAGTACTGTTGAATTTGCTTCTCCCGAATGTTCGACAAGTATTGTATCGGTTGGACGTATTGACTTTGATTTACCGAGCGTGGCTTTGAACTTATGCGTTACCATAGACAAGAAGCAAGTTTTACAATATCTATCTTTGTCTCTTAATAAGACTCTAACATTCTGGCTTCTACATTTTTTACATGTACTTGTATTGATTGCGTGGGAAGCAGCATCGGCAGTGGCAGCAATTCTACGAAACATTAAATAAAAATATGTATAAATATATAAGTATTGGTACAGCACATGATTTTCTATACGAACATTTATAACTACTCGAAAAATTGTTTATTAATAAACTAAAAACACTTCGTTGGAAAATAACACAAAATTATCTAGTGCCAGAACGAAATACTTACGTGTCCATCGTCGTTTCGCCTGTTTCAAAGGTGTTGCATTCGAGCATGTTTAACGTACACATTGTTTCCTTCTTTTTTAGTCACAGGTGTTTAACAATATCATGAGATGATGATTAATTTCGTAGCTATTAATGTAGTTTTTGTGTTCTTATAATCGTCATTGATTGAAACTTAGGTTAAAGGGACGTACACACTGTATAAATATTTGTATATTTGTAAATTTATACGATGCAGATTTTAGTATGCATTTGTAATATTTCCACATACCATAGGTATGCACATGTAAATTCACATTCGATTCACAGATACATACAATTTTATACAATATTACTAAATAATTGTCTACCGTTTCGTGCTCGAATGGTCTAGTAGGATTTTTCTAACATCATAGACAATAAAAAGTATCGTTTAACAAAACCTTCATTTTACGGGGTATATATGTACATATAATTTATGTAATAGATTTATTTCTATATTTTCTGTTCTATCATTACACAGAAATAGATCATAAATTCATTAACACGTAATAAAATTATTTTAGTTATTTCTCATAAAGTTATTTATTGCTGAAATTCTGTAATGGCTTATGACGAATTACTTCATGTAATGTGTACCACGTAACGCGTAAGTTAAAGAAATTTTATGCGATCAAATTTTTATATTTGTTCGATTTCGAGAAACATTCGCGCCAATTATCTTACGTAATACACAATTAACAATATTTATGTTCTTATGTCGAGTCGATGTTCTCGAATTATATATTGTTAATGATCATTATCATTACTGTTCTCAGATTATTTTGTTTTTATTTGCAATTACTACACACACATGTAGATAGTATTAAATATATTTTAAGCGGCATACTTCGCCAATTATTTCCAATTATTACTTTGTAACACTTTGTACAATGTTTTCATGCTTACAGTTAATAATCAAATGTTATAGGTAGGTTATAAAAGCTGGAAGTAACAAAACAATATTAAAGACTGAAATAGTTGGGATTCGTAGAAATGATAGGTGTATTAAACGTGGTGAATACTTTCTCCAGGTAACCATTTAGTAGATTTCTACTTTAAGATCCAAATGTATCGATAATCATAAATACAATTGCCTATTGATACAGGTTGTCCATGTCTTCGATCGTTAGTCCATGCAATGTTTCCACATGCGCATATCCATTGTATTTTCGAGTTACCGATATGCTTTTGTAAGTAATTTAAAATTTTCTTTTTTGTAAAACTATGTTAACGATATCGAACGCTGTGTTTATGTTTGCGTGTATTTTAGAGGAGAACCGCTTAAAAAGAAAAGAAGACTGGATCCTTCCATTATCAGAGCTAGGGAAGAGAGAAAGAAGAAGAAACTGGAGAAACAAATACGCCGTTTACAAAGACATGTCAAGCAGCTGAAACCACTGAACGAAATCAATGTACCGACCGAATTAATCGAACAGAAAGAGTACGTTATATATAGCTTTTTGCCATTTTATTTCCAGTATACGTATAACTCGATATTTTGTAGGGAACGATCCCGTCCTCTTACACCACTGTCCATACAAGAAATAGAAAGAAGAAGCTTGTTGATTAAAGAATGGTCCAAGTACAAACACAGAGAATGGAAGAAAGACGTGCATGTTATGGAATCTATCATGCTTTCGCAAGAAAAAGCATTAAACGAATTGAAAGCGGCATCAGAGGAACTCTACAAAAAAGCAATAGAAGTATATATATACTTTGAATACTAGAAAATAATCTCAAACGATTCTTGTTCTTATTAATAATTGCCAAATATTTCTTCCTTCAAAAATTATATTTTTCTTTCAGACCGACGATTCCTTTTTGCCATACAGTGCAGTTGGGCCAGTACATAATCCACCAATAAATGATTATGATAGTCCAGACGGTGTTTATATAAATATTACTACGAAATATGTTGGAGAAACATGAATAAGTACATGAATGGAGTAAATGTGTTTTAAATAAAGACCTACCGGACACAAAAAAGCTAGCGTTCTACAGAACCATTTATTTAGCTAATGGGAAAGCTATTAATTTTTATGTTTCTCGATATTTAAATTCACAACCTATTAAAAAAATTTAGTTAATACGATGGAAACATTTACGATCTCGAATTTATTAGAATACACGTTATTTTAGGATATATACTTTTGTATATGCACGTATAAATAGTACTGTGTACATCGTATAAATCTAGATGCAATAAAAACAAATTTTCATTCAATTCGTGTGCGAGCGTTTATAGATGGACGTAAATACATGTTTGGTTTTTAATGATATCGTAAATTTCTAACTTGTTGGAAAAGGAAGCAATGGTATTCCAATGTTAACTATTTAAATGATTCGGAGCGTCAAGAACAAGCGGATTTCAATCTTGTTTGCCATACAAAGAAGAAACAAAATCTATGTTGACGCGATCATGATGTCAGTTCCCTTTTGCACGTAGGGCATGTGTCGTTGGTCTTGAGGCATTGGCGCAAACAATCTGCATGGAAAAGATGATGACAAGGTGTCATCCTTGCCTTGGTCATACCGCAAAGGCAAATAGCGCAAACGTCGTCGAAATGTTCAATTTCTTCGCGCGTCGCTTTCCTATAACGATTCAATATTTCACGTTCGCGTTGCAGCGTGGCGCCAGATTGTTGCACGAGGTCTTTTAATCTCAAATAAACGTTCAAGTAGGTGGCGACGAACAAGAATCTCCAGGATGCTATCGGTACGAGTAGCAAGATGAACAAAGCCGAGATAGCTATAGTGAACGATCTTAATATCACCGGAGCATAAAGTTCCTCCATGTTTTCGAAAGCGTCCAATTGAAAATACTTGAGAATCGACGGAAACATCTCGACGAAAATTTTTTCCGTCGCTGAATAATAAATCCATGTTATCACCGTGTAAAATGTCGATGGTCTACAACAAGAACGCATATCGAACAATTGAGTGATTAGGTATTCAATTTCACCTTCTTTTTATATCCGTCTTCTTATTTGTTTCATTCATTATTTTACTTACTTGTAATTTTGGAGACCCTGTTCCAAACCGAATACGAGAAGCATAAATGTTATCGTTACGATAAAGGTAACGGCCTTGGTCCATTCGAGTACTATTTTAGTAGCGGACATAGCTAAATGCTTAATCCTGGATCTTTCAGTGAGGGTTACATACGGCGACCAATCTTCTTTCTCGATCAATTCTTTGATGTAACTAACGCAGTAAGTAATTACATTGTAAAACATCAACGTATAAAGGCACGTCGTTTTAGATTCTGGTACAAGGACTCGATCGGCCAGCACTAGGAATACAATTTGGTTTGTCATCAGAGAAATATTCTTCATTCGAAGAAAGAGGGTCTCCCCCCGATCGATCGGCTCGTAAAATCGCGCCAGAAATCTGCCCAAACGCCGCGGGATCATCTTGACAGAACCTTTGCAAAAGAACATGTAACAGAAAAGTGAAGAACATTCTCGTTCGAATTAATAAACTCCAGTAAACTGGATTTTTCATCGGGGTACGTTTGTAAGATGAAATTTAAATCTCTCTTCCTTCCTTTCTCTCTCATCACGGAGCGCGAATAATAGAAAACTTAATCTTGGTTCGCCGAGGCAACAATCTCATGGATACATTATGTTAATAGGGTTGACAACGTATTATAATTTGGCGAGATTGTTAATCGAACGTAACAAGTGCAAATAACGCATCGATGAATGATCATCTTCGTTTTTCGTAACATCTGAGCGAGAACATTTGCATATTAATAGACGCCCATCAAGAAAATGTGCGAAAATCGGAGAAGACGTGCCCAGAAGAATATTTATGATATAGGGGAGGGAGGGAACTCGAATGGAAAGCAAGGATTTCACATGGCAACCGGGATCGTCACTTGGGGAAAAACGATACAATACGTAGGTATATACAGTTTCTAGGATGAACAGATGCGCGCGCGTTCATGGCCTCTCTCTCTCTCCCTTTGTTCACGTCCCTATAAAACAAAGCGTACTTGGCTTCAATGGCACATTCAACGTCTCTTCGTCTTTCAATAATCGTGTCTTAGCGTTTTGATATTATCGTGAAACAGGTAGAGAGAGAACTAATCGTCGCTATTAAATTCTCCGTTACTGTTTAGGTACATTTGGAATATTTGCATAGGGTGAGCATCGAATGCATTGTATGCTTTTATAACGATTGTTCGTTACTGGTTGGTAAATCCAGCGGTTTGCTCTGTTGTGTATTCTTTTGCATTTATCATTTTTTTACCCCCCCCCCCACGAAAAGAAAAACAGAGGAAGAGGTCGAAGGGCGAGGGGATAAAATGCCCCGAAATTTTAGTAAAAATTTAAACGCAACTTTTAAACGCTATCGGCGAAATTAAAATAGAACAGGGTAGCGGTTCGGGTAAATAGAGGTGGAGTATTATTATTATGCTGGTGATAAAAAAAACGATATAACTTTACCCTCTCTAATTTTTTTCAAGACGTTTATCATTTTTCGTGAAAAACGCTGGCTAGTGTTCCCGCGAACACCTTGTATACCCTTCGGGTAAACGATAAACGATACGACTGTCGGGTGGCAACGGAAAAGCAAAGGAAATATGCAGATAGGCGGGTAGAGATAACGCGAAGAAGAAATTCTGAAAGAGAATCTGGCATCGATCACAACCAACGCAAATCCTTTTTGCTATTCTTAGTACACGAAACAGAGGGGGATGTCCTGCTTCGTCCGGCTTGACCGTCAAGCTCTAAGCAACCTACGACTTCTCGTTCTTAAATATCCGGTTCGTCCATAGATTAGCGCGTATGCGTCCAAGTTATATGTATACAATATACCAAGCGTTATGGAACGTTCCAAGATATTTCTCGAAAAGTGAAATCTAGAAGAACGGACGCTAGAATCGATAGGAAAGTACGCCGCTTATCCGAGGCAAACAGATTTAAAATCGCCAGAAATTTTGCCAGATCTTGATAAGCAAATAAGTTAGCAGCATGTTATTACACGAGAAATTCATACTTCGAGCTTCGATACCGTCGCCATTTTTTCCCCCCCCGGACGTCTGTAATTATTGTTGTCGGATTTCAGATATCCACAAGTTACGAATTTCATCCTGATACTATGCAATTATAACTGGTATAAGATTTGGTACATTCCTTAATTACAAATAATTATAAGAATTTTAACCCTTTGAACTTTACAGGCAACGCATACGATACGTATTGTAACTTAATTTAAATTTCATTTAGGAAATATAATAAATATAAAATCTATATCGCGAAGGATTAATAAAAGATTAAAACGACTGGCGGGCGCATCGTTGACCGGTGGTTAAGAATCGCTGTTCATGCGCGAATGAAGTGATTCACAAAAACGTCTTCGACTGATACGGGAAGACAGCGAGGCGGCGAAGCTGTGTAGCGACGAAAGGTCGAAGAGCAAGAGGAAAATTGTCTCCTCGCTTCTAGCTATCGATAAATCGCTCGGCAGCAATCTTTGCCCTCAGAATCGGTCCAAGAGCTCGTAAAACCGTTAATACGTCACGCAAACGTTAGGCCGCGGCCGAGGGATTTGTTGTTTCGTCCCGCCTTTTGCATTTCGTGTCTCTTGTTGTTACGCTATGCGCTACCATCCACAAAAGTAGATCCAAAGAATGAACGATTAGATAGATGGATCTTTCGAGCATCGGAATCTCTGTTTCAGCTTTCCACGAACTAGTACAAACCGGAAATCTGACAGTACCGGGCGGTGGTCCTATTGGCCGATTATCGAGGCTTCCTTCGTTCGATGCAACGTTATCGTTGCATTTGTTTCGATTCGTTGCATTACGGGTGTTAATTCCGCAGAAATGTTCGCATTAGGTATCGGATCGAACAGGAACGAGCAATAGAAATAGGTAGAGATAAGAGTCGCGATCACTATATCGTTAATAAGGGTACAGAAAGGTTTTTCGTTTCGTTTGGGTAATCTTCGGGTTCTATTGGTTGGCCGCTGCACCCGACGCCGCGGCGTAATCTTTGTAAAACGGGTGAAAATGACATTTGGCCAACACACCTGCTAGAAAACGAAAAAGTCTTGGTTGGTGAATTTTTTTTTTTTTTAGAAATGGTAAAAATCATTTTCGACCCGTCTACCTACGGTAGCGTGGACAATTTATACTAATTATATAAACTAAAAATCATTTTGTTCGCGTCGCGACGCTATACGCGTTCCTTTTTTTTTTTCTTTACCGATAGATCGACTGATTACGTTTGAATTCTGTTTCAGAACCAGCAACCGAAATGCCGGCCACCCAGACTGTTTGCATAGCGGTGCTACTAGTCGTTGCCCTTCTGTAAGAATTTCAAATTCTATAGTTCGAATCTTAACGCGTTGAAATTTAAAAAAAAATAATACGTTTTATTAGGTTCGACAAATGTTTCGGGTATCCACTGACCAGACTAAAAATAGAATCAGAGATACCCTGCGAGGAACGTGTCTGTGGAAACAAGTGCAACGATTGTCCAGCCGGTTTCACGTACTCATCTTTTTGCGGCGGGAAAGTGTGCAAAAAGGTCAGTAATCGAAAGGTCAGTAATCGAAAGGTCAGTCGCTATGTTATGGTTGTAAATTTCACGCATACCGAATCGAGATCTAATACATTTTGTTTCAGGGACTCGGTGAGATATGCGGAGGACTGGCGAATATGTACGGCATTTGCGGCGAAGGTATGTTTTGCAAATGCAACAGGTGCGCGGGGTGCAGCGTAATGGACCTAAACTGTATGCAAGAACAGCATGACTGTACGATCCACGAAAATCCATTCGACTATCGAGTACCGCCGATGGAATCGTAAAGTTCTGACTATGTCGTTAGCCGGACGGATTACCTGATTACCGAAACGAGATATTTAAATATTGTTAAATTAGGCAAGTTCGGGGGAGTACCCGAGGGCTTGAAAGTTTTATTTAATTATGGTTATCGAATACACGCGCGATCTAATGATAGAGAAACTATTACGACGATTATTACGATACGGATCGAAAGTCCGGATCAACGTCGGACGAAGACTGACACGAAAGAAGCGAAACAGGACGCGGATGACCAGAGATGATGGGAAGCGAACGAAAGCGGAACAGGGATGAACAGAAACCAAAGGCTGACAAAGAGAAAAAGACAGAAAGAGAGACGGTTAAAGGTGGAAACAAATTTTCGAAACAGCGCTTACCAATCGTCGAATTTACATTTATCCGAGCGATACATTTATTTGCATTTTTTACCAACTACAAGCTAAAAAACCCTGCAGCTTCGCTCGAAGAAATTTTTATTCGGTGTTGACATAATAAAAACCCAATTATGGAAAATAGTATATCTAATCGGACACGTATTCATTCTTATCTTTCACACGTTTCACCCCTTTAAGGGAGTGTTTCCACTGTAAAACGCATTGATTACGGTACAATGAACGATACGGTAGAAAACTTCCTTGAACCGACATAAAATATTTTCCAGGCAAACTTTTCTACGTTTGGACGTTTCGAAAAAGAAAGTAGTCGTACCATGTATCAACCCATACTCTGTATTACGTAAATAAAAAACGAGGCGAAAGATTCGACCTGGTTGCTTAAAAACTTCATTTCATACGTTTCACCCCCCCCCACGCTGTTGTCTTTTCTTTTCCCTCCGCTCTATCTTTATCGCGCATATACATTTCCATTCTTTCAAAGTAATTTTCATCATAATTTTACTTTCGTACAAACTTGAAGCAACTCGCCCCCCCCCTCATTCGATATAAAGGGGACTCTACGCGACGAGACATGCCTCGAAGCATTCGAGACAATTTAGAATTATTTTCTATGCTCCGGCGCATAATTTAGGCGACATCGTATACAACGGTCGCATACCGCGCCAGCTTATCGTTGTGTGTTTCTGTGTCGCTTGATAAATGGACCTTAACATTTTGCCGGCCACCGTCACGTGTACGTGATTTTACTGTTTCAGTCACCGTCGTCATCCATTCAATTTATTGCGTTTATTCAGGTTCAAGTTCTATCTCCTATGCTCGTTACGATATCTCTATATTTATAATTCCTTATAATAATATTCTCGGGTGTCCGCGTGCGCCTCACTTTGGCCTATCAATAGCCAAGCTCTTCGCGTTCGAATTGATCGACGATTCTTCAAAAAACGATCGATAGCGTATCGAGTTAAATTTATAAACGAGTCGATCGGAAATTTCACTTCCCATGAATCATAGTTCAGGAATAGTTTCCAAACGAAAGTCTACAGAAAATTAATATCTCTTTGCGATAAAACTTCCGAGTATTTATAAACTGTCGAATATGTCGGATCGAAAAATAGCTCGCGTCGCGTGAAACGCGCGACCGTACAAGTGTTAAGGATAAAACCGCGCGCACAAAGTACACCCCGAAAGCGGTATGGCAACGCTTCCTCTAAAATTGTTCGCGCGCGTAGCGATTTAGTTTTAGAAACGACGGAACTATTGTATATAGCCGGTTCTTTCTTTGCATACCTCAAAGATTCGCATCGAAGGCAGAAAGAATATCGAAGGGGACGGTCCTGTACGACGTCACTGCGGAATATTTGTATAAAAAGAGAAATGGGGGGGAAAAGAACGAGATATCACATTCCGAGCTTCGTCGGGACTCAACTGTCGGACGGTTTGAAATTAACTGGTTGCTCGACAAATATTTTCGCGCTTGCAATAGCAGTGTCAATGTCGTTGCCAACATCGTCGGTAGCTACCGATGCTATTTCGATTGTTCCCCAATAATTATGGATACCATTCGCCGCGAAGGGATCACTGGCGGTGCGAACGCGACGATATGGCGACAACGATCGACGTAAATGCTCGAAAAAAAAAAAAAACGCTCGTTAACGCGAAACACGCGTTAAAAAGTAACGATTCCGGGGTAGTTACTCCGACGTACACTCGCGCCGAAATTTCCTTTATTTTCGAGATACTCGTGATCTTGCTTGCTCGCGCAGAAATAGAACGTTTAATTTTGGCAATTATTTGGACACTGTAATTCCCAGCGAGCCAGCGAGAACCTTTCGTTTACAAAGACGCCGCGATACGCGAACGACAAAACAACACTCGTGACAACCTATTTTCTGCATAAACGGACGATCAATCGTCGACAAGCGGATCAAGCTACTATCTATTAACAACTAACGTGAACGCTTGGTTAAACACGCAACGAGTATACCGCGAATAACGTAGAAACGAGAGGGACGAAAAGTGAATAGAAACAGAGAGCACATGGGAGATGAGCACAGCAGTACGTCATTGTTCGTTTTGTTTCAACAGTTTCCTGGTTTTGAAGCCACGAAAGCCCGCTTGGATTCTGGTCGCGGCCTCGCGTGCAATTTGCTGTTTCTTCCGTACCAAGAATCCGCGTACACGGGCTTGAATTTTAGTCGCCGACTTATCCTCCAAGGATTCCGCGGCTGCGTCCCGTTTCTCCAAACTCGAGGAATCGTCATCGTCCGTGCGTCCATCCTCCCGTTGTTTCCGTTCACGATCGACTGCGCCCGACGACTCCGATCTCGCTTCATTGTTCGATTCTTTCATCCGTTTCCGTACTCGGTAACCCCGGAAATTAGCTTGGATCTTCGTCGCTGCCACGTTCGCTTTCGTCATATCTTGGTCGGAATTTTGCAGCATGACGTTCTCACGATACTCGACCGTTCACTGTTATCCTTTCTTTTATCTCATTCCCCGACAACGAAACAACCTTTCATTCTTGCGATCGTCTTCGCCGCCGTCTCTGAACGCAACTTATCCGAGTGTCAAGAAACAAGGATGTCTCGAAAGTAAATTCTAAATGTACTTTCGTCGTTGGGAAAGTTCCACATGTTGTAGCCGCGATTCGAAACGGAAATCGGTAGTAAAAATATCCGCCGTTGTACGATTTCTAAACGAATCGAACCAAGACGGTGCAACAGAGAACCGGTGGATGCTATTCCGTAGGAACGACTGCGAATATCCACGAACACGCGTACGATACTGTAGAACAATCGCGTAACTCGTCGAAAATACGTAACCCCTAGCGTTCGCGCATGCGTTTCCTTTTAAGCTCTTCGACTGACTACGGACTTTTCTTCCGCGATACAACCGCGTCGCAGTGTGGCTTTTTCGAGTTTCTTTTCCTTCCTCGCGGCTGAACGGCACCGCGTTATTCGCCTTGGCGAGCCGTTCTTGACATTTTCGTAGCTACGTTTTCGTAACGAGTGTGTAAGAATGTGCAGAAATAACGTGTCTAATTTCGTATCTAGATTCTAAGGAACGATCGTGTCGATTCGTTCAACTCCGTCGGCCGATCGGTTATTCCACCCACGCGTTGCACTTTTCAATCGAGGAGCATACTGTTCGCTCGAATAGTCTCGGTCAAGCCTGAACGAAACGGAAATCAAGAAGCCCTGAAAAATAATATATTTAAAAGATACGAGGCCATTTAAACGAACAGTACTATACGTATAAGATTATTTACGCTTTCGTATCTATAGAATAAAAAAAGCTCGTTTTGCCTAAAACAATATGTTTCAACACTGTTTCTATCAAAGGTGTCGAAAGACTTAGTTCTGCGTGCTCGGAGACTGGGTTTCCTCGACATTTTCCATCTTCTTGTTCGTCTCATCCTTTAGACTTTTGTCGCTCTCGATCGCAGAAGAGTCGGGAGACAAATTCTCGCACGGATTAGTGTTTTTGTCGATGTGTACCGTTTCATCGTCACCACTAGGGAAATCGATCACCGTCTTACATGAATCCGTCGACGCGCGTTGCTTCTCTTCGTCGATGTCCAAAATCTCTTCTATAAAAAGGGACTTTGGTGGTTCGTCGAGCGCCAATGGTTCACGAATATCGTCGGAATCGACAGGTTTTATCGTTGCATCGTCGAAGGACCGCTCGACACGTACGATACAGGGTGGAAAATTCAAGTAATATTTAGAATCGTCTGGCTTAGTTTCGACCGGTCGAAAGGCATTCGAAAAATCGAAGGCGAAGAAAACGCCCGCTCGTGGCGATTCGGAATCGAAACACGATGCACCGGGCTCGAGGGTGAACCAAGGGTTTCTGGTTTCGCGCATGTTGTTCATGCGCATGTCTTTGGTCGACAGTTGGCCCTTGGAGACTTCGAAAAGAGGTAACGGTAAAGAATCATGAAATTCCCCGGTATGCCTTAAATTGCTCGATGTACTTATCGTGTCTGTTTGTTGCGTTTCCGATTCCTTCTTTTCAGTTATCAACCATTCCTCGTTCTCTGCCTTTTCGGGAGTCTCGGGTATTTCGTTATCTTCGGATTTCCCTCGATCGTCCGAAACAGCCAACTCCTCGATTTGTTTCTAAAAAAGCAAAGGAGAAAATTAAAAAAATTATCGTTCATCTTTGCAATTTATCAAACTGTATACATATAAATGGAAAATACTTCGCTGTACTCTCGAGTCGAAGACAACGTTGCAGTTGGATCTTCCGCGGGGCTCGTGGAATCTTGTTGACTTTGTTGCCTATCGATGTCTCGTGGTCGACGCTTGCCAACTAGAAATCTTCGCGCCCCTTGTGGAGAGAAATTCACGCTTTATGATTCCCGATTAACTATTTCAAGCGTAGGAATACTCACAGTATTGAATTCTTCTAGCAGCCGCATCCAATGACTTGCTTTCTAAATCTGAAACAGTCGGAACTTCGGGATCTTGATCTTCTGCAAGACTATCGACCCGATCGGTTGCTACATCCTCGGCTGTCTCGAGGGACACCGAAGGAGAAACAGAAACATGTACGATTTCATCGACATCTTTGGTATCGATTCCTCCTTCTTCTTCATATTTTTCACAAACATCGCCGTTTGTCTTTTCTCGAGAACTTGTTCCGGTCGAAGGGCGATCGATAGATCCTGTTTCATCGACGCAAGGATCAAGTTCGATCGCAAGATTGCTATCGTCTGTCGGTCGATTCGTGCAATTCGAGCGCGACGAGTCGTTGATCGAGTCAAGAGCATTATTCTCAGTCTTGACTTCTTCTTGAGGGATCGGCGTTTCGAGAGTCAAGATCTCTATCAATTCCTTTGCGATCTCCTCTTCGACGTTAGGCGTATCTTTTCCATTGTTCTCGCTAACCGTACCTATGCACTTGTCTTCGAGCTCGATAAGACAGTCTTCTGTGCCATTCTCCTCGACCCTGACTTCGTGATCGGTGGAAAGTTTGCTCTTGGACGAGTCCTCGTCGGACGCTGCCTTCTTCCCCGAGTCCGGAGTATCCGACATGGACAAAGTTTTCTCGCCTTCGCGAAGAGTAATGTCGTCGTCGGTTTCCTTCTCCGATTGATTTTCAACATTCCTCGAATCGCTTCTATCTTCGATCGAGGATATCGTTGCGTCTCGAAGAGAATCCAAGTTCAGTTCGGGCACGTACGGTCCGGGTACATCGATCGAAGAAGACGTTTCTCGTTGTTCGTTCTGTCCCCCCGCATCTTCGACTCTCGGGGAATTCCCTTCGAACGTTCCCGAATGTACGTCCGTCGTACACGTGACTCGAGGCGACGTGCTTTCAACGTCGGTGCTGCTTCGATCCAAATTGCTCGAGCTTGCCTCGGTAATCGATTCCACTTCGTTTTTATTCCCGCCCGCCTCTAACGTTTCTCCCAACGAGTCGGATTCTACGGCAACAATGTCGCTGGATAACATCGTGGATCGTGTATTAAATTTATCCAATGCCTCTTTCTCGCTTTCCTCTTCCTCTTTGATGTTTCCAAGATCGTGACCGACGGCCATTTTATCGTCAGCAGCTTTTATGTCCCGTAAAAACTCGACGTTGTACGCATCCATGCCTCTCGAGTACTCGTACGTTTCCGGGCATATGTACTCTCCGAAAGGATTCGCGTCGTGATCAGATTCTTCTCGACGCGTTTCGTGATCTTGCTCGTGAACCGTATCATCGTCCCGAAGCGTTTTATCCGAGATGATCACGGTTGTTACCGATTCTGGTATCTCGCAGGGAGAACCTTCCGTGAGAACGTAACACGTAAGATCTATGTCTTTCGAGGGATTGCCGGATGTTCCTCCAACTTCCGATCGATCGACGTCCCCGTCTTTCGAGGACAAAGTTTCCGCGGCATCCGACTTTTCTTCGCTCGTTTCAGCTTCGATGCCTTCGTTGTCGTTTCCTGGTGTTTCCACCAGCCGCTGCTCTTCGACAGAGTCTTCCCTCGCTTCGTTCATCGCGTCGTTATGCGTTTCTTCCGATCCTGAACGCGACGAATGTTTCATCGGGGACGACACCGTTACGGAGGAAACCAGAGTATTCTCGATACTCCTCTCAACCATTTCTATCTCGATTAACTTCTTCTTAAGCTCGTTCGATTCAGGGAATTCCTCGTCCTCCGCGTGCTCCAACGAATCCGGCCTCTGGGGAAGTTCGATCGAATCTGGCGTGACGTTCAAGCTATCTTTAAAAATTTCATCGACTTCCAGCCCCCGTGAATCCGAGCGTCGCGTAATTTCCAATTCTTCCAAGATGTCCCTGTCGCTGGTCTCCGTTTCGATGCTACCACCGTCCTTTCCATCCCCGTGCTCGTTCTCCGCCGAATTACGATCAGAAATCTCCAAAGGCTTCTCGTTCTCGATGTTCGAGTCACGTTGAATCTCCGTGGCCGTCGCCAGAGCCGGTAACGTCAAGTTATTTTCTCTCTTGATCGGTTTCGTCGCGTCGCTCGAAATGGGCGGCAAAACGAAATTGTTCGGATCGTTTTGCTCGATTGATTCGTACGCGTCGTTTCGCGAGCCATTTCTCGAATATCTGCTGGAACTTTGCCTCGGCACGACCGACGGAAGAACGACGGACGTCTCCAACGTAGACTCCCGTCTTGCCGACGACTCGTCTTCGGAGACTTTTCGATCGGCGCCAAACATTTCCTCCATCTCGCTATTTCTCGCTTCCCTCTCGACGACGACTCCTGCGTTTCGAACTACAGCGCTCTCGAGCTTCTCCAACCGATCCAATCGATTTCGTCGCGTTCCTCTCTCCGCGTCCGATCCATTTCTTCTCGATCCAACATTCACGAGAGATTGACTTCGTCTCGAATCCCCGGACGAGCATATCCACTCGATCTGATCGGCGCTCTTCTGTCGTTTCAACTTTTTACAATCAGCCACGTACTCGATTTCCGTTTTAGACGTATTCGCCGCATCAGCGATACAGTCGCAGAACTTTTCCCGTCTCCCTTTATGCTGACGGTTAACAGATTTCGCGAGTATATCCCCGGCGGACGAAGACCGGAGAAATCGACACCGTGCGAGTTTCTTCGTAGAACGCGGCGAACATTGTTCGGGATGGCTGTGAATCTCTTTCTCGTTCGTTTTCTCATACATTCGCGTGTTCCCATGTTTCTTCTTTTTGGCATTGTTCTCGTGGTCGTGCCTTTTGATTACCTTGACGGTTTCATTTATAGACCAGCCGCTTCTATTCGTCGCCTCCTTTCTTCTTTTCGATAGTTTCGTCGGTCTTCTCAGCTCCTTTGCTGCCGTTTCTTCGATAAAATTTATGAGTCTCCGATCGCTACGATATTCGGAATCACGTGGATCGACGTTGCCACGACCGGTCCAGATACAATTTTTACCGTTGTACGATACGCGATCGGATATTTTCGAAACGCCTACGACACGCTCCTTTTCTCGTAATTTCACCAGCTGTTCGAAATGATGGGCCGCGAATGTATAAATATCGTGGGGTTGGTGTCGCAATATTTCCCTTGCGAGTCCTTCGACGGCAGGAGCCAAGCCTCGAGGTATTTGAGGAGCAATTACAAATCCCGTTTCCGGTAGCGCCATACTAGTTTCAAATTTTAAACAAATTAATAGCGTGCTCGAAACATTACTTGATTCTCGTTTACAGAAATTGCCCAAACAAAAGCACTTTACAGCGGTATAAACTACAAACTCGAAACTACGTACTCGCGAGCGTATAAGAAATCGATCGTACGCTTCTTTTCCACTGGCTTTTCCTCGTCACTTGCGTCACTGTAAACTTTTCAAACAGTTACGCATCGTCGGACCGAATTTACTACGATTTTATTGCTAAACTGTTAACCTTCCCGTTCATGAATCGAAGACATTCGACAACGATGTAACCTTGGTGCAAGCAAACGCGCAATACCTCGACAAATCGATCGTCCCTACCGCTGCCAACGACGTTATCATTTCTTTCCTCTGTTAGTATACGTACAACGACCGTCGCTTAAATTCGCACACCGAGCGTTTTAATCGATTTCTTTCTGTAAAACATAAAAATCGTACGAGTATGTAACTTGACGTAATATAAAATATTACACAAACTTTACTTGTAATTAGGTTTCTCCGAACCCGTTGATTTAACGGTTCCGCTAGAAAATATTAAATTTGATACGTAATGAATTACCTTCGTTGCTTAATCATTCATAGAAGATAACACGAGTCGATACCGGTAATTTTCACTTGCCTTGCGGTCCGTTCGAATGAAATTATGACTCTTACACCACGGTTGCCAAAACTAAGATAAAATCGATCAAATTAATTGCGAATTATACATTTCCGTGACCGATTTGTAGTTGTCTATTACTTACTACACAATCTCTCCTATTAAAAATTCTCTAAAGAAGCGATAGGTATTTTATACGACTTTAACAAAGGTTCGACGCGAACGATGACGGGGAAATTGTTGTTCGTGAAAAGGAAAGTAATGTTTCGTGAGAAGGAGGTCAAACGAAGGGTGCACGTCGTAGCAATACAATTTTATTATACTGTGCGTTGCTTCAACAATGCGTATCGCATCAAAAACTCCGATTCCAGAGGATGTAATTCCGTTGCAGGAATAATTAAACAATGAAGAGGCGGGCCTAGATCGATCGATGCCATTTCTCGAAGAGAACAGGCAACTATACGTTGGTTATCCCAGCCTACACGAGCTAACCCCACCACAATGGTAGACTCGTCGAGAACTGCAAAACCATAAAACTTTAAACATTCTGTACATTTTATATCGATTAGGAGACACATTTTCTTTGTAGCTCACCTAATTCTTCCGCAGGTTCTTTGGCTTTTTCCTGGAATGTCTCTATCAGTTGACCAGCGGCTTCAGAAACGCTCATAAATCGTGGCTGCATATATTCCTTTTTCTTTTTAGTTATAGTTTCTGGAGTAGGTTCCTTCACTTTAATATCTAACAAACAAAGTGTGTGCAAGTTCCTTTGTTTGTTAGATACAATTCTTTCGTAAAAACTGTCAGGTCGCCAATCTTTGCTCCAGTATGGAACGGAAATTGTTTCTCCGAAACGATACAGTTGGAGACCGCAACAACCAATCGCGGTCAAAATAGATGCATTGTGAATAACTTTTACCTAAATGACGCGATAAAACTTTTGGTCGGTGATTCTCAATAATCATTCGTAATTTTTAAAATTGTACCAATCACGGAAATAATTTTTCTCTTACCTCTATGTTTTCTTCTCGAGCACGTAATACCAAATCTGAGTGCGTAGTAGCACCAAACGGATCGCCGATTACAAGAAAAGCGACTGTTTCTTTCTCATGTTTCGGTAATATCTCGGCCGCATTAGACTCGACCAGTTCTCTGTCGGCTACTAATACCGAACGTCCATAGAATTGTTCCTAATTCGATAAAACATGCTATCGTTGGTTTCCTATCGTCACACGAAAAGTACGACACAACAAAGTCATTGTATCGTTTCGCACAATGTCGTCAAAGGCGTATTCAAGAAACTTGTATCTATTATTTTTGAATACCTACCAAATCTTTCAAATTAGTGTTTAAGATGGACGTGTACGATTCCAAATAAACACGATCACATTTTCGAATAATTTCAAGACCTTTAACAGTAACATCCGTTGCATCGCCAAGGCCCAAACCAATCACGTGCAACATTTTCCTCTAGTTTATCGAATTGTTACACGATACTTATTGTTTAATATGTAAATCAATAACGCGATATTAAAAGGTTAAGTCGTTGGTGTAAAAACACGTGTACTCGACAAAAACAAAGCACTTGTACCCAGTGATGCGCTGTGGCTAGTTAGTGCATCGAAATCGACAATAGTGACGACGAACTTCCTTAGCGTCTAACGGGGTGGTGGGGGAAACCGACATATTTTACCACACGAGCACACACGTTACGCCGGTCAGCATTTGATGCAACTTCGGGAATTCGATAAAGAACGTGAACGGCTGAAGTCTGTCCTCGTTTGCCTAATTTTTTACATATATTATGCCATTTGCTGTAAATAGTATTTTATCATATCAATTTATCCTTTCAGTTTACCGTTTGGATGTTAAATAAGAAGCGTACGTTTATTAGTTATGCAAACAATAAAACAACCAATAAAACTTCTACGTCAGTGAGAAACGAAAATTCTTCGTAATTGTTCAAGCAACGAAGAATACAATAACAAAACACAATTTATAATAGAGCTACGTGTACAGACAGATCGACAAAATGAATCAAGCAAATGTTGAGAAGTTAGTTTCTAGGTTAAGATACAAAGTGAGACCAACGCCGCGCAAATTAAAGAACGTACAAGGCCCAGAAGGAAGACTAAACAAAATTAAAAAAACGTTGACCGCTTTGGTTAAATATGAAAGAATCGAATTGAATTATCCCAGGGCGGACGAAACGAGAGGCTACGTCGAGCTAGTATGTATCGTGTAAATTACTTTTACTTTACAGTTTTATGATACTTTGTTTTTGCAGTTGATATCGGAAGCACTACGCCATGGGCCTGAACACAAAGAAACGATGGAACTTGCAAATTTTTGGATATTGGAAAAACAGCTCGTCCATAAACTTTTCAAGGTTCTTGTACCAAGATTTCAAGATTGCCCGACTTCCTTTACGAAGCTCCACAGAGCAGCAGTTATATATCCCGGATTTGGGTATAAAAGATCCGTGTTGGAATTAAAAGGTAAATTTTTATCAGAATTTTGTATACAGGGTGTTTCAAACATAATTAATTGTCAATAGCGTAAATATTTATAATTTAAACTTTTAATTTTAGGGAATGTGTATCCTAGTATAGAACAACATGATCCGTATCAGCATAATTTACTTCATAATGTATTACTCGAAGCAGCTAGAAAAGAATATCGAATGGAAAAATACAAAGAAATTGCTGCAAACATAGATTCATCATAGGTATGTGTCAAAATATTATTAACAAATGATAAAAAATATGCATAACATTAACATAGACCGGTAAAATTAATTGATGTGATTATTATTGCTATTGCAGATCGTTAAGTTGATTTGAAAAGATGTAATGGATAATGTTCTCGAAACTCTGTAACATGTTTTTCCATAGAACACGATTGCTTTCTAAAATAAAAAAAAAAAATACATTAATAACAGGAAAATCAATCGCGAATGTATATTATAATATATTATTTTAAAATGTAATTAATGAACATACCGTATATGCTTTGGCATTTTACAATATACATCCGTGAATAATTCTTTCCAACATGGTTTAAGTCGTTTTTCTGCATCTGCAAATGCAAGTAATATGGATCGTTTTATGGATTCTTTTGACTCTTGTTCTTGCCGGTTGCACCAAAGACCGACTGATTCCAAATATTCACGAAACCGTATTATTGGTGTGTACCGATTCCAACGACCAATTTCGTTGACCGACCGATACGCTGTGCTATCGTCAGAAGTACTGTGGTGTCCAATTCTAAAGTATATACGAACGGGTATGTAATCGAACGTTTAGCCAACCAAACGGATTAAATATTTATAATTAAAAATTTTAATCAATTCATATAAGAAGAATATTTTGTTACCGGTAACTCATAGCTTCGATCAAAACAGGTTTTCCTTCTTTGATACAAAATTCATGCGCAGCTTTTGTTGCATAATACATAGCAAGAATATCATTACCATCTACGCGAATTGTACTTATGCCATAAGCTGGTCCTCTTACAGCAATACCATCTCCTTTAAATTGTTCCAGAGAAGGGGTCGAGATGGCATAACCATTATTCCGACTTGAAATATTAAGAAAAAATTATATGAATATTTTACTGGCATTTGATATTGTTTTTTTATGCATACCATATAAAAATAACTGGACATTCCAAAGTTGCAGCAAAATTAAAAGCTGCATGAGCATCTCCTTCGCTGGCTGCCCCTTCGCCAAAATAACACGCAACGCATGCTTTTTTTTTTGATCGTTTGAGTGCGTATGCCGTACCTACAGCTAAAAATAACATTTAAAGTAAAGATTGCCGTATTAATGAATTACAAATTTTGTCTCCTAATAAAATTATTGCACGGTACTTGTTGATCTATCTACCTTGAGGTAATTGTGTCGTTAAAGGAGAAGAAATAGTGACAAAGTTTAATTTTTTTGAACCATAATGAACAGGCATTTGTCTTCCTTTTGCATTATCTTTGTAATTACCGTAACACTGGTTCATAAATTCTACTATAGAATAACCACGCCATAATAAGACACCTATACAATTGTTTTAAATTAAACTGAATTTTTCTATGGAACAAACTTATTGTTATTAATTGAAGAATATATACCAGCTTCACGATACTGTGCATATATAATATCTTCCAATGTAATAGCAGCCGCAGAACCAATTTGTATTGCTTCTTCGCCGGTATTAGTCATATAAAATGATATACGCCCTTGCCTTTGAGATTCGTAGAGGATTTTATCCATTATGTTCAAAGTAAGCATTTTATGGTACATTCTGATCAAAATTTGTTCATCTAACTTGAGTTAAATGTGAATTTATTATTGATATATTAAATAAAATTATAAAAACTAGTCGTGTATATACTATACACATTAATTAGTTCAACCTTGTATACCTTAGGTAACTGTACAGATTTAGATGAGTTTAAAATCCTAAATATTGGCAGAGGATCATAGTTTTCATTATTGATAAATTTTAGTTCATCTGTAAAATTAGTTTGTATCCCTATATAACTAGGTTCCTTTGTATCGATCATAGTATTTACTTCAGTGCTAGTGTTTACACTACTACAACGTCGTTTTGTCTAAATTCATAGTAAACAAGCATTAAACTTCTTTTTCTATTTGCGCTTCTTACCATTCTCTATTCCGCGTATTTACCTGTTGCAATACATTTCGAAAACATATTTGTTTTCCAAGTCCTAAACGAGCACGATTAATCATTCTTATATAAAAAGCTTTGATTGTAAATATTTTAATTCCTATACCGCGATAATTAATGACTCTTACTTTCTATTTTCACTTTAAAACTTTATGTAACACTTGTGTCCAATATGCGTGCATAAAATCTGTTCATGAATTATGTTTAATTTCATATATTTTGCATACATCAGCTGTGACGCAGTATCACTTTGTAATTGTATGATAACGTCGAGAAGAGGGCATAAAAATTGTATGCACAACGATTTGTAACGCGTATATATACTTTTTTATTTATAAGTTTTATTAATCGTGAAGTTTAAGCTTTTTACATAAAGTTTCTTTTGAATGCAAATTAAAATAAAACGAAACTGGAATGCGATCGAACAAAACAAAGTGTACACAAAAATATAACCTCTAAAAATTTGCAGTCGCTGGTAATTTTAGATAGAATTCTATAACCTAAGCAAAGAAAAATGGATTCTTTGGTGGATAAAGATCTATACGAATTAATCGGCGCAGTAACTACAGCTTCGATCCAAGAGGTATGAAATTCTTATAATATGTAACATGTATACTATCTTTTCAATTTTTATTATTACTCTAGATCAAAAAAGCATATCGAAAAAAAGCTTTATCTTGCCATCCAGACAAAAATCCAAATAATCCAAAAGCAGCGGAGTTATTTCATGAATTATCACGAGCATTAGAAATTCTTACGGATGCGTCTGCTCGGGTAAGCGCGTACAAAGATTATTGTTATTTCTAATTACTACTTACCCTTTACACAAAATTTTCTTATCGTTAATGATGTTTCGTTCTAACAATAAAGGCAGCCTATGATAAAGTAATTAATGCCAAACATCAAGCCGTACAACGAACTAAAGAATTTGACGCAAAACGTAAAAAATTAAAAGAGGATTTAGAAGCAAGGGAAGACGCCTACAAAAGGTCTTTAAATTCAGAATCTTCCACCAAAAGGGATGAAGATAAATTACAGGTATATTTTGTGTTTTACAGTTCGATTACGATCATTTATCCTTTATGGTATTATAATTTTAATAGCTCTATATATATTTTAGGTGGAAATAGAACGTCTACGAAAAACAGGATCAAAACAAGTGGAGGAAGAAATAGCATTTATGAAAAATAAGATTGCGGAACAATCAAGAGGATTTTACAAAGAATATGAAAACGATAGCGATTCTTATAAAATAAAAATAAAATGGAAACCTAATAAAGATAATTTTTATAACGATGGATATAATTACAATACATTGTATCAAATTTTTTCAAAGGTATAAAATCATAATATTTTCGTAAATTATATATGTTTAAAGATTAATTTGTTTTCAGTATGGGGATATAGCAGCCCTTCTTGTATCATCCACAAAAAACGGCAGTGCGTTAATAGAATATCAAAACAAAAGTGATGCTGTATGTTGAGTGACAATATTAAGTATCTTTTTTCTAAAAAGAAAAAATGATTAAATTATTTTCTTTGTCAGGAACTGGCTCTAAATACAGAAGTCGGTTTTGCCCAAAATCCATTAAAACTTCAAAAACTATGGGATATTTCGAAACAATCGAGTTTTTCCAAGGAAAAAACAGCTTGCGACATGAGTTTTAATGGACGAACATCATATTCAAGTGATAATAATTCGGAAAAGAACAAAGTTAGTTTAGAACAGTATCCTTTTCCACGGATTAATTTACTATTTAATATTGAATATTAACGTCATATTTCAGGCAAATGAAAACAATACTATGTCGGATGCAGATTTCGAGCGTTCTGTATTGAATAATCTAAGAAGGGCCGAGGAAAAGAAAAGGTCTGTGGACATGTCACATTTCGGAGACTGCACTTGATTGACGATAATTACAATGCTTCTATGGCTTTATTTATTACATATTTATGAGGACGTACCTGAATACCTTAATTACGTGATCATACAAATACGAAGAGAAAAGTAATTGGAGTATATTGTCTATGTCTGTACCGTTAGGATAATTAAGACTTGTTAGTTTGTGCATTAACATGCTTCGAACAAACATTCTGGCAAAGATATTTAACATTTGCATTGTTTACAAAAAAATCAAATATAAAAACTAATCACTCGATTTTGTGATTAAATTAAATTCGACCTTCGCAATTTATCGATCAATCGAATTCGTTATATTTATGTTACACTATTTTAAAGCGATTAGCACACGTTAGAAGTATTTTAACATTCCTTCGATTTTTTTGTTTTCTTCATTTCCACTTCTTTAATTGGAGCTGGCTTAACGAATGGAATTTCGTGTTCATATTCTGTTGGCATGTATTGTGCTAGAACTTTCGGTAATTTAATGCCAGTATCGGTTTGATGCACTTCCAGGATCGCGCATATGACGCGAGTGACCGCGCACATTGTTGCGTTTAACATATGGACGTAGTCTGTATTAGCATTCATTTTTTTAGTTTGACCATACCTATAACATCGAAATAGTAACTTCGTTAACGTAATATTTATAATGATAATAATAAAATAAATTCGAAGAGAGAATTAACGCTTATTAGATTCGCGATTACATGACAAGTGAATATGCGGCTTTACGCGACTTATTACCTGATTAATAAACTCCTTGCTTGATAATCTAGACAATTGCTACAGGATACTAGTTCACGGAAGGCACCCGATCCTGGAAACCATGCTTCCAAATCTAGTTTTTTTGAAGCAGCATTATTTAGTGCGCCAGATACTATATTTACTATACGGTAGGGAATCTCCAAAGCTTTATAAAATTCCTCCGCATTAGAAATCATTTCTTCCATCATTTGCCAAGACTTATTATCGTGCGGAGATGTCAAACAGAATTGTTCCACCTATTACCCATGCGCGTTTATATGTAAATGTGTATGTGCATCTCTTAAATCTATTACAAACGCAGTGACAGTTACTTTCTCAAATTGATGAACTCTAAAAATGCCTCCTGTATCGCGCCCATGAGATCCAACTTCTTGTCTGAAACACGTAGACAACCCGGCATATCTAATCGGTAATGCATTTTCAGGAATCCATTCGTTTCGATGAAATGCAGCTATCGGTTGTTCGGATGTAGCGATCAAATATTTTTCTTCAATTGCGCTACCCCAGGTATGTTCGTTAGCCCTACCGACCACCTAATCAGACAAATTTCTAAATGGAATAATTTATTGAAACGCTTGTTCATATTATTTATCAATTTTATACCTTATACAGTTCTTCGTCAAATTGAGATAATTGAGCAACTTCCTGCATAACATCTTTGTGCATGAAGAATGGTACATAGAGTGGTTTGTAACCTTTTGCAAACAGCTGTCTAAGAGCAAATTGTATCAGTGCATGTTGTAAAAACACTCCTGGCCCTACTAAAAAATAACCACGTCCGCCAGAAACATTAATACCTCGTTCCCTATCTATTCCATCAATCATATGTATTAAGTCGACGTGCGAGTATCTCTTCTTTTCCGTACAATCTCCATAAGTTCTCTCAACCTAAAATAAAAAATACCATCTTGTATAGTTCGTGGATAGAGAACCTCGAAGTCGATCGTATACCTTATTTTCTTCTTCGTCATTGCTAATCGGTACAGACTCGTGTAAAAAATTTCCTATTTCCTTCAGAGCACTATTTCTTGCAGATTCAGCCGAAGACATGTGCATCTCGTTTGCCGATATATCATGATCAATATTACTAGAAATAACTTTAATCTGAGATACTGTAAATGATTTTAAGTTGTCAGGTGTTAAACTTAATAAATTTTGCAAAATATCCTGCGGGACTTTGTCATCATCGCGTACAGCTTCCTTTCTTTTCATTCTCTCTCCAATTTCTTTGCTGCATACATTTTTTAATTTATTCAAAGTGTCAGCCGTATGTCGCAGCTGACGCCATACCGTATCCTTTTCAATTACAGTGTCCACTAAAGATAAATCTTTGAAACGGTTTTTTTGATTTTCCCGTATTCTATTCGGGTCGAAACCTTTACTTTCTCGAAAACGATCTAAATCGAGTACCATGATTAACAATATACACTGTCACAGATCGTTTCTCTGACTTCTACCGAATGACACGTTGTTCTTGCCACCTTTTATGTTTAAAGTAAAAAGCCTTCCAACTCACTACTTCTCATAGTTCTCATTAGAGGACCTGAAGTCAATAGAATTTTAGTAAGCGCGCGCAACAACAGAGGACTCGTATATCTAGGTCGGAAAAAGTCAGGCACATGGGAAAAAATGAAAAAATATCGATATATTTTAAATTTCTTTAAAATTAAAAGGTTTTCAATGAATTTTTTTAAATATTTGTTAGGTAAATTATTTCTGTGAAAAATCCAGTGTATCCGTGTAGGGATAATATCGGAGCAAATGCCACGGCCAATAAATAGAGATCAGTGGTCGGCGTACAACCATGCTTACAAAATAGTCATTGGCTATCCCTACTCTACAGTTTTAGAACCCTCCTAACTCCTAACGTTCAAAGTCTGTGTCCGAGTCTAATACTCGTACGACGATTACTTTCGTCGGATCCTGAATCTATTTTATACCATGTTTGTGGTAATACGTTCAGTCGGTTACGAGATTGATACCTTCAGCTTTTTGCGTAACAATCACAAACTTTCGTAAGATGCGGTATCTATTTTATAGTTCATCTGCGACGAAGTTTTAAAGTTTGGTAGCTTCATTCCGCTTCTTTCCAATCACTGTGTGCATTGCTTTGGAATGTACGCATGCGCATTCCAGAAACTCTTAAAGAAAAAAATCGAGTAAGTCAGAACAGGCTACAGTATGCGCTGATAATGTTGAACGTCTTCGATTAAAGAAAGCAAACTTAATCGGAGAGTAATGTGTCGCAAGTTTATCATAATGAACGGAAAATCAGGTATAGTGTAGACAGGAAGATCGTGGATTCGAACAGTCAGGTTAGTTACGTCTGTGACGTAGGGTTTGGTAACTATCGACATAACCTAGTATGCTTGTCAATTGATTACGCTGGAAATCGTGTAGAATACCTTTCATGAAAAATAACCGAGTGATTTATGTGAGTGTTATTCCAGCATCGATTAAATTTATCGAAGGTTGGCATCTTTTTAGCACATGCCCGTGTCACAAACTACTCGTTACTTTGCTTTTTATTTCTTGTGTCTGTTTTGATACTTACGTATGAAAGGTACGCTGAACACGACAGGCCCGTAAATTGGTTTGTCATTTAAACGTCTAATTTTCGAATTTTTTGCCCGCATTCGAATCGAGAATTAGATTAAAATTAAATGAGAAATCGTATATTTGTAATTCGTTTTGTTTCAGATACGGTATAGTAATAAACATTCCAAACAAATATTGGGGCATAGTTAAAGTTGATATACAAAGGCATATATTGCGTACATAATAGCCCTACAACTAAAAGGCATACAACTCGACGCTAGACCGGTGAGTTCCAACACAAAATATTGCTTGGTAGTACGGCGGACACTCAAAGCCAACTAACCATGTCTGTACAAAGTGTTGCTCTGGCATCTCTCACGGCCACCTATACCGACTCGGAGGGCGAAGACGGGGTGGAAGACGACCTTCAGGAGAATTCGAACACTCCCCAGGGGACCGCCCCGCATAATGCCCAAGTCGGTCAGCCCCAGGCTTTCACCAGTCCCAAATCTGGCAGATCAGCCTCAAATAGTCCCGTCGTTGCTCCCAGCGTCGGTGGCAAGTCTAGTAACGATTTGTCAAATGCGCCCACCTTAGTGACAGACGTGACGTCTAAGGTGCAGAGATTGGTTTCGTACTTTGATGACACAATAGTCTCCGACGACGAGGGAGTGTTGCAGACACTGGTCGACGGACAGCCTTCTGAGAATGGAAGGTTGTCCTCGATTACGGAACGCTCTCCCTCTTGTCAAGGAGAATTAGTTTCAGATAGCGAGGTGGATCCGTATGGCGTGACTATTCCACCGGAACCACTAGGCCAGTGTCCTGTGGAGTTACAGGAGAAGATAATGAAACTTTTTAGGAAAATGGAGAGTGGCGGTTTGGACATGAATAAAGTTATACAACAAAGAAAGGATTTCAGAAATCCGTCTATTTATGAGAAACTTATTCAGTTTTGTAGCATCAACGAATTGGGCACCAATTATCCCGTGGATAGATTTGATCCGTTCAAGTGGGGTAAAGATTCTTATTACGAGGAACTCGCCAAGGTTCAAAAGGCTGAAATGGATAAACTTGAGAAAGCTAGAAAAGAGAAAACAAAAATTGAGATTGTTTCCGGTACAGCCAAGCGACCCAATAGTTCTAGTGTGACCGAAGACGATGCCAAGAAAAGAAAAAGTAAATGGGATCAAGTGGCAACGGGAGCCACCGCCTCCGTAAAGCCTACCGTTTTGTTGTCACAACCGACTCTTACCACGTTAACGTCATCTGCGACTGGCACCAAAGCGACGGTAATATCGGCTTTCGGATCTTTACCAAAGAAAAGACTGTAACATATTTTGTAAATCATTTGTAAATATCACTTCTTTTAAAAAAAACATTTCATCCTTCATTTAAAGATTTATCATAAACACGGAAATAATAGCTCTTAGTTTTGCATAAATGCACGCGTACGCGCAATATGCGATCACATATATATGTATATATATATATATATATATGACCTGTAAGTCTGTTTTGTCAGATTTGATTGTTGATTTTACCGATTGTTTATTCGACACTCAATTTCATACGTGCGCGGTACGTTCTTGATATAAGATTGCATTAATCAGTAGCGTAATCATTGTCGGAGCAATGTACCTACGATAACACACTAGAGCGTTAATCGATGATTAAGTATATAAAATGTTTTAAAAAAATAAGAAACTGATAGAAATTAAAAAAAAAAAATAATGCAGTCCATGAAATGGAAAAGCAAGATTGCGATTAAATTGTAACGCGACGCTAACTTTTACCTTTATTTTATATTCTCTTTCTCTAGGCAACATTTCACATTTAAAATGTACGTCTCAAACCAATGTTCTTTTTTATAGTACTTCCATTTTTTGTTAATAATTTGAAGAAACTAGTAAAAACTAAAAAGATGACAAGCGATTAAATGTTGAAGGTACATACGTTACATGCTCACCAAAGAAGATCCTTGAAAATACTTTTCTATACCTCGATGAAACGTTGAAATATTGTAAAATACACTTATTGTAACATGTGCTGCCATTGCAACAAAACTTGAAAGATCAATCAAATTTTCTCTACTTGGACTAACGCGAAGAAAATAAAACACGATTTGTAATCATAATTTCCGAGGAATAATGTTAATGATCACTAACCTCGAATTAGGGTTTGTTTAATTTCTTATAAGTATAAATAAACAATTCCTAGTTATACTTTTATACAACAAATTTATTTTCTTAAGATATTTGTTTAATATCCTATAAGTGTACATAACAGCCCACGGAACAATGTTTCATGATAGTATTATAACAAAACTGATAAATTTCGAATAAATTGAGTACTTATTTACTTGATTTTGTTCATATTTACAAGAAATAGAATATTTTTAGTTTTAAATAAAGCACCAGATAATTTGATGAATCTACTATTATGACAAGAATTAATATTTTTAACGGTGATGATTTAATGAAATTACAATTATATTAGTAGTTTTAGATACATAATTAATGATCTGAAAAATATAATACAGACTTGATTTTTTTACGAGACTAGTGCAGTGTCAACACTGGCAGTTATAGGTCTTGTTTGAATACAAGTGTGCATTTTTACGGAATTGATATGTAATCGTTCACTGTTGACGACAGTGGACCAATAGCGCGAAACAGCTTTTTTTACACAGCACAATTTACGGTTAAAAACTTCCAAATTACAAGGAAATTCTTTGCCATGGAAATTAAATATTAATAGCGAAAGAAAATTTCTACTCGTGACATAACCTCTAATCTGGAATTACACGATTTACGCCGCGCATATTTAAAAGTACGCAAATATGAACATATCGTATCCAAATCGATAAAAGCCAGGCGAAACGAACCATACAAAAACAGTGCATAACAAAGGGAATACAAGGAGCTGTGGTTAAATTTCGATTGCTATTATATTTTTATCAATGACTGCTGATAGTACTTACAGCAACGAACAAGTTATTCTTGTAACAGGCGGTTACGATTTTGCTATCAAAATATGGCAGCCCCACACTGGAGTTTGTCAACGTACTGTAGAACACATGGATTCGGTATTTATCCGACAATAATATATTCTATCTTAAATCTTGACCTATCTTTGTTAAAAATTTGTATTCGATGTTTCGGTTTCAGCAAGTAAACGCTTTGAACATTACTCCAGAAAAATATGCGATAGCTGCAGCTGGATATCAGCATATAAGAATGTACGACCTAGCTTCTAACAATCCAAATCCAGTTATTAATTACGAAGGAGTATCGAAGAACATTACAGGCTTGGGGTTCCAGGTTTCTTACCAATTACGATTAATCTTTGCCAGACAGCACGGATAATACATTAAATTTCTATACTAATACATTTTAATATGTATAGGAAGATGGTAACTGGATGTATACCGGCGGCGAAGACTGTACAGCTCGTATCTGGGATCTCAGGTAAATATTCGACATCGAACATCGTGTAATTTTGGTTCTAATAACATGTTATAATAACACTAATAATAATAATAATAATAATTAGGTCGAACAGCTTGCATTGCCAAAGAGTATTTCAAGGTCCAGCACCTGTGAATTGCGTATGCTTGCATCCTAATCAAGCAGAACTTATTGTCGGCGACCAAAGCGGTGTCATACATTTGTGGGATCTACGTTCGGATCATAATGAACAGCTGGTAGAAACCTAGAAAGTTGCTTTAAATGTGGCTAGGAAGCAAATTATTAAACAGCAATCAATTATATTTTATTTAATAAAAGTATATGGATATATGTATGTCTTGTTCAAAGATACCAGAGGCTGAAGCATCTGTACAAGATATCGCGATCGATCAAGATGGAACTTATATGGCGGCTGTGAATAACAAAGGTAATTGTTACATTTGGACGCTTACGGGTGGTGTTGGCGAAGAACCGACACGCCTCAATCCTCGTCAAAAGCTTGCGGCGCATAAACGTTATGCTCTTCGATGCAAATTCAGTCCTGATTCTACGTAAGTAGCATATCGTGTCTGCTTTTTTGTGTACCATAACGTAAAATCAAATACAGTGACATTCCGATTATCCGGCATAATCGGAACTCTAGCGTATACCGTTCTTTGATTCATAATATATTTTACGTAGACTTTTAGTGACCACGTCCGCCGATCAAACTGCTCGTGTCTGGAAAACGACAGATTTTTCAGAAGTACAAGTGCTTCAACACGAGGCGAAACGATGGGTTTGGGATGCAGCGTTCAGCGCGGACTCGCAATACATATTTACCGGTAACAATAAATATTTCATTATTACGTGGTCAGCATATGTTTACTCTAACATTACGTTTAATTTAGCTTCCTCCGATGGCGTTGCAAGGTTGTGGAACGTATCAACGGGAGCCGTGGAACGAGAATATCAAGGCCATTATAGAGCACTTACTGCTCTTGCGTTTCGAGACGAAGTACTCTCCGTTTCCTAAATCAATCATAATCACTTATCCGAGTTTGCGTGCGGAAGTGTCGCACTTTCATCAATGCGCGATCAAGAATACCATGGGATTTTTCTATTTCTCAGGGCTCTTTATTTCGATTCCATTGCATACGATTTTGCAACATATTCTTTCACATTTTATCAAGGTTAAGATCCAGTCTTAAAATAGGTTTGCACATTTTTAAGCGTGTATATAGATCACAAAACGATTTATAAATAACCATGTAACGTTATTTTTGTTTTCGAAAATGCTAATAAACAGGAGAATGATTTGCAATCAAGATCCGATTAACAAAAACAAAAATAACTATTTGCTAACGGTGTAAGTTCATTAGGAACGATTTTAATGTTCCAATCTTGACAAATTATACATCTTTTATTTAAACTATTGGTACGCGCTTTCTTAAGCATACTTATTATAATGACTTTTAAGTAACAGGTTTAAAATGTCTTTCAGAGCAAAGGCAACGCTTCTACTTCTCCCATTTCTGTGAAGGTCTCGTCGTCCATTGTATAACTTAACATGAATTTTAAGGATACGGTTTTCTGCAAAAGAAATTCGTTGTCAAATTAATATTAATCCGAAACCGTGTAAAAAAAAGAGTTTGAAATTTACCTTATTAGGATTAGCAATCAACATAATTTGGGTGATTGCTGGTGGGGGAAGAAATGGATTATGACCTGGTAATTCAATTCCAGAAGGTGGCTGAAGTCTACATTTACATTTCTGTAAATTTTAATACAAAGAAATCATCATGTCCAAGCGTTACGCAGGTAATTATTAAAAACGAAAGAATTTACTTACTTTTGGCACCACTGCTTGAAACAAATAATTACTAAGTGGTTTCACATTTTTGCTCATTGTTGTAATTACCACGACATACACATCTTCTCTTGGATTGTCTCGAGCAAAATGAAGCACGACGGTTATACCATTTTTTTCTTCCATTACAGTTATAGGTGGATTAATACCTATCAAAAGAATACAAACGACGGTACATCAAGTCACGTTAAGTTTCCAATAAAACTATCTTTCTGATCTTAATAATAAAATAAATGCGCGAGTAGAGAGTACCTGGCGTAATATCTTGAAGGCTAACGTTAATATCCGTCAATGGTTTGATCTCGGATTCTATACAAGTAGCATTCTCTGTCGTCGATGGCTTTTCGTTTGTGTTGTGAGAAATAGGGAGAGACAAGGGGGGCAAAAGACTTTGACTGTCGAGCGAATCAGAATTGAAATTGGTCAATTTGTTGATTTTTGTGCTCGCAACGTCTAACGAACCAGAAAAATGTGAAGAATCGCCATGAGGAAGTATAGTTGAATCGCGACGTTCTATCGAGGGTTCTATGTGTAACGTACGACTTACAGTTTGCTTGCTATAAACGTAGAAGGAAAACATATTGTTAATAGATCAAAACGCTTTAAACGATAACGTATATAATAGAAAGGTTTATTAATATTATTATATATTTTATTTCACCGACCTTGCTGAATTGGAGCGAGCACTTGATATTGTACCTGATAAACTTTGTTTGAGCAAAGACTCTCCTAATTCGTTCAATTCCTCCAGTGCTCTTGTTTTACTGTCTATTTTCTTTTCAGGTGTGTTAATCGATTCACCTGGCAATTGAACAAAATTATTGGCCGTTTGTTGTGTTTCATTTATTGATATAATAATAATAATTCATTATGACTAGCGATTGCTCGAATCTGCTTTAAAAAATATTCGATCCGTTCGAAATCTCAATGCTATTTGTTTGATAAGGATACGTGTTAAACATATTAAATTCACGGACCTTTTTTATTTGTAGGCAAAACACTGATTGGTTGCATGATCATTGAATCAGGTATTAAGAGGTTTGCGTTCGAAACAGGCGAGATTTCTAGATTTTCAGATTTCCCTATTGAACTGAAGATATCCCCTAAAACTTCCATGTCTGATTGATGGTTTGTTGTTGTGGCATCGTAACTCGTATTTGTACCACTACTCTCAACAGTAATGTTCTCTGTTGGAGAAGATAAATCTAACAAATACGGGCCGGTGTTGGAATCCGTTTTAGGCTTTACGCATTCACCACGTACTATGATCGCAGTGTATTTTTCAAACACCTGTCCCAATTCATCGCTTGCGGCAAGCACGTCACCTAACGCAGATTATTTGAACATGATGCAATTGATCTTTCTGCGATCCTCTCAGTTTCACAGTTTTGAAATTCTAAGTTGCGACTACATGAGTTAATTAGAATTTCTTTAATTAACTTATTGACAATAATATGAACAATAAGAAACTCTGTGAACGATACTTTCATATTTAGCAAACCCGATCTCTCGCACAAGACTATCAGATAAGATTATCATTTTATTTGTTCAGGCTGTTTGAACAAATTTCACTATTTTAAGATATTTACCGAGCATTTCTTCATTATCTTGAGTTTCATTTGCTAATCTCAGTACAATTGGTTTTAATCGTTCACAGGCTTGACGCAATTCCTTCATCAATTCGAGATCTTCCCTACTAGTCTCATTACTATTATAAGAGTCCAACATCTCTGATAGTAACTTAGCATTGTTATGTACAGATTCTAATTCCATTATTCTACGCGAGTTCAATTGTACACGTCTTTCATCCTGCAAGACAACGGTTAATAATATTTGTTGAGGCTCTATAGCCTTTTAGATATTTTTTGCTCACCTCTCTCACCATAGTTTTAATCAGTCTGTTAGCAGCTTGCAAATCATCAGGATTTTTACTTTGAAGTAATTTCTGCAATAGTTTGGATTTCTCCTCGTCGTCGAATATCGTGTGTTTAGATTTTGATACTTTTGATCCATCTTCCGGGACGTTAATCGTGGATGTTGAATCATCCTGAATGTTTAGGTATTGCTTACTGGTTAATTTTACCTGACAAAAATATCAATAAACAAAGTAAACAGGACACAAAACTGACCTCAACGACACCTTGTTTTTTCAACATTTCGTACGCTTCTTTAATTTTTAATTCCCGTGGATATTCCTTTGTCCACGTTTGCAGCAATTGTAATACTTTTTGACGTACCATAATCGGCGTATCGCCACCTAAATACTTTGGCGAAACTAGTCTGATCATTTCATTTAAAAAACGAAATTTACCAATTTCAGCGTGAAAAGATGATCCACATCTTCGCATGCATGTATCCAATAGCTGTGGAATTATTAAAATCACTTAAAAATTTATGACAATAACATAATTTTACCAAGAGTAACAAAACTTACAGCAAGGGTTTGAAGCGCTTCAAATTCATCAGACGATTGGATATACAATGCTAATAACTTAGTCCCGACTTGAATGCTATCTGGTTCCTTAGTAAGTATTGCACAGAATGCTTCGGTTGCCTCTACTACATCGAGTTTCTGACTTTGCGGATTTGTTACCTTTTCTATGAAAAAAGAATATCACGTACAAAATGTTCATAGATCTTTAATGCAATAACGTAAACGTTTCAAGATTATACCATTAGCATCGAACTTTAACTTACGTATTATAGATTCTAATCTTATCATTGACACATCCATTTTTATAGTTTCACCCGTTATTTCCGAGTTTGAATGTTTGAATTATATCTAATTATTTGACAGCTACATGGGAAAAACACTGAAAGGTACCATTTTGATTGTTTTCCTCGGGATTCTCTCGATATTAAACGTAAGGAGTGTCGAAGTAATTCCAACATTTACGATTCGTAACCCATTTGTACTTGTTATTCTATTTCGATATTGTTAAAAACAAAATGGATTTTCTCAATCGTCTTTAAAATCTTTCGACGCAAACAGCTGTTGCGTTTTTCTTCGAACACTGATGGGCACTTCGATAAACGTGTGTCGTTACAGGTACTATATGCACGTAGATTAAAAAGAAGGCTTTTTACCGACAATCTTTATAATGATACGAGCGAAACATGATTAAATATATGTATACGCCCGATACAGAAATGCCGCTCCACCACACAAACGGTTCTCCGTACACCCGTGCGTTTTCACGGATAAATTTCGTGTACTGTGAGATCTACGATCAAACTCATTCTTTACGCCGTGTTTGTGTATAGATACAATCAAAGGCATTAATTCATCTGTTTCAGGACAATACGATACACCGAACGTACATTTTTTTTTCTACTTTAATAAACTTCTAGCGGCTAGAACCTAGCCGTCGCATGACTGGAAACACTATGCACTGGATGATATCGCTGCAACAACGTTCGGGGTTGTGGAGCGATCTTCTTGACGAAGTATGAAATAACCATAAGTCATAACATGTCGGTAATAATTTTTGTAACTGTAGGATTTTAAGAAATTTCAAGGTCATATCTGTTTTCTTTTTTTTAAACGATATACTATATTATTTCGTAAAATGACGAATATGCAGACAATTTCAACGGTATACATATAATTATAAGGCTGTCGAAGTAACGCCCGTTTGAATGATGAATTTGATCAAATTCAGGACGCGATAGCAACATTTTTTAAAACATATTTTTTGTAGAAGTGAATTCGAACATATTTGACAAAGAAAGGGAATGATTATAACGGGAGGAAACGAGATATATATAATATTTGAACAGCGACAATCGAAACCCAGTATTTGAAACAGATGCCGCGCACGACAAAAAATAATATAAAAAATGTTATTTTTCCATAATTTTGTTCACCGTAATTATTTAAACAAAAATAAAACTAACAAATTAAACATTTATTTTTATTGGGATGGTAAATATCTTCATGCACGTTACATAGAAAGTCAAAATAAATCTGTGTATATGAAGACAAGACATAAAAATTCACAAAGAAATAAGCGCCATGGAAAATGTGCATCTAGAAATCTCGAAGAATACAAAAATGTATGTAGTTTGTTACAGAACATGAAACATAAACAACATGAAATATATGATCGTACTTAAAAATACAGTTCATGTGACATCGGATAATTATATCGATTCTATAGTTTAATATTTCTAGACTTCGTTTGCAGTTCAAAACGTCGATTCATTCTTACACCCTTCAAAATCGTCCTATTCTGCTGCTTTTGTTTATTTCTGTAAAAGGAATAGAAGAAAATAGATATTACAATATTAATTTTTATAATATTACACTACATTACGTAAAATATTCCCGTCTTGAGAGTTGATTTCAGATTTCAGTGAACGTTTTACCCTTGGCGAGGCTAAAAAAAATAAGTACAACGTTTGAGAAATTAACAAAATATTGCTATACGTAAAAATAAATCAGAATAAATCTCGCAAGAATGCGATATATTACTTAATGCCACGTGTCTTTCCTTCAATCGTTTCTTTGCATCTATAATAGATTCCGATTTGGCAAATAATCTTTTATGTATTTGAGTAAAATTTGGGACCTCCTTTTTTGCAGAATACTTTGGATCTAAAAATAGATATAATCGAGAAACCATTACATATTTTCATAGTTAAAACAAAATATCTTCGATCGAGTTTAACAAAGATTACCTGATTTTTTAACAGAGTAATTGAGTGGCAATGACGAAGCAGCGTTTATATTAGTAATACGCTTTGATTTGTTATGAGACTGGTGCTTAGGGGTGAAACGTTCAGCGCTAGAAATGTTTTCATTGCTTACAAATTGCGATCTTCTATGGAAGACATTGACCGGCGATTTCCCTATGTTTCTTTTTGACTTTATTCTAATTGCTACTTTACGGGGATCCTTAATTTGTTCTTTCTGTTTGCGAAGTCTGTACATGGGATTTGTATCTGACGACGAACTCTTAAGGCTTCTAAGACTCTTAGAACTCGTAAAATGTACTTTGATATTTTTCTTTGCAGCTTTCTCGTTTAAATTTGCTGCAACTGCACTTCGTTTCTTTTGCTGTTTCTTACGTAAATTTGGAGTTTTAGGCTCTGTAAGTTCATACGTTTCATTTTTTCCTTTATCATTTTCTTGTTCGTATTCTACTTCGTGCTTATCGTTCATTTTGCAAAGTTGCTCTTTCTCTCTTGGCGTAGATGCTTTTAAGGGACTGACTGTTATGATTTTTTGCAATTTAGATGGCGATTCGGTGTTCCTTTTTTTACCTCTTCTTGTTTTAAAATGTCTTGTTATGTTGGATTTTGATTTTTCTAATGAACTATTAGCTGTAGAGTTCAATTCTTCTAGACTAACATTATCGTTACTATTATTCTGCAGATTTTTTACATACATTCCCACCAAGGATGATGAACATAGTATTGGAAGTCTTTGTAGCACCACTACAGGCTCTTTTAATGCAAATGCATCCTTCATGGAAATCAATCCCATAGACGTGGCTACATCTATGTTCTTTACAGCTGCATGCGCAAGTTTCGTTTTATCTGCGTTAGAGTTTCTTGTAGATGTGGTTTGTCTCTTTTTCAATTCTGATAGTTTCTTTTCATTACTGCGAGGAATCCATTGGTTACCAGGTACCTTTGACTTTGGTGACTTTTTTGATACCAATTTTGAGTTTGGAGACTTTAACATGATCTTTGGGGATTTGGAAAAGCTTCTTAGTCCTTGTTTCATGCTAAGTAAAGATGTCCTTTTACTTTTGTTCATTTTTTCAGGAGTAAATTTGTAAATTTCTGGCGTACTTATGCGAATATCAGATAGACGTGCCTTTCTCTGCAAGCTATTATTCTTAAACGATGATTTCTGTGACTTTATCGGAGATTTGATTCTCAGGCTCAACTTTTTCGGTGTTATTAACAGCTTTGAAGAATTAATGGAATGTTTTTTCGAAGGAGATACATTTCTCGGTGACTTTTTAGGTGCTTGAGTATGTGTTTTCTGTACATATTTTGTATTTGTTAATGGATTACATCTTGTACTTCGCCTCTGATTTTTTGAAACTTTACCAATCGTTGAATGCATATCTATATTATGGCCTGATTTTGTTCTTTTGCTTCTAATAGGTGTTTGTACATTGTATTCTAAAAATTACACATCGTCATAATAAATATTAAAGTAGATGTAAAATAATAGGTAAATAAATATAATAGTGTCTGCTTATATGACATTGAATCAGGACCGTGTTATGTCACTGCTATTAGACCTTGCTTCTTCTGAGTAGGAAGAACCAGCAAAGAGCACGAAGATAGATAATTTTTAGGCTTGTTTTGAACAAGCACTTGATGCCACATAAGAAGACAAATTTGGTGTCATATGAGCAGACATTACTGTAGATGCAAAAAAAATTATATATTAAATTGAATATACGATACAATAATTCCACAATATTTCAAAAATTAAAAGTCTGAGTAACTGTAGTAAAACTAAAGTTTTGTTTGTGCTTGCCTTGCCGTGCACGTTTTGTAGACATACTTCTGTTGATGTTATTAAAGAAACACATATAATAGATAATATACAAAAGATATTGTATAATATCGGATGTTTATGAAAAGAATTGGATATCTTCGTGCTTGTATGCCAATGTATTTAGTATTCGATGATCAATGGCAGTTAAAATTTACTGAAAAATATTATGCAGTATATTTGAATCTATTCGTAACTTAGTCAATACAATCTGTGGTACTAGCAAGCCGGGTATTTTCACGCCTGCGCGCCGAACGCAACGTCAATTAGATGCTTTATTTAAGTGAAAATGGGTATCACACGGACCCCTGTTGAAATATATGATTTATACATATACCAGTCACATAAAAAAGAAAGAGCAGAGCAGGGAGAGATATTAAAATAACTATATAGAACGTCAGGCTTGGCATAAATAATAATTATTTACTTAAAATTCACCGACAAGTTTCACTTGTTGCTGTCGTATGTACGAGTCCACCAAACATTTTCTGAACTATCTATGTTTCCCGACGTCCACTGTGTAGTTACGTTACTGTTTTTGCTGCACATGCGCAAAAAACTCGGACCCATCTAGCAACCATAGACTACAATGTACTTAACGTGCATAGGAGACACGAAACATCCAATAGGTAAAATAAGAGTGGTGATGTACATTTGACCAATTGGAAGTCGGAACGTGCTTGGTGCCTTAGGCAGAAAACGTATTGAAAGCATGCGATCCATTACTAACAAACAATGCCGACCGGCGCCGATAAATTTCGTTCGTTTTTAAACGAATATGTGTTTTTCATTATGGTACTTATGTGTACCTACATAGGCCGTAATGTAAAAATGCCTGGGCAGTCGAGATTTCAAATCGTATGCCGTTGACTCGAGGTACGGAGTTTTGTTATTCAAGAGCGAGAAGGCAAATGTGAGCCTTACTCTCTCGACTCCCACGAAGCGGTCCGAAATTACTTCGGGGAGCTTCGGAGAATCGAGAAAGAGGGGATGGTGTCAGTTTGTCTTTGTCGACTCTTCGAGTACAGAACTCTCATTCGCGCGGTAACTAACGGAGAGTGATGAGTGTGAATAACCGTCATTGGTTAAAACATAATAATTTCGATTAACGTATTATGTAGGGAAAGTGCAATTCATGTTAGTCTACTTTTATTATTTTATTTTTTGTGATATATCCACATAGAATAATATATATAGCTGAAAAGAAAGAAGTGCTTTTTAAATAGCAAATTTGAATTTAAATGTAGAATAGTTTTTAATGATTTTGTATATTAGAAGTAAAAAATTAATATACAATAAAACAAAAGAAAAGCAATTACTAATTCAACGCTTTTACAAATATGTATATTCTTATATGATTTTTAATTTTTTTTTTTATTTTAAGTAATGTAATGATAAATATAATTATCTGTCTTCCATTCGTAATAAAGATGTAATTTTACAAATTTTTCATTTTCTTTCTGATTCAGATTATATTTGCTTTTTCGTTACTGTGTTATTAAAAAAGTTAATATGTTTTCTTATAGGTATATGGAGTTTATCAGTTCCTTAGATATTTAAATTTTCATACAATAGTAATAATGGCAGAAAAAAATTTTCCACCATTAAAAAATGAGTTAATTTTAAAAGCTGCACGCGGAGATGTGGTGGAACGTATTCCAATTTGGGTAATGCGCCAAGCTGGAAGATATCTTCCAGAATTTCAAGAAGTTAGATCAAAGTATGATTTTTTTACTGTTTGTCAAACACCAGCCTTGGCGTGCGAAGTTACTTTGCAACCTATTAGACGTTTTGATTTTGATGCCAGCATTATTTTTTCTGATATCCTAGTCATCCCACAAGCGATGGGTTTAACTGTTGAAATGGTTCCTGGAACGGTACGAAAATTTAAAAGTCTTGAAAATAACAAAAATATTAAAATAATACTTTATGATAAATTATTATTATAGGGACCGGTATTACCCAGGCCTTTACGCGATCCATCAGATTTAGATAGACTGGTTCCTGTAAATGTGGAAAAGGATTTAAAATACGTAGGGGATGCTATAACTTTGACACGACATAAATTAGAAGGGAAAGTACCATTAATAGGTTTTACTGGGGCACCAGTGAGTAAAACAAATCTCAAATTTATTATTATTTTCGTACTATAAAACAAATATCCTATGAAGATTTTTTATGTTTATGTGTACACGTACGTAGATTTTATAACAACGATATTCATATTTATGTATTATTAGTGGACGTTAATGAGCTACATGATCCAAGGTGGAGGTAGTTCAACAATGCCTAAGGCACGCTCTTGGCTATACAAATATCCCGAAGATTCTCACAAACTTTTACAGCTTATTACAAATGTTATAGTGGACTACCTTGTGATGCAAGTTAAAGCTGGAGCACAGGTATAGATCATGCCCTTGATACTAAATATAAATTTTTATATACGAATAAAAATCACGATCAACGCGACTTTTTTTTCAAAGTTAAGTTTATTAATATCAATACCATCTGATGCGTGCTAAATATATTTTTGACAACTTCTTTCATATTTTGTTTCTCTTTTACAGTTGTTACAAGTATTCGAAAGTCATAGTGATTTTCTTAACGATGAATTATTCTTGAATTATTCATTCAAATATTTAAAGGAAATTAGTCAAAAGGTCAGACAACAGCTTAAAGAAGAAAATATTCCCGATGTACCGATGGTAAGTTTAAAAATAAATATTATTCATAATGTAGTTTATTTTTCATTTCTTTAAGCATTTATAACTTTAAGTTTTAGACATTGCAATATTGTATTGAATTGGGTAATATATGTACAATCGATATAGAAGTTATTAAATGAATTTTAGATAGCCTTTCCTAAAGGCGCAACAATGAATTCTTTAGAAATGCTAGCCAGATCGAAAACTTACGAAGTATTAGGTTTAGATTGGACCGTAGACCCTATAGAAGCAAGAAAAAGATTGGGTCCCGATGTTACTTTACAAGGAAATTTGGATCCATCTGCATTATATGCTTCCGAGGTTTATATTATTATACCGATACATATATACATATTTCATTTTTATCAACAATGTGTATAATAATTTTTTTATACAGCAAGAAATAATGAAACGAGGACGAGATATGGCTATGAAATTTGGTAAAACTCGATATATTGCGAATTTGGGACATGGTATTTTCCCAGACACACAAGTTACATCTGTTGAAGCTTTTATTAAAGGAATTCATTCAGTATGATTTGTCAAACTGATTTTCTTTTCATATTTTATAATATAGATTTACTATAAATTATTATTGTTGGCATTCTTTGTTTGAATTTAAATTATATGCGCCCAATGACTATTGTGAATAACGTAAAAATAAACAGGAATAAAACAAGGTTACTTAAAAAATTTTATTTTTTTTAGTACATTTTTAAATGAAAAAAGTTTACTAAATATTAAAATACTTTTAATCGCGATGACGCATTTGAATTGCTTAAAGAACTAGTTTTCGTATCTAATCGTAAATAACTAATGTTAATTTATTTCACAAATTTTACTTTTGAGTAACAATTAAAACTGAAATATTTATTTACAAATAAATAAATTTTTGCAATTTTAAACCCTTATTCCAGTAATCCTAAGGGTGACTTATAATTTTATCCAGTAATGTAATACGTACAATTGAAGAACCTCGAGAAAACAAAACCACGTGACCCAAACGGATCTCATTCGTCCGCTATATCTTTGGTCAAAAAGTTTATTGTAAGTAGTAGATCGAAACATGAAAAGATTAGAATTACGACGATCAGGTGGTATTTTTTTCATTAAAAATTTACATAAAATTAGAGTATTCAAAAAGGATGAATAATATTATTATTATATACATAAATGATAACTTATATAAATTTTATTCTGTTTGTATCTATAGAAAACATAGTTCCTTGTTGTTTTGTTACTATCCAGTATTGTGGTTTTTGCTTACAAAGAAACGGCTCTTTGACTGAAACATAGTATAGTTTCAACCACAGAAAATTACAGTACAGAAAACAGCGCTTGCGTATTACACGAAACTTCTGACTTACAATAAAATTTCACGTCCAACTCTACCCCCACGTAGACTTTCAGCCGGAATCCGTGGATCTATTCGGGTGGCCCCCTGTTGCCGTTTAGCGGTTCGCGCAAGCGCAACCAATTCTTCTGGTTAGAGTGTCCATTTTGATCACATGTGAGTATCTCCAGTCTGTTCTCCTTTTTTCACGGTGAGTCTGGGCGATCGGCTTGTGATCGCTTGAACAAGTTTGTAAAACGTGTGCTGAAAGATCCAGAAAATAAAGGGCGACGTTATTAGAAACCAGTTAACATCCGTGATTCGTTGAATCTTCTTCGAGAGTCGGCATCCTCGACGACAAACCGCACGCAATCCTTTTCGCGCCATCTTCTCGAAGAAAACGGTCAAAAAACCGCAGTAAACCCGTCTTCGAAGGTAATTCGAGTTTCGCGAGACTTTCCGGTTAATTTTTCCTATAAAGGCTTCAATAACCAAGGAACTGTCAGCCGGGTTGAATCTTTGGTTAACTCGTGTTTCCGCAACGTGTTCATCCACTTTTCGACCGTTTTCCTGTAAAGTTTTTAAAGCTATTTGCGTCTCAAACTTTTCTGAGATCAATATTGCATAGTGTTTCAATTCATTCTGTTTTCTTTTCCCTTGTTTGCTGTACTTCGGAAACATTTGAACTTTTTTAAAAGTAGCTCTCATTCCATACCATAAGAAGATGTAGTAGTGCTTTTATTATTCAAAACAATTTCGTATATACTTGATTAGTCAATTTTTTATTCATAATTCGACATTAGAACTAGATCATGAAATAAAATTATGTTATATATTTTTAATCCAAAGAAGTAACGTTCAAAGCATATATACTGTTATGTTTCAAAACATATTGTGCTGTATAAAATAATTCCAAATTTCTCATGCATATTTCAAGTTTATATAATAATTTCATTGTTATTTCAATGATTTGTGAAGTTATACAAAGTTAGACTAACGAAGTCTTATTTTGTTAGAAGTATTCTTAATTTTATTTCTATTAAGCCATGTTCAAATTAGTAATTTCAATGTAATACTGTAGTTAGTAGCATTTATAACATTTGTAAAATTTTAAAGGTATATTAATTCTAAATAAACCTACGAAATTCAGCGGGCATAATTCTATTATAATACTTTTTATTTACATGGAAAAAATATGTAACATTTAACGAAATAGTTTAATTTTTCATGAGATTGTTAAAAATATTTACATTACTTTTTTATACTATATTGTAATTTGTAAGGTAGCTTAAAATCCTGTTATTTATTACTTATTACTATCTTTAAAATTGATTCTTAAATTATTTATGTATTTAATATATACTTTGTTATTTTTTCAAATATCGTCATTATAACTAACTTTAAAAGAAGAATGTTGTTTACAATTATTCCAACAGATGATATATTCAATTTTATTTTTTATAAAATTGTTTTTGTACATGCTTCGCTTTTAAATTTGCAAAATTGCCAACAAGTTATTATAATAGCGAACTTTTAATTTTTTACATACATCATTATGAATCTCTGCTGTGGTAACTATTATATTTCATTTGATTTTAACGATAATTTTAGATTAATATAAATCAACGATGGCAGACATAGAGGATACTCACTTTGAGACTGGAGACTCCGGTGCTTCTGTAACATACCCTATGCAGTGTTCAGCACTGCGTAAAAATGGGTTTGTAATGCTCAAATCTCGGCCATGTAAAATTGTAGAAATGTCAACTTCTAAGACAGGAAAGCATGGTCATGCCAAAGTACATCTTGTAGGCATTGACATTTTTACTTCAAAGAAATATGAAGATATTTGTCCCTCTACGCACAACATGGACGTGCCATTCGTGAAACGGGAAGATTACCAGGTATTTAGAAATATTTTTATTTAATTAATTGACATTATAGTTCTCTTGTATTTAAATCATTATGGCCCTGCCGGTGCAATTTTAATAAACTTCTAGAATATTTAGCGAATGTTCTAACCGATATTGATATTTAATTTTAGTTTCTTTTATGCTTTAAGGATGAAAATAAATAGGCCCTCTATTTTCTTTGTTATTTGCATTTGTCTTTCTATTGCCTGTTAGAAATTGATTTTTTATAATGATATTATTTATTAGCATTAAACAATGATGTAACAAAACATTTATGTGTATACCTGTTACAGCTAGCAGACATATCTGATGATGGCTATTTATGCTTGATGGCTGATAATGGTGAACTTCGTGAGGATTTAAAAATTCCTGATGGTGAACTTGGTGCTCAGTTGCATGCTGATCATGAGGCTGGAAAAGAGCTTCTTGTAAGTATCAGTATAGTTTTATGTGTATATAAAATATTTGTTCTCTGTAGAAAAATCATAATTCAATTGGATGAAAGTTCAGTTTATAGTGCGTATAGAATAGATAAAACAAAAGAGCAATAAAAACAAATACATTTGTTAAATATATAATCTGTTATTTGGTTTTTGAAGAATATAAATGTCACGTGGATTTCTGTGTACTATCTTGTGTTGTTTAACAAAAATATCAGAAAATTTCAGTATCTCGGTATCTATACATGAAAATTTCATAGCACCTTCATTGTCGTTTGATTAAAACAGCAAATAAACTTATATTTGGTGCAACAGAAAACACGGAAAAACAAATATTTTCTTTTCAGTGCACCGTACTGAAAGCCTGTGGTGAGGAAGTTGTGATTGCCATCAAAACCAACACTGCCATCGATAAATAATTGTGTTCAGTCCAAACTCCACCATCACATTAAAGAAAAAAACAAAACACACACAGCTAATATATTATTAAGCGAAACCTAAGATACAATACAAGATGATCAGTGGTTAAAATAAGAACTACCAACACAAACAGAGCAGAAAAGAGTGGAGGTTACTTGAAAAAGAATAAAATGATGGAAAACGAAACAAGGGGAAGTAAAGAGACAAACATATAATTAAAAAAAGAAGGGAAGAGAAAGCAAATGTGCGTGAGCGTGTAAGTGTGACGGAGGGGAGGATTACAAATAATGAAATAATTGCAAAAAATAAATAAATAAAAAGAGAATAAACCAAGAAACAGCATCAGCTTAGAGTTTGAGGGAGGAAGAATGTTTTTGGCTGCTTAAACTGTTGAGATTAAAAGGCAATTTTGACAGTCGAAAAATTTCAAAGAGAAATAACTATTTTGCCTTCATTTGTGATTTCTAAAATTTCAGCATGATTAGAATTCTATTTCTATTGGAATTTCGATTACTTTTGTATCAGCAATTACACAAACTTATTAAAATTATAATTTTTATTGAAATTTCGATATACCTAGAATTCTAGTTATCTAAAAGTTTTGTTCCCTTATAATAACCCTTTCTTCGATCGAAGTCTCAATTCCTCTAAATTTGATTTTTCAAAATTTGATGTCATAATCAAATTGCAATTCTAGTGGATTTAGATAGTTCCAATGTTATAATTCTAATTCCTACAGCACCCTCATTTTGCTGAAATCTTAGTTTTTCTTCATTCAAGTTCATGAATCATTTTTTATTAAAATTCTTTGTTTTAGAATAACTGTCCTAATTCAGAATTCCTATCCTATTGTAATGTTGAACTTCTTTTATTATATAATGTTAATTTAATTTTGTCCAATCTTCATTAGAATTCCTGCTGTATTAGAATTCTATACTAATGAAGTTTCGTTAAAAAAAACGTATGCCTTATTAGAAAATCGTAAAAGTTTTTATTTATCCAAAATCTTCTTATTTGGAGTTTGTTCTTATAGAGCCTTTTAATCTATAATTCTGATTCTATTCAAGTTTGGATAGTTTGGATATTCAAAATTTTAGACTTTTCTTTTTTTCTTTTTTATGTTTACAATTCTGATTTATCGAAAATTAGTGAAATTTGTTTTCCTAATTTTTCAAATTTATATTTATGTTTCTCGTCTGATACTTACGTATAGTTATTTACTCAAAATTCCAAAACTTAATATGCAATTTGAAATTCTGGAACTTTGAACATAGATCTGAAAAGGTTTTATTAACTTTCGTGTGAATTTCGGAAGTTTCGTTTTTAATTCATATTTTGTACTGCTGTTTTGTATTTAAAAACTTATAATGTGATCTTTTGCCATTTTTGTATTAAAATCAAAACTTTCGTAAACGTTAACTTCTTAAATTCTAACTAAAAAACTTAGGAATTTAATTTGAATTTCAGACTGCGATCATCTAATTTCAAAGATAAAGACTTCAAAGTTAAATTCTGAAATTTTTAGTTTAACTTCTAATTTTGGTTTTCGATTTGAAATTTGAGTTTTATGTAAGAATTTGTGGTCTTACATTCAAATCTCTGTTTCAAATCGGACGACCCATCTACGCGAAAACTAAGGAAGTTTAAAAAATTATTAAAAAAATGAATAATAAGAAACGACTAAGCTATGTAATCTAAGCAGGCTAATCTAAGATTAACACGACCTAGATAAATGAATTTAATCGATTCAAAAAGAAAAAAAAAAACAAACGAATCAATCAATGGCCGAATTTCAGCTACGAGAGACAGAAATCATTTTTTCTGCTTCTCGATATTCGGTTTAATTAATTATACACCATTGCTGGTAAATTCTTTCGAATTCTAACGGTATTTACTTAAGATTCCAAATACAGGCAAAATTGTAAGAGTAATTATATAAGCACAGAGGTGAAAATGAAATTTCGAGAACACTATTTTTGAAATATATTTAGCATTTCAAATGTTAATTCTTTGTTGCGAGTCATCAATTTATAAATAAATTGATAAGTGATTATTAGTATTTATGTAGATAATAATGCAATACATATTACAAAATAGAACTTAAATTATTAATATACTTCTTTCAACTAGCGAAGTAAACTAGCATTCCAAATTATAATTAACTTGTTTGACTCGGAAATGTTCTCGAAATATTATTTTTTAATTCGATGTGCACACGATAAACCAATTCTTGATATATTTATTAAACGATAACAACATGAAATACTGTAGCATACGATGGTATATAGGTATTTATAAAAATATAACCAGCATTGGCGTATATAGGCAGGCAAAGATACATAACATACATACACGTATACAAACACGCAGCGGAAAAGTATATGACAAAAATACACAAGTATATGTGAAAGTACATGATTATGGAATTTCAAACAAAAAAACACAAACGTAAAATATATAAATAAACGGATATCAACGAGCATTTGTTTATACGACAGAAGTCAATGGAGGATAAATAAAGGAAACAAAAAGCCATTTGTGCTTTTGTGTCACCTTTCGGATATTATTAATGAACTCATTTCATAAGTAATTTAGGTTGTGGCGATTTTGTTACTTTTTTCTTATTGCTTCACTCATCATATGCTTTTTACGTTGATTAATGCTACCAAAACTGTATTGGAATATTTCTATTAAGAATTATAGATTAGAAGTATACATAATATAGATTGATAAAACTCACGATTCTAACTAGAATTTTGTTATGTTTAAAATATCCTACTATATATTAATATTATTTGAGTATTTACAACTTTTATCACTCTACCAAAGTGATATAAACATTATTAATGCAAAAATTAACGACGATAACCATGATGAGAAAGTAAATTTCAGTTATATTAAATTGAATAAAAATTTATTCATTTTAAAACATTGATTAGAAATGTATGTTCAATTCTTCGTCAATTTGAAGTTAAATATATTGAATTGGGAAATCATTATTTTTTAAATATTTTCTTTTAGTTCAATGTTAATCTGACCCAAATATGTATTTTAAGTTTTTTGGGGGGGGATATCGATTGACAAATTATTACAATTTTAGTCGCAAATATTCTCTTTAATATTCCTACATTTTCAAACATTAATACATTTTGTATTATTTATAATTATTAATGATTAAAAAAACATTACGAGTGCCATTACATATATATTTCTGTGCTTACGCTTATACGAGCGCTGCACACACGCGCGTCACACATACATACATTACATACATACACACGCACTTAGGTATGTCAAAAGATATATAACACAAAAATGAAAATGTGTCTAAACGTGTGATGACTTTTTTTTTTTTTTTTTATTTATTCGTTGTAAAAATTAGACGCATTTAGACAAGTACAAGAACATGTTTTTGTATAACTTATAGCTATACATCCTAGATATCGCGTGTAGCACCAGATGATCGAAATCATATATACTTTGATAAAAAAAAATTCATTAAGCACTATTATGAAGGCTTTGTACGTTCGCATAGGTGAAATTTCTATGAAAATAGCAACAAACATAGTGATTTATACGATTAATAATAAACAATAGATCAAACTATGAAAATGTACGGAAACATCATAACAATGCTTTATAAATTAATACTTGATACGTGCATGTTTAAATTAATAAAAATAATATAAAAAAAAATTGCACAACGGGATGAAGTATAAGTACGTAAATTTGTTATACCTGTATTTAAGAACAAAGATCTTCAAACATAAATTATGCATTCTATGAAATATCGTAAACTGATTATTTTTTTAAACGAACTACATTGATTTAAGGTGTTACATACCTTTAAACACATCCTATATATAAAACTCAGCACTCGTAATGTCTCTTAATATTTTATTCAAAATCTTGATATAATCGATAATCAATTATTCATTTTTTAAATTCTTTAATACTTCAGGAAAAATTCATTTTTACCGTTGCACCCTGCGTATCACAGGAAACTGTCCGAAATTCCCGTCATAATAACGGCAATAAATCGAATCTTAATTTCAATCATTTACGATTATCTGTTCCATTTTTCTTTTATTGACACTCTTCAAAATCGGAGGAAAGCTGATGTTCCTCGTAAGATCAATTATTAGCGTTTCTCCTTTGAAGAGCGGCCGCGAGATCCTGTCTAAGGGCAGCTTGTTGTCTTTGATCGGCTAAAGATTGAACAGACCTTAATCCATTTACAATATCTTTTGTTTTGCCGAAATAAATCTGGTTTAAGGTATTTCGTATTTTATTTTCCATATCTTCAACCATGCGTCCAATATTGGCAATATGCGGAGAGTTCTCGCTTGTTTGAGCATCTTGTTCGACCTAAAAGTACATTTTTTATTAAATTCAACTGCATTTAATTTAGATTTAATTGAAGCGAATATTTAATAAGAATATTAATTGTAGTAAAATTGAAAACAATTACAAACATACTTGTCTAGTAAGACTGCCTCCAAGATTCATTGTTCCGGATCCATGCTTGTTAGTCTGTAACCAAAGCATCGCGGTAGAAGTTAATTTATAATGAGCTGTCCTTCCTTTAGGCTTCTCTTGTACTTCCACCACATGGATCGAATCCCAACAACCCTTTATCTTTTTCGAACCGTCTCCAGCCTTCTTTATAAGAATCACTGCTGCAAAACCATGATCCAAATCCCAAAGATAAACGGAGGAAACTCCACCCTCAAAATAGAGTTCTCTATATTGATCGAATGCATGATTTGCATCGATTTCTATCTTTCTGAGTCTTTCCGAAGGCATTGAACCATCTTCTAATGGTGGGTCATACGTATTGCTCCAGGGAGACCTGAACAAAATATATTAACCAGTTAATTTTCACTATACTACAATATCAAGTAAAATAATATAATTGTAATGGACAAAAGAAAAGAATTCTAAATGATTATAGTATATTTTAAAATCAATTACCTATAGGAATCTCCATCTCTGTTATAATCGCACAATAAATAATCTCTTCCGGATTCTTTGTCTTTTGCAATTTTTAAAGGTTGATCAACGGAAGACAGAAGATCTTCGCATAGAGATGGCACTAAATCTATTAAATCACTTAAATTCTTTTCAATTTGCTGTGGTGGCAATCTTCTCATCAAATCTAATGCACAATCCATCTGCTGCTCCGTCTTTGAAAGTAAAGCATACTAATCGGTTCAATTTTACTCTTAACATTTTGTAAGTAGGAAAATGAAATCTCAAAATAATTTTTATACTTAATTTTTATTAACTACTAATTTTATGTATTTAAAATTAAACGCAAATAAAACAAACCGCTTTATATATAAATTCAATTAAATGAAATTCAGGAAATTTTAGTTAATTCTAAATTTCTACAATATTATGGTAATTCAATACAGAATAGAAATTAATTAATAAAAATTAACAGTTTAGCTCTCCATTTAAAAGGCGGAAGCAAAAATAATATAAAAAAGATCAATTATTTACAATGTCATGTTTATATAGACAATTATTAACATGAAAAAATATACATATAATCATTGTTCTCAATATTTTTTTTAGAAATGATCGAATAATCAAAATTTTAATATATGTCAATGGGCGCCGCCATTTTGACGTTTATATCGTTATAGGTTAGAAACAATTTTCTTTATATGCTTTTAAAATCGTAAAAAAATAATAATTTTCACAGCAAGCAGTGATTAAAAATTTGTCTGTGTTCAGAAATTAAAAAAAAATCAAATTTTATCGTATAAAATATTATTTATTAATAGTTCTGGCAACAATTTGAATTAACATTATTAATAAAGAGATATAGCATTATAATTATTAACTGGGAGTGTTAACTCACCATTTTAAACAATTGACAAATTTTGTGAACGTCGATCAGAGCATCAATCAATAAAAATTACAAAATCAATGAAAAATTTATCGAAACTGTTTATCCTCTGACCCGCATTCGGTCACCGAAAACGAATATTCAAGGGGCGTGTCAAGACTAGCTCTGATTGGCTAATACGTCACACAATGCTATCAACTTGATACAAATAAAAATTAAATACTAAATTAACAAACAAAATGATAATTAACTCTTCTCTATTAGAACATACATGCACAAATATTAAAATAAAGTACTAATGTTACCGAAAACTAAAATTTCTTGTATTTCTTGTTCGAAATCTTATACGTAATCGAATTAATACAACTTTTCGCATATCTTCTAATTAGCAGAATGCAAGATTTAAATTGGAATCCATTTTACTGTTAGAAAATATTTTCCTCTATCGATCATTTTTTTTAAATGCTTTTTAAATCGCATAGGGATTTTAACTATTTTTAAACATTGCCTAAACTTTACACGCGTAATATTTCCAATAAATTTTAATTATAAATATATTTTGTGAAATACATTTACCTTATTCGTTACTAGTACAAATGAATTTACGCGTTCTTTATATAATTTTATTATTTTTCAAAAGTGTTCGTTTTTTTTGCTGATAGACGAGAGATAATTTTGCGACGTAAAAAGTAATTTGAGAATTAAAAATTTGAATTATCAGAAGGATCGATCACGATAAACTATCGAGAATGTCACTTCGCTCGAATTATCGATATGTATAGTCGATAGTTCGCAGTTCCTTATTTATCTCTAATATACGCACAACAGTGTTATAGATATAGATCATCATCTTGTATGGAATGAGATCGTGCAATCATGACAGCTTTTTCGTAAGTGCAGTGGTGTTTTCTTACGTGTAAAGTTTTGCTGCGCTCACGCAAAAGAATAGTGCACAACATAAATCTACCGTAACAGGTAAACAAGCATGATTACATTTACATAAACGAACTATCAGCTTTCATATTGTTAGTTTATTTTACGTTCGAAATGTGTATATGCTATTTCATTTGCAGTATGTTAGCAATATACTCTTTCAAAGATAAACAATAAGTTCTTGAATACGATGTTAAAATAAAGTTAATTTTTCTGTGTAACGTTTAATCTGAGAATAGTCTTTTGTAATATTTCAGATTTGTAAAAAAGAATGTGCATAAAATACATATGTATATGTTGTACATTTTTTATAAGTTAATATATATTAACATAAAAATCATTATATGACAGTTATGCATATGTTAATACCAAGAATCTATAGAAGACGATTTGGATTCAAATATTGGAAGATGTTCATCGCACCGATGCGTGTACAAACAGTTTAAATTTTTATATGAATTACTGTATAGAAATCATTGACAGACAAAATTGATTAAACTATTAAAACCTATATATATATATATATATATATATATACATAAATCATGGCAGGAAGTGGATCCATTATCATACCAACCATAAAACAATTATATGAGAAAGATCATGCGCCTACGTCTAATATAGATTATTCTAGTATAAGAGGAAAGGTATGACATCTTAATCTATATATTTAATTTTAATATAAAATATCTTACATTTACATTGACCAACAAATTATATATTCCAGAGTGTTTTAGTTAGTCCGTCAGAAGATCAATATGAATTATTACTTAGACGCTTAAAAGAGAGAATTCAAGACGGTGGTAGTGAAACAATTTTTGATATTGGTATTGGCGAAGGTTTGTATCTAACGTTTAATAATAATCACGATCTTTACAACAACGTTACGATCTGTGTATTATTTCAGATGGCTCGGAAGATGGTTTAAAAGAAGACGAGTACGAAGCATCTGTTGCTACTTTGCAGTCTCTTGCTGCTACGTTAGAAGCAGACTGTGTGCTTCTGCGTCAAAATAAAGTAGACCAAGGCCTTGTAGGACAATATCTAGTGCGACAACGTCTAGATAGACAAGATTTCTTAGAAATTAGGTTTTTATTTTAGACGATATGGATAATGTTGTAACATTTGTTTAAAGTGGCATAATGAATTAATATATGAAAAAAACAGTTGATTGAAGTTTATTTACAGGGTGGCTGTTGTTGGTAATGTAGACGCTGGAAAGTCAACACTTTTAGGTGTATTAACGCATGGGGAACTCGATAACGGTCGAGGATTGGCTCGTCAAAAATTATTCCGTCATAAACACGAGGCTGAGACAGGCCGTACCAGTTCGGTTGGAAATGATATTCTCGGATTTGACAGCGTTGGTACGATAATGATATTAATTAATTAAATATTACATTTTTTCATTTGTGTATTATTTATAGAGGCATATATACATGTATCGTATTCTGTACTTAGGAAATGTTGTAAATAAGCCGGAGCATGGATCCTTGGATTGGGTAAAAATATGTGAGAAATCTTCTAAAGTTATAACATTCATTGACCTTGCTGGACACGAAAGGTACTTAAAAACAACTGTTTTTGGAATGACAGGGCATGCGCCTGACTTTGGTAAAATCAATTAATAATTTTATTTATAAAAAATATATTTATTTATTTACCTTTCAAGATTTATAAATCTTAAATGTATTTTAGGTATGTTAATGGTTGGAGCAAATGCTGGTATTGTTGGAATGACAAAAGAACACTTGGGCTTAGCTTTAGCTTTATCGGTACCAGTATTTGTTGTAGTTACAAAAATTGATATGTGCCCGCCAAACATATTGCAAGAAAATTTAAGACTGTTAATAAGGATTTTGAAATCTCCCGGCTGTAGGAAGGTACCAGTTACCGTGAAAACACCTGACGATGTTGTCGTCAGTGCTACTAATTTTGTATCAGAACGGTCAGCATTCATTTCTATATTTTATTACTTATAATAGACGAGCACTTTACACTATTAATGCATTTACATAGGTTATGCCCAATTTTTCAAGTATCGAACGTAACTGGTGAGAATTTAAATCTCCTTAAAATGTTTTTGAATTTATTAACGGCAAGAATAACTAGTCATGACGATGAACCAGCAGAGTTTCAAATAGACGATACATATTCAGTACCAGTAAGTGTTTCATTACATATTGGCAAATTTTGTCCTGTACGAAAACTTTTATTCCTATATCGTTTTAGGGCGTTGGTACTGTAATTTCTGGAACAACTCTGAAAGGTGTTATAAAACTAAACGACATATTATTATTAGGACCTGATCCTTTGGGTCGTTTTATTCCAATCGCAGTAAAGAGCATACATAGAAAAAGAATGCCTGTTCGTGAAGTGAGAGGCGGTCAAACTGCTAGTTTTGCATTAAAGAAAATAAAAAGATCACAAATTCGAAAGGGTATGGTAATGGTTGCACCGGCGTTAAATCCACAGGCATGTTGGGAATTTGAAGGGGAAATTCTTGTACTGCATCATCCGACAACAATTAGTTCCTGTTATCAAGCAATGGGTAATTTTCGTTTTCGATCCAAACTTTAATTTCTGATCTATTTTGACGCTTATGGTTACATAAAATCATTTTCAGTGCATTGTGGAAGTATAAGGCAAACAGCATCCATTATTTCTATGTCGCAAGATTGTTTAAGAACCGGAGACAAAGCTTTAGTACGCTTTAGATTTATAAAACATCCCGAATACATAAAACCAGGACAAAGAATGGTGTTTAGAGAAGGACGTACTAAAGCAGTAGGCAATGTATTAAAACTTATTCCATATTCTAGTACTACAACAATGCAAACGAGTAGGTCCAATAAACCAAATAAAACATCTCAAAATCGTCAAAGTTCTTCATCCATGATGCAAGTATGACATCAAAATATTTACATTTCATAAGAGTATATTTACTATATTTATGTAAGGATGAATTCTGATTTATTTAATTGTACTAGTCGTTAGATGCAACGGAAACAAGTTCTTCGTTTGAAGGACAGTCATCCAAACAAGAAAATATGCTTCAAAAGTCTGGCATGAACCAAAATAAGAAAAATAGGGGAAGAAAAGGAGGGAGATCTCATAATACTGTGAATAATATTATTCAACCTTTATCGGAACAAAATCCTCCTAAGAAAGTATAACCGACATTTATGTACAAAATTAATATACATACGCGCGCGCACGGGTGTGCTAGGCTTCATACATGAAACGTTTTCAATTCTTGAGTTATTTCTAAACAGATTTTATTTTAATTTTCTTTTTCTTCCTAAAAAGTATTACAAATTGTAATGAAAACTTAAAGAAATTTACAAATATCATTTTAATTTAATTTCAGAAAAATTTAAAGTACCTTGTTTATATATAAATAAATGTATTATTTTAATAGTTATCAATATTAAACAAATATATTAAACTATCCTCTATAATAGTGGAAATTTCATCTAAGTAGGGGGTCACTTATGTTCTTCAGAAATATCTTTCTCCTACGCAACATAGAAAGAACCCCTGAATTATTATTATGTAACGCACATCGTGCTTTCGATCCAATTAGAGTACAAATTGTCTTTCACATAAATAACTAAATTATTGAAATTAAAAACATGACGTTTATGAAACGTCCAAATAAGTGTACGTTGTTATTCATAAAGTGTTTTATTTTTATAAGTATGAATGTATCTTATAATAATACTTAGTAAAATATAATCTATATAAAAATAATAAATATACGTTGCCTTCAAGACATTCGTTTATCATTTTTATAACATGTATTAATATCTGGTGGAAATACTGTTATGAAAAATATATTCAGATGTTCTTTCATTGTGGTACCGCATATTTATTTTATTTAAAAGAAAATTTAAAAGAAAATCCCTAATTTGTAACGTATAACGAAATACATTTTTCAATCGCTTATAAGGTATACGGTATAAGTTTGTGTTATAATGCACTTATTATATTATACTTATACTGTACTATAAACTATAAAATAAAAATTTTCATACAAATACGTATACTATACATCATATAATACATTCTTTACGTTAAACTATAGGAAGGTATTTCACAGAAATGTGAAATTTACAAATTTATTTTCACGTTGAACTAAATAACAAAATTAAAAATATTTAATATTATTATTTTTTATTATTTACCATACAATTATTACAAAACTACTTGTCCTTTAACTCCTAACTCCAATTTTTAATAAATAATGAAACATTTCTGTGGAGATTATTTCGGTGGTTTCTTCATATCGTCTTTCACTTTTTTCAAATCTTCTTTGAACGATTGAGCAATATCTTTTAATTGTTTAATAAATGCTTTACGATCAGAAATTGTACGAGGCATGCCATGCAACGTGCCCGTTCGAATTAAAATATGCACTACAAACTGAGCAGCTTGCCTGACCGGTTTCGAATCTGCTAATTTGTTAATCAAACGTTCGTTATTCATTAAATATAAAAACAACGTACGAAAAATACGCATCATGATATGATCCTTTATCAGCAATTGAATAAATGATTATACTTTTGGGACTTCAAATGTGCACATATTACGATACTTTAATAATAGTTCTCGTTTAAGTCTCAGCTGTTTGCGAAGAGTTTCAAGCTTTTGTAATTGTTCTTCTCTACTGTATTCTATTCCTGGTAATCTTTTGATCTATAAAATATGAACAATTTCACATAAACGATACATCCGTTATATTGCATTATCTTACCTGTGCTCTTACAGAATCTATTTTTTTTTGAAGCTCTAGTATCTTATGACTCGTATCTTGAGATTCTTTGGCCTTTTGCATAGTATCATGTGGGTCTTTTTCGATGCTAAAAATAAATTAAATGAATTGTATAAAAACAACTTATTGCATCATAAGATTCTTAAAGTCTAATTATATCTTATTAGAAGGTTTGGTTAAACTATGTTTAATTTTAATATTTAAATATATACATACACATTTCTTATGTAACTTGTGAGAATATTCGTCTTTATACATAATCGATCAAAATTATTTTTAACTATTCGTGTACACTAATAAGAGTACATGCTGTTTATACATATACAAAAACTTTGTTATCGCAATAACTCGAGTAATATTTAAACGGTACAAGTACCCTAGTTGTCAACATATCAAACCAGACAAACCTTCGTATTATTTCATAAATAACTGGTAATATTTCAATGTCCAAATCATCGACTGTGAATTGTGTACGCGAGGGAACCTCTTCCGACAATTCTGCTGACTCCATTATGATATTGTCATATTAAAATTATATTTCTTGTATTCAACGTGCGATTTTATTCATGTTTTAAGTCGTCAATTGAAAATTCTCCTTAACCAGTAACATTCTAGTTACTTCTAAGTCAGCTAACTTTACAGTCTTGGATGTGCGGCTAAGTTCATACCACTATTTCTTTTCTTGTTAACATCGTTAGAAAGCGCAAGGTAGGTGTTTGGTTCATCTATCTTAATCCAAACGAATCTCAATATATATTAGACATCCGTCGACGTTATACAATTTTAAATTTGTAGATAATATTTTATAAGTGTTATATTAGTATCTAACTAATAATTTGTATTTATTATTAACAGCCAATATGGGGCGACGACCAGCTAGATGGTATGTAATAAAATTTTTCATTTTCTAGATTTTATTCAAATTTTAATCAATACAGGATAATTAATTTCTCTTTGTTTAATATAATCTCACATAAATTGAAACATTTTAAATTACATATGTAAGGTTAGAATTTTCTAACTAACCGTAGTTAACGTTTTATTTGCAGCTATCGATATTGTAAGAACAAACCTTACCCAAAATCAAGATTTTGTCGTGGTGTGCCTGATCCAAAGATACGTATTTTCGATCTTGGAAAAAAGAAAGCCTCTGTAGAGGATTTCCCATTATGTGTACATTTAGTGTCAGATGAATACGAGCAGCTCAGTTCAGAAGCACTTGAAGCTGGACGTATTTGTGCAAATAAATACATGGTGAAAAATGCTGGAAAAGATCAATTCCACATTCGTATGAGACTTCATCCATTCCATGTTATTCGCATTAATAAGATGTTGTCGTGTGCTGGAGCTGATAGGTAAATATAAGTAATTTGTAAAACGATCAAAATAGGTGGTAAAGTATTTATTATTCGATTACATTAAATAATAGTATTCTAAATACTTTTTGTAACATTATCTCCGTTTTGTTTTTAAGACTCCAAACTGGAATGCGAGGAGCTTTTGGTAAACCGCAGGGAACCGTAGCTAGAGTACATATTGGACAACCTATTATGAGTGTACGTTCATCGGATCGTCATAAGGCTGCTGTTATTGAAGCATTACGTCGTGCAAAATTTAAGTTCCCCGGTCGTCAGAAAATTTACGTTTCAAAGAAGTGGGGATTTACCAAGTATGACCGTACCGAATACGAAGATCTAAAAACAGCAGGTCGTCTTGCTCCAGACGGTTGCAATGTCAAGTATTTGCCTGAACACGGCCCTCTCGATGAGTGGAAGAAGTTCAGAAAAATTCTTAATACTACTGTCTAAATAAAAAATAATCTTTTGGTCCTTAATTTGATTAAACCAATTATAAACAAATGTACGTGTTATTTATTTTATTTTAACACTATTTTAACACTACTGTTAATTGTTTTATTAAAAAAAAAAACAGATAAATTTCATTCTTTGCTAATAATAACGATTCGAGTCAATAATTTTAATAAAATGATATTTTGTTGTAATTTATTATAAGATAACAATATATTATTTACAATTTTTGAGGAATGTAAGCAATTTTATATTACAAAAGGTAATTAGATCGAATATACATTTTAAAACTGATATTATGATCGAATGTTTTTAGATGGTGTATGATTATTTTAATGAGAATGGCACGTTATGTCAACATCATTCTCATTTTCCGTATTTTGAATCTCATCGTCAATATCTATGTCGCACATCCCATGACTATGCGCGTCGAGTGCTTCTGTACTAGTTGCTGCATCCAGTAAGGGTGATAATTTTTCTGCTTCGCTATCTTCGTCTTGTCCTTGTCCCTGTAAATATAGCTTTATTTAGATGATGTAGTATAAATTCATGTTTCTGATATTTTGTTCAAATAAAAAATATAATTGATAGAAATCAACAGATTACCTCATAAAGGGAAACGGGTTGTTTTTCGTTAACGAGTCTAAGAGTATCTCGTGATCTTAAAACAGATTTTTCACGCAAATGTCCAGAGGTTTTCATTCTCATTGCAGGAGACCGGCTATGAAGATCTTTTTGCGATCCTGAATGTTCGTCTCTAGCTAATAAAACTGACATACGAAACTCTGGAATAGGACATGCAGTACTACTTGTCCTTGCAGAGATATCTGCTTCTTTCGAAGATACATGTTTTGATACAGGAGTACGTTCTACAGACCTGTTGAATTATACATTTATCACAATGCAAGTGAATTATTGAACAAAGAATGTAACTTGTAATATTTTAAATGATTAATAAAGTATTTTGCCTATTTAATGCTTCAGCTGCTTGAATTGCGCTAGCTGTGTCTGTATCGGGCGTGTCTGGAGATTCTGGTGCAAGAACAGCAGCTCTTGGAATGTATGGGCCGTTCAAAGCTTCTATCAATGAAACAGCTTCATATCCGGATGGAATATTTTCACAGCTTCCCTAAATATTTAATACTTCGTCAGTTGAATATTGCCAAATTTATTACCTTAAATCAAACGTTACAAAAAACCATTACATTGACAAACTTATTATTAATTACTTATATAAATAAATATTGACCTCTGGTAATGGTGGATTTGATATAATAGCTCCAGTTGCTTTTTGTAGTGCTTTAATTTGAAGAAGTGCTCTAAAAGGGGCACGACATATCGGACAATTGTTAGCCTGATACCGAAGAGAATCTGCACAGCCGTTACATAGACATAAATGTCTGCACGGTAATATTAAAGTATCCCGTACGTCACACATACAGATGACACATTCTGATCCATTATCATCTGTATCTTCGTCGCTACTTTGTTGCTACGTAAAAAATTGTTATTAGTTAAACGATATCAATTAAACATGGAATTAAAAATGAACCCACGATATACCTTTGCATTTTCAGCATTTTTATTTTCAATACCATATATTTCTTGAAGCAAATAACAAAGACCATCGACGTAAAGTTTTTGCTTAAGCGCCTTTAATACATATGTTCCATCCGAATGTTTTTCGATAACTGCAATCGTTGTATGAGACTGTTTAGGTTCGTCCGAGCCTTCTTCTGCCACACAATGTATCGCTATTGGTATTATCTATGAATAATCAAAACGATTGATAGAAAACAGTTGCAATGGAATGAAAATCAACTGCATATTAAATTCAAATACTTCTCTATCAGCATGGTACGTTAAATCTTCTTCGTTACAGACCGTTGGATCGAATATATGTGACGTTTGTGAAAATAATTGATTCGCACCTTTTTTATAATAGTATATTTCAGAATTCATCGAAGGGTCCCTTGGCACATAACTGTAAATAAGATTGTGTCTTATACTAGATATAAGTGTTTTATACTAAAAGTTACTTTATTAATATATATAATACATACGTAACCCCCTTTGTTGTAACCTCTTCGGTGCAAAAATAATATATTGTAATTGCACATCTTACATCGCAGTCAAATGTAAACTCAATATTATAACGATTTGGCTTCTTATCGATATCACCATCCCCGTAATGTTTTACACCATGACATTGGGGCGATGTAGAAGTTTGATCAACGTTACGAACTAGTCTCAAGGATTCTCTCCTTATATTTACTAAACTTTTTAATGTTTTGGTAGGATCATTAGCTTGCGGCGGAGGATATGGAAACTAAAATAATAATGATATTTTTAAACGTTACACGTAATATTAACGCTTATGTATATTCCATTGTTTATACACATTACACTTATACCATTCAATTAATGACATATGTATGTTAAACTGAATGTTATAAATGTCCCGTATATATTTAATATAACGTTATATCACATATTAACTTACAGGTGTTGGTCTACTTCCAAGAAAATTTAAGTCCGCATTTTCTCCAAAAAGATACGCTTCTGGCTGAGACGTATCGAATCTTTCACCGCCCATTATAAAATGACTACCAAAATAGCTTCCTAGTAAATAAAATGCGATAAACAAGGTCCAGACTTCGACAAATAATAAAACACGTTTAATGTACAATGATATTTAAAAATGAAAATTTGTTTATTAAGTAGTTTACAATATATTTTAGAAATGCATTTATTTAATGGTATAAAAATATCTATAGATTACTAAAAACAAACCAGAACGAGGTGGATATTTGTATGCATGATTTGAAACAATATCAACTTCTTCTACACCAGCGTTTTGTCGACTCGTCAGCGATCCCATCGCTCAATTATATTAAAAACAATTGTGAATTGTCACTAGAAGATAAACTTCACTACCTCGTATAAATTAATCATATGTTCTTTTTCTCTAACAAATTCACAAATTATAGATAGAAAACTTAAATCATAATCATTAGCGAACAAAGAACTCACAATGGCATTGTGACAATGCCAGTAATTTTGACAGACAATTTGTCCAGTGACACTTTCGATACTTTATATGTGGTTGTGAACAGTATGAAATATATTGCATATGCATCCTACAGGATGGCCAATCTTATTAACATAGTTTGTTGTTTCTTTCATAAATCTTAACCGATGTATTTATCAGAATCGGTATTAACATGCATTTTATTTACGGAAGTCTTCACAAAATAGAATTTTCTGTTTGCATATTGAGAGGAAAATTTTGAACAATTACAATAAATTATTAAAAATCGCAATGAATGTATATATGCACGTGTTTCTCAGACTGTTATGCACCGATCTCTATAATACAGTGATGTATACATCGGTGCTACTATGGTAAAACGCGCTATGTATTTTAAAACTTTAGTTTTGTATTTTACAAACATTGTAGTTGACATTTCAGTAACGCTTCAACCGTCACTTTATCGATACATGTATTCGATCTTAGGAGGCAAAGTTCCTTTGACGATTGTCATAAATGTAATTATTAGAAATAGTTAATTGAAATTAAGAGAAATCATTGAAATTGATAGAGGATCATAAATAAAAATAATGAAATACATAATACCAGAGCACAACATTAACAAATGGCAGTAGGGATCGTAGCCAAACTTTTTAATGGGTTGAAGCAACCAATAATATGTATTATATACATATTATAACTATGGAATAGCATTTATATTATGCAGGAATGCTCGCAGTATAAATTATTATTTATCATCATGAAATTTAACGAAAAAGAGCTTGCAGAAGCAAGTAATGGCCCCGCTGATCTCGAAGGTCGTTTAAATCATAAACGAGCCCATAAGTCAGGTTAGTTTAGTCAGAAATTACTGAAATCCATTCGAGTGATTTTATACACATTAACCTATTAATTATTACAAACATCGTTGCTTCAGTATCTTAAAAATGATTTTCTCGTGTTAAAAACTGATATCATAAATTTAATAATTTATTAAATTACATTATTATATTGAATAGATTATTCTATTATATATAATGCTGTTTCCTAATAATTTTATTGTTTCTTTTTCAGTATTTAAAGAAAGGTGGTTTAAATTGAGATGCAATTTATTATTTTATTTTAATATTAACGAATTAGGACAAATTGATAAAAAGCAACCAGCTGGTGTGATCATTTTAGAAAATTATAATATTAATATTGACTGTGCGTCCGGAGGTGTATTTGCATTTAGTATAGCATTTCGCGATGAACACGAAAAGAGACATGTTTTGAGCGGTCGTTCTGAATCTCATGTAGAACAATGGGTCAACGCTCTTAAGCAAGCTAGTTACGAATATTGGAGGTCACGCTTAATAACGCTTCAAGAAAATTTGTCAAAAAGAACAGGAAAGGACCCCTTGCTTATGTATCCAAGAAATCAAGGGATCATTAGGGACGAAGCATGGGAACCTAAGTCAACATTTCGATCTCATGTACGTTCCTTTACTACATCAGTTGTAACGTCAACGGCATTAAATACAGTAACAAAAGAAGTGAATTTAATTGAATTTTGAATAATTTAATTGTAATTTTATGTTGTACCGTGGAACTGAAGTAATATTCAATTTTAGAAAGATTACATAGAAGTAGATAGGTTTGCAGCAAATCATTACAACGAAAGTGATAAGTTTCAGAATTTATTTATTGTAGGTAATATAATTTATACAATCTACGTTTTATTTGTAAGGTTAGATAAGAATTCAATACCGCTATAAATGATTTACATATAATGTTAAATATAATTCTTGTACTGTTTATTAACATGACAAAAATTTTATATATACTTGATAAAATTTTAAGAGAACCAAAAAATCTATTATGTAATAGTTTAATTCTTAAAGTATGTTGCGTGGTATTTACTGTATGTTATTAATTTATTATAATCAAGGTATTTTTTATTAAGAAAATAACAATTGTGCCTTTTAAATAATTTGTATCATAAACAGAGAAATGCGCAATTGTTCATATTCTCTACCTTGGGTACAAATTTGACAAGTATTCAAATACCAAATATTCTTTATTACGTATGTAGAATGATCATATATACTATTAATTTTTACTAATCAATAATGTCTGCTTGTAATATTGGAACAAATAAAACATATTTTTTTAAACGATAATCACGTTTTGATAACACGTGCGCTCTTGTTACATAGTAAGAATGCATTCTATTATCGCGTAATATGCGACGAATGGTCCTATCAGTTATGTCATACCAACGAGACAGTGATGTTGCGTTAAGTAATTGTAGGATCGTTGTCAATGTTATACAAAATATTATCTTCGAGAAACATTGATACAAAAGTACAAAAGATCTATGTTCTAAGATGTTTCATTCTACTTTTTAAGTCGTTCTTTGATTTAGAATACGCTTATTAGAATATATACGATCTCTTTTGCGATTTGAATACATTCTAAATAATATAGAAGCCATTTTAAAACTAAAGAGTTGGTATCATTGTCTCCAACATTTTACCACGTGTAACCACGCATTTCCACGCATTCTCGAAAAGGCCGCCATCAGCAGATTGTAAATGTAATCATCATTTAACCTAATATGGTTTAAGCTACCGGTAGTAGTTACAGTTTTACAGATAGAAAACCAATAATATAGTATAGTTTTTAACGTATAAAATAATATATCGATTAAAATAAACACATAAAGGAAACATGAACCGATTCGCAATTCTTTGTATTTTAATAATTAGTGCAGTTTCCAGAATTTCTGGGGAAACTTGCCAAAAGCCCGAGGTTGTCGCGTCTGCATATGTCACGGAGGATGCAACAATTCTGACAAATGTTGCATTTACAACTCAATTTGTGTTGAAGTGTAGTAACGGTGTGAAAGGTGTTACATTGTATGCAGAAGTTGAAGGAAAAGCGTTACCTGCTGCTAGGTTAAGTTCCGATAACAAGTATCAGGTATTAATATTTTAACGAATTAAACAAATTCTATATGGAATTATTTTGTATAAAGAAGAGTGTAACTATAGTTTAAATAAAACTAAATTTTTTAGGTTTCTTGGACGGAAGACATAAAGAAAGCACATTCTGGTGATTACAGAATAAACTTGTACGACGAAGAAAGATACGCAGCTATACGTAAAGCATATAGAAATGGAGAGGATCCAAGCTCTGTGAAACCTTTGGTTGTAGTTGTACTTAATAATCCGGGTGTCTATCTTGGACCTTGGGTCAATTCGGAACTCTTCGCTGCTCTCTTAGCAGCTTTAGTCTCTTACTCTGCTTTCTCTTCCAAGTTCAAGCTTCTTGCTTGAATGTTTTGTTTATAATAGTTTTTCGAAATAAATTATAAAACACATTTCAACTGAAATATTAACACAGTATGTAATTATTATGATAGATTGTAATTTTAATTTTGTATTAAATACAATTTTTTAATTTAATGACAATTTAATTTTAATCAACATTGCTTTATGTTTAAATTCTTCCTAATGCAACTTCATTTCTGTACAATATCAATTGTTGTTACGCGTAATTGATTTTGTTACGTTTGAAATTTTCCAAATAACACAAACGGTTAATGGCTCCAAGCTTAATATATTTCGGACGAAGGTGGATTACCAAAAAAGAATTCCCAAGATGGTGGATACGTAACATTAATATTACCATCCGTATTAATTTCTAATAAATTTAACCATCGATTCAAACCCTTAACTAATATTAATGCATCGTGAACATTGTCACCTTCGGAACAATAACAAAAAAGTACTGTACAAGGAATTTCTGTTGATTTGAGATACTCGTAAAAGCCATTTGCAAATCCTCCGCCAGGAATGTAATAGCATTCTGTGCATTCCATTAACTGTTTTCTTGTATGTCTCTTCCAACAGAACTGATTTTCAAGAAACTTTTCAGTGTTCAGTAATGAATTATCCGAAGTAAGATACCTCAAGCTGGTATCCGATCTATCGGAACATTCGTAATCGTAACTGCTAGTTAAAATTATTATCTGTAACATAGATCTTGTATTAATATAAAAGAAAACACATAAGTAAATATTTATCAAAGCGTGCTCACCTTGCTAAGTTTTCTTTGACGAACAAATTGTGTTATTTCGTCGAAAAAATCAGTACAATTACCAACATAAAGTGAACGTAATTGTAAAAGAATTATTTTACAAGTAGTTCCAAGATAAAAGTCAGCAGCAGTACAAAGAGAGACCGAATTAGTATTATAAGGATCTAGGCCGGAAATTGGAAGGAATATAGGATTCCACATAGATCCAATTTTGCATAGATTTAAATTAGAGATTAACAGATCGATCGATAACTGTCCAACATTTCCAACAGCCACTGACGGAATTATCAAAATATAATCTTTAAGATCAATTTCTCCTGGTACCTTTATCATTTTTCTTTTGATAAGTATCTGTTTTATAAACATGATAATTACATTTAAGTGAGGTTTTCATTTGTATAAATCTATATAATAAAAGTGTTTAAATGAGATATATACTTAATTTAAAACTCTGGCCCGTTTAAATGTTATGAATTTGAAATTTGCAAGTCACAATAAAACAATGACTATCAAATATTAAATATTTTCTTTTTTGTAACTGCTCATTTATATTTTTATTTATATAATTGAAATTTCACGTAATTGGTTAAACATAAATGTTAAATTTAAATAATAACATAACCCAAACAATGTATCATCAATAAAATTACACAAACATGCATGTGTTCACACGAATTCAAAACATAAAATGCGTAATAATGGTTTGACAATTATTCGTAGTTTACCTAAAGATTAAAAAGCGAAGTTGGCACTTCTGTTTCTGCAACTTCAACTCGGTGATGAATTATTATCTAAGCAGGACCATACATACGATTATTTGAATAAATGTGTTCATTATATTATTAGTAGATGCGTTTGAATAATACATGACATAGAGATTTACGTGGATCCATGTAGAAAAATTATTAAAAATTATTTCAAACTTTCGTTAATAAACATTTCCTATTTATTTATACTTTTAAATTAATTTATACCAATCGGTCGGCATTAAAATTTTCTTCTCCGTTAACGAAACATATTGAAATAAAATTAATAGTTTGCTTGTAATTAAATAAAATTAAAGTAAAAGGTCAGCTAGGACACATACAGCGTCTACGTGTGTTAACTTACAATTCCTATGGTATTCAATCTAATCAAAAACTTTTGTTATATCATAGAACGCTTTGATATAATTTAAATAATTATCGAAAGAGTGATTACGGTAAAAGGAAAGATTTAGATAATTTTCAAAAAATTATTTATCGTAGCAGCATTCTGATTGGTGAGAACCAAACTGTATTAACACGTAAATTGTTACCGATTGCGCACCGCGGCGGTATGTGACGTCACGCATCACCGCCCCGCGATGCCTTTCGGGAAATAGCGTCGCCATCTTGAGTGGCATGGCCCAGCTAGACAGTGCGCTCTGAGCAAAGACATGCAATTTATCGCGAAAACATTGAACGTCCCGAGAATCACGGATTTCTGTGAAACATAGCAAATTCTTGGTGCTTCGCACCTTCATCGAAATGGAGGTGGTTAAGGCATTTAACGCGGAGGTGAGCTGATTCTTACCCTCGATTCTTCCTCTAGTCCCGCCGACTCTCCCTTGTTCCTTTTTTCTTCGTTTCCCTTTTCCCTTCTCTCTTTTCTATCTTCTCGTCCCGTCGTTGAAAGCGACACGTACGTGAAACACAGCTCCAGAAGATACAATCCTCTCGACGTCCCCGAGTGATCGTGATACGAGAAATCCGAGTGATTTTGTACTCTACGAATGCTTTGATTTCTAGTCTCTGTGCAAGAGAGAGGGAGAAACTATCTCTATATGCAAGAAAGAGGGAGATCAGTGAAAGAAAAGCTTTATTGTGACTTAGAATGTTTCTCGTGATATACAAAACAATTGTTGCTAATTATTATTTCAGATCTTTTTAATTTATGGAATGAAAAGCAAAATAATATAAATATTTGTCTGTATTTGAAACTGTAAAGAAAGTCGATCAAGGCAGGGAGGGTTGAGAAAGAGCAGTAAAAGGAAGACTTAATAAATAGAGTACATAGTGCGAAGTAATCATAGAAAAAAACAGACAATAAACTTTTACGATCGATAATTTATTATTTACATGCATTTTTATGTCTTGGGGTAGTGAATTACAAACAACAATGAAACATTAACGAAAGTCTGGTGTCTTGTGTCTTGAAGTATATAAATAAAATAAAATAATTTCCGATAAAATCCAAATGTATTTAACGAACGGTACTTTAAATGTATGCATTGCCAGTTTTTCTAATCGTTTGTTGACATCGAGTTTGTATTTATTATTTGAATTGTTGCTGGAAAGGATTAATTTTAAAAACTGTTATACGTTTACTGTTTTCAGCTTTCAGCTCTATACGATGTCAAACCACCTATTTCCAAGGCTAAAATGAACTCTCTAACCAAGGGTGCAATTAAGGCAATCAAATACTATAAGCATGTTGTGCAAAGCGTTGAGAAATTCATTCAAAAGGTAATTTATTCTGAAAATTACATTACTAAAATAAAACCATGAAATATACGATAAGAATACTCTTGTATCGGATGTAATTTGTTGATATTTGTTTGTTACAGTGTAAGCCAGAGTACAAAGTGCCTGGATTGTACGTTATAGATTCAGTTGTACGCCAATCCAGACACCAGTTTGGAGTAGAGAAAGATGTCTTTGCTCCACGCTTTGCTAAAAACATGCAAACCACCTTCTTAAACCTTTTGAAATGTCCTCAGGAAGACAAAAGCAAGGTGATACGAGTCTTAAACCTTTGGCAAAAGAATGCAGTCTTTCCATCCGAGGTTATACAACCTTTGTTTGATCTTGCGGACCCAAATCATCCGATACACAAGGAACAAGCAGTTAATGCTAACGGTAAAAAAAAATATTTACTTTTAATTGCATTACAAGATTTATGTAACTGATTCAAAATGGAGAGTGAAAATCAATTTCCATTTATTAGAATATATAGTGAAATAAAATCCAATTATCGTTTTTAGGTACACTGAACATTTCCTCAACGAATAACACAAGCAATACTGGTACTGCTGTAAAGACTCCTCCTTTAACTACAAAAAACGCAGTAAAAGATCAGAAATTATTTTCTTCTACAAAGACGATCGATCCCGTTTGGCTAGCGCAAACAAAAATGGAAGCAGCAAATATAGTTAATGCCAATAAACTCCTGGTATGTTATGTTTATAATTTTGTTATATTTCTTGATATTATAACAATATCTTATCATTGTATTAAATTTTAATTTTCGTTTTTAGGGACAGTCTAATGCAACTCAAATGGATGCTTCTTTTCTTGATCAACTGCAACATTTACAGCAGTTGTTGTTAAAAAAACAGGAAGCAGCGAATGAACAGAAATGTTCTGTAAAGTTTGATAAAAAACTTTTAGACTTTGATTATGGGGAGGAAGAGGATGACGATGTTGTTGTTGCAAGTTCGCCAGCAGCGACATCGGCAGCAAATGCTGCTCAACACAATGCTGTTGCCACAGGAAACAGTTTGGAAAGTCTTGGGCTACTATTAACAAATCCAGAGGTATTCGTCGTATACACTTGATATTTAAGTATTGCTCGAATAAAGTAAGTTAATCGTTAAATTAAATAGGTTTTGAGGCAGCTCCAAACATTGCAACAAACAATGCAAGGAAATGCTTCTTCGTCGCAACACGAAATGGAAGAAAAAATGCGAAAACTCCAACAAATGAAGCAGCAGGAAGAGGAGTTTGATAAGCATCTAGCCCAAACTGTTCCTGTACGTTATTGATATAACGAATAGTATGCTTTTACATATAAAGTTTGAAACATAATTAATCGCGATAATGTGTTACAATTTACATTAACAAAATTATTTTTTTCCTACAGAATTTACCATTTGCATCGGAATGTGAATTAAAACCATCGGATATCTTAAAACCAAGCCAACAAAATACGTATACAACAAATGTAAGTAGCGGAGTTATACAAGACCTGAGTCAACCACCTCCTGGTTACCCACCGGCTTTGCCATATGCCTCTCAACCTTTGTCGAATATTAGACAGATCAATCAGCAGGCGCATCAGAATCAAAAGAGTCCGCTTCACGATGATCGACAAGATACGCAAGATTATTCTGGGTAATAATTTATTTTTAATTTAATTCCAATCTATAAATTGGTTTGAGCTTTTTTCACAATTGTAGCAACTTGTTCGAACATAAAAATTAATTGTTGATAAATGTACTCTTTATAGAAATGGTGCAAGGCGAGATAGCAGCAGCGTAGAAATTGTAAATTGCGAGAGTACAAGATCACAAAGTAGATCGCCCGATCGATACAGACACCACAGTCGATCCAGATCACCACGGCACAGGGATAGAGATAGAGACAGAGACAGAGATCGGGATCGAGATCGAGACAGAGACAGAAAATCTCGGTCAAGAAGTAGATCCAGAAGAAGGAGGTAATTATAAGTTTCTTTACTTTTTTTTTTTTTTTTTTTTTGCATGTACAACTTTTCTCTAGTCGTTTCAAACAATCCTTTTATCAAATACCTTAACTCACTATTGCAGTTAATTATTTGATTTATAACTAATTGTGTTGTTACATTGCAGATCTCGCTCGAGAGATAGAGGGCGTGACAGAAAACGCGAAGACAGCCGAGAAAAGATGACCGAAGAAGAACGGGAAAAAGAAAGAGAAAGACGCAAACGAGGATTACCGCCAATTGTAAGGGATAAATTAAGCGGTAAGTTAAATATTTTGTTATAATTACTATTGATCGTGTTTTAATAGTGTATGTTTTGGAGTAACAATAAAGAATGATTGATATTTTCTTCTTTGATATCATTGTATTTATAAAGTTCAATATTCTTGCAGTTTGCAGCACTACACTTTGGGTAGGACATCTATCAAAATTAGTACATCAAGAAGAACTTTCAGATACTTTTGGAGAATTTGGTGATATTGTCAGCATAGATCTGATTTCGCCTAGAGGTTGCGCCTTCATATGCATGAATAGAAGACAAGACGCTTATCGGGCACTTACTAAACTTAAGAATCATAAAATGCAAGGAAAAGCAATTACTGTAAGTTATTTCATACGTAATTCATATTTTATTTAAACTACAGAAAATATAGTTCATTTTTAGAATGATAGAATTTTTGATATATTTCAGTTAGCCTGGGCACCAGGAAAAGGTGTGAAAGGAAAAGAATGGAAAGATTATTGGGAAGTCGAATTGGGAGTTAGTTATATTCCCTGGAATAAATTAATTAATGTTACTGACCAGGATCTAGAGTTACTCGAAGAAGGTGGAATGATCGACGAAGATACTCTGCCACCTCATTTAAAAGGTAAATAACGCTATATATTTACGCGCGTTTAAATGCAAATTCGTTTACTGTAAATCATCTGAAAAAATTTAATAACGTTGCGTTGATATACTTTGTAGGTAAATTAAAGCATTCCGGAACAAATGCAGACATGCTTCAACAGCAGTTGCAGTTGCAGCAGCAAGCTTTAGCTGCCGCGATTCCAAGTTTGACAGATGGGATTGTTAATGTAATGCAGCCTTCGACCAGCGCTCAACAGCAACAATCTCAATCGCAGTCTCAGCAACAGGGTCAACAGCAACAGCAAGTGATCGATACAAGTCAGCCACCGCCGATCAGACCTCCCACGTCAGCTGCACTTTTACCACCGCCAAACACACAATTACAGATGATGCCACCTGCTTTTACAATGCCAGGAGTTCCTCGTAAATAATTTTTTTTTTTTTAAATTCCAACTTAGAAGTTACGACGCAAACGAGAGTTTAGAAAGTAATTTGTATTTTTCCTTTGCCGTTCAGGTATGCTCGGACCAATGGGATTACCAATGGCGCACAGTTTAATGCCTAACGTTCCAATAGGTGTACCACCCCCAAATATGCAGAGTTTATTAGGACCACCAGGAATGATGCAAACTATGCTAAGGCCTCCAGTAAATCCACCGTTTGGAACTGGTGTCGGTGTTGGTTTATTAACGCAGATTCCTTTACCAGCACCTGCTGCACCCTCCGATAAACCCAATTCCACCGGTACGTACAATTCTATTAAAGTTAGAATTGTCTTATACATTTGTGTGGTAGCGATTATTTTGTTTCTTAATTTTTGTTAGTAAGCGTGTATATGACGAAAGCTTTAGAAAGCTTAAATTGGAAATGGAACGGATAAAACGTAACCAAAATTGTTGTTTTAGGTATGCCACACAATGTTCCTCCAATAGGAGTCCCGCCGCCAACGACGGAGACGGGAATGCCAAATTTGCCAATGTTACGTCAACCTTACGGTGTAGGTCCTTCTGCTCCGTTACAAATGCAACTACCTCAGCAACATTCTGCAGATGACATGGACGTAGAAATGGAGGACGTGATGCCGCAAAGTTCAAACGGGACTAAAAATAAAGGCAATCTAATTGAACAACTTTCACAAAATGAGGATAGAACAGAGGGCGATCAACAGCTAGAGGTAAAATATATATGGAGTATTTTTTTCGTTGTTGAAGCGATAACTTTTATGTAGCTTTCTTTTTATACGTTGTCTTTTATTTATACAGCTCAAAATTTATTGTTGTAAAAATATTGCTTTTATCAATGTATCGGATATGAAAACTTTCAATATTTAAATTAACAACATCCATGGCATTTTGCTGTTTAATATAAATTTTATATTAATTTTTATATGAATCACTGTGTTCTACGGAATTATTTCAATATAATTTAAATTTAGCAACATCGAGACTATAAAGAAAGAGATAGGGAACGAGAGAACAGAGAAAGAAGAGATAGAGAAACACATTTATCTCATAGAGATAGGGAAAGCAATGATTCCAGAATGGAACGTGGAAGGGAAAGAGGTAGAGGACGAGAACGAGGACGCGATCGGAGGAGAGATATTAGAGATAGAGACAGAGATGATAGAAGAGAAAGAGAGAATAGAGAGAATCGAGAAGGAAATCCACAAAATCAAAGTCTTCAGGTAATAACATGTTAACTTTTTATAATAATAAAGAATGAAGAACTAAATAAAGGACAACGAAGCAAATGTTTTACTGATCCAGTTCTACCAAAGATAACAAGTTCAAATAGTTAAAAGTAAGAGAACAAATGTAAATAATTCATATAATTTGAGTTGTATAAAATGTTCATCCTCCAGCAGTAATATTAATCTATTGTGTTTTATCGTTTGCAATAATTTCAACCTCGATCTGTTACATTTTTAGGAAAACGATTCCACCCTAAAAAAAGACGGTAAACCGAGCTTAGCCGATCGGTTACGTCAATTGGCCGATGGCACGCTACCCCTTGAAGATCGAGTCGACCGGATACCTCCACCTCGTAATCGACCGGACCGAGACAGATCGGACAGAAGTTTTGAAGATTCTCGCTCAGCGCGCGGTGAACCCCTTTCCTCTCTTATGGACTTGCCAAAGTTCGGTTTGCCTCAGGAAAGGGGTGACTTTCCAGCTCGTCCGCCAGACTTTCGAAATCCTCAAGATCCAAGAGAATTTCAACAGCAAAGGGAAAGGCAGAATTTCGGACGAGGTCACAGAGGATCACAAATGCATGAGGAATATATGGACGCCCCGAGGATACAAGGGGGCATGTATCAAGAAGAATTTGACAATAGGATACATGGACAACAAAGAATAGAAGATTTTGGAAGACTCGGACCCCCTAGGGAGCAAAGGTAAAGCATTTTATCTAATGCTGTATTGAATCCAATTATTCTATATTTAGGGAGAATATATAAATAAATGTAATTATTTAATCATCGATTAATTTCTTATTAAAGGGAGGAATTTGATAGATCCGAAGTACGTGGAAGAAGACCGCTCGACGATCGAGATCGTTTCGATTACGAAATTAGACGAGACGGTTTTGATCCACGACTTCAGGATGGTTTTGATCCAAGGGGACATCACGATCGAGGAGACTTTGAACCTAGGAGACGAGAATTCTTTGGGATTGAACCTATGTTTGGAATGCCACCTATAATGGGACCCAGAGGGCCTAGACCTGGACATCCTGATGGGTTTGGACCTCGTCCTGCTCCTCTAGGGGCTCGTGGGCCAGGTAAAATAATTTTGTCTATTTTTTGTTTAAACAATATTTTTAATCTTAAGATCCCTATTCGTGTTTTCACATTTTTACAACTTAACAGAAATTTTATATCGCTATGGATAATCCGACCGTAATATTATGTCTCTAAATTAACCCTTCCGTAGATCATATTCACTTTTGATCTGCAAAAGGGTTATCCAGAGTGTAAAACTCATATATAATCGTTTATTAAAGATTATTAAACAAACTGTTACTGAATATTTGTTCTCTAGGTCCTTTAATGTTCCATCCACGGGGCCTAGGACCCCGTCCTCTTCGCCCTGGAATGAGGCCTTTCGGTCCTCGCGGTCCACCTTTCGATCCTCGAGAACCAGACACCTTCTTCAGACCTCCTTTCGATGACATTCGTCCTCATGTGAGACCACCTTTTGGTCCTATGGGCCCACCATCTATTCTTCCTCCAGAATCTGCTGCTCCGTGGAGGAATCAAGAACATCCTCCTCCTGGCTCCTGGTCTTCTGATACCGAGCACTCGCAAAGAGACAAGAAAGGGGGCAAACATGCAAACCAAAACATGGAGAGAGAGAGTCGAAACAGAGGACGGAAATCCAGGTGGACTAATGTAAGCCCATCCGGTGAAGAAACAGAGGAATCCAAAGAGCAGGAGCCATCTACCGGAAATGTTGAAATGAAAGAAGAACCTGTAAAAGAAGAGGTATTTGGGAAAAGGGAGGAACAAGGAGGTGAAATAAAGGAGGCGATTCCCATTGAAAAAACAGAAAATTTCGAAGAAACAGTTGAGACGAAACAAGAAGGCTTTGAAGTAAAGGAAGAGGAAGAGGACCGCAGGGATTCTTAGACCAAAGTAAAGAGCGATTTTTCTCTTTAAGATTATTTCTTACTCTGTGGAGTGGTGTGAGGGAGGACTCGTTGCTTCGAGCCGATATACGGTCGAAATGGAAAAAGCTTATTTTGGAAAATGAAACGCTGAATATAAGATTAATTATTTTGTTCGATCAATGATATTTTAATAATGGTGAAGTAATGATGCGTTGTTTTTAAATATGATTTTAGAAATGTCGGTAAAGTTATTTCTTGTAACTAGAGCTAAATATCAAAAACTAAGCAGAATGAAGAAATTAGAATGGATATAGTTAAAGAAATATAAGATATTAATGTCACTTTAAGTTAATAATTCATATAAAAAGATTACTATAATCTTTCAACAAGATCAACACGCAAATTGCATACTTTTAGTAATTTGTAAAATTGAATAAATGACCTTTGTATTATTTTAAGATACAGGCACATGAAATAGAATTAGCTAAAAGTATATCATCGGTCGAACGGAAAGATAGTTTTTCTTTAAGTCAGCGTTTCAAATTTCAAAGAAACCAATTTTTCTAATCGGCTTAACATGTGAGGCGCTGTGATTTGTAAACACAGGACCTATGACCCGTGGATACTCCAAGTGGCGACTTATTTATTGAATTGTAAATACTTTTGTATTTTCGTAGTAAACAAATATATAGTAAATCCGATTTGAATGTGTACATGTAATTAATTTTTAAGTTACTAAAGATACAAGAAAAGTGTTTTTATCATATTTAACTTTTAAAGGAATATTATGTTTCTGTTAAACTCATATTTACCTTGTTAAGTTTATCTTGAAACGTACGATAAAATTAGTGTAAACAATATATATATATATAGCTTTAAAAAAGAAGAAGGATAAACTTGAATCTCTGCAAATTTAAAAAAAAAAAAATTGAATCCAATTGTTTCCTTTTCAAAATAGAACAACTTCTGTACAAACATCTTTCTTGTATTTTCAATAGCTTAAGAAATAATTGAATGCATGCATTTAAACCGAACGTACTGTATAGATAGATGAATCTTAACAGTAGAATCTTGATTAACCGTATATCCTACAAACTTCAAAGTTTTATTACATAAGACATTTTCGTTGATTGAACTCTACATTCGATGCAATTATTATAAATCTTACGAATGTGTGTGTCGAACACTTTGTATGAGGTAAATTTTAGTTTAATAATTATATCATTTTAAATGAATATTCATTTTATATGAATTATTTTTAATTTAATATTTTGATCGTATACCAATACGATTTGTTTAAATATTTTCCCCATGTACTAAACTCTATCAAAGAATTGAAAGAAACAACCCCATTAAATTTACAATGAATGAATGTTCGATCAACAGAAATAGTTAGCCATTGAAATGTGTAATTGTTAATTCGGATAATCAAGATTCTACCACCGTAAATATTTAAATAGATAGAGAGAGAGATTATATATATAAATATATATACGTGTATGGAAGAAAATGTAAGCCAACAAAGAATGGTAGAAAGAGAGAGTGAGAGGGAGAGAGCGCGAGAATAAGTGAAATACAGAGCGAGAATATATATAGTGCCGATGTTCGGCGCGGCTCAATCAAACGAACGAAAAATAAATATTTTCTATATAACGTCTTTCTTCGTAAGCAGAATTATAGCCTCTCATTCCGCTTGGCTCCCGGAATTGACTTACTTTTTTTAAAGAGAAACTCCAGCCATTGGAAACTCAGGATAATTAATTAAACAATTTCCCGATTATAAAGAATATTTTAAAACATTTTTCTAAAAGATTTTGTCTGGGAGTCTTTATAGAAGATACACACAGATCGTGTACGAACAATTTGAACAACTTTTTTAAAAAAAATAATTTTATCCAGTTTTGTTTGTGTCGCGATATCGATCTTTTAACTAGCTTTTTTTGGAAAAGAAATTGCGTATTTTAAGTTAAGTGAAACATAGCGAGCCAAATGACATTAGGTGAAAAAGTATTTTAAAATATTTGGTTGATATAATAACGTTCATATTACGCGTAACGTGTCGTCGATGACATTGTTTTTGAATAAATACTTTATGTAATTAATTAGAGGTCGAGCTTTGAGAAAAAAAAAAACATATTTCTTTATCGAATAATTTACTTGATACAGTCGATGCAATTATTATTTAATTATAAGTATTAAATGTAGTTCACGTTCATCTTTGTTTCAACCGCAGAAAGTATTTTTATACCATCAAAGTGCTATATTTTGTATACGTTGTCGAGTTGATTTTTAATTTCATTTGAAGCATTTCATTTCAGTTAAATGTTTTAACTACGCATTTTTTTGTCTGAAAAATTTTTCCTCCGAATATCGAATTACACATTGAGAATCGACATTGAGGTGAAATAGTTTGTAATCGATTAAAAACCGATATATTTTGGTTAAAGAGAGAAAAGCAAAAAAAGAAAAAAAAAAAAAAGAAAACTATTGATATTCGGATCGGAATGAAATCTTTTCAGAGCAGCTTTGGATACTTGTTCAGTACTCGTACTCGTGTGTTCACATGCGTGAGTCTCTCTCTCTGTCGCCACACGACGATGGAACACCAGCCACCAGGTCGCTTGCGCTCAAACTGAGCGACAAGTGCAAGGTACTGTTGTGTTTATAACTCATTATATTTATATACTGAATGCTATTTTTCTTTCTGGACGAACAACAAAGAAAGTAAGCCGGAACGTATTGATTTGTTATGCAAACCATTTGAAAATTGAAGCGCAACAAGTTTACTAAAACAACATCGGTTAAACTCTTTCCCCCTTTTTTTTTTTTTATTATATTCCAGCGAGTCGAGTCACGCACTAGATTCGATTTGCGTAAACTTTCTAGTAAATCTTTACCCATTAAAAAATTAAGAGTTTAATTCGACTTCTGCCATTAGTAAAGTTTTAATCCTCATTTTGTAAATGTATTTAATATTTAGCACGTAATGTTATTGATGTGCAATAATCTACGATTAATAATTACACATCGGGAGGATATTATTTAACGAGAGTAAAACTTATCGAATAAAAAACAAAAGTTTTTGTATGTTTATAATTAACGCGTAGATTAGATAGTCGAGTTTATTAATGAACTTTTAATCGGTTTTGTTTTCAATTTAATATGGCAATTAACGATACAATGATCACTAATTGTAATGCGATTTATCTTAAAGAAGAGTTATGACTTGCAAACAATTATGATATTGTGGGCTTGAAAATCATGACTCAAAAATTTATATAGATACATGTTCGTCCAGAATGTAATATTTTTTTACCGTACTGTCATATTATAAACATCCTTCTAAAAAAAAAAAAAAGCAACAAAAAAGTAAGAAAAACGTAATATAGATTAGCGTTAAAGAGCCCGTGCACCACTCCGGAGCAGAGTTTAAGAAAGAAAATTCTATCTTCTTTTTTTTTTTTTTCTCATTTCTAAGGGAATAAATTGAGCAAAAGGGTAGAAAGACGCGCAATTAATTTATTTGCATAAACAAGATAATCGTTTATGCGAATATTTGTTTACTTATTTATATACAAATGGCGAGCAATAACAGGATTAAACACAATCGAAAGAACAACGAAAAATCATATCAGGCTGCAGAGCACTGTAAATAGTTGATTCTTTTTTTTTTATTTTATTTATTTATTTATTTTTTTTTTTTAAAGCAGAAACGATCGATTTCAATGCCCTTGCAAGAAATATAAAATTCTTTCTGTACAAATCGTGTTCGAGTTAATTTTTTTTTTAAAGTAATTTTAACACTTTTGTGATATATGCATTTTGTGAGCCTGTTATTGACGTCGATTTGATCGTTAGAAAAAAATTGGAACGCACATGCGCCGAAAGTTCGTGGTCAATATCAGATTTAGCCGCAGCCGACTTCGGTACTAGCCATTGTCGAATGAGAAACAGTAAAACCACGGTAGTCTGATTTTACACTCGATGGAAATAATACACAGCATTTGTCTATCTCTATTTGTCGAGTGCAAAATTGGACACTTGCAGCTTTATTGTCTCTCGTTCCCATGGCTTGTACCAGAGTCTGCTGTGATTTAGCATTCTTGCATATATGGGGTGTCTCACGTACAGTGTTGTAAACTGTTTTCATTTCCTTTTCGAAAATTGTTAGAGATAGTTATTAAATTCTTTATATATAAATAAATAAATAAATAAATAAATAAATAAATGAATACATACATACATATGTATATATGTGTGCGTGTGTAACACAATTTTAAAGCTGATGTTAACGGTCAGTGAGTGGGTGAAATGGTAACTTCACCATTAAAAAAAAAATGATATATCACAGATATATATATATTCCTGATTAGTTCATTAAAAAACAAATACCATTTATTTGAAACATTCTTTCATATTTTGCATATTTAACGAAATACATTCACTAGAAAAACTTTAAAGCAGGGTGAGAAACCATTCTTATCGAACGTTTATTATAATGTGCATGTATCTGTAAATGTTTGTCAAGTTTTTCCATTGATGTTATTCCGAGCATCTGATAAAATTATGAAAACTCCTGTTGCCTGGCGAATCGGTGAAAAGAATTTTTATTTTCATGTCTTCCATTATATTTTCATTCATATTTCTTTAATTACGCAAAATATGAACGACGTATTACGTAAATGTTATTCCCCTTTGACAGAGCTGTCGGAAAATAAAGATTTGCACTCGCAAGAGAGAGCCCTCTTTTCTTTGAATAAAACTATGAAAATTTTTGCACTTTAAATAACTCGTTAAGAACTAAACTTAAGTTTATTTGAGATATCGTTCATATCTTGCATAGTTAAAGAAAAAGATATGCATGTACAAACTAAAAGAAGATATGAAACCAAAAATATTCGTTCCGATTATGCGCTAACATTTAATTTCAACGATATTATAGAATGTTTGAGACAACGCCGAGAAAAGTATCGATAAATATTTACAAACACATGTACAGAATTTTAAACATTTAATAAAGTGAGTTTTAATTCACGAAATGTGGGTTTTAATTTACCCCCGGTTAAATGTTATTCGTCTAAGAAATTAATTATATAAGTCGTATGAACATAATACTTATATGGGCATGGAAGAATCCTTGATTTTTAAATTTCAGTATAATGTGTGCTAAATATATTTATTATTATCTGTTCCAGACACATTGCATCCTGGAATGTCGAACGGATCATTGCGCGATTTTTCCTCAATTCTGTGTATGTATTGTAAACATGAGCATTTTAATAAAATTGAGATATAAATGTATACGATAAAAATCTTTTTCCTTGTAGTTTTATTTGTACTAGCAGGTGCGTGTAGAAAGTCACCGTAAAGCTGCGCGCGCAGTGGCAGCACGACGGGAGCGCGCCCTTCCCTGTTCTTCTCGCCATTTGCTCGGTAAGACTCGTCGAGTCAAGACGCATGAGAAGACCGAGTATATTTAAACCAAAGACTATACGCATTTGCGTTGCAAAATATATTTATATTTCGTTATTGTTCTTTGTAAACGGGAGTGTGATCGTTTATTTACATCCATCCAGTAACAAGTAGGAGTGGGCCAACTACACACAGCGTAACTCGTGGCGGAACTTGGCCATGTGATTCGTAAACAGCATATACCCAACATATTCGCACCAACAATTTACACCTAGCGTATGGATCGTGAATTATTTCTCTATAAATTTAGTATCGAGGTCGCTACAGTGCTATTCGCGCGTTATGCGTGTACAGTGCAGAGTAAACGATTTCAGTTTTTATGATAAAAACATTCGCACGATGTAGGCTTACCTAATGCTTCGTTTGCATCAATGCGTTACTTGTATAGTTAGTGTTACTTAGTACCTGTCAAAAAATTGTGACAGAATGGAACGTATTCGTGTTTTTTAAGATTGTCACACCGATTACAGTTGATAAACTACCCTTTTATCAGTAATACCATTATGTCGGGAATAAAGGTAATAGGTGAAAGACAGTAACGAAATAATTTTCACGATCGAAAGGTTTAAATGAAAGATTGAAAAATAACAGACTCTTGTTGATGTTAGGCTGATACTAATAAAGATGATGATTTAAAGAGGCAAGGCTCGTTTAGGAAACTATTACCTTTGAATACTAATGGAGATTCTCAACTGAGTATGTCAGTAAAAATGATCGACAGGCCAACTGTTTCGCAAACCAATAAGGAATATGCGCTTTACTTGCAAGAATATAATATTTTATCCGAATAGTAAGCCACTTCAATAAATAATTTATTACGAAAGCATTTGAATCGAATAAAAATATGATTTCTTTATTATTTTTTTTTTCTTCGTAGCAACATGTTATGTTCTCAAGACCTAAAAGGCATTTATGTTATACCGTCTGCACAAAATTCTATGTGTAAGTAATTATAAGATTAATAGAAATTAACGTTTCTTTTTAATGAACTTTATATCTGTAAACGGTTATGCGTTTGAATTGTTTAAGCCAAATAACAATTGATTCTTAGGTCTTGCTTATCCTGACTTCGTCTTATATAACGGTTTCCATGTAAATATGTGCTTGATTTATTGTTTGCCACATTTCTTTTGTATACACAATCATAACGAGCACTTATCGAATTAAATAGTGTATTTATTTTGTGTTAGTGTGGTTCGGCGTGCAATTTGTTCGACAAGGAATCTATCAAGGGGGTATCTTCAGATTTACTATTACATTACCGCAAGGTTTCCCGGATGCAGGGTGTCCAGTAAGACTTTCCTTTTCAATGCGCAGTACTTTTGTTATAAAATTAGTTTTAATATGGGTGAACAAAATTTTAGAAAGTCATGTTTCAAACGTCTGTTTTTCATCCTTTGATCGATCCCGAGTCTGGAGAGCTGTGCACATCATGGGGATTCCCAGAATGGAGGAAAAGCAATAGAATTTGGCAATTGATACAATTTATAACAAAAGTATTCGCTAAAGTAGATATTAAAATGAATTCTATAAACCAAGAGGCATCCATGTTGTAAGTGAATGTTATTATGAATTATATTTGAAAGTTTGAATTCGATCCGCTCGTACGATACACTGTTTTTGTATTATAGATTAGAAAACAATTTCGAAGAATTTCGAAATCGCGTGAAAAAATGTGTGAGAGACAGCTTAAACAATGTTTATAATCCACCTACCATGGACGATCCCCATTACATAGCTTTTGGCCCATATATTAGCGAGCTTCATGATTCCATTAAACGCGAAATTTATGAACCCAAGGTATATAATTACATATATTTCGTTTCATGATGCTACATTATTGAAAACGTTTGTTATATTTTTACGTGATTCAGGAGGAAGAAGAAAACAAAGCTTTGGGTTTATCTTGGGTACAACCAGGCTCTGTACAACCATTTTCAAAGCCAGAAGCGAGATAGTAAGGATCTGTAATACATAAAATTGCAATAACGAAACTTCATACGTCCCTACGAGATAAAGGGACTGTACATTTTACCGATGCAGGGGATAAATTTACTGTATTTTTTTATTAGCCGAAAAGGACAAATTTTACATTACTTCCAGTTACCGTGATCTTAAAGTTATGTGTAGGGAAATGTTGCAATAACTGGAGTCTTTGGAAATGTTCCAGAACCACCTATAATACTCTTATATTTAATTAATTTAAAAATATATACATTAATTAATTAGTTCTTATATACGCAGGGTGACATAATTTCTCCACCTCACATAACTTTTATAGCATGTATTATACAAAAAGGTGTTTTTATATCAATATTATACAGTATTTAAAAGCACTTATGATGTCTGGAGTTGTTTTTTTTCTAAAGAACCTATCTGTTTATCAGATGCTTGGATGAGCAGTGAGCTTGAACTTTTTTACAAAAATAATGAAAATCTCTATATGTGAAAAAAATCTGTTCTATTTTTAACTAGATTAAACCGGTTCGAACCAGTTTGAATCTGCTCAATATAAATTGAACGAATTAAGATAATCGTAATTCTAGTCTGAACGGTTATTTGGGGTGGATAAGTCATTTAATACATCCTGTACAATATATTTTGTAAAAATAATATGGTAATAATACACGACTGGATAATGTTGGTAGCACTGCTGAATAAGGTGTCTCGAACACTAGTTGTTTCTCGTAACATTCGTTAACATGTGTATTGGGTTTAAGTGTGTACAAGCTTAGTGAATCAGTATCCGTCAAGGGAAATGTATATTTCGAGATAAATGTGAAGTGCCAAGAAATATATTGTACCGGAGTGTTAGATGTTGTTTACTGTCATTTTTATTTTCTTTCCAAATACCTTAAACTATTCGTTCGCTTGATTTTAAGATTATGAGCTACGATTTTAACCTTTAATGACAGCCACACAGTTGTAGGTAATTATCTTATTTACACGTTAAAGAGATTAGCGTGTTTTCCATTTTTAAATGATAATTCCAACTTTCAAAGAAATATGAGAAATAATACGAAACACGCACTTATAGACGAAACGATAAATCTTACATATTGTAATCTCCCTATGCGAAGAATTTGGTTACGTCTTTTGAGGTTAAGGGTGGAGTAAGGTCACGTATAATTCATAAAACAAAACGATTTCAAATTAAATATTGTATTGAAAGTAAAGCTATCAAGAGTGTTAATCGATGCTTCGACTATTTACAAAATATTCAAGTAATTGAATAATTGTATTCGTATTGTTTATCGTTACAAGGCTATATCGACATATTGTGTATGTTATATGAAACTTTCATTTGTTTAGCTTCAGAGATCAGAGTTATATATATTTTATATAGTTATTTCAGATAAAATATATAGAATATCAATATGCAGACAATAAAGTGCGTCGTAGTAGGAGACGGAGCTGTGGGTAAAACGTGTCTGTTAATTTCGTATACTACGAACAAATTTCCCTCTGAATATGTACCTACAGTTTTTGATAATTATGCGGTCACTGTAATGATAGGCGGTGATCCATATACATTGGGATTATTCGATACTGCTGGTAAGAATCAAGATTCTTGTTAATATTTAATTTTTTGCTGCGAGACTTTAATATCGATATTATGTTACGTATTATAGGTCAGGAGGATTACGACAGACTGAGACCTTTAAGTTATCCGCAAACGGATGTATTTCTCGTATGTTTCTCCGTAGTTTCGCCGTCGTCGTTTGAGAATGTTAAAGAAAAGGTTACGGCGTTGTCTAAAACATTTGTTATCGGAAGAAAGTGTGTAATAGTAAAGCTTATACGTATTAATTTCATTTTAGTGGGTGCCTGAAATAACGCATCATTGTCAAAGGACTCCGTTTCTACTCGTTGGCACTCAAATCGATTTGAGAGACGACGTTGCTACAATCGAGAAGTTGGCGAAAAACAAGCAAAAACCGATATCAGCGGAACAGGGGGAGAAGCTAGCCAAAGAGCTGAAAGCAGTGAAATACGTCGAGTGTAGTGCTCTTACGCAGGTAACGCGCCACAAGTTATAACACATAACCATTCCTCGTTACGTTTATAGACAACTATGTGGAATTTTTAACATTGCAGAAAGGTTTAAAGAATGTATTCGACGAGGCTATTTTAGCTGCACTCGAACCTCCCGAGCCAGTGAAGAAAAGGAAGTGTACGCTGTTGTAAAATGAGTATTTATTTTGGAAGCGATATATGTCCGAAAGGGAAACAGAGTTTATGCGTAACAATAGCGAGCGGCAAGTTTAACACAGTAGTTTAAAGCACCGTTAGAGGATTTCAAACCGAGCTTACATGGTTCCTTTTTGAAAAAAAAGAAATATTCATTTTCGGAGACACGTTAAAAGCCGCTAGTATCAGCGCGACAATTTCGTTCAATTTACTTTCTCTATTACCACGTAACGATCATGATCACATTCCACGCGACGTGAATTCTGATTTAAACTTTCGTATTGCACAATTTAAACAATTTTTTTATCTTCGCTTAACGTGAAATTACGCGCATCGCGGGGTTTATTATTTTTTTTTTACAAACGTTATCCAAGAGATTTGTATCGTTTAAAATTTGTTTCACATTTTTGTTAGAACAATTGGTGCTATTCGATTAATAGTACTTCTCGTGGTTCGTGTATTTATCGACGAAGAGCTACGATGTAAAGTATCCCTTTGAACGTTTAAAGAATCGATGCTTTCGGGGAAAAGGAACGAAAGTGTTCTCTTTTCGAACATACTGAATTAACGAAACGAATGAAAACGATATTAAGATCTCTTTTCATCGGATAAAGTTGCAAATATACTATATAAAACGTGCACTACCAACAGGGGGGTTGTAAAGTTCTAGGATTGGCAGCTATGTCACGCAGAATGTTTCCACAGAAGCGCGTTGGTTTCAAAGACTTTTTACATCTGATTTTGTACATATCAGCGTTTGTCACGGTATACACACAAGATACGACGAATTTGAAACGGGACAGAAGCGTGGGCGAGAGTAACAAGCATTTATACTTTGTAAGATTTCAACAAACGGATTCGTTGGTGGGGTCGATCCCGTTGCTCGTAGGATAGAAAATATTCTCGTTCGAGCAACGAGCAACGAGTTTGCTCCCCACTACCCGAACGATCACGTATTATTTATTAAGCGATAATTGTATAATTCGAAAAGAAACGAAAATTTAAACGCCTAATATTTTCCATAAACTTACATTAACGTTATGTAAACTGGATGAAACGTAGGGTGAATATTCGAAGCGCAACGATCGAATGGTTCCGTTCGTGTTCGATCGACGTTTCGTTGAATGGCGGAGAGCGTGTATCGCGGAACGACGAACGATCGACCGGGTACGTCTTGTATTCGGTCTAAAGAGGGTGGCATTTAGTAGCATTGTACGTGTTACGATATGTAGACGCAACCGTGTAACGAAATATTCACATAAATATATTTATACTATGCATAAAGAATGGATCGTTCTTTGGTTGTTGGTTCGCGAGTGAAGAAATTTGTAAATTCGATCGGTTAAGCTTTACGTTGGCGTTCGTTCTCACGTCCGGTGCATTGTTTTGTATCGCGTTTAGAAAGTAATGGGAGGATCTCGTAAGTGCAAGGAACTCGGGTACGTTCGGTATTCTCTGGTCGAATCGGTACGTGAGAACGGAAATGCCAGGGTGCCGAGAGACAGAAACAGGAGGTAGTCATTTGACGATCCAATGGAGCATCGTCGACGTAGTTTGCTCACCGTGGTTCGTGCGTTCCCCTCTCTCCCTTCTTGTTCCCCTCTGTTCCGTTTCCCTCGTCTCGCTTCGTCCAACGTTGCTCGCCTGTTCGGTTCTTATTCCCCTGGCTGTTCCTCTCCCGTTCTCCATTCCGTTTCTTCGATTGCATCGGCCGTGCAGCGTACCGGGTTGCGCCTTGTGATTACTTCAATTAGGTGGATTCGTGGTTACGTATCGGCGTACTGGAGCGGTTTAACCACGCCGACACAGAAGGTACGCCGGTCACGGACTCATCACGAACGTGCCTCTGGACTCCCTTGACATTATCGCTAATCATCTCGAATCGATTCTCGCATCCACGAGAAACAGAACTCGTGGTATGCGCCGGACGTGAGCTTTCCTTTTAATTCCACCGAATAATTTGTACATTCCTCGAAATCAAAGTGAAAAGTAGAACGGTTTTCGTCTTCCTCGAAAACATCGAAGAGATACATAATTTAACATTTCCAAATTTTGTTCATCTTTTCCTATTCCTGTAATTTGCTTTTCCATTCTTTTCATTTGCATAGTAAGGGGGTCCAGAGTATCGTTCCCTTTGCTACAGCAATATGAATCCAAATCTTTCGAATACAATTTTTTGGTTGGCCAAGTTTATTAAACAACAGTTTCTATTCCTGTCGTTATTCCCGACAAAGTTGTACGTTCGGCTCGCAGATGGCGGTCATATTTTCGGTCGCACATACTCGACCCGCCATCTAGCGTCCAAAACTTCGAGCTACATCTCGACGAACTTGGACGTTCCGCCGTAGATGGCGGTACAGTCTTCCGTAAAATAATACATTTTTTTTATTATCATAGAAACAATCTTCGAACCAAGTTTATTAAATAGATCGACGTGTACAGTTTCGAGTTAATATATATCAGGCTTGACGCGATGCAGAACTATGTTAATACACAGAGAGAAATAGAAATTACGAATACGGTGCCGCGAAGCAAACGTCGGGAATAGGTACTATTCCTTGACAAACTTGGCAAGCTTTTCTAAATAAATTAGAATCGACGAGCTCGGCCTGCGAGGCTGCTCTCTTGTCGCGGTACGTGTAATTCCGAAGCACGTGGAAAAGGATGGGCAACGTAGAAGCCCCGTATACGAAGGAGTCGCGTATTATAAAACAAGTTGACCACCTGGTGGCAACCGCGCGGGGGGGCCACGGAGCCGCACGTTGACACAACTCATTTTTACGCGGTGTCCCACGCACGATGGGCGGCCGTGCTCGTCCGTGGCCCGTCCCGTGCTCGTCCGCGCCAGCACCGTTTCTCCGCTGCGTTTATGCTGTTTTATGCCGTGGCTTCTCGGGTACCAACACCGCCACGGCTGACTAATGGCGCGAGATCTGTGTCGTAGTCATCGAGGGGGTATGCTCCCTGGCACCGGGGCATTGCCGGACCTCCAGAGATACTATCGATTCTTGGAGATTCTATTTTGCCAGATCTCCCCCTCCCTCCCTAACCTCACAGTCCTTTTTCTGTTCGTTGTTTCGACGACACTCTCTAGAAGCATCCTTCGAATCTACAAAGTATAAAAACCTTGTTACTCCAAAGCGCCCCCCAAACACGCTTCCACGGCCAGAATCACGTATACGTGACATAGTGTATCTTGAGATAAGAGTACTCGAACCACCACCAACCATCCCTCTCGCCACGAATCGGTGGGGCGCGTTTCGGGTATTTTGCGGTGAATGTTGTTGTTAGCTGCGAGAACGTGCGCCGGGCTCGGTAATAATAATTCTCGCGAAAGGTAAATGACGGTGCGTGGCCGCCGGTCGTAATTACTCGTCCGCACGCAAATACTCAATTGCGTGCAAATTTGTCGAGAGAGGAGACGATATGCACACACCGGGGCCACAGGCCACTTCTTGTGGTCTGCTGAAACACGTTATCGCGTGGAAGGTGTTACAAGAGAGGGAGGGGGGGCTCTTAAAATTTTCGGCGCGTCTTTACAAATTCAAGGTGGTGGGTATCTTCCCCCCGGTTTATATTGAGTCGTGCCACGGTTAAATTTCTATTAACCGCGAACATTAATAAAAAGCAGCGACGAGAAGGAGGCTTCATAATTTATTCAACGAATTACGAATAAAGCGATCCTAGCGGGCTCTGGGTCAGCCACCACACGTATGCGTCGAGCGTATATGTAGAAATAGAAGGTCGCCGGATCGCTAGCGAGAAAGAAAGGTCGAGCGTGGCCATCTGGCGGCGAGTAGAGGAAGTAACTTCTCTCAGGTCGACCATAAAAAGTTTGTCTACGTTGAAAATGTTCTTTCGTTGCACGGTAAATCATCCTGTCGGGTTTCGACGATTTCTCGAGACCCCCTTTCGGATGTTTGTGCTCGCGTAAACGTTTGGGACTTATCGTTCGAGTGCTCGGAGTTCTGGTATCTGGCCAGCCATGGGCCACGGGGGGCGATAACACGCCGGATAAGTGGGCACGCGTCGACTTTTACCTTTCTTTCGAACCGGCGGCGCGCGGGGGGACAAACTTGCCCCCGTAAAGAATCGCCGCTCGGGATCTAGTTTTAAAACTAAACCAGACGCGCCAGCGCCGGCTGATACTCGGATCGGGACAGCACTCAAGCCTGTCGCTCGCGACGTGAAATTATGCAGAGCCCGAATATTTATACGCACGATCGCGACAAGCGTTCGTAACCAGGCGTCGTGTCGAGATTACGCCGTAATCTTACCGTAGTCGTGTTCGTTGCCAGTTTAAGAGAGCTCGAGCTACCGATTACCTTAACGTTCCCCTTTTTTTAGTCGATCAACCGAAAGCGATAGCAAATCGTTATCACCGATATTAAATCCTCCGTTCAACGCGTTAATATTTCCATTTAACTCCGACTTATTTCTGACAAATAAAACTGTAGCAAGGGGACCAATTTTAAGATTGAAGATAAGAGCTTCCGGGGTTTTACGATGTCCATTCTCGTCGTTCGAAACTGACCCGGGAACCTTTAAAATTCGTCTCGAAGGGATATCCCTCCACTATCGGGCAGAGAAAGGTGGAACTCCCGCGGGAACGTTCTCCACATATTTATACCGCCTTATACAAACTTTGGATTTCGGGATCGGCCATCGCGCCGATTTACGGCGATCGTGTCCGGGGTTTGCGAACGATTTCGAACGTCGGGAGCACGCCTCGTAATACGAAACGACAAATCATCGATGGAAGAGTCGATCGGGAAAAATGGCGGACGACGAACATATTATACAGGGTGGGTTGGTAACTGGCGGTACAAGCGAAAAGGGGCTGACTCTACGCGAAAAAATAAGTCGAAAATATAGAGTAAAAATTGTTCGTTCGAGGCTTTGTTTTCAAGAAAATCGACTTATTTTTTTGCTTGTACCACCAGTTACTAACCACCCTGTATATCAAAGGGGGGGGGGGGGCGGAGATCACCGTAACAACTGTTTGCTTGAAATAACCCCCGTCTGTATTTGCACAAACAGTAAATATAACAAATATAATCCTGATCGAGAGAAATCACACGTACTGATCCCAGAGAGGGGGTTGTTCGTCGTCGAGTGTGTGATCGGTATTCGATCTTCCGGGGTGAGTTTTGGGGAAACTAGAATTGTGGTCCCGGGGTCAGAGTTAAGGCAGAAGTCGAGAGGCGACGTGGGTGGCAACAATAAGCTCTCTCGAGCAGGGCAGATTCTGGTGGCACGACATGCATTGTACCGACCACGGTTTGAAGGTGATTGATCACCGTTGGCGATCGCGCGTACACGCGTGCGTCGCCTCGCGTCCGCGTCCAGGCTCCTCTTCTCCCCTTCTTCTATCTTTTACAAAAGGGGACCCCATACACGCTCGTTTAACATGCCCGGGGCTGACAACGAGAACTGGTCCGTCGTCGTCGTCGTCGCCAACCAGATCTGGATTTTCGATGGAAGCAAACCGCGGGGGGGCAACAAGCATGCCTCGGCGCATCCGATCTTGACCGATCGGCCGAGCAAAGGCTAACGCACACACACGAACGATCGTTAGTTAAGTCGCCCCAAAGCCGAAACGAATTCGTTGTTCCTCTAATATAGGGGGTCCTCTCTCTGGGGCTCTTTTCTCGCGTTGACACGCCGCACCACTGACCACTGACCACTGTGTCCAGGCTCCGGGAACCCGTGGAAAAGTCACACAAAACACCATTCGTTTGGTGTCGTTACGTAGCAGATTGTATAATACCTCGAACGCTTGGAGCCTGGATAGTCGAGGAGTGTATACAGGGTGTTCGGCAACCCCTGGGAAAAATTATAATGGCGGACTCTAGAGGCCAAAATAAGACGAAAATCAAGAATACCAATTTGTTGATCGAGGCTTCGTTGAAAAGTTATTAACAATTAAATTCAAAAATTTCAAATCGGTCTGGAAAAATTATTTTCAGCTGCAGGGATCACTTTCAATCATTTTTGGTGAATAGACATACCCCCGAAATCTTACGCATTTTCGAGAAAAAAATTTGAGAAGGTGTGACATTTTTCGACAAAATTAAAAAATTTCAAATCGTTCTGGAAAAAATATTTTCAGCTGCAGGAATCAATTTCAATCATTTTTGGTGAATAGACATACCCTCGAAATCCTACCCGCTTTCCAGAAAAAAATTCGAGAAAGGGTGAAATTTTTCGACAAAATTAAAAAATTTCAAATCATTCTGGAAAAAATATCTTTAGTTGCGGGGGTCGATAACAATCATTTTTGGTCGATAGACATACCCCCGAAATCTTACGCATTTTCGAGAAAAAAATTCGAGAAGGTGTGAAATTTTTCGACAAAATTAAAAAATTTCAAATCGTTCTGGAAAAAATATTTTCAGCT